AAAAAAAAAAAAAAAAAAAGAAAGGCTCATCATTGACAGCAATCTTATCCGAACGAGGGCATTTCAGCACACACGATAAGCTTTTGGTTGACACGCAAATACGGGAAAGTGCACGGCCCAGTTTGCGGGGCAGCTTGGCGCCGCATTCAGACCCTGATGAATAAGGTAAGCGACAATGACGCGGTGTGCACAGCCTCAAATAGATCATCAGCCCCTGAGCTACCTCCATCATCCCACTGTCTGTTTGCTTTTGCCGCCGTCCAATTCCGTATTATTATCTATTCCTTTCCTTTTTTCCCGACCGAACCGACGTTGGACCGCTCTAAATACTACCCAGTCACGCCAGTATATACTTTCTTATTAATCCCCTGCCAATCCGACAATCCGGTCTGCCTTCCAACATCTTGAACCTTCACCACACACGTCCTTCCAAAATGTCACGCTTCTCCCATCTCGACACGGACGAGGAACGTCTCCCGCACGGCATGCGCCGCGTGGGCTACGACGCCGACACCCAAGTCTACACCTACCAGGACTCGGACGGAAGCTACTGGGAAGGCGCGCCCGGCGCTCAATACGGGCAACTCACGCAGGTCTCAGGCGCTTCGTCCGCCGGCGCCGTGGCCACCGAGGAAGCCGAGCCCTTCATGCCGGGGGGATCGGGATCCGGGCTCAGTCGACGGCCGCAGCAGCTGTGGAACGAGAGAAAGGGGTGGAGGCAGGAGATGAAGCCGCTTCTCAACTTCTTCGTGCTCATCGGTCTGTTCCTGCTCGTCCTCACGTGGTGGCTCTACCGCACGCCGACGGCCGAGGAGCAGGTCGCCGTGCCGAAGTGCGGGGCCCAGGCGGTGCCGTACAAGATCGAGGTCGGGAATACGTGCTGGGCCATTGCCGAGGGCCAAAAGATGACTATTGACGATCTGATCAAGGCCAACGAGGGCCTGGATTGCGATAAGTTGCGGCCCGGGACCTTCATTTGCATGCCTACGTTAGGGTAGGCGGCAGGTTTTCTGAAACGATGAGGAGTGCGACGTCGATTTTCCGCCGGATACCCTGAGGAGGAATATTGTTTTTTCTCTTTGTTCTCATGCCTTTTTATCCCTTGTATGTAGCTTGTTTTGGGCTTTCATGGTTAGACTGGTCGAGCTCGACGCTGGCTTCTCAGACTGGTCTCTGAGAAGTCTGGGCCGTAAAACACTGGGAGGCGGCTTTCGCTGCCATTAAATAGAAATTTATGTGGAAAAACAATGGTCTGAAAGTAAGCTAATCGGTGTAACCTGTGACACTAATGTGAGCAATTACGAGACATGCCGTTGGAACCAGACTCATAAGACATGTTGGTGAGGCATCGACACCCAAGTCGCCAGGCACTCAGCATCACATGCAAGAAATCGCAATGGGAGGGGGCAGATTGGATTGGCTTATCGCATCCGCGTAGCCCAAACCTTTTTGGCCATCGTGAGCGGAGCTTCCCCAGGCTGGCAGGGAGGGCAAGAAGAGACTGTGCCGCTTGACCCGATTCGGTGCGAGGGGCTGGGGGCGTGCCAGCCGTACTTATTCGAAAGATGCAGAGGACGGGACGGAGGGGCTACATTTCCGGAAGTACCAGTGCTCACCCGGGTCCACTATCGGGTACCTTGCACCAAGTACCGACCCTTCCCGCCAGACATTCCCGTCACAGCTCCGGCTCGTGGGCTTTTCTTGGTGTTGATCGTGTGCCTGGCGTCGCAGCCCTTGACTGCCATTTCTAGTCCATAAAGAATCAGGTCAATTGGTATCATGCAACGGCAATATAGAAGACATTCGACAAATCAAGAGAAATCCCTCGAAGCTCTCAGTGGTTTCTGCTGCAATTGGGAGCAATTGCGACGGTGGTCGTCGAGGAGGCGATTCTGCAGGGTGGACCGACCGTGATGTGCTGGTTGCCGACGGGTATCGTGCCCACTGGGGGGCCAAAGGCGCAAAAGGGGACGCTGAGAGCCTGAAGTGCACTAGAAGGGAGGGGTTTCGGTGCTTGGTCATCGCGTCGAAGGGTTTAGCGCTGCCTTTCCCCGGAATTACAGCGTCTGGGGAAGTGGGTTCGGAGTGTGTCCCCACTTCTTGGACCCCATTCGCCCCACAACACGCTTCCCGTCTGCTTCAATTCCCTTTCCCCCCATTCGTCCCCCTCCTCCAGTTGCTCCTCTTTCCCTCTCTCCCTTCCCGTCTCCAGTGTGCTCATATTTCCAGGTTCAGTGGAGTATTGCCTGGCCCCCCTTGTAGGTCTCCGCTATCCGTACCGTCGTCGGTGTGCAGGCAGGTGAGCGGCCAGGGACGCTGTCCGGCACCTCGCTGCTGCTTGTTCTGGCAGACTGTCGTTCATGCACAGTCGAGTGCTTGGGCCTCGGAGTAGGATGTGAAGATGGAAAGTCAGGGAGCAGGACGCAGGACACAGACAAAAGAGTCAAACATGGCTGGGCCTGGATGGTTCGTGTGGGGTGGCCTCATGCCCTCTCTTCCGTCTTCAGCAGAGTCGAGGTCTATTGTTTGCTGAGTCTGGGGAAACCGCGGCACAGTCGGTCAGGGTATCCCATTCTTCTGTCTCGTCTTTTCATCTCATTCACGTCTCTACAACCTTTCTAATCCGTTCCTCCATCGCGCCTGAATGCCTTGACTCGTCTCCATGTGGCCAGACACAAACTGCTCGTCTGTTTCTCATGTGGCATGTTATGAGGACCACCATTCTGCTTCTACTTGGATGTTGCTGCCAGAGGATAGTCTCTGGATTGTCTCCGTTCAATGCGATACCAGCCCATGCTTGCGTCACTAATCTGCCCACCCTCCACGTCGCAGCGTTGCACCAGGCGGCTGGCCTACCATTCACTCCCTCTCAGTCTCCCCTCCTCCTTCTCATTCTCTCGTTGCTCCCTCTTTCACCCACGGGGCACCAAAGTAACTCGGCGCCAGTGCTTGTGCGCTTCTCTTCCCTTGGTATGGTCTCCCTCGCCTTGAGGTCCTGAAGGCACCCACACCCTTGCACCAGTCAAAACTCCTCCTCATCCCCCATCCGGGCCATACCCCCCAAACACACACCCCTTTCATCTGGCCTTGGGCTGTGACGGCGATGTATGGATGGTTCAGTCACGCGTGATGATCTGTCTTACCCCGCACGCTCAGGACGGGCAACCAACGTCGACGGAGTGCCCCTGGAGCCAGATATCCCTTTAAGAAGCAGACGTCTGCCTCCTTATTCTTGAATATTGGTGTTGTGTGACTTCTCTTCCTATCCCATCGAATCATCTCATCTCTATCAAGCTCGTCCATCCAGCCATCATAAGCTTGGAGAAAGGATTCATATTCAAGTCAACTACATCCATAAAGGCATTTGCATCACCAGTTATCAAGGTCGACTCAACCGCTCCCTCTCATCACATACAAAACAATCCAAATACACATATCACATAGACACAAATACACAAAATGGCTCCCCGTATTCCCGCCGCAAAGTCCACCGAGACCCTCTGCTACGGTGTCGCCACCGTTGGCGCCTTCCTCCCTATTTACCTCATGCTCCCCGGCGCCGAGCAGCGTCTCGCCTCTCAGACGACAAAGTGGGCTCCCCGCTGGGAGCGCAACCTCTCCTACTTCACACCCGCCGCAGAGAGGGGCATCAAGCGCGTCGAGCCACCCGTCTCCAACATGGTCCGGCGCATCGACAACAGGCTACCCCTCGAGAGGATGGCAAAGGGCCTCGACAAGCGTATTAAGAACGGCATCGACCGCTTCAACAACACAAAGTGAATGAAGGACGGATATGCAGTTGGGGACGATGCGTAACAGTGTACACATTGGTGCGGCAGCACAGGTTGGGGATAGTGGAGGATGACGGAAAGATGATACCACATCTGGCTCTAGAGATATAGAGGATGCATTAGATATCTCATAGAAGACACAGAAACAAACAATAACAAACAAAGCAACTTCAAGAAACACTGCCTCGAGCCTGGGGGTGTACACTTGTGTTCACGGTGTTCTGCCTACTTCAAGTTGCAACAATTACCAGCACTCGCTGCAGCTTTACTCCAGGTGCGCCGCCACCGAAAGCCGTAGTTTTCTTACGTCGGTTGTGGGCATGGATGCTTGCATCTCGCTGCCACCCTAAATCTGCAGATGATCAGGCCATGATGAACGAACGTGGACGAAGCACTGTCTCACCTCCACGAGCGGGGTTTCTCGTCCCCCTTTCCCATGCAGTATTGGATTCCCCAATTCTTTTCCTCATTGCCCGTTAGGCGATACAACATCGATGTATCTGCAAGGAGAACAAAAACAAAACAAAAAAAGAAGGGTTGTGGGGGGCGGCCCGACGGTGTCGAATTGTGATTAAATTAGGCGCTCAAGCGAATTGCCATCGACCTGTTTGTGGCCTCATCCTCTGTTTCCTCTGGTTGGCACTCGCCCTGCAATACGCGACCGCATCTGCATCTATAGGCACGGCACCGCCCGCCACTTGTGCGGAGGGTTTGTTTCCTTATCAAGAAGATCAAAATTTTGATCAATTTCGACGAGATCTCGTTCGATTTCCTCTCTCCGCACTCCTCTTCCCGAGCCTCGAGGTTCCTCTGCAATGCACTCGCATTCCTGCATGCACCTATTGTAAACAATCGACGGCGAACTCCCGAGGGTTGCCAACACTGGTTGGCGTGCCACGGCAAAATAAGCCGACCGTCTTCTCTGCAATTCTTCGCACTGCAAAAGAAACGAAACCTCGTCGTCTCGAACAGGTCGTCGGTAGCATAGCCTTACCCAAAGCTGATTCAATTCGCAATAGGAAAGACATTTGAAATGTCCTTGGCCCCCATCTGCCCATCTAAGATTGTCTCTCTGTGCCCAATGATTTGCCCGAGAATGGAAATCGGCGGATATGTGCACCTCTGACTTGTGGTTCTAACGAGAGTGCGGCAAGCGAGAACCACTCGCGTTGTCCACCGAGCAGACATTCGTGCAGCTAGGATCGACCCGCAGCTGCCGAAGACTTTGTGCAAGCTGCCAGAGTTGTCCTATATTTTATTCCTGTCAGTCCACATACCCATCATGTCGTAAGTTTTCTCATACCAGCCACCAAACGTCTCCTCCCTCCCTGCACCGCCGCCCGGCAAGTAAGACGTTCTATTTCTGTGAGTGCAACGCGACCATACTTTGAAATTATTCTCCAGTCTGGTTGGAACGTTTTTCAGCGGAGAGCTGCGGAACAAGGGAATGTCTTCAATCGTGAAGTCTTGGTGCCGAACCTCCAAAGCTGGTGTTCACCTCTGCCAAAATACTTGCTATACCGAAGCAGCTCCGTAGGCTCGACTTTGTATATTACACAAGAATTTAACTCATGTTCTTCCAAGATGAGCAACAGCTTGTTCGAAATTCAAAGACCATTGGGACTTTCATGAGCGGTCTTGGCCCGTCATGTTGCTGGACCGTCCAGCTTTGCTGTGAAGGGAAGCCGCTTCAGGCGCGGGAGCAACGTTCACCAAAATCAAAGCTTTCTGGAGCGTCTCTCTATCATTGAATCAATAATAGGAGCTAACGCGACACCCTTATCGTGAGCTGCTATGCAATGGCAGTTTTCCAGCTGGCCATCTGCAGTATTCCCGGGAGCCGAAGACAGGCTGAGACTTGCATTGGATATTGGGCCGCTTCTGCGGTAGCATCGTCGGTGAGAGAGAGTCCCCAATATAGACTTGTATCTAAATTCTTGCGAGTAGGCAGACCGTTGTGGCACAAGTGATAGGTTGTCAAGCTGGCGACAGCGTCCATCGATTTGATATATCGAGCTTGGAGCTTTGACAGCTATCAATGGAAAGAAAGCGCATGGAAAAGAAGCTCCAAACATTAATATGTGGGGCCATTGTGGAGGTATCTTTTGCCACCCGGTGGCAGCTGAGCCGGCTGCCGCTCGGCTGTCAGCGGCTGGTAACGGCGCAGAACCCACTCGGCAATTTCCAGCGCATGAACCATCACGACGCGAACGCGCTGGAGAGCCGGGCCAAAGGCGCATCCTACCGTCCAAATGTCGATCTGTTGACGGCGCATTCGAAAGTCGTTCCGCAATCCCTGTCGACGCTACCGCAATAAGGGCGATATGACTCTACGCTCGCCGAGGCGCAAAATTCCTTCAGTCACGAGCTTGTCACGCACAATTCTCAACCCGTTGCTGAAGCCTACAACCTCAACAACCATCTCTAATCCTGCCCGTCATACCACAAGATTGAGCGAACAGCCATGAACTCAATGGCCCTCCCCCGAGCTCTCGCGAGCACCACCTGGCGCGCAGTCGCCTCCAATCCCTCGGCGCCAGCCTCTCGCGCGGGGTTCTTTGCCCAGCGATGCTACGCAACCCGCGCTGCGAAGACGACGGCCGCTTCTGCGCCTGCTACCGCCCCGAAGTCCACCGCTGCGGCTAAGAAGACAACGACGACGACGACGACGAAGAAGAGTGTGAGCACTTCTGCTGCTAGCAAGAAGGCCGCTACCACCACCACGACTGCCGCCGCCGCTGCTGCTGCGTCCAAGACGGCCTCGCCTTCGACCAAGGCCAGTTCCGCCACTATAAAGGCTGCTGCCGCTTCGAGTACGACCCCCAAACCTACAAAGACGGTCAAGAAGACGACTGCGAGCACCACCAAGGCTGCGACTACTACATCCGCTGCCGCCACGAAGAAGGCGGCTACCGTCAAGGTCGCCTCTCCTCCTCCCGCGTCTGCTGCTACTGCCGCTGCCGCTGCCGCCCCGAAGACACCCACCTCGGTCCCAAGTCCCGCGCCCACAGCGAGCTCTGCCAGGGTGGCCCCGGCAGCGGCCACCCCGAGACCGGCTCCCGTCACAATGGCGGCGCCAACAGCGGCTCCCATCCGGCCCTACGCACCCACAACAAGCCCTCCGCCCCGGGCCCCGGACGTGGACGTCCGTCCCAAGCTGAACCCGAGTAGCAAGGAGTACCGGAGAGCGTACGGCACGGCGGCGAGGAAGTGGACCGCTGCCATGGTGGCCATGCCCATTCTCCTCGTCACGTCCTACTACCTCTTTGACAGATGTGAGTACCTATCCCCCCCGCCCTTGCCAGCCATTGTCGCAATTGGAATCGTCACTGACATATCTCAAAAGTGGCCCTTGGTAATGAAGCAAAAGTAATGCCGGATTTTGAAGGAACTAGAAAAGCTGCAGAGGCGGAGAAAGAGGTTCAAAAGGTAGTGGAAGAAGCACAGGCGCAAGCCAAGGCGGTATAGAGCCGTCCCATAACTACATTGTAATGATCTTGATGAATACCCACTCCTATTCCTATCCGACCGAATCACTCCCGGCAAGGAACCATTTTACATTCCGGCCGGTTCTATTCAAAAATGCTCGGTTATTTGCTTCGGCAAGCACGGCGTTAGCTATGTTCCATAGCAGCCGGCGTGGAACCAAGCTCCTCTGAACTGCAGGTCTGTCGACTTCGGTACGAGCGGTTGGATTCACCTTGGTGACTAAGGCAATCAACAATCCGGCTTGAATCCTCTCCCCGCTTAATCGAATACTGATTTCCAAGATTGAAATTATATCACGGCCATCTGCAGTGTCTCGTTGCCTCCAGGTCCAAACCAAGCTACCACGTTCGATTGCGCGCCAGCATGACAGCCACACCAAGAAGCCCGACGACGAAGACCCCAGCAATGACGATGCCTGCGATGGCGCCTGGTCCGACTGATCCAGTGTCGGGGATGGGCTCGTCTGCCGCTGCTACGGCGAGCAAAGCCCACATGGCAGGCGCCTGCCAGACTCGGCACAGCATTCTAGGGTTTTGAGAGGCGAATGAGTATGAGATTTGTTTCGTGTCTTTTGGTAAGAATGGATGGCAGAGGAGAAGTTTTGCGATTGTGATTGTGATGCTTTTGCTAGCTGTTCCACTATGACCTTGAGCGGCACTCATTTAAATGTACGGCAAGAGGTGCTGAAGAACAGTCTTTTCAAAGGCACTGCATGTACTGATTCGCTACTCAAATCGGGTGAGTCGGGCTTTTAGATGGGATCAAATACAGGTAGCCCCAATGATGGGCAAGGCACAAGAGATGTCGAGCCTGTTCTAAGAAGGCAATGAATAGATATTGATTCAATAGAAACTGTCTGCCGGAATACACGCCCGACAGCCCCCCCCCCCTGGGGCCTGAAAAGATCGATAGGGGTCAAAACAGACGAGGACTGCATGAGTAGAGTCTGAAGCGTATATGACGTTGTGATGGATTGTTTACACATAATAGGTCCTGCAAAGGTTGCGAGTTCTTTGAGTTCGAGTTTGGTGGTCCTACATAATGGCACAGGCTGCTCATTCTTTTTTTTTAATTCATTCTTCGTTTCGTTTGCACGATTTAACTTCATTTACACAATAGAACAGTATCTCAAGATCACTTCAGAAGGATGCGTCGAAGCCGGTGTCGCATATCAGCACGTCCACGGTGTACTCCTGCCGATTGTTGCTGACGTATACCCGTTCCGTTATCTCCTTGATCCCACCGAAGACCAACGTAGGGCTTGTGGAGGGACTCAAGATAGTTGACCCCTGGCGTGAGGTGACGGCAGCCCACGCTCCACTACGTTATGAGCTTCGATTCGAGGGAAGGGTTGTTGAGCTTCTCCTTCATCTGCTGGAGGAAGTATGCGCGCGTGTTCTCGTTGATCTTGTTGTATATTCCAAATTGGCTATTCAGATCAGACTCTTTGTTCTTGCGATACTCGATGAGGGCCCCTGGCTTCTCAGCGAATTCTTTCTCCTCCGCGGAACTGAATAGATGCTGTTCGAGACCTTGGGCGGGAGACACCCACGTCGGTCTGCGTACGAAGTTCGTCGCCCGCTTACACTTCTCGCGAATTGAGGGCAGAACTTCGATGCCTGAGCTGCCGTTGCCAATTAGACCGACGTGCTTGCCTTCAAGAGAGACCGAGTCATCACAGTGTGCGGTGTGGAGTAGCGTAACCCTCTATTTTGAGAGGCCGGGGATCTCTGGCCACTTCCAGTTATTGAGGACGCCGCCTGCGTTAATGAGGATGTCGCAGTGGTCGACGATTGTTTCACTGGTGGATGTGTCTTGGACGTGTATGTCGTAGCCCCCGTCCTCCGAGTTCCAGTAGGCGCCGATGACATGGTGTTGGAGCTCGATGTACTGGTACAGCGAGTTTTTCTTGGCAAAGTTCTCAAAGTATTCCAGAATCTTGGGAGCCGGAGGGTACGCGGCAGACCATTCCAGCTTTGGTTCAAAGTCCGGGTGTACTTGTGCGACGGAAAGTCACAGGCACATCTTTCAAGGCCAGTATGTCAAAGCTTTTGGCGCAGGAAGAAGCCTTTGCTGGCTTCGGCTATAAGTATACGTATCCGGGATACCCGTTCTCAAACCATGTCCCAGGTACCGAGGGGCTCTTCTCATAACACTGAAGCGCATGCTTGGAGAAGTGTCGTTGGAGCTTATAGGGGGCCAGAAACACCGGCGCCGACACAGATGATGCGGCGGTATCTTTCTCTGTGAATAGGAGCTGAAGGAAGCCTTGCTCTGTCTCTGTCTCCCGAATTTGTGGGTTCTGGCAGTAGCGAGCCCTCCATGGTCAAGCCGTAGTAAGTTGGGCAGTTTCAGGTAGAGAGCATTCATGAAATCTCAGGTTACGCGAAACCCAGGCTCGGGGAATTTGAAAGCAAGAGGAAACTGAGTATAATACATATTTGTCCATGTATTCTGGCTACAGTCGGTGTACCGAAGAAGCACAGCTACGATGCTAAGGTGATAGCCCCCGAAAGTCGATGTCACATATCTCGTCGTTTTGACTTTCGACTGGAGGCATGTTCCCAGTGTCGCAAAAGTAGACATTTTCCGTCACAGGGGAGCCATAACCACGTATCTCAGTCACTCAAGCACAGAATGAAAAGAGTCCATGATGATCACCTCCTCCAGCGCCAACTATTGCAGCCCGTTGCGTCACCCCCATTATCAATTCACAACCTTGATCTCGGACTCCTCGCAGTTTCCTCCAACGCCGCTGCGTCTCTCTTGGACCATTCGCGCATCACTTTCCTCTGAATCTTGCCGCTCGCAAGCTTAGGAACCTCGTTAACGAAGACCACACCGCCGACGAGTGCCTTGTGCTTGGCAACCCTCGGCTTGATCCATTCTTGGATATCTTCTGGCTTGACCTTCTCTCTTGAGGCGTCTTGGAGAGCTATATAAGCTCTTGGCCACTCATTACCCTCACTAAGTGCGGTGTTAGTCTTTTGAAAGTTGCCGATGTCCCAATATTACGTGTGTTGCTTACATGATTATTCCAACAACAGCTGCGTCTGCTACGTGTTCGTTTTCGAGCAGGACGGCCTCTAATTCTGCGGGCGCAACTTGAAGGGCGTTGACTTTGATAAGCTCCTACAGAGTTGTTAGAAGGACGTCCAATTCAGAGGTCGTGAGCTAAGATCCTTACCTTCTTACGGTCCACAATCCAGAAATAGCCATCTTCGTTGCAGATGGCGATATCACCCGTCTTGAGCCAGCCGTTCACCAACGCCTCTTTGGTGGCAACTTCGTTGCGCCAGTATCCGAGACAAATGTTGGGGCCCCTGATACACAACTCGCCCGGTTCGCCAAAGCCAACCTCTCTCCCCTCCTCATCCACCAGCTTACAATCACAATTGGGAAACAGCCTTCCCACACTGCCATTATCATCCTTGATGCCACCAGGCACCATGACCCCCCCGCAAGTCACTTCCGTCATCCCCCAACCCTGGTTGATCTGCACCGAGAACCTCCTCTGGCACTCATTCTGTAGCTCCCGCGACAACGGTGCCGCTCCGCAGAGCATATCCTTGACGCTCGACAAGTCGTAGCGGGCCGTCTCCGGGCGCTTCGATAACATGACAAGGATCGGGGGCGCGACTTGCAGGTTGGTGATCTTGTACTTGCCGATGGCAAAGAGGAATTCCTCGTACCGGAACTCTTTCATGATGTACGTCGGAATGTTCAACTTCATCGCCATGAGGACGACGTAGAGCTGGCCGTAGGCGTGATAGAGGGGCAAGAAGCCGATCCACCGCTCCCGCGGCCGGTTCTCAAAGGAGTAAGGCTTTTCCGCATATCTCATGAAGATTGTCTGCTCGAGATTGGCGATCAGATTGTGATGTGATACGCAAACCCCCTTAGGAAGGCCGGTAGTGCCTGATGAGTAGTTGATGGTTGCAACAGTGCTAGTTGACTCTTCCGCGCTCAACTCTGGCCATTGGTAAGACTCTGCGTGTGCTGAAGTGCCAATCATCTGTCTCCAGTCCAAAATGCCGTACTTGATCTGATTTTCGAATTCGGAAAACTGAAATACCCTAGAACGGGGTAGGTTGGACTTGCCGGCAGCTTCCAGGACCTGCTCTAGATGATTTGGGTGGACGAGTACAACCTTGGCTGCAGTGTTTGTCATTTGATGCACAAGCTCTGCAAAATTTCAGTTCAAACATCCAATTATTGGCTGCAGTTGATCGAGAAACGTACCAGGCACTGTGTACGCTGGGTTGGCGCCGCTGAATACGCAGCCTACAGACACGATACCAAGGTATGCCACCGGCACAAAAATTTGGTTCGGTGTGCACATCATGACCACATCTCCACGTTGGAGACCGAGCTTTTGGAGGCCGAATCCAACTCTCTTTACCCATTGCAGCATCTGTTTTGTCGAGAGGTTGATGTTTTCATCTTTACAGTCGATCCATATGGGTTCATCAGATGGTTTTGTTTCTTTGGGAAACAGGTATGAGAGGAGGTTTGTCTTTGGTATGTCCAAAGGTGGATATGGCGAATTGAAGACCATTGTGGTGTAGATGACTAGCTCTGATTCGCTCAGGAGTTGCGATTCAAGTGAGACTGAATACTCAGGATCTGAGAGTTGAAGGAGATATCCAAAAGTTGGATAAGATGTTGGATGCCGCGAGATCGAAGTTTACGAAACTTGAGGGAACATCTCAAGTACCTGATGAGTCTAGAGAGTCAGGTATTCCCACGAAGTCTGACTACGAACTCCGACATGGATCCTAGTCTATTGTACATTTGCCATCCTGTCCAGATCCTGGCAGCAGGGCCGTGTCTTCCCTCGGGATCGTCTCGGTAGGCGCCATTATGCGGGGTAGCGTTGGGGAAACCTGGGGTTGTGCCGGGCGCTTGCTACCCTCAGCTCCCCCGGGGGAGGAAACTAAACCGAGGCGACCGATAATAGCCCCGGGAAGCTCTTGCGTTCGGCCACTAAGTAAGTTGATCTGACACTTTTGTTTCGACAAGTGGTATGTTACGAGATCTACTTAGGGTCACTCCGTTTATAATTCCCCACCATGTCGGAAGTTAAGGACTTTGGCTCTGCCTTCTCGCTCGATGGAAAGACTGCCCTCGTCACTGGGGGATCCCGTGGATTGGGCCTTCACATGGCCACAGCTTTCCTCCTCTCGGGCTGTTCTCACGTCATCATCACCGCCAGAAAGTTAGAGGGTGAACAGGGCATCAGCCAGGCTATCGAGAAGCTTAATCGTCTCCCGAATAACCGGGGGAAAGCGATCGGGATCGCTGCAAATGGTGCCGACTCCAACGATATTGTGCGACTCGTCGGAGAAGTCAAGGACATCGTGGGTGAAAGGGGGCTGAACATCTTGGTGTGTAATGCTGGAGCAGCGTGGGGCTCCAAGTTTGAAGAGGCGCCACCCAGCAGCTCGATGAAGATTCTGGACCTGAATGTGAGAGGCGTTTTTGAGTTGGTGCAAAAGTGAGCGCCGCTTGATGAGTGATTGAGTGAAATTGAAATGTTGACTTTCCTTCAGGTTCCTGCCTTTACTGGAGAAAGCAGCGTCGGAAGACGATCCGGCTCGGGTGCTCACGGTGAGTTCGACAGCAAGCAGTAATGTGCCGCACGTGGGAGAACACGGGACGATCATGTACGCGGCATCGAAAGCAGCTGCCAATGTGAGTTTTCCTCTTCTAAATGAGATGGTCGTTAGATTGTGGTCATCGATCGCTCACATTCTCTTTACAGCATCTGGGACGTAATTTCGCCGTCGAGCTGGGACCGAGGAACATCACATCCAACATTATCGCCCCCGGCTTCTTCCCTTCCAAACTGGCACAGGGTCTTATCAAAAATCTTGGGGGAACCGAGGAGTTGAGCAGAGGCAATCCGCTGGGCCGACTTGGTCAGCCTGAAGACATCGCCGGTGTGGCAGTGTTCCTATGTTCTCCAGCAGCAAAATACGTGTAAGTATTGTTCCGAGGGGAATGAGATTTTCACACTGACCCTTCTGAGCAGAAACGGTGTGGTCATTGAGATCGATGGCGGGGCGCGATTAGCTTCTGGAAGGTTGACCAAGCTCTGAGATGAGCCCACGTATCACATTAGGGGATAAGGCAGAGTGAGTCCATCTCTCAGGATGGTATGCGAGAGCCCCAGAGACGACAAGTGCTTAGGGTAGTTATAATCGTAGAATAGTTGAGATCGGATTGCACAAGTTTAGAAGCTTGTGGAAGATCCGAGTGGACTTTTGCGTTCTCTTCAACACCATGTTATCTGTCTCTTCATCATTCCTTTGCCTACCTTATATGCCAGTCGTATCAATTTAATTAGCAGTGAACTCGTATCTCGTCCTCCCAGTAGTCAGGAAAGCTTCTGTATGCAGCTATTTCTGTCTCCTCAGTACGTCAGGTTCACCATGACAGTCTTCGGCTCCGTGAAAGTTCTAAGCGCGTTAATCGCGCCCTCCCGGCCCTGACCACTCTCTTTAGTGCCACCAAACGGCGCCGCCATGAACATCAGACTGATGCAGTTGATTCCTACCATGCCGCTGTCGATCTCCGAGGCAACTCTCAAGCAACGATTGATGTCTTGACTGAAGATGCCAGCCATGAGTCCGAAGCTGGTGTCGTTGGCCTTCTCAATGATCTCCTCCTCGGACTCAAATTTGTTGATCACTGACACCGGCCCGAAGATCTCTTGCCGAGAAATCTCAGCGTCTTGTGCCACGCCTTCGAAAACGGTAGGCTCAACATAGTAGCCCTATGTTCGCTGTTAGTGGATTTCCGTCCGTCTATATGGTGAATGTGGATCCTCGTGGTTAGAAATCCTTACCTTATCACCAATTCGGCCTCCACCAACCAACAGTGTTCCTTGACCTTGCTGACCACGCTCTATGAAGCCTCGGACCCTCTCGAACTGGGCTTTATCAACCAATGGGCCGATTGTAGTTCCCTCAGCGTCCGGATCACCGACTTCCTTGAGCTTTTCCTCCATGGCTTTCTTATAACCAGCCAGAAACTCATCGTAGATGGGGGCCTCGACATACACCCTGCTGGCAGCGAAGCATACCTGGCCAGTATTTGCCGTGATGGCATTCGCGCACCAGGTGATTGCGTTCTCGAGGTTGCAGTCCTTGAACACAACTGCGGGTGACTTTCCGCCGAGCTCCAGCGTCACCCGCTTCATGTTGCTCTTCGCGGCCATCTCCTGGATCTTGCGGCCAGTGTTTGTCGAGCCTGTGAAACTGACCTTGCGGACCTTCATGTGGCTAGCCAAGAGAGCACCTGTGCTTCCGTCTCCTGAGACGATCTGGAACACGCCAGGAGGGAACCCGGCCTGTTCGATGAGGGTACCGAAGGCGAGGGCTGAGAGCGGAGTCTTCTCCGAGGGCTTCAGAATGAAGCAATTACCCATGGCGAGCGCCGGGCCAGCCTAGATGCTCTGTTAGTATCATGATATCAAACCAGGGGTTTCATTTCGCAATACACCTTCATGCCAATACTCCCAATAGGAGCATTCCACGGAATTATTCCACAGCAAACTCCAAGTGGCTCGTTGCGAACAATTTTCAAGAAGCCTACATTCACGTCAGCCAAACTCCATATCGAAAGGCATCATATTCAAGATGGTTGAATTCTCGGAAATATGAATCTCACCATCTTCCTGAGGATAGGTTTCGCCGGGGAATTTGTCAGTCCAGCCTGCAAAGTACCTGAAACTCTCGCTCGCCAACTTCATCTCGAAGCTCCCGAAAGTTCCCCAGGGGGCCCCGAGAGTGACCCGGTTCAGGTCCGCCAAAGTCTGCTCGTGCTGGTCGACTAAGTCGGCAAGCTTGTTCAGCATATCTCGTCTCTCGGTTGGGAGTGTTCTTTTCCACTTTGGAAAGGCAGCTTCTGCTGCTGCCACGGCGGCATCAACATCCTCTTGTCCGCCGAGCGGGATGTCGTCGGCCACCGGAGATCCGTCTTTCGGATTGAAGAGCTCCAACTTCTTGCTATTTTTGGAGTCGACATACTATAATCATTTCAATTATATTGAAAATTCCTGTTAGAAGCGGTGGGAGACTAACCTGGTTATTGATGTACAGCTGTTTGGGGAGGTTGGCCTTGTTCCACGGGAAATCTGACTTGATCCCGTTCGCAGCCACTTTCAACGATGATCCGAGTGAAACCATAATGAGCCAAAAGACTTATAAGAGAGAATATTGAGACTGCCGATTTGAATACGATCTCAACTGATGGCACAGAGAGCACACTCACGACCAACTATATAAGGCGGCTTAAAGAGAGAACTCCGTACTGATTGTTTTATCACTACTCGCAACTTCGATCACAAATCATTCCACGGTGGCTGCAAAAGCACCACGGAAATAAGTTCGGCGTGATAATTCTCTCCGGTAGCACATGGGCATGGCGCATAAGATTGCACCCTCGATGAGGGGGTTGTTGTTATCGCATGGTCTGAGACGCATGCATGCCGAACTTGGCGCAGCACCAACGCCAACGAAATGCTCTTGAAGGGTTCCACGGTACCACGGCACCACACGGGAAACGTCGTTTAGCTGCGGGGTCCTTTTCTTTTGGACAAAAGATTGAGAATGCTGGGCTTCGAACAAAGAATTTGCTGGATATTGATACCCCGAGTCAAGATAGTCCTGGGTATTCAGCACATCTGATTCGAGAGGACGGATTGACTTACCGCATGGATCAGCATTCTCCCATCTCAGCTTCCATAATTCGATTCAAGCCATTTATGATTATTGGGGAAGTTGACGTACCCACTGAGGGGTAAGCGGCTGCTTGTTTCTTGCAAAGTGCGAGTTGATCTCTTGCGAGCTGTCAATGGCATGCCACGCCGGGCTCACGATCTAGATTCCTGTTACGGATTGGAGACTGCTGCTCTAGCAAGTTTCTAGTTTTCCTCAATGCTAAGTGATCAACAAGGATAAAACACTATTCACTAAGAGGTTAGTGTTTGAACACATTTATCTCAGGGAACTTCGCAACTATACACAGCCAGCCTCCTCAACTTGGTGGGATGGATCTGCTGCTAGGAGATTCCAAGATCAAAATGAGCTTTGAGAGCGCCTCACATTGTTGGCTTAAATCAGGATGGATACCTAGAAGAAGTTTGTCAAACCCTCTTTGGTAGGGGACGGCTCTCCAAGAGCTATTGTAAAGTGGCAGGCATGTCTTAATCCAGCTTATGTAGGCAGTTCAGAATGGGATGTCCAAACCTTTGCATTCTTATTACCTCAACAGCGAACTGAATGTGGCATAGCCCTAGTCGAAGGATATGAACCGCTCCCCGTAGTGGTCTGCAAACATCTTACAGCGCTCCTGGTACACCTGATGTTTCTTGATAACCTCGTCCGCAATCTTCATTTCCTCTCTCCCCACCTGGTGCCGATGCGCCGCATCAGGCCCGTCCGCAATCCTCACAAAGCGCGCATACGTCCACATCTCAGGGAGCGGCGTATGTTGTGTCAGCCCCTGACCTCCATGCATCTGCATACACTCATCAATGATCTTCGTAGCCATCATGGGCACCAAGATCTTGCTCTGGGCAATTGCTCTCTTCCCAGCTTTGTTCCCCAACAGATCCATGGTATCCGCAGCGTTCAGGACGACCAAGCGGGCGGCATCCAGCTCGAGACGCATCTGGGCAACGCGTTCTATGTTGGAATCGAATTCGCCGATGAGCTTCCCTCGGGGCTTTTTGCGAGCGTCGTTGCAGCGTATCAGAGCTAGCTCGTAGGCTCTCTCGCATTGTCCGATCAAGCGCATGCAGTGGTGGATCCGGCCGGGACCCAGGCGACCTTGGGCGATCTCGAAAGCGCGCCCTTCTCCGAGAATGATATTTTCAGCCGGAACACGAACGTTCTCATATAGGTATTCTCCGTGCCCCTCTGGTGCATGGTCGTAGCCCATGATTGTCAGATTGCGAACTTGGGTGATTCCTGGCGTGTTGCAAGGGACGATGATCATAGAATGACGAGACCACTTCGGGTTGTCTGGGTTTGTGCAGCCCATGAGGATGTAGAACGACAAGTCCTTGTTCCAGAGGCAATTTCCGTAAAGCTTCCTTCCGTTGATGACGTAGAACTCGCCCTCACGCTTGATGCTGATTCCGATCTGTGTGGCATCTGAACTCGCCACATCCGGTTCGGTCATGGAGTAGGCGGAGGATGCATTGCCATCAAGAAGTGGCTGGAGCCATTTCTTCTTCTGTGATTCGTTGCAGTACTTGGCCAAAAGCTCGATGTTTCCCGTCTCCGGAGCGTGGCAGTTCATTGTCTAAAGCAAATTAGCATCCTCGTTTGATAGATACATGTAGTCATGATGGAGAGACATCTTCGTACCTGAGCTGCCCAGTAACATCGACCCATGATCTCGGCACAGCAGGAATATTCCAAGTTTGTAAGACCGGGACTCTCCTTGAAGTGATTTGGTAGGAAAAGGTTGAAGAGACAGCGTTCTTTGGCCTTTTTGCGTAGTTCGTGGATCAATGGCGGGGTCGTCCAGCGACGGGCCTCGAGCTGGGCTTTGAAGACCTGCTCTCTTGGAATGCACTCAGTTTCGACCCAATCGTACACTGCATTAATTTTCTCAATGGCCAAAGGTGAGAGCTTCGCCTTGACCCACGGTGGTAGATGAGCAAAAGCAGGACTTTCCATGACAGATTTGACTTTTGTGATGTCGCCGACTTGTTTATTCGGGTGGTCGAAAGACGTTGTCTCTTCTTGGACCTTTTGATATATCAAGCTCACAATGACTTTTTACCATATAGCGTATAGCAAGAGGCGTTGGATACGGACACCCTTACCAAGAGGGTTGATTATGTAGTGCTAGTGGGGGGCTCCAAGTGGCTCAAGAAACCCCCCCTGGCAGGCCCTTGTCTCTTTATGGCACTCGATCAGCTTTACACGCTAATGATTCAGTGCCCTCGATACGGATACATCCCCTGAGATGCCAACGGCCGGGGGCCCGGGGGCCCGGGTGAGTGATTGACCTCGGCCCCTCACGGTTCTTTGAACCCGCAGTACGTGCGGGGTCCACGCGGGGTAGCTACTCCGGGCTCATCGGCTGAACTTGGAACACGAAACCAAACAGGTTCAAAGCCTTGGTGAAGCCCTGAAATTGTGTCTCAAAAACCAGAGAGAACTCGCATGAGCGCATTTACCAACCGCCCAACATGAGATTAGTCCTGTGCCATACTCGGTATGAAAACATCACTCCCTCTGCATTATATTCATGTCGGTTCCCCTCCAATTCTATCATCCTCTGATTTTGCTTCGAGGCAGTAGAGAAGTACAGCCACTAGAGCACAGTAGTCTGGCGAAATGATATACGGTCTCCTTTTCATTACATGATGTGTTCGAATCGTTTTCAAATACGGTCAGGGTAGCCAGATACCTTCACATTGACTTTCCGTCTTAACCTCTGTTCAGACTAATTGGTAATGAGGATGAGCTTAAGCTTAAAGCCAGTCACGAGGGCAGACAGTATTTGAGCAAGATACAATTTCCTTCCTTTTATTAATCAAAAGCTGAAGAATCCATTTGCTTGGCAAATCATGATTCATTTCAAATAACTTTTATATTAAGATAAGTGGACGACAAAAGGCAGGACATCCCAAATCATTCTGAGCCCACTGTGGCGCCATAACTATATCCCGCTTGTCTTCACTCTACATGTCTTATTCTTTATCGTCATTAAGATACCCAAGGTAGGTAATCAAGGAAGCAACGGCAAGTAAAAAGAGCCCGAAGATGAGTAAGCGAGTCAGGTAAGTGGCTCCTGTATCGACTGCGTGCTGGAGACGCCAGGATGAAGGAAAGATTGAAAGGCATGCCCTGGTATTCGGTTTGTAGCTTTGTACCAAAAAGCCTTGCTCTTTCTGACAATTTGCGACAAGTTCGAGTGGAATCACTGGATGGGCCATCAACAACGTAATCCTTCAAGATTATCCCAGTAGATATACATTTGACTCTGACACGGGCCTCACTAATCGCTCGACAAGCCACGAAACAACTGAGTGGCCCATCTCTAAGAACCTTCATATTATCAGTGGTATGGACATCTTAACGTCTGAAGGACTAGAAGATCTTGAAGTCGATCTCAGCAGCAAAGTTGAGAATATCAAGAAAGTCATTCACGTCTACTTGTGCGGTAGGTGACGACAACCACGGCTTCTACACCGGCCCGTGGTCTGAGACTACCTAACAGCTCACACCATGATTCGACCCGGCAAAAGAATGCCAGATCAAAACCGAGATCATGAAAAAAAAGCTGTGACTGCCATTAATCACCTGTCCTCAAGCCTGAAGTTCATCATTCTGCCAACAGGCATCAAGGCACGTGGAATCCACCTCATTGATCATTTCCCGTTCGTAAAGGAAGTCACTTCACGTGAGTCACTGCCTCGAATTCCTGAATTTTTTTTGTCACAACTATGCTACTACCAGCAGACTGATGCGCTATCACGGCTTGCAAAGGGGAAGAGTTAGTCCGGGCGCGAAGTCAGGGTTGATACAATTGTAGGCTCCGTGCTAAACAACATCTGCTGCGCTGCACAGATTTTGGGTATTTTCCTGTCTTTCTACACAGAAAACGAAGGGAAAGGTGCAAAATCCCCGTTTACTGGGAACGGAAAATCTTGGAATAATGTCAGCCACGAAAGCAGCGAAGACACCCTCGCAAAAATATGTGTACATGCGTCGTTGCATCCCGACATCATACATGAAAAGAGGTACAACGATGGAAATGACTTTTGACCTTCTTCATGGAAAAAAAGATGGCCAATAATCTTTAAGTTCTTGAATTTGAAGGGAACGCCACCTCGACCAGATCGCCAAGCCCCTCAACCCGGGCTGTACTTGGTGGAACACGTTGAAAAGTGGAAAGAATTGGAGAAGAAGCATGACCTTTTCGGCGGTCGCGTTATGAACTGACGTACATTAATGGAGCCAAGACCCGGTTTAGGAATGATATATGGCCTGAACTTGCTCAAGTCCGACAGGCAGCTAGACATGTCCCAGTGCCATGAGATATGGGGTTCCAGCAAGGAGGAGTTCGATACGAAGGATTCATGGTATACTGTGTTCGATAGGCTTCGAAAGGCTAGAATCATTCCGTAGAGTGTTTGACGTCATTCAACGATAGAAATGTCGGCGCAAGCTTTATTTCCTTATTGGTGAACGGATCCGGTCGGGACTTGGCTCCGGGTCTTAGTGTGGAGGCTTTGCCGGAGATGTTCCCGAAACCAGATCCACCTTTCCGGACAGGTACGTGCCCATATATTATAGCCGAAAGCAGGATGACACATGCATCTCAGCCACAGTGGCCGTGCGTTACACTGGCCACCTTACGATGGACGCAGGTGAGAACCAACTTCCTCAGCTCAAACATTCCACGCATTCTTTCAATCCGACGCTGCTTGAGGTGATCTTTTAGACCGCTTACTGCTTGCAGAATTTCTTCTTTGGTTTTGGTTTCTTGGGGGATCCCTTCTTACAGTGAATCGCTAACTTGCTTCCTTCTTTACCCTCCCTGCTCACATTCAGACGATCAACTGCCCCGCTGTTCCCGCAAGGTCCCGTCAGCTGAGGGTCTCCACGATACGAAGATAAGACCATCACCCCATCACGGCCGGGCCTGAAGGCATACTCGGACACGAGTATGCTGCTCTTCCCTGATGGCGATGTAAATGGCGACGACGCCAAACGCGACAAGCTCGCCGCCTTACCCGAAGAGCTTCTCATCGAGACGCTGAATCGCCTCTGTCATAGAGACCTCTGCAATGTGTCGCGCCTGAATAAGCGCTACCATAGGTTGGCCGACGCAGTCTTGTACAAAAGCGTGCACTTTCAGAGTCCGGAGCTCCATCTCACATTCAGCGAATCGCTAGGCCGGCGACCACGTCGTGGTTCGGCAATTAACGAGGTGAAGTTGATTTATCCAAATGAAGAGCTTTCGCGCCTAGCTCTCGACGCACCCGTTCACAACTCTCACTATGATCCCACGCGGTCTGACACTCTTTCGCGCACACTTTCCGTCATGTCAAATTTGGAGAAACTCGACATTGCTGTTCCTCACGTCCTCTTACACGGCATCGGAACCCTTTTTAATGGGCCTTTTGACTTGGCCTACCTCAAGGAGTGCACACTCTTCTATCAGTGCGCCGATGATGCTTACTGGGACCTGCGAGAAAACATTCACATCTTCGCACACCCCACACTGGAGACCTTAATCATCAAGAGAGCCAAACTCGACGAGAAAGGGTTCGACTTCATGGAGCGCCCCCACGAGACGGGCCTGAAGAAGTTGCACCTGATCGAGTGCGACATTAACGATGACGGTCTTTCGGACGTCCTCGAATTTCCAGAGGGTTTGGAAGAGTTTGTGATGACGCAAACAGCAGAGCCGAAGCCCGAGCTGGAGGAGAGCTCTGACAACTTCTCAGACTATGTCCTCGCCCTCAGCTCGCAGGCACACTCGCTCAAGACTTTTACCGTTGACTCACCGACGCTCGGCTGCCGCAAACCGTTGAGAATGAGAGAATTTGAAGCGCTCAAGAGTATGAGGATAAACTGGGACTACCAGCTATTCGGCAAGACATCCAAGAAGCCGCGGATGCACTCCGTTGGTCTTCCGCCAGAGATGGAGGTCTTGGAGTTCTTCAACGAGATGGGCTCAGACGAGGAGGTGGCCGACCTCCTGCTCTACACGATCCAGACCAAGGACGTTGTTGCCAAGGCCTGGAAGACATTTGTGGTGCCCGAGGGCGATAGTGGAGTTTCTAGTGCGATCAGAGAAGCGTGCAGAGAGCAGGGCTTGCAGCTGGATATTATTGGAGCATTCGACACAGACGGCGACGCCGACTAGAGAAAGAAGCAGAAACGAATGGCCATAAACAGGAGGCTAAACGGAGAGTGGAAGAATCCAACCAAAACAACGAGGAACAGCAGATCAAGAGGTAGAAAAAGAAAAGGTATAAATGAAGAGTAGACGAAGATTAGATGACATTAGACGAAGACCAATACCACACCAGACTTTTCCGCATATCGAATAGGGCAGTTTCACACGGAGGCCGAATAGTGGCTAGATGACATCTTCACTGATTTGACGCTGCCCGCGCCAGGCGTGCCGTACATGTTGTCAGAGATGCACCGCAAACCGTTGGCTCCACCCGTCGCAGTCTGAGTCCGGGGCCCACCCCGCCATCCCGGGACTTTCGGAACTGACTTGACATCAGACTTGACACTGGCCGGTCGTCGCAAAAACAATATAGAAAATAATATAGCTTTCGTCACGTACTATACGAACGAGCAGCAGATAGCCGTATCCACCGACCCAATGGGCATGATGCTCAAAGACCGGAGTGTCCTCCGATGCATTTCCTCTACGTCAGAGAACACCAAGCCATCGGGGTGTTCCAACCGCCTGCATGGAGGTGAGCGATAACGAGTACCTAGAAGGGAAGCACCCATCGACATGCTGTATGCGGGGACAACTGGTAGAGGGTGCACAGGCCAAGCGATGGTCGGGAAGAAGCAGACCAGTCAGAGGGCGGACGGCTATGCACAATAGTATGTAGGCTCAGACGTCAGAGACAGCTGACGTACGTAGCTGCATGGGAGCAGTTGATAAAGGTCGGAGGCACTGTACTTTCCGAGTTGATCAATAAGTTTACATGTGATACGGCACAGAGACTTAGATACTCGAGCTGCGGTTACACAATGTCACAATCTCTAGGCGGCGGGTGTTTGGCGTGTTTCTCAGCAGGGTGCTTCGATGAACCAGATCAGCGTCCATGTTGATCTGGATTGGGTTGTCAGAATAATTTGATCAGATGGAATCCGGACCGGAAAGAAGCTGCCGCGGTATAGGTGCAAGGGAAAACTTCAAGGATGCCAAGATACAGCTGTATACGACGTGGGACTACCAAACGGATTACCTGCCTTTGCTGATATGACCCACTCGGTCAGAAACACCTACTCCAGGATGTCACTTCGGGTGAGTAAGGTGGCTATCTAACTACCTAGTAGGCTGTTCGGTCCCTCATCCTGACGAGTCACCAAAATCCCCAGTATCAGAGTGGCCTCGACAGATCTAGCGAGGCCAGCCAGGCCAACATCCCACCTGGTCTAAGGTATGTTGTTACGCAAGGTAGGCCTTTTATTGCTTCTTGGCCACTAGCCGGGACAGTCCGCCGCCTGTTCATCACAGAAAATCTAGGCTAGCCGGCTTTTGCTATCTGGCCTTGCTGTTGCAGCTGCGGCGGCGGCTGCCTCTGCCTTCTGCTGCCGGATCGCCGTGCTACTAATCTTGGACGCGAAATTCTCCATGTGGGTCGCCTCATCACCATCATCCGGCTCGTTGGCGTTCAGTACCTCTACTTCAAACGTTTCCAGTGGCTTCCATCCCTGGGCCGTCCGTTTGTCGTTAACGGCCTGTCCTCCCGACCGCGTCTCCCCCGAAAATACTAGCACGTCCATATCCTCCTGCGTCACGGTTGGGCCAAAGCCGTCCTGAATTTCGACACACTCGACGATGATGGCACCGCCACGGAAGGTCGCCTCGACACGCCCTGGCTGTTTCGTCACCGTCTCGGCCAGGCTCGTCTTCTTCTTCCACCCGCCTTTGTTCAGCTCGAGGAGGGATGATAGAAATTCGATGGTGTATTGTGCCCTGTCATCCCAGGATTGCACGAGCTCTGCGTGTTTCTTGTTCACCAAGAGCTGGTCTCCGGTGATGCCAACAATCAAACGGCAACTCGACGTCGAGTCTTTGACCGGCACCCGGAGGAGAAGTGCCGCGGCCGTCAGAAGCAATTTGTGGCCCGGGTGTAAATGATCGAATGTGCCTCCTAGACACACGATGGAGTATCCTGGGGTGTCTTCCCCGGGGTCCTCGCCCGAACCCTCGATGTTCATACTTAAACCTGCCTCAACAACTGCCAGTTGCGACTGCAGGATCGTTTGCCTATTCTCAGCGAACTTGAGATATGCAGACAGGGTGCGGTAGCCTTGCTCGCTGTTGACATGAAAGATGAAGTTCCAAGGGTGATATGCCGAGGCGAAGGTTGGTAGGTCCACAACCGTCGTGTTGTTGGGTTCAACGGCGGCGACAAAATCCGGCGCAAACCTCCGATTGGCATCATGGTCTACCAAGACAACGCGCGCGTCAACCGACCCGGGTCCACCATTAACATCGGTGGCAATGGCCTCTTCGGCGCAAATCAAAGCGATGAGACTGTAGAGACCGGCCACCAGAGACTGGGCAGCTGCCCATGACAGCGACTTGGTTTTTGGTGATGCCCCGCGAAGGAGAGGACACACGACGGCCACGATGAGGACGGAAGATCGAGCTGGGCTCTTGACCCGGGACAAAACTGCTAGTAGCGACGGACGGTAAGCGGCGCTGAGCGAGGCGCGAGACGGCGGCCGGGGTGGGAGCGGGAGGAGGAGCAGGCTCGGGTATCCTTGGGAGCTCATTCTCGGGTCTCGTTTGCACGTGACGCTTAGGAAAAGAAAACGTGAATAACGAAAACAATGAGTTGCCAACAAATTCTGCAAGTGACGGCGATGTGTGCCTCACAGCGGTTCAGTTGAATAGATTTCGGCGCTGTGAGGAGCTAGGTGAGGTACGTAAGGTGAGCTTCTGTTCTCCTCGGCGGTTCGCCCAGGCGAGGCGGGGGGATTCGACAGGGAGCTATCCCACGTCCAACTGGTCGAGGTGAGGGGGACGAGTCAGATTGTGGGGCCCGCGCTAGCGGCGCTGATTCATCCTTGCTGCTGCGGAGATAACGCGGGGCTGCGTCACTCTCTTGTGATTGGGTCAACGTTTCAATCCCTCCACCCTCTAGGTACGTATCTTGCCATGCCCTGGTCTCTCGTCCCTTCCAAAGACCCAGCTGTGCCAGCCAACCTCTTTCATGATGCCCAATTTACAACGACGCGATGGTCGAATCCCCTTCGCGTTCTATCATCACAAATGTTGAGGACACGAATTTGGAATTCTCGCATTTCAGAGAACCTTTTACTTTGCTATACTCTGCCTACCTACATACACCGATACTATGGCTCATTCGTCCTCGACTGTCGACATGCCGTCAGCCGCTGGAGAGACGAGCCTGGCCGTTTCGTCCGCCGGGGAAAGCTGTCGGCAAATCCGCTTCGTCTAATTCGACATCGGATCTTGAAATTAGATGTCACTGCACCGTCCATCTGCGGCATCCGGTGGACCTCATAGCCTTCCCCGCATCCGACGTGCAGCCATGTTGTCAATGGGGCGTCCAGACCTTTTCCATTCTCCCCTCGGACAACATCCTGCCGACATGGATCATGTCGTCGTTCCATATACCCCCTCTTGTTGCTATCTCCAGATGACCGGCCCAGTATCCAAGTCCGTTCCGTTCCACTATCCCCAGACCATCGGCTGTGGGTTCGCCCGCTATCCAGCGTCAAGCTCCCCCTGTCTGGGGTAATAGAGTGCTCTGGTTCCGTCGGGCTGCTTTAGTCCAAGTATTATTTTTCTCCTAGTTTATCGGGCAAGAGTGAGGGCACCGACGCGACAAGCGTCGCGTTAACACCATGACAGGGGATTGGGACGTCCCGGACTTCAGTTCCGAGCTTGGAGCTTTCACGTATCCCCAACGCAGCCAAGCTCTCGGCTCGGATCCGCAATGGCTCGCGAGTCGCTGCGAGCGTAGGATTGGGGAAACAAGCTGTCTCGAACCGTCTCCCAGCCATGCATCTCCGCCTGCACCTGCACAATTCCATCCCACCACATTTTAGCTTGCTCGGAATCCACTTCCCTTCCGCTGCCTCTACCAAGCCGGCATTCCTGTCCTGGCCAACAACCTGAACGAAACATGAAAGAGGGGTGGCCTACGTGACACTTCCAGAGCCCCGTTGTTTGTCGTCACGGTGGGGTCTAACGTTGAGTCTCGACGTTCTTGGATTTTTTCGCACTCTACCTTCGGCCTTCCTAACGATGGACCATCTCCTCCCTCAGAGGCATCGTTAACTTTTCGGGCTTCTTCCTCAATCTTACCGATAGCGCTCCTTGAGTTATCTCATCACCGTGATACCTCACACGATCCCCCATATTATCTTACCGGTGTCCGGAAAGCTGTGGTTTTCCCAGATACGTATAGTACCAAACCATGGCCGTCATCAAGGGTGAAGCCAGGCAAGGCTCAAACGATGACGCTGGCATCGCCGCACAAGAAAACACTACTCCTCGCACAATTTCAACCCGCCAAGCCAATAAACAGCAAGTAAGGCATAGAGCGTCTGTCGCGTGCGCGTCCTGCCGAGACAGAAGAATTCGTTGTGTAGTTCCAAAGGACGAGTCAGAGTGCATTCAGTGCAAAAAGGCCGGTAATGAGTGTGTTATCAAAAATGATGATGAGCGGCGGCGGTAAGTAAATCCTGGCGCAAGATGTGCTTATCTGTCTTCTTTCTCATTCGAAATGCTGACAATGTCACTAGACCGATCTCGAAGGCATACATGTCGTCTTTGTCCGATCGCATCGCGATGCTCGAGGGCATGCTGCAGGAAAGAGGTATTCAACCTCCTCCAGCTGTGCATCCTCCCAGAACGAGACACGAGACGCAGCAGCTGTCAGAAGAACCAAGGGAGCAAAGGCGATTTCCACTCAAGGGATCAATTGTCCCTGAGGTGCCGTCGCCTCCGGACTCTGTAAACGATGACTACTCGGTACAAGACAGCGATCAGGCTGAGAATGCATCAACCACAAGCCCCTGCTTCCATGCTTTGGCAGACGAAAAATTACCGTTCCGTATGCTGGACCCAACACACGAGAACGTCGTTCGCAATCTTCTATCGACGAGAGCGAATCTTTCATTTGATCAGCTGTCTGGAAGACTCCGCTTCTTCGGCCCGACGGCCAACTCTCACGTTTACTACGCCGATACCAGCGACAACTTCCAGTCTCGTGAGCCATCAGAGCAGATTCGACGTGCTGAGCGCATTATTCGGACACTGACAGCTGCAACTCATGATTATCTTATAGACAACTTCTGGACGCACTACAACAGTGTGCTCAAAATCATACACAAGGAATCATTCGAAACTGATCGGGAGTCGCAAAGCCCGAAGTTCTACTCGTCGTTTCTGCATATCGCAATCTTGGCCATGGGTTTTCGATTTGCCAATGTCGATCGTGACGATATGAAGAGGATAGCCCTAGGAAACCGGGAGAGTACGTTGCATAGAGAGGCCAAGTACATGCTCGACGTTGAACTCGAGAGACCAGGTGGGTTACCCAGCGTACAGGCTCTCCTTCTTCTCAGCGACCTAGAATGTGGCGTTGGTCGAGACAACACTGGCTGGATGTATGCCGGTAAGTTGAGCGTGTGCCTTCTTTTTCAAAAACTAGAAGTGATTTTTTCGTACAGGGATGGCCAACAGGCTAGCTTTTGACATCGGGCTCCACTTGGACTGCCGCAACAGTGGTTTTGACGAGCAGGAAGGTGATATTCGCCACATGGTGATGAGAGCCTGCGTGATATACGACAAGTATTGGTCCTTGTTCCTAGGTCGGCCAACGAGCATCAAAAACCAAGATGTGGGCATGGATCTCCTGTCACGGCGTTTTTTGCAGCTCACGTCGCTCATGGGAACGCCAGGGCCCTCGAAAAAAGAGAACCAGACTGTGGAAATTTACGACCAGCTCGTCGAATTGATGGAGCTTGCAGGTCGTATTGTTGAAGCTAGCGACAGCAGACAAGCACCTAAGAACTCTCCTGAGAGAGTTAGAGCAGTCATTGCTGGCCATGGTGATGGCGAAGACAACGCATACCTTCAAAGCACCAACCTCGATCGCCAATTGCAGAATTGGTACAGGCGGTTGCCAGAACATTTGCAGTGGAAGCCTGCCAACATTAAGCATGCGCCGTTCAGCTACTTTCTTCTACACCAGCAGTACCATGTCTCAATGATATTACTTCACCGCCCGTGGGCAAATTACGATGAAGTTTATGGCGAAAGCAGTACCGCTGATGGAAACCTTACGCCTAATTCTAGCTCCGACTCCAAAGACGTGTCTGGCCAGTGTCACTCCAATCATTCTCCGGGAACGGGCATGTCACAACCACGTCCAGACACCGGCAGAACGGCGTCATCGCGCAGCGTCTGTAGTTTCCATGCGATTCGAGTAGCGAGGATATTCTGGCAACATCGACAACGATTCGACGGTACCAAGATTTTTATCACCGGAATTCAGCACGCCGGCACAGCAGCTATCGCCTTGATTGCGGCACTGACACATCACCGCTGCGAATCTGATCGGCGGACTTACCTAGGATACCTCGAGATTCTGGCTAGCGCCATGAGCGACATGAGCCAGGTTTACCAGCCAGCGGCACGTATGGACAGTCTACTTAAAGCGGTGCTTGGAAAACTCCGGACTGACAATGACAATCTCGGCGGCGTCAGTAAGCCGCCAGTCATATTGACGGGCAGTGAAAAGACTTTGCTTTTAAGCCCAGCCTGGAGGGGCAATACGGACAGCATTTACTCTGTCCTACCAGCGAGGCGTGAGGCAGAAGTTGGTGACAAGCAGCCGAACAAAAGACGCCGGCCATCAACAAGCAGCCGAAGGGCGTCCGAAATCGCTCGCCCGCCCTTGCCCTTCTTCGGCGCGAAGACACAATCATCGACGCGCAGGTCATCACAGAGCAACGTGTACGCAAAAGTTCATTCTCCCTTGGATCCAGCAGCATACAGTACGGGCGGGGACGATCATCAGCTATTCAATCTGGACTTTCTGCATGGCTCGGCGATAGAGAATGATAGAGAAGAAGACGCTGCCGATGTCAAGAGCAAACCCACCGAGGATTGTATATTTGTTTCGCCGCTGCCCAACAGCTGGGCCCAAGACAACACGAGTAACGGTAACACATCGCCGCCCCAGAAGACGAATCTCGGGTATGGTGGGCTGGAATTGAATGACTGGGATTCTGGAACGTCCGGGATCGGTCTTGAATCAATGACCAGCTTCCAAGCCAGCGGAGGAGGGAGCAGTAGCCGGGAAACCCCACGAAAGGCTCCTAAAGATGAGCTTGGTCAAATCACTTTCAAGAACGAGGAAAAGGACACGACAAGGACTCATCGAGGTTTCGGGCCATTTGGACACGGAGCAATGGACTGGATGGGTACTGATGGTGATCTGGACGCCTTGACCTCTGTGAGTCTCATTGAACTGGTGCAGAGCTCAATCGCCGGCAAAGGAGACAGGCATCCCGCGGACGATGCTCCGAGAAACCATGAACTGGACTTTCTGAGCCTCTAAAGTCATGTTTTCTTTTGGGAATCGACATCAATTTATATCGACTTATTTGATTTCCGCCTCTCTTTTTTTTTTTTTTTTTTTTTTTTTTTTTTTGATTTGGTGTGTTGATTGCTGTTGTCGTTGTGTGCTCGTGGCTCAATTTTGCTGCAGCTACGCGGGCGGGCCCACCCGTTTTTTTTTTTTTTTTTTTTTTTTTTTTTAAACTCGACGTCATTTCATTCTTGATTTTGGCAGTGGATAGGGAGTTGGGTTTGTGTCACTCTCTACCTTCCATTGTCCACAGGCTTGCTGTTGCCAGAGTTCTTCTTTCATAGCTGTACAGGATTTTTTCAAGAGCCAGCGTATCTTGGGCTCGAGTATAATTTAATAGATCGAGTCTTCATCCAATAACTATCAACCAGAATATCTCATGTACCCCCAAGGCTCTTCTCAAAGTCTCGAAATCACCACCAGGGAAAAGTCTCCCCTTTGAACGGCCTCAAAGGCATCTACAAGCTGCACGCTGCAAAGAGCTTAATGCGCCGTGAAGCCACCATCGGCAACCAAACCGGACCCCTGCATGTAACTACTCATATCAGAGGCAAGAAATGCAATACCTGAGTAGTTGTCCATCGCGTCAGCTACAAAGATACAAAACGCCACGACCAAAGAGGGAAAGACGTACAATCAGCAATCTCCTCTGGCTGTCCCAGACGTTGTAGCGGCGTACTCTCGATATACCGACTTAGCGGGCTCCCCGCCTCTTGGGGAAAGCGGTCGCTGATCGGCGTCTCGATCCAGCCTGGACATATGGCGTTGATGCGGATGCCGCGACGGCCGTAGTTATTGGCGTCGCTCTTTGTCAAGCCCATGATTCCTAGCAATGTCTCGTTAGTACAACGGGGTTCGCATCGTGTTGTGCTTTTCCAAATGTCTCTGCGACTTGCCGTGCTTTGCAGTCGAATATGCCGTCTGGGCCATGAACACCGAAGGCGAGACGATGCCAAATATGGAGGCCACGTTGATAATGGCGCCGCGTCCTCGTCTCATCCCGAGATCCCTTGACACAAAACCCAATTAGTCCTATATGACAAATCAAAACGCTTCGAGTTGTTAATAATAAAAAAACACGACATGCAAAACACGCACTCTTGGTTCAGCATAACCTTGATCTCCTCCTTCTGACACCGCCACACGCCATAAAGATCAACATCCACAATTTTACTAAACTCCTCCTCGTCAATCTCGTGCGTCAGCTGGCCCGCGCCCGCGATTCCGGCATTATTGACAGCGACATCGAGACGTCCGAAGCGGGATACCGTCTCCGCGATGCCGGATCTCACCTCCGAGGCGTCGCGGACGTTCAGCGGGAGCGCGAGGACCTCGGTGTTTGGGTACTCGCGGCGGAGGAGCGCTCTGGTAGCCTCGAGGGCTTCGAGATTGATGTCTGTGAGAGCGAGGCGGGTCATGCCGTTTCGAGCAAACGAAAGGGCTGTCTTTTGGCCGATGCCTGGACGTTTTTTTTTTTTTTAAGTAATGTGAACGAGGGCCTCTCTCCACTGACCGAGGACATGTATGCTGTCCATAGTCTGCACCATCTGGATAGGTGTTGTTCAACGTACCTGAAGCCGCGCCGGTTATGAAAGCCGTACCCCGGAGAAGAGACGCCATGGTGAAGTGCCTTGTTCGATGATTGTCTATCTATGCATTTTCGACAATGGCGTAGAAGTGCTTTTAAAAGGCTTGTAACTCGTTGACAAGATGGCATTTGTCTAGACAAACATGGAGAGATAAGATGGACCGGTGAGACATGTTGCTTTGCTTTGCATATGATCTCTCATCTCTCACCAAGGAACATCGGCAGCAAACGTCCTTGGCGGTGACATTATGTGAAAGTGAGGCGCGGACATCGCGAAGAACAATACCCACATTAGCTTCCTGCGCGGTTCTACCTAGTCATACACATGTCGGTCCGCAGGACAAGGCAATATGCCATGTATGGGCAAAAGTCGGGCTGACATTGAGGTTATCGCCTTCAAGCCGCTTCCTGCATAGTCACGCCACTTTCAAGACCCTTCTTCTCAACTCAGCAGGTGTCACAGACAAGTCAAAGTATTGAGGGGTTGAGTGGGGCTGAGGCCTTTCGGTCAAGACCAACGTAGCCGCTGTCCCATATGACGGTCGTTCGCATTACCACCTTTCACATACGCCATATCTGGAGGGTTTGATAAAGATAATATCCTTAATGATATACTAAGTGCTAATGCTGGATTATCACTTCGACCTGTAGAAGTATTGACGCGCTATTGTCAACTTCCCCTTGACCCGTGCTGCCTGAAAGAAGGAATTTGACCCGTCCTTATGCATCCGCAGTTCCAACAACAGAAAACAACGCTTGTAACATGGAGCATCAATCACAGTACCCACTCACTAGCTTTTAGAAGCCAACACTTGTCGACTTTGCTTAAACATTAATGGAAAAGGTTCAACTTCGAATTCCAGTAGGTTGCGCATCCGAAGGGTAGCAACTCAAACCGCAAGGTTTGAAACTTGTCGGAGGAAAGACGTAGGAAGCCACCCACCGAGACTCACGCCATTAAAGATGCCAAGTGCCATGCCCAGTCGTACATAGAGAATTCAAGCGACCTCCGACCCAGAGAACAATAAGGTGGAGGATCGCGAGGACCACGCTTCCCCGTAAGCCCCAGGCCCAAGGCAGGCCGTTCGACAGACGTCTCCCGGTTTCCCGCTCATATGGTGAGATCGGTCGCGTGCCAGCGCTGGCGAGGCCAAGATCAAGAGCAGCTAGAATCACCAATGGCGTCCCAATATTTGGGTTGACTACGTACGGCCAGCACGGACGTGTCAGGCTGAGCATTTTGCTCAGAAAGAAGCCGAGTCGCACAACCGCTAACAGAGGTCCGGCATTGTAGCGCATAAGCTGGCTTGCTCGCAGCCGGCTGATCATAAGTCTATGACGCAAGGCTTCCAAGGGTGTAGCAGGAGGTGGCATCAGGAGTGGGGGTGAATTCAGAGGCTCGTCTTTCAGGGAGTCTACACTCTCATCTCGCTCAGGCGTCGTGCGAATGAAGCTGTCTTGGCTGCGTTGAGCCACCATTACCTGGGCTTGCGGCCGCAGCCTCGGGGAGCTTGAGTCCGACTGTCTCCGTAGGCCTGCCGGCGTGTCCGAGCTGGGAGAGCCGTTGTCTGCTGCCCTGCTAGGGATGTTGTACCCTTCCTGGGACGAGGAGAATCTCGCCTGCTTTTGGGGATCTGCGACCGAGTCAGCTTGATAGATTGCGTAATCTCTAGAGGGTTATGAGCCACGAACCTGGCACAGGGGTGCTTGGGGGGATCGGAGAGTCTAGGCTCTGTATCCGGCGTCCGTTGATGCCAATGGATGGACTTGAGCTCCTACCTCGAGTGACGCCTTCCATGGTCGACTCCGTCTTCATGGCTGATAAAACTTCACTCGCGCTAGGACGCTGCGACGGATCTAGGGCAAGAAGCTTCTTGAGAAGGTGGTACAGCTTTGACGGAAGATCCGGGCGTTCTCTGCGTTCATCTTGGAATCCCTGCCAGTCTGTAATCTCTGCGCGCAACTCGTCAATGTCTTCAAGCTCCTCGTTGATAGTGTTGGCACTTCGGTATGGCAAACGGCCGAAGCACATAAAGTAGAGAATCATGCCGAGGGAGAAGATGTCGGATTTTGTAGTAAAATTACCATAGCGCCCGGTCGAGTCTTTCCTCAATACCTCTGGAGCGCAATAGGAGATGGTTCCAGTTGATCCAGTGGACTTGCGGACCATGTTCTCGGATTGAACCTCGCCGAAGTCGCTGATCAGGCAGATGATCCCGCTGCCTTCTCGATGTAGCAGACAATTGCTCGGCTTCAAGTCGCGATGGATGTAATTGGCAGCATGAAGGTATGCCAGTCCAGAGGTGATGTCTTTGAAGAGCGAGTAAATCTCCTCAAAAGATAACAATCTTTGCGAGGCGAACTGGTCCCGGGGCAGTTCAAGCTGACCTTTCGATTTTCGGCGCATCTGGGCCTTGAGCTGCTCCTTGGTCGTTTCCTTGGGTTGGTCCCCGATGATATAGTTGAGCAGGTCGCCGCCATTACAGTATTGCTGCAGAATGAAAGCGCATGCCACGCTGGGGCCGAACCGAGTCAATTTGACGTCCTCGAGCCAGACATGACGGTAAGAGACCAAATTTGGGTGAGAGAGCTTAGCGAGCAACTCGACTTCAATGAGAACTATCGGGATTCCAGTGTCAGCATTCAGTTTCAAACAAGAGCAGCGCATGCACTTCTTACCTTTTTCCAACCACGCGTGATCATCTCCTACAGGCACGCGCTTACACGCAAAGTGGCCTAGCCATCATCAGCATCTCGACAAGAAAATCCAGTACTCGAGGCCCATACCAAGTTGACAACCATCAATTTCGTGATGGACGAGCAGCACCACGCCTTTACCTCCACGCCCGAGTTCCTTCTCCTCGACGAAGAAGGTTTTGAAATAATTAGGACTAAAAGCCTCGCGGCGAATGCGGCTGCCCTCATGGACCGAAGGTGTACTCGAAATGAACTCTGCATCCTCGGCTTCCTCTATTACAGCAGCTTGCGGGTGGGGTAAGCTTGGTTGCACAATGCGACGAATGGGGCTTGGCGGGGGATGGTGGTCGGCACGAGAGTCGTGGCCGCCGGCTCGGAGCATGCGAAAGTAATTCGGGTCGACAAAGGAGTCATGATGGCGAGCGCTATCGAACTGACGTTCCGGGGAGCTTGATCGCAAGGGCTGACGGCACGTCGGGCACTCGGACAGGCCACGGATTTCGAGTCTCTGGGAGGAACGGTCACGAACTACTATAGCGTTGCGGTGCCGGCTATGGAGAAAGGGTAGCACCGTCAGCGAGGTCTATTGTCCGGGGAAGGGGAAGTAAGATGGAGGTAAACCAACAGGACGATTTCGCGACCCTCACGCGGTTGGTATGGGATCAGCGACATGCTGGGTCGATTTTGGTATGCTACTATGGGGCCGTCGGGCCGACAGGAAAGCTGCGATCGTGGCCCAGACCAAGGGCAGCTATGGTGTTTGATTGTTCGTCAGACGCTAAGGCTACCTTAGTCGGCAGATTGGGTACGTCGTTGCTGTTAGGGAAGCGGCATGAGCTGCGACGGCCAGCGCGGGCCTATTGAAGAGGTTTGTGAAGACTGAGAAAGCTTCCACAGGCTTCTGGTGCAAGATAAGCCTCCTAGGTGAGTCAGGGCAACGCCCAGTTCGAGGTGGTGTTATGGTAGTGTCAAGATGAGGAGTGCAGGTGAAGTAAGGTGATGAGGGGTGTGTGCAAGTGGGAAGGTGCTTTTGTTGACATTGAATCCTAACCTAAGTGACCTCACACTGTCTGTGGAGCCACCCAAATACCCCACGTGCCCCGCTCCGGAGCGCTCGAACCGCTCTGTGGGGCGCCGATGACTGCCGAACCAGAGGAACCCACACTGTGCCTCCTTGCGTCGCGCTGAGAAAACCAGACAAAACGAACAATGCCCAGCGAACTCTAGGTGGGCCTTGTTTGTTATGGCCAACACAATATTCAGTTGCCATGTGGTACACTACTATTGTAGAGCACTAATGATACCCCAAGCTATGAATGATAGACACTTCATAGTCCAAGCTAGCAGCCCGCTGCGAATGAGCCGTAAGACAGCCATGTCTCTCGTCGTTTGACCGCCTTGTTGAAGGTGTCAGTCGAGTGCACGATATTTGCTATGACAAGGTAAGTAAGAGCATGTCTTGCAATGCGAGTCGCTACACGCTCATCGGGGTCGACAAATTTTATCAGCAGCTTCACTTCAAAATATGCCAAATTGTTATGCGAAGCATTTGAATCTTTCTCAAAGACAAGACAAGCCTCTCACATAATCTTAGCTCGCCGTCCCAGTGCAGTTCAAGGGATTGGTTCCAAATGCAGTTAGCAATAGTCTCCTCATGAAAAGCTTGAGACTTGTGTCACAACCCGTCGTTGTATCAAAGACTCGGGAGACCGTTGACTAGTGAGCTCCCCCTTGCCAGACACGACGATCCTCTCCCACTCCATCCAACTCCCCGCCCCCCGGCAAGCGGGCAAGCGGAGTGGTATGACCATTGACCAGGGCCGGATCCGGCGCAGTCACACTGCTCGGGCCTGCCCCCAGGGGTTCGAAACCAAAAATCTCCCGCCGCGGCATATTCCCTTCCTTGGACGGGAAGAAATTCGTAGGTATTATATCAACAAGCAAGCACCTGCGGTCTCGTCGCGCTCACATCCAAAACTCCGGTCCAACCCTGCCGTCCTTTCCCCCAACCGCTCAATCCGAAAGGCGTTGATGTGTCAACGCAAGGTCTTCATCCACCACCGGTGTGGCCACAAGGTCACCGAGCTCCTCGAGCAGTGCGAAGCCTTTGAGTGTCCCGGAATCACCCAGAAGCCCATCATCAGCAACCGCTATACCTGCATCGTGCGGAATTGTACGTGGTACGGCCAGTTGTGAGGGAGGCGAAGAGAGGAAGAGAGAGAGAGAGAGAGAGAGAGAGAGAGAGGGTGGGCTGATGAGGCGGAGTTTCTCATATGTAAGTGGCCGCTCACCCGTGGTGTAGCAACCGAGGACGGTCCTGACACCACTAAGGCTCTGACTTTAGCGTCAAATCACCTTCTCACGAATCCTACCAGCTGTCATCGTTGGTCTTGTACACACGGCTGTGCCCGTGATTTTGCGTATTGCGGGTGAAGGTTAGTCTCACAACTTCCAAGAAACCAATGCGACTGGGACTGTCACGTAGCGGCCTGAGCAAGACCTGTCAGTTGAAGAGTAGGGCAACAGAATAATCACGGCAGCGTAATCTCGCTCAATTCTTGTGGAGATGAGATTATTGTCTCATTATCTGGGATATAAACAGGAAACCAACAAAGCTTACAACCATTTGGATTTGTCTAAATCCGTATTCAGCTCGTATATTCAGTTGGGATAGCCCCATCAACTCGACTTCAACATATAGAAATCTCAGCTACCTTAACCCCTACCTGAACGTCCAATCCTAGTCCCGCTTGTGCCTTCCATTAACGACGTGCATCTCTAGTAGCGTCGTTGAGCACTAAAGTGATCCATCGCGCAAGCGCGCCTATTAGTCTAGTGCAAATGAGGCAGCTCGGCATCGGTTAAAAACTGCCCTGTTGCATCAAGGGACTGTTGAAAGGTCAATGAGAAGCATCATTTCGTAGTTGTCTTTTTAACGATTTTGATAGTTTTTAGCCAATTAGAATTCGAAAAGAGAGCGCACTCTCGTTCGAAGGGTATCATATATCCAGATCTAGCTCCTGTGGTATCAAAAACGCCCGACTTTTAAGTCGCCTGAACAGTCCTTTGCGCCCCAGAAAAAACACAGTATGAAATGAAGAGCCACTTGTGGACGAAAATCAAAAGTTATAAAAAAAAAAAACGCCACCAATCAAGTGAGGAAGGAGGCCAACGTGCATGCACGCCAAGGAAAAGTATACGGGTAGCCATGCCGCCGATGGGGACACACCATCGTGACGAAGCCCTAGCGAATATCTCGATCGTGCAGAATCTGCCACTTGCGATGGGATAGGTTGATATGCGCCCTCAACGCGTCAGCGGATTCGTAGTTGTCTGTCGTCCCCGTCGGCACGCAGAGACAGCAGGCAAACACGTTCCTATCAGTGTGCGATTTGGCGAGGAAACGGCTCGACATTCGGAAACCGTCCTTCAGGACAATGTAGTCCTTGTTGCCCGGTAGCAGGGGGTTCCATCGGTATCCGCACTTGCATCTCTTGGGGCCGTCGGGGATCGGCTTGGAGAGATCGACCTGGAGTGTAATGGCCTCGGGACAGAACATGCTGAAGACGCTGACTTTGGGGCTGAGGAAGGCTGAATCGGTGGTGCTGGTGGTGCCCGCTTCGGAGGGCGCAAAGATGGATACCGCGTCGCTGACGACGGCTTTGGGAGTGGGCGGAGTTGGCGGGGGCGAGGGAGGTTCTGACTGGAACGGAGCTTGGTCGGTGCTGATGGTCATGGTCGTCGACATATCATCGTCTTCTTCCGCATGGTCTTCGTCGTTGTCCTCATCCTTGACGGCACTGCTGCGGTTGTTGTCTCGCGAGCTACCTGAGCATCGCGAGGCGGGCCGGGTCTGCCGCGAGCGGGGCTTGGGGATGGGGAGGTACTCGGGGATGTCTGGGCGTCCGGCAGCGAGGCGATGATACAAGGCGGCGAGGGCCTGGACTGAGGCGATCCTCACAGACTCGGATGTCTGTATAATATCTGAGATGTTGAGAAGACCGGTCAAGGTTGATTCGCCGGAGACCCGGCGTAGGTGGGAAACCCGACTACTGAGGTTAAACAGCTGGTTGGAAAGCATGTCCCGGCTTGATGCTATTGATACCGCTGTTAGTAAGGCTGCGGACAGATGGACACGGGTTGCGACGACGAGGGTCGATGGTGGAAACTCACTGTCGCCGGTGGAGAAGTCGGTACCGACTAGACCAGTCGCAATGTCGTATGTCTCCTCAATCTGATTTCTCGCAAGCTCCAAAGAGATGCTTAAAGCACACGTAATGACATCCCTTCGAACACCCGACTCTGATTTCCGACAGTAGTGATTCCCGAGTGTGCGTTTCCTCTTCCAGTGGATGTAATGCTCTGTGCCCTCTGCGTATAACTCTTTGAGAGCTGACACGGCCCCATCGACTGTGGTTGCCTCCATTATTGTCTCGTCACATTGATGGCATGATGAAAAAGGTGCCGAAAATAGGAACGTGAAGAGACTAACTATCGAAGGGAGTAAGAAGGATGAGGGAGAGAGATAGTCAGGGAGGGAAGGGATTAAGAACGGCAGCCAGTGGAAACCGGAACAGGAAAAGCAAGTTGGCGGGCGGCGGCCGGGATGAGCTGAATGAACAGGGCGAGCTGAAGGAAGGGAGAGCTTGAGACGTGGGCGAGGGCAAACAGACAGTGCTTATCGGCAGATGGAGAACACGACTCAGAACAAGCTTCAAGCGAGACAACAGATCGAGGGGTGGATTACCAACAGGTTGGGGCCATAGCCGCGAAACGGGCACACGTGTCTCTCACTGAGGTGGGTTTTTCCTCGTTTCTTTGATGCTTTGACTTTCGAGGGTACCAAGTAAAGACTACAGAGCAAGAAGGGGGGGGGGGGCTCTCGCTCGGGCTTCTTGGATCGACAGGAAGCCAGGGAGGAGACGGGGGAGATCGGGCGTGGAGCTACGGACACTAGAGCAGAGAGATGGCCGGGCACACTTTTTGAGCCAATGTGGCGTTGGTTGGTGGACGCCAGGACGCCAATCTCACGACTCGAGGTGCACGTCGTCCGAACGGGCGCACGGGAACTCGAGGGGCGGGTAGCCGACATGACAAGAGGCGTGGGACGGGCGTGGGCAAGGACATGCATGCCTGTCAGCCCAGTTGGCCAGAGTCATGTGCGACGATCTGTGGATGTAATTTTTGTCCATACCGCCGACGCTCGGCGGATGATGATGGTGTATGCATGCTGACGATGCTGCACTCCGTACCCGTGGTGGAAATTGGAAATGGAGAAGGGTTCGAGGAGGGCGAGAATGTTTGCTCTCGTTCGGAAGGGACCGGCAGATTTTCCCCATATGCAGTAATTCGCTACTGAGTAAACGTACGGTAAGTAAGTAAGAATAGGGAAAGCGATTGGAGAGACCCCGGACAACTAGCTGTGCCAGACAAAGACGGCCAGGATGAATGCAGGGCAGGCAGGCTGGGTCATGGGAGGGCCAAACAAAAGTCGCTTCTTTTCGTTCGTAAATATTGTATTGAACCGAGGCGAGTCGAGGCGAGTCGGAGGATCCCACGCGTGTGGTTCCAACTGGCAATCCGCTGCTGTGCCTGCCGGTTCTTCAACCAAACCACACAATCCTTGATTCCCTGATGACAAAGTGACAGGGGAACAAGTCAATAACACAAGAAGGGCAGGCTTCCCTGCCGTTGGGAGTTTCGTCTGAATGATGACGACGTGCAGGGGTCCCGCAAGAGTTCAGACGTGTCATTCGCGTCAAAGAAAGATGGGCTCAGATGGCACCTTGGGAATCAAATGCGACAGCGCCGTCTGTGCTCAAGCTTGGGGGGCCACTATGGAGAACGGGGGGGAGCCTGGAGACCGAACGGTCAGAACCCAGCCGATTCGCAGAACCTCGACAGGAAATCGACGGCCTGTCCTGCTCAGTGCTGTACGAGACCCGTTCTGTCCCTGGCAAGCCTGAGTCTACTATGTAGTTGGGCACTGGCACTGGCACTGGCACTGGCACTGGCACTGGCGTTGGCACTGGGCAGAGGCCAGCTGTGCGGGAAATGAGCTCTCGTTTCCATCGAAAAAAAAGGCTGAACAGGAAATTAGCGTGCTGACTGGGCGGGCGCTACGCTTCCCTAGCACCCCGGTGGAGTCGATCCGTCAAGCATCGGCTCATCCGGCGAGCCGGCCCCGAAGTGGACTCTCGGTCTCCCGGCTTGCGATTGGCCCACCGCCGCAAGCCGTCGCTAAAAGTTACTTTCAAAAGGTACCTCAGCTCCATCAAAGGGTCCTCGACTCCTCCCCCGCGGTCCTCGACGAGACAGCAAGACATGCACACTCTCCACGCCACATGCCTGATCATCACCGTTCCATATCCGCATCGAACCGCCAAGCATCTCTCAAAGACAGGTAGCCTACGGCTTGAAAGCCACGCCACGCCCAACCACTGTCGTGGTGCCTTCATCTACACCTCTTACGTACGTGCCTGGGCAAGCCACTCCTACATCCGGTCTACACAGGACTCAGCTCAGCGCTTTCACACACCCAAGGCAAAAAACGTGGCCTGACCAACATGCTTGGTCGGGAACGTCAAACACGCCAGAGCTGCGACCGGTTCTACGCTCACAAGCTACGTTGTCTAGAATAGTCTGGCAGCGCCATCTGTAGCTCTTGCTCCAAGGCTGGAGCCGTATCATGCGTTGACTACAGCCCCTTGGGCACGCTACCCGCGTGCCAGGACCTGGCTGCATTGCCCGATGATGTCCTACCCCTTTTAAATGGCGCGGCGGATCTCGACGGGGGCAGCTTCTCTTTCGATGACATCCTGCCTGGGCTTTCCCGTCGTGCAGCACTGCGATGTTGCCTCTCGCCCAAATAAAGCGCCGGTGCCTCAGATCCCGGCCGATCCCTCCGGTCTAATTGCTTCGGACAACTGTCTACCACTACGGCCACACTAGATAAGACCTTGAGGGGTCTCCCTCCTGTTGACAAATATCACACTTCGGGCCCCGATTCCATGAATTACTATCTTGAGACATCTAAACAGCACAGCCATAAGGAATGGCTGGAGCTGTTGCCCCCCGAGACCCAGAAGCTCGTCGACGTGTATCCCAAAGCCGTACAATTAGCCTTGGAACAGCATCCGGCCCCCGGCTGCACCGTCCCAAACTGTATACACACGTACAAGCCCATCCCCGACCTCGACGATGAGCCCTTTGCGAGACGGCGCAGTTGACGTCGAAGATCGAATACCTGCTACTCAACCTCCTGCTCTGCTACCATTATCGGTGTGCCGATGTCATAGAGCTCGCCCTCTGCAATGTTCGGTTCTGTCTCAGGTTCCTCATCTGCGCTGGACGAGATGGAGAGAAGTTGCGCCCAGGAAGGCCGCATACTTTTGCTACAATCCGAGCTACTTGCAGAAAGAGCAAATTCGACCGTAGGCCGTCTTAAAAGGTCGAGAGGTACTTCCAGCAATGTCTCGCTTGGATTCAAGCAACTCCGACCGGTCATTGATGTGCCAACGACGTAGACGACCCACCGACGGCTGGGCTTGGTTTTATTGAAGCCAAACATTCATATCGATCATGTCGAGATGACGTTGGGACACTGGCCAAAGAGGAAGGATGCATGTCTTCCAAGTGTCGTCCTCCGTTCGTGCGTCGGCAGTTCTGACGATGGCATGGGCAGCCCCTCCATGACAGGCTTCATGACCCCTCCTCCCTGAACTCGTGAACACCTCAAACACGCATCACAGGTGACCTGGAGTTGAATCGAACCATGGAACGAGGCCAGTTTTATATATGCCGAGATGCGTGGTGATATAGAAGATGCTCCTCACTGGTCGAGTGACTTTAACCGCCGGCTGTTCTGTCAACGGTATGTCAACTTCAATAAACCATTGCGTCGAAAGACTATGATTACTTCTCCCAACAGGATTAGCAGATGACTTCTCTCTAGCTGCTCATCACCTACAATATTTTGGCCAATCCTTCGTGTATAAGACTTCATCGCCCGGGTGTTCTTCGTTCTGCTTTTGAGGACAACTTCTTTATACCCGTTCCAATAGTCCTGTCACCTACAGCTGAGAACTAGCAACAGTTACCAGCCATATCTCTGAGTCAAATATCAAGCCTCAATCTCACAATGAAGATTTATGCGGTTATTCTGATACTGGTGTCTGTTGTCTCGGCTCACTGTGCGTAGATTAGAGCCCAGCCTGACATCAAACCTTGAATCAGAACTAATAGCTTCGTAGACGTCTTCCCTTCCGTCACCTACAATGGCAGGACCACCAACGACTGGGAAGTCGTTCGCAAGACGACAAACTTCCAGTCCAACGGACCTGTCACAGATGTAACCAGCTCACAGATGACATGCTACCAGCTCGCGCCTGGCAATGAGGGAGCCACGATCCTTGATGTCACAGCCGGGTCAACCATCGGTTCGTTCAGGCCTTCTTCCCAGCATTACACATATCTAGACTAACACTCGATAAACAGGGTACAACGCCAAAGCATCCATTTCCCATCCCGGGCCCATCAACTTCTACATGGCCAAGGCGCCATCCGGAACAAGCATCATCAACTGGGACGGCTCCGGCAAGAACTGGTTCAAAATCTACAGTGACGGCCCCACAGTCACTTCCAGCGGCTTAACGTGGCCGACGAATGGTATGAATCCTCTCTCTCTCTCTCTCCACTCTTGAGAAGAAGGGTGGTCCCTAACCGGAATGTGGGCCTCAAAGGCAAGACAGCCATCAACGTACAGATCCCAAAGTGCATCGAGAACGGCGAATACTTCCTCCGTGTCGAACATATCGCTCTGCATAGCGCCAGCAGTGTCGGGGGTGCCCAGCTATATATCTCTTGCGCTCAGGTCCGGGTCACGGGCGGCACGGGCACGTACAAGCCGAACCTCGTGTCTTTTCCAGGCGCTTACAGTCCCAACGACCCCGGCTTGGTTGTTAATATCTACTACCCTGTACCTACTGACTACAAAGCTCCTGGAGGTGCAGCTTTGACGTGCTGAGTTGTCTGAAATGGGGAGAGGGTGCGAGTGATCCGAGTCTCCCGTTCAACCCAACTGGTGATAGAAAGCGCTCCCACAATCATAGCCTAAAAGGCCACTTTGTTTCTTTCTACAACTACCATTCAAACTCCATTCGCTACAGCGTGAGCTTTTAGGCACACATGTTCCGCGTCAAATCGCTCGTTTGCTGTTGCACGTGACGAAGAACCATCACCTCAAAACCACTGTCCAATAATATAAAGATTCCGATAGTAGAGCTGTTTATCGCCCATCCGTTCCTGCCTCTCCTACACCCAAAAAACCCAGAACGAAGACGATGGTCACAGTTAAGTCATAACCTCGACAGGGTTAACAGCCGACGACCAGTAATATTGATGCGGCCCATAGTAGAAGTTCATCGGAAGGTGACAGTCAAACGGAGCTCCCGAATGCCATCTGATGGCTAAGTAGAGCTAGCTGCAGATGTTGCAGCCTTCCCTTTTCGGCAGATGCCAATCCCCCAAAGCATCGATGTAGCCTCCACAAGGGATCACGCGGAGGGAGTAGGAGCATCGTTAACACTATATATAGGCCCGATGCGGGGAAAGCTTACAAGTTTGCAACCACAACAGAGCGACAGTTTCATCGGCCTTGCTTACTTGTCTTGTGGACGTTGTTCATGACTTGACAATCGGTGGTTTCCAATGAGCTACTGGCTCCTAACTCGGTTCCACAGTTGAAGCGCAGATAACGGAAAGGCTCGCTGTCATGAACTGGATAGCTCTTCAGGAGATAAAAAAACCTTCGTAATATCTACAAGGCGGAACCTAGGAAAGCTAAGGCGCAGAAAAGCTTATGCAAGGGCCGGGGTACCGCGGCCTTCAGGGCCGACGAGGACAAATCCGTATGAGCAAATGGGAGGTATAAGCATCCCTTCCATTTTTGTTTTATTGAAAACGAGGACTTTGTTAAGAGGCCGGCTACCTATGCGGCTGGCAGGGATTTTCTAGCAGTGGCACACAGTCAAAATAGCCGGGCTCTCAACATCCTGGAAGTACTAATAGCAGCTACGGTAAGCGCTGAGTAGGCGCTGAAACAGGCGCTATCTAGGCCCCTGCAGTGATTGGCGAGTACTTGTATATATGAAATTAGGCATTATATACTGGAATATGCACTAGCCGCTGGAAATTAATATATTAAATGCTGAGATAAATAGTACTCAGCTAAGTCCATGCAAACTTATGGTCAAATCTGTGGAATTGACTTGTGTGTGTCTCTCTACCTTACGTATCTCTACCTGCGGAGAAAGCTCTGTGCCGCTCTCACTTTACCCATGATGTTCCAAACCGTGTCTTCGCCGATGGCTCAGCCACCAGCCCCTGACAATCTTACGCAATCAGAGTTCTTGAATGAATTGCGACAAAGGAATTCACGACTGATCATACTAAACCTACCGCTATCATATTTAGAAACAGCGTTTTGACCTGCCGTAGAAACTCGTCAAGCTCGGGTTTGCGCTAGCCCGTGCTCCCATTGTCTCGCTAAGGAGTTTGCCAATAAGGGCCTTCTCTCAGGCTCTCAACTTCACATTACGGCGCAGATGTTTGACGAATTTCTACGGTGAACAGTCCTGCAGTCTGCCGTACCGGGGCCAGCAGCTGACCAGCCTGACATAGACGCAGCGCACGATCTGGCGTAGTTTGACGGCCACACTTAAAGTTCTCATTTATGGAAGGGGAATTATCGCTCATGGATTTGCAATATGGGTCAAAGGTGGTGCCTTTCGGCTTTCCCGGTGCCGAGTTCGATGCTTATGATGAGGAAGCCAATTTGGACAGACTTCGAGCTTGTTAAATAAGTACCCAGGCAGAGAAGACCGTGAGGACGAGAGTTGATCAAATCCTGTCAACCTCTCCTCCGATGGTTCCAACTTGTAAACCATGTTCTTCTTAGGTTCCAAATTGGCTTGCCTCGTGGCAGCAGCTCATGCAGCTGCGACCGTCACCTACAGTGTGCCCGCCAAGGTGAACACGGGTGGTCTGTCGTATGCCCCTCTCGAAGCAGCCCCAGTCGGTCTATCGTGAGTTTCCCTGGAGGTTTCCCAAAGGCCTTACACACCCATGTTTTACTAACCGTCTTGGAAGCTTCGAGTTCTTTGCCTTCCCGGCGTACTTCAAAAATGTAACGGCAACGAACCAGTGCCTCGCCAACCTCAAGGCTTTGACAGGCACCTGGCCCCCGATCCGCATCGGCGGCACCACGCAAGACAGGGCGACTTACGATGCGGCGACGTCAGCGTACGTGGTCTACTCGGTCGCCAATGCCGCCGACGCACCCGCGTCGCTGACCTTTGGACCCAACTTTATGAAGCTGGCTGCGACCTACGCCGGCAATGTCACCCTCGGTCTGAACAGGGGGAAGAACAACATTAATAACACCATTGCGGCGGCCAAAGTTGCCGTGCAGGAGATGGGCAACCTCTTTGCCATTGAGCTTGGGAACGAGCCCGAGTGTAAGTGGAAACTTCAATCCTTTCTTGTTGCCAAACTGACGGTGGATTTTCAGATTGGTCGGGTGTGCAACCCATCGCCGCGGGAGGATGGAATCCCGCCCGGGATGCTGCGTCCCAAAATCAATGGGATATTATCGTCGGCAATGCCATCGGCAAGAAGCAGATCATCCAGGCCGGCAACTCCAACTCTCATCCTCCCGAGTGGGGAGCCGAGGAGCTGATCGCAAGCGGTAATGCGACGGTCAGAGAGTATGTTCAGACGTACGCACACCACAACTATCCCGGAGGGTCGGTGACAGGTTTGATGTCCCATGCGAATATCGCAAGCAATATCCATTTGTGAGTTGGCCCCAACCCCTCCTGGCAAACTTCTAGGCTGATATGATCAGGTTCGACAAAGACATTGCCAGTGCCCTTGCAGTCAACAAGCCGTATGTCTTTGGAGAGACAAACTCTGGTAAGTATAAAGACTCTTCTGCGCTAGCAGCCCCTTGCTGACGAAGAGGAAACAAAGTCTCGGGAGGCGGCGCATTCAGCGTATCCCCAACTTTCGGGGCGGCTCTCTGGGTTATGGACTACGCAGTACGCGCTGCAACGTCCAAAGTCAGCAGGGCCTATTTCCACCACGGCACAATTGGCAACAACCCCTACTCCTTCTTCGGCCGCTACTCCATGGGCAACCCGTACGTCGGAGCTTACGCAGCAACGGCGTTCATGGCTAGCGCCCAGCACGTAGCAGCCCTCGACGACGGGAAATCCGCGTTCGCCGCCTACGTCACCTACGATGCCGCCGGCGCACCACTGCGCGCCTTACTGTACAACTCCAACTACTACAACGGCACGGGGACCAGGGATCCCGAGTCATTTGTGCTCAGCGGGCTGACTGCGGCCCGCGTTCAGAGCAAGCGTGTGACTGCGGCCAGCGCGCTGGCGAGGCAAGATCGCGGCAGCAAGGCATCCTTTGGACAGCAGTACTTCAATGACGGCACATGCACAATTGGGGGCACAGAGACCTTTGAGACGACGATGGTCTCGGGTGGGCAGGCGACTTTCAGCGTCGCGGCCAGCGAAGCCCTCCTGGTCTACCTGCAATAAATGGATAGATGGCATTGCGTTCATGGTCTGTAGTTGTTGTCAAATAAATGGAAAGAAGAGTGAGGGAGTAGACGCATTTCACTAAATCGTAGTATCCGATTTATATACCCCGTTGATTGAATTAACAAATGTGTCTTCATTCATGCAAGCATAAGTCATGATGAAACTTTTCCACTTGCTTGCATCTTCTATTGTTGATCGACATCGAACAAGTTGGAAAACGGGAATTCCAAACAGCGCTTTCCAAAGTGTTTCACGTGCTAATCGAAATCTCTCCCACAAGTAACAAGCTGAGGTAAGTGATGCAAGAAGGCGAGGGAGGGAGGCGCCATCCAATGCTCTAGTCTCTCATCTCAACGTCATTGCTCCCCCTTCCTCCCCAATTTTTCCTCAGCCTTAACGGAAGTACATCGCATTCGAGTCCCTCCCCACCCGTCTTGGCACTTCTTAGGCGGCTCCTCCCATGTCAGTCTGTTAAGCCTCTTTCACTGCCCTTACCACACTCAGACGACAACCTCTTCTCATCTTCAAGCAGTCTGTGCCTTCAAGTTCAGTCTGTTTTTCACATCATCTACATTCACTATCGACCAATTTCTTGGCGGGCGAGATTGGTTATCCTTCAACGCTCATCACCGACTGACTCTCTTTCCCACAGCTCACACACACCTGAAAGATCTGCCAGGCACATACACTACACAGTAGACCTCACCATGGCTGAGAAATACATCCTCCGTGTCACTGCCGGTCCAGGCTACGACCTGGACTCTCAGGTAGAAGTCCCTGTCAACCAGTCCCATCCCACAAAGATCACCAGCGCCCTCGCCGACGTGGAACTCAACGTCCGGATACAAAACTACGCCGGCCTCCCTCGCAACTCGCCCTCTACCTCACCCTACTTCTCCACGGAACCCCACGCCACCAACAACGACCAGTACAGCATCTCCTTTCGCTTCACTCCCAAAAAGCCCGCGGACGCCTCCTCGGCAGACGGCATATCGGCCGAGGACCTGCAGTTCGGCAATGACTTTGACCACCCCATCCGTGATCGCCTTCCGCCGGGCTTCAACACGGCGCTAAACATCGTGAAGTGGTGGATCGATCCCGGCTTGGACGGCGACGCCTATGCCGACGTCCCGCATCTCTACGGCCCCGCGCTGAGCTCCTTCAACATCATTCAAGTGGGTCCCGGCGCCCACGATGAAGAGAAGGGCGGTCTGTGGTTCGAGGAGGGGGGTGACGAGGCTGGTCTCGAAGCGAGAGAGAAGGTCGGCGCGCCGGCCACAGCCAAGGAGCGCATGAAGTGGGCGCTCCGCAAGGACAGCAAGGATAAATGGCTGTTCGAGTACGGCAAGACGTACGGCTTGGACTTCTTCAACCCCTATCTCGACTTTGCCAACCTGGCGTTGCGCTTGCCTGGCTTCCAGCTCGCCATCATGAAGTACTGGGACGGGCAAGGCCTTCGGTGAGTTTCTAACCCTCCCTTGTCTAGTGCCAAATCTGTTTTGCTTCTCTGCGAGTCGACTGTTCCGTTGATTTGTTATTTCTCGCGCCATGGCCGTCACTTTTGACTTGTGCTATTGACTTGGGGGACAACAATATACAGCAACACGAAAACCCCAAGTGGCTTTTCAGCGTGGATGTTTCTTTCCTTTATTTCATTCTTACCAGCAGTAGGGAGGGGGAGCCTAAGCGCTCACATACGCTTAGATACGTTCTGCGGAACAAGACCACTGGCGACGTCTACCTCGTCGTCCTCTTCACGATCCACCTCAAAAGTGATGTGAACGAAGACGGCACACTCAAGGCCGGTGCCGAGGGAATCAAGGCTGGTGATCTGCCGCCGCCTACCAAGGACGACGTCGAGTCCCACGACGAGGCCAAGGCTCTTGAGGAGGCTAGGAAGAAGATGGGTCCTGCTGCACATGAGGCGGAGACCAATGCCGACGACGTGGACTGAAGCGATGGGTCGGACTACGCTTACATGAGAAGCATGAAGCATATATAATCAGGGCCGGTAGATTATTCTTCGCCCAGATTAGATTACATCAGTGGCTACTGGTGAACACGAGCGGTTGGCCGATAGAGAATGGGGAGAGCCGGGCCTAGATATACACTAATAAACAGCTCTTCCTCTCCATCATGTTACCCCAATATCATTGGAAAGGAATTTAACAAGGACTCAGAAGTCTTAGTCAGCTCCACTCACTTGGTCTAGGTAATCAGTCGTCAACAGCAACTAAGGGCAAAACGCATGTCGGCAAGGACTGAGGGCACTGCACGAAACGATCAAGGGTCGTCCCATACTATTTCGGATAACGGCCAGTATTACCTGTATTGCCTCCTTTCAATGTCGATGAGGTGCGCAACACTGTCAAATCAAGAGAAGCAATCACGCTCCGTGTCATTATCTGCTAGGTACCGTTGTGGAGGATTCGGACCAGACTCCAGCAAAGGCTTGGCATGAAGTCATAAGTTGACCAAGGGTCGCTTTTCCTCTCTTTTCCAAAAGTTCAGGGCCCAGGAAGGCCAAAACGGACATTCAATGTGAGGCAAACGGGTAGAAAACTTCTGATCCCTGTCCGCCATGCCGTGGGTGTGACGAGTGCCGCGCCGCACGCCGAGTTGGCACCGGCCGATTTCAGTCCCAAGACACGCCCTCATTTCCCCCCCGCCTTGCAGCGGCCTACAGTCGGAGTCCCCGCTGCCGAGGATGACGGCCGCTTGGCTGCATCGCCGATCGTCATCCGACAATCACCCATATGTCTCTATTCGGCTTTTATCTTGGAGGCTTACCAACAAAGAGCGCGGGTCGACGTGCTACCTATGACACGGCTGACATCCCCTCCTCCTGTCAAGTCGAATCATGTTCAGTCATGTCTCAATCGGCCAGAGGCATTCATGTGCTACTCAATACTACCCCGAATGGCATCAAGCGCTCTAGGTTCGCCCCCCTTCCCAACGTCCACCATCACTCACACCTCTTGGGTTCGAAAACTGTGAACAAGATTGGCCATGATCTCGGATACAATGTCAAAATCCTAGCCGCGGCAATTTTTTTGACGTCTCTGATAGTTTAGCTTGCCTCCAATTGAAGCGGCACAAATACCTGATGAGCAAGAAGCCGCTGCCTACTTCTACGGACCCGAGGAGGAACACAAACGTCCAACTTCTGTGTTCACAGACGGCTCACCCCCACGGCCTACCTTACTAGCAACCTTTATGGTCAAAGTGTACCACCAATGTCGCTCTCTCGGTCACACCAGACGGCGCGTCGTTCCCCACTGAACACCTCTTGGGATACGCAGCCCGCCTCGTGGCCGAGCCTCTATTCCCCATATTTTGTCTCGTACGTGCCACTCCTCCATGTCCAGTATGCCCGGACATTGGCTCGTTGGATAAAGGCTATGCCATCATGAGGCCTGGGACAAAGTTCCCCCCTCTTTCTTGAATCCTCCACAGGCCCACTGGGAAGTCTTGTCTCGCTTACAATAGAAAGCTGACTTCTCAAGACTATTTAAGCTCTTCAAATGTCAAAGGGGCCCATCTTTCTCCCCAGATTTTCTGTTCTTCCGTCCATGTCATCCACCTAAGTCATCATAATCTCAGAGTACCAATATCTACATACCACACATAAGCACATCCACGGGCCCCCTCTCGGGCACATCACGAAAATGCCTCCTCCCAAGGCAGACACGGAGGCTCCCCCCCTCCCTGAGACACACACCGACTCCCGAACCTCGGGCAGTGACGGCGGCAACGGATCCAACGACAACAAGAACGCGGGCGCGGCTGCCGGGGCCCACGCCTCGACCGCCGCCCTCCTCCGCAACCCGCTCGTCGGGCTCACGCACGATGAGATTCTCAAAGACGCCGACAGCTTCACCGAGGCAAAGGGCTTGCAGGAACACCGCGAAGTCTTCCGTAAAGGCGCTCTGGTCGCGCAGGTGATTAACCGACCCGACGGGTTCGAGTCCATCGCCGCCCTCGTGGAGGAAGAGAAGGCGGTTCTCCGGAAAGAAGTCACCCATCGTTGGCATCAGCCTGTGTCACTCTACTTCTTGTGCGCGCTATGTGCGGGATCGGCCATTGGTATGAGAGCCTCTCTGGCCTGGTAGTTTTGTGTGAAAATGCTGATGTATTGTCGTTTGCAGTTCAGGGCATGGATCAGACCGCCGTCAACGGCGCCCAGGTACGTCCCCCTTCTCCAACCAAACATGACAATGCATGCGGTCAGGCTCTAACAATGATGTAGGAGTTCTACTATGAGACGTTTGGCCTCCAAGACGACCCTACAATGCAAGGGCTCGTCAACGGCGCCCCGTACCTCTGCTCCGCCCTCGTCGGCTGCTGGAGCTCCCCCATCTTGAACAAGTATACAGGCCGCCGCGGGACAATCTTCATCTCGTGCTTCATGTCCGTCGTCACCGGCTTCTGGATGGCTGCCGCAGACAGGTTAGGGAACACGCTCCCACCACGACTCCCCATCGTGCACACGATCCGCTGACAACCCTTTGATGTAGTTGGTACAATCTCCTCATAGCACGCTTCTTCTTGGGCTTCGCAGTCGGCGCGAAAAGCAGCACGACGCCCGTGTACTCGGCTGAGAGTACACCCAAGACCATCCGTGGTGCTTTGACAATGATGTGGCAGGTAAGAAGGGGCCTTGATGGATCCGAATTCGGCGTGTAGTTGTGAAACTGACTTGCGTATTCATCCAGATGTGGACAGCCTTCGGTATCGCGCTGGGTTTCATTGTATCCGTCGCCTTCGCCAACACGGATTTTCTGGGAGAAAACACTCAGTGGCGATGGATGCTTGCTAGTACATCCGTGCCGCCTCTAATTGTCATGGTACAGGTAGGAACACGTTTGTTTTCTTTTACTACTTTCTCATTTGATATCGTTCCCTCCGCCATGTCCATTGTGTTCTTCCCTTTTCCCCACTGTTTTCGCTATATCTCCTGTCTTCCATCTCTCCTGGCAACGAGAAGTCTTGCTGAGACGGCTGCTAATTCGGCGACCAGGTTTACTTCTGCCCCGAGAGTCCGCGGTGGTACATGGAAAAGGGCAAATACCAACAGGCTTTCCGATCGACCCTCCGGCTGCGACACCACCCAATCCAGGCAGCCAGGGACATGTACTACGCCCACAAGCTCTTGGAAATCGAAACGAAAGCCCGGGGCGGTCGCAATTGGAAGGATTTCTTCACAGTTCGAAGAAACAGACGCGCCGCGTTGTCCTCGTATTTCACCATGATTATGCAACAATTTTGCGGTAAACCTCAGGCATCTTCTCCTCCAGCAGCAATGACTGTTGAATTCTTCTTGAATTGAGCTGACAAGTCAAATTTGCCCCTCAAAAGGAATCAACGCCATGTAAGTAAACATCCCACCTATCAATACCCAAAGCATGGGTCACTAACCTTCACCAACAGGATGTATTACTCCACCAACATCTTTGAAACAAGCGGCTTCGACCGTAGTACAGCCCTCTTGACCTCCATGGGAATGGGCCTCATCAACTGGCTCTTCGCCCTCCCAGCCTTTTACACAATCGACACCTTTGGCCGCCGCAACCTCCTCCTGGTAACCTTCCCCCTAATGTCCCTGTGCCTCTTCTTCACCGGCTTCAGCTTCTACATCCCAGAGGGTACGGGACGACTCGCTTGCGTGGCAACAGGAATCTACCTCTTTGCGGCAGTCTACTCCCCCGGTGCGGGTCCCGTCCCCTTCACCTACAGCGCGGAAGCCTTCCCCTTGCACATCCGCGACATCGGCATGAGCAGCGCCACCGCGGTGACGTGGGGCTTCAACTTTATCATCAGCTTCACCTGGCCGCAGATGATTGCCAGCTTCGGCGTCACGGGTGCGTTCGTGTGGTACGCCTGCTGGAACATCGTCGGCTTCGTCGTCGCCTACTTCTTCTTGCCCGAGACCAAGAACTTGATGCTCGAGGAGCTCGACAGCGTCTTTGACGTTCGTAGCCGCGACCACGCCGGGTACTATGCTTCCAAGATGCCGTGGTATGCTAAGAAGTATGTGTTGCGGAGGGACGTGGAGCCGTTCCCTCCTCTTTATGAATTGGACATGGATGAACCTAGGTATCGCGAGGCAGATCACAAGGCTATTGTGCATCACGACGAGACGGGGCTTGTTACGGGACAATCTACCGAGAAGTAGACTTGATGAGTGATGAAACACAGGGGAAGAATGAGGCAAGGCAGCGCTTTGTCGGGATAGGCAGCCTGGCTCCGGTCCAACATCTAATCTGGATTATCTGACGCGAGAAACCAGGCCCCAAGGATTCTATAATGCTTCTCCATGACTGGGCCAGGGAAGTGCATCATCATCGATGAACTTCTATGATAAATGCAATTTTACAGTAGAAGCTCAGCTAGTAGGCACACAACGTACCATCAAAGAAAGGCTCATCACAGAAGCAATCTTGGCAAAGTTAAAGGCTGTTACTAATTGCGTCTTGTACAATGCTCCCACTCTTTGTGGTCTCCATAACCTCTACCATGCTCTGATGCTATTCTCATGATGCGTGAAACTCCGTGTTATGCTATTGTGTCTCCCAGCCCATCCATCTACCGTCCGTAAGACCCAACACACCCAACATCCGACCATGCCCCAACTGATTGTTCAAGTATCGATCTAATCCCAGCTCATCCAATTGGACCTGAGAACATCGTCTTCCTCGGTCGATTCTTCGGGCGCTTCTTTGCCGTTTTCCGTCTTCTTTTCCTCGTCCGAGGAGCTCACCCTCCCGTCTACGAGTCAATCCCAAAGTCCTCCCAATGAGTCGCCCACAGGAACCAGTTCACGGCTGCTGACTTCGAGCAGCTCCTTGTCGTTCTTGGGGTCCGTTTCCAACTCATTCGAAGGCCCGTGCAGCCAGTTCCCCTCGTAAGGATCCGGGTCGGACATTGTATCTTCTGTGTGTGACTCCACATCCCCGTCAGAAGTGTGAATGTCTGATGTCTCCATCTCATCTGTGTGCGAAGTTGCCTCGCCCCTCGATGGCGGCGCCGTCAACTCGATTTCTTTCGCCGGGGTCATATCAAGGCTACTCGGTTTCCTGGTGTGGAACAGAGAGGTTTCCGACTTTCGTGAGCGGTGCAGCGGTGGGGTTACAGGCTTCCCAAAGTCAAACTCAGTGGCCTCCAGTTGTGCCGGATTTATCGGGCTCGTCATTGGTCCTCTAGCCAGCGAAAAATTGTAATGGCTCTTTGCCGCCCTCTTCAGACGTGGTTTGCGAACAATGACAAGCGAGGAGCTGCCATGGCCATGCCTTGCCCGCATCTCCAACCGTTCCTCCTCTTCCGTCTCTTCATCTGTGAGAACATTCTCCATTAGACGCCTGTGATGCGCCATGAGTTGCACGCTACTACCAGAACATCTACGCTGCCGGTTTTTCACGACTCCGGTGTCTAGTGTGAGAGCGGGAGCTACCGAAGACGTCTGTTTTGGTAGCGCAATGGATTTGGGCCATGGCGGCGGTAGAGCAATGCCGGTGGTGAGCCTCCTCAAGTCAACCTGACTATCTGAGAACACGACGCGAGCTCGCAAACGATGGACCGCCCTGTCCAGTGCAAGCTCGATGGCGCATCGATCGCGAATCCGGCTCAATTTCGGCCAAGCTGCGCGTTCGCCCATCAGACAAGCTCGCAGCATGAAGTCGGGGTTCGGGTTGCTGAGGATTTTCGGAATATCATGGACATTGACTTCCGGGAGAATATTGATGTCGCCGGAATACTTTTGGCTGAGAATGCTCCTAAGCTTAGTGACCAGATTCGGAAACACACCAATCTCGGCAAGGAAGTGCAACCGATGCAACGCCTCGTCTTTGGCGAGGGCCGTCAGAGCGTAGACCCAGTCAAGCTCTTGCTTGCTGGGTGACAAGCTGGACTGACGTGCCGCAAAATCATCGGGGTCCAGCTGGTCATCACGAGCCAGAAACGGGGTGACGTGAGGGTTCACCTGAGAGACGATGAAGTGATTTACGTTGAACATCTCTGCAAGCCTGGTCATGGGCAAATCGTTGTCCACGGATCCGTCAATCCATCGCTGCGGTGTCGGGTTCCAGGGCATGTATTCGCCGGTATCGGGATCCTTGACGAGCAGCGGCGCAGCGCTGAAGATCAGGGGTACGGAGCATGATGCAGCCACGGCAGACCAAATCATGACATTGGGTGCCGTGATGTAGTTTAGGAGACGCGGTAGCTCGTACATGGACTCGGTTGAAACACAAATGTTGAGGACGCGTCGAGTGCGGTTATACGCTTCCTGGAAGGTAAGATCTCCAACCAAACCACGCATCACACGGTTCAGATGTTTTATATCGGTCCAGCTTCCCTCAGTCAGTAGCCTCCGCATGTGATCGAAGACACCGTCGGGGTTCTCCTCGGCATCGAAGACAGCCAGATCACCGTATGGAAATTCCCTTATAAGCCGCGGAATCTCTTCGTCGGTCCTTGTGCAAATAACGGCCGAAACAATGGAGCCTGCTGAGGCACCTGATATGATGCGTGGAAGCAGTTTGACTTCGAAGAGGGCCTTGAGCACACCAATATGGGACATACCCAGTGTCCCGCCTCCACTCAAGAGCAATGCGCTTCGACCAAAGCTCTGACGGGCGTACAAGACGCTCTCGAGGATGTCTCTTTGGCCCATGCCTTCAGGCAATGAAAACTGGCTCTTTTCTACCAAGGCATCGATGGTCTGCATGGCCGAGTCGACGTATCGTTCGATGAGGCTCTTGGTGCCTACGTAGGAGTGCCTGTATAGATCGACATTTCCCATACCCCCGAGATCTCTGCATAGAGCGGTTCGAACGAGGTGCATCATAGCACGGGTGTCACAGTTCGTCCGCGCATCGTCGAGTTCTTTGAGGCGCGCCTCAATCAGGGCGGGGTTATAATCCCCTAAGTATGGGTTGAGCTTCCACAGGTCGTTTTCCTCGAGAATGTCGAGCTCTTCTGCGGCTTCCTGCCATTGTTTCCTGCTTTCCGCCTGTGAGAAGACACCCTGTTAGCGGTACTGTTTGATACTGGTACAACGTGCACGAGACCGCCACGGAGGCAAAGTAAACGTACGTTTTTCATGTGAATAGAGAGTACAAGCCTGCGTTCCTCCTTTTTCCTCCTGTTTTCCCGTTCCAACTCGGATAATCCATCGCGAAGAGACAAGACAAGATTATTGGCGCCTTTTATGGCCCGAGATATTGAATCAAAGGCTGCACTTAGGGGCGTCTGTGGTTGATGTTTCTTAATGGAAGAAGCGCGGCCGGGTTTGGTCGAGGCTGGGGGGCCAGACGAGGAGGACTTGGGCCGAATTGCGGGCAGTGGATGGACAGAGTTGAGAAAAACGTCGTTCATGATGGCAATTGAGGAGTTGGTAAGAAAGTAATGATCGTCGTGGGTAGGGCTGGGTGGAAAGTCGGGAAGCGGAGCTGGTGGACGAGAGGCAGCCCTGGTGCCGTCCGTGTCGCATCACAGCCTTGGAGCGTGGTTGTGCAACAGACTCCTGACATGTGCTTTTTCCTGTTGTTGGGTTGTTGAGGGCGGTCAGAGCATGCGCGCGTCGGTGTGTCGTCGCGACGGCGGCGGGCTTGGAAGGGTTTAAGTAGCGTCGGACTTTGCGGAGTAGGAGACGGTGGGAACTTAGGCGGCGGACGGTTCGCGTGTGTCTGTCGAGTCGTTGTGCTGAAGATGTAGTTTCTTTGAGCACTGAATAGTCAGACAGGCGTCGTCCGGAAAAAGCTCGTAAAGGCCAGCAGATTGGGCTTTGGTTTTGGTGGTTAGATACAGAGTGCAAAAGTAGGCATTGCAGCTGTCAGATGATTCCCGTAGTAGTGTGGTGGTGGTGATGATGGTAATCTTTGGGTGACACAAGCCAAGGCAGGCAGGGAAAGGTGTGGAAGCGGAGTGCAGATGACCGGACAACCTGTTAGGAGGGGGTGTTTGGCTTGTCGGGTCTGACGAAATAGTTGTTGTGTTCGGTGCGGGTAGAAGAGGCGTTGACGGACGAGGGAGCAGAGAGTAACCCACCCTTGGTAGCAGGCGACGACAAGACGGGTAAGGAGGAACAGGCGGGCGCAAACGGGTCGAGATGGTTGGTCAGACGGCGAGTGGTGGTTGGAAGATGGAACCAAGGGTACGAAGGTGAAGCGACGGACTCGATGGTCGTCTCAGCGGCTGAGCGAGGCAGAGAGAGAAGGAGGAGGAGCAAAAGGGCGACAGAGGGAGATTGAAAACAAAAGGGAGTATAGCCAAGGGAGGATGTCGTGAAGAAAAAGAGCGGTTCTAGGTAAAAGCCAAAACTTGGCAACGTCAAGTTTGGATAGAGAAATGGCAGTGACAACGTTCGGCCGTCAGTGGCCGGGGATGGAACGTGGAGAAGAGAAAAAAGTGGAAGGTGATGACAGTCGCTGCAGACCCCACACAGCCACCCACAAATTGCCTCCACAAAAGCAGCTCCACCCCGGTCGTTCATCAGTGCAGTTATAACTTATTGTTGCTGACCCGACCGTCCTGACTCCCGCCGTGCCGCCCTGAGGCAGAGGAGCAGGCGGGGCCCGGGGGGTATCTCGCCTCAGGGGTCCCCGTGCCAGCGTCCCCGTGTCACAGCACCCAGAGCAGAGACGTAATGGGCGATTCAGCGGCAACCGATTGGCTCATCCGGATGCAACGCCTGCTACTCCGTATTCTGTATTTTCTATGGACCATGGCATATAGCTGCCCAGTCTCACAGACGCAGCAACAAGACGCAGCGACAGACGCACAACCAGGAGAGGCAGCAAGCAAGTCTGTGTTTGGCTGGGTTTCTCGGCTCAGGCCAGACCAGGTGACCTCTTTTAGGCGGCCCCACCCCACCATCTTCTCCAGACTCTTCCAGCTTAGTGGCCCACCCCGGATTTGGGGATCCTGGGGGGAGGGGAGAGGGGTGAACGGGGGCAGGCCGCAGAACACCACCAAGCACTGCACCGTCAATTAACTTACCACCCAATCACGCCGTGCCGCGATACACCCTCGCCCGCACTCTTCTCCACAAGCCGGCCATGCCCTCTCACGTGTCTGTCTATCTGTCTGTCACAGTCTCCTCCCAATTTCACAATATGCCTCTCTCGCTATTCGTTGTAGGGCTTCCTGTAAAGACTCACATCTCATCCCCCAGAGTCACCTCTCACCCGTTGCATTCCGAACCGCAAAGACGCACCTGACAGTCCATCTCCCTCCGATTTCCTCCCTTTCTGCTGTGACGTGATCTCCTTGCCGGTATCTCCAGCGAAAGCCGGATCCCGTTATTGCCCGCTCACTGTCTGAGTCTCCCTCCATCTCGAAATAGACTTTTGAATACCGGTCATGTTATCCGCACACGTACCAAGCCCCAGGGCTACCACAAATCCGGGACAGGCCGCCCGGTGAGCTCTCCGTCCGTCTCATCTCCCCTCCTTCAGCTCGCGCTGCTGCTTGCCTTACCTCTCATAAGAGATGGTCCCAGGCCGCCCCGTTGGTTGACCTCACCAGCCTGGAAGATGCATAGGCAATGTATTCACTCGGATCCATCAGGCGAGCGCAAGGCATAATTGCTATCCCAGGCGTCCAAGTTAGAACTACGAAGCATACATCCGCGCATCACTGCCTACCAGTCGACCACTCTACACCTCCATTACTTCACGTTTCGAGTGCCCACTCATACGCTCCCAAATCCATGTGTTTCTCATCCCCACTGCACTAGGTAGAAAGGGGGAATCTTCAACTAGTATCCGCAGTGCCCTCTCAACGGCGCCCCTGCTATATCGATAGGTACCTTTCGGCTACCGTTTGATTTACGCACTATGTACGTGTCCAGACCCCAGAGTGTTCCAAAGTCTGATGGCATTATTGTAGTTTCGGCGTGTGATTATTCTGCCAGATCGAATCCCGATCTTACCCCGGAGCTTTTGCTGAGACGCTCACCCGACCTCATGATTCAGAACTCTGTGCTTTCTTCTCCACCTTTACGTCTCATGGTGCCTTTTCTTCTTTCCATTTTCCCCTTTTCAAAAACGTAAGCGCTCTCCAGTCCGATCGATCCCATACGGGAATAAGATACAGGCCCAGAGCCGGTGTTTCTCACCCAGTCTTTTCCGTTGTCCTTACCAGATCTGCGCGGCCCTGACTCGTTTGCTCCATACCATTTACTGTTTGCGTCCCTGACAATCCGACGTATTTGATGTGCCGACTGATGATACAATTGGCCTCACCGATGAGAAGCTTTTTGCCAAAGAGACGCTGAACTCATCAAAGCCGCCATCCCCGCGAAGGAAAACATTGCAATACCGTCCGGCCTTGTGCTCACTGCTCTTCTTTGGAGTATACTCTCGGATGACAGACAGCTCGCCACTGTCCCCCGACGTCGCCGAGTGTGCCGAGGCCATCTGCAAGGCCGTGGAGTCAGTAGAAGAAGCTCCAGGTGATTACCTCATCGTATGAACGGACTATCTTCGGTGATCCCTGTACTTGATGGACGCTCTTTCGGTATAATCAATATGCAGACTAACAATACGATTGACCTCACCGATAAAAAGATTGTGCCACAGAAGATCGGCGAGGCTAATTGTATCGTTAGTTTGTATACTAATTGTTTTAAACATACACATATTAGAAAATATCGCTTGTACGAATAGGTATTCATCTGGAGCTTCCGCACTGCCTTTGTGGTCTTGCGGAAGGCCTCAGCAAGCTTGTGACTGGCGGTGAGCGTGTCGTGAGTTATATCAGGACGTTTCTCGTTATCAGCACAGCAAGAGAGAATAAGAGGGCAGGCGTGATTCAGCAAAAGACTTGGGCTGCTGAGAACCGGTAGATGCTGCAATCGCGTCGTATCTTTAGTTTGACGAAGCCTTGCTGAGCTATGATGGTGGAATTTGGTCAACAAACTTCCTTTCGACATCATCAACGTCAACGTCATTCAAGCTCTCTTGATTTCACGCCGTCTGACATCTCTATTCATCAGTGGCTTGCCGTTGCTGATTCCAGCCCGTTCTAAGAACGTCCCACGTGTAGTATGCTCTCTCATGCATGTCCGATTCGTTCGCTAGATTAGGCGGTGGTCGGTTTCCTCGTGCAGTCCCGTCAAGAAACGTACGAGTCATATCTTCAGACATGCGGCTACCGCCCGTCACTGGTGGCCCTGCTTTCGTCGGCCGCCTGCAGTAACTTCGCCGCGAATTCCGAGACCTTATCTCGAAGCACTTGAGCCACATTCACTTCTGTCCAGAAATGCCCTGCCGATGAAATCTCCTCACCATGGAAATGCGACCCATTGACACCTTCTAGACGCTCCACCCATCCCCGCAATTTGGCCGCCGGGACAAAAATGTCCCTGTCGCCGTACAATGCTAGGGTATCATTTTCGACCAACTTGCTCTCACTCTGTTGCTTTTGGTCAGCCGTAAAAGTCGGCGCTCCCTGCTCTCTTGGTTTTCCTCCAGACCGCGAAAAAAGTCCTCGACCAGGTGTCGTGTGGAGGAACGACATGGCTGCTAAATGGGTAATGACTCCTTGCAGCGGAGACACGAGGAGATATGCCGGCCGGACTTGAGTCAAATTAGGAACCTCTTCCACCACTACAGAGACTTCATGGTTCGAAGGTATAGTCGCCAACTTTTCCTGGGGTACCGCCACGCCCCTGTGATGATGTCGTTTCGTTTTCGCTAGTAAATCGTTGACGCCTCGCCGAATCTTATCCTCGGCGTCGATGGAGAAGGATCTCCTCGTTTCCGACATGGATCTCCGAGCTTCGTGACTCTTGCGTTGGGTATCCTCATCACCCCCAACCCGCATGCCAAGATACTTCTTGCGCGGCGATGTAGAGCTTGTGGCTCTGGCGCTCGCCAGGATGACATTCTGCTGCTCCGCCAGATGCTGCGCTCGAAGGCGGATGTCAGCAGCTGCGGAACCAGCTGTAGGCACCTTGAACTGTGCAAGTATATGCGCCATCGGTGGAATCTGCGTCGTCACCATGGCCCCGTATGAATAACCGCCAACGAGGAGGACTGGATGGTGCGAGGGTTGCTTCGATTGAGCGTCGGGGAGCGTCGGCGTGAGGGTGGTCGTCGGCGAGCGGGCGACAGACGGTCCGAAGGGATCGAGGAAGTGCATGTAATAGACCATGAAGCCAATGAATGACATGTAGTCGCTACGTTCTGGTTTTGCCGTCCAGGACGTACGGCCTGCGGATCCAGAAGCACCCCTGTTCAAGAATCATCGTGTAAGTGACGGAACAAGCTCGCCATCATGACGCCCAACGCTCACCAACTCGCCAATCCTTACCTGAAATTAAAGGTGCCCACGAGGAAGCCCTGTCGGAGCAGCGTCGCGGCAACAATATCGACGATAGGATCGTCATAGGAGCCGCCTAAGGGGGCATAGGGGTGGGCGATAACGGCGGCGTGTCGCCTCCATGGCGGTGAATTTGATGCGGCGGGGTTCAATGCCTGGCAATGATACAGACGGCAGTCCAAGACGGTGTCATCGTGGAGGCTGGGGAGCGTGAAGCTCAACGTCGGTTCAGGAAGCATTTTTTGCTCTTCATAGTGGAGACATTGCTCGAGCCGACGATGATAAGGGAGAGAGCGCGAGACGATGGTTGGCTTTGCCGAGCGGGAATGGTGTGTTTGCGAAAGCTGTGCTGAGAAAGGTCAATAGGTTCGGACCATCCAGGTCAAGTCGAGACGAGCCAGAGCTTGTGATTGCGTCCCAGCGCCCGTTGATGCGCGATGACAGCTGAGTCCTCAAGCCTTGTATTGAAAGGATAAACGCCGACGGGGGTGTCAAGGGAGAAAGGATTGTGTCCGACGTCAGCGCGCTGCTGAGCAGAGGACAAGCCCCCTCCCATGGAAAAAAGCAAGCTTCGAGGTGGCGTAGGGCGCAGGGATTGCACTTGCCGCTAAGATCGGAACTGACGGGGATGCTGCGGGTACCCATCATGAGGTAATCTACTCGAGCACGGTCCTCCCACTTATGTCCATCTTCACCGAGACTCACCTGGACTCACCTGGATTGCTGAAGCCAACCCAGTCCACCTAGATTCAACTCCGTCTGTGATTCAATCGGCCTACAAAGCACGGAGTGAAGCAAGGATGGGGCCGTAATGAGAATCCACCGATAGAAACCTTTACGTCATAGCCCAGCTGACCCGATGAAAAAGCTAAGCGGCATCGCGAAGCTTGCATGGGAACTGGGCATAGCTTTACAACCTTCAGAGCTAATCAATCACCCGAGACTGATTGCTGCCGCCGCCCAGGGTAGTTAGTTCCGACAGTCAGGCACGAGCGTATGGGATGCGGTACCGTTGGCGTGGAACTCTATGCTCTCAATGTCTTAAATCAGCTCATCACATTCTAAAGCTTCTTTCTTGCTTCTGCCTCGGCTCTCTCGCGTCTCCGCTTTCTCCATGCCTTGATCTCGTTTAACAGACCCATTACAAGGGGGACTCCCACCGGCCCCAGAAGCGGAAGATAGACCGCAATCTTATGCTCATCGGGAAAGTATAGCTGTCCGACCATGCTCTTCTCGAAAAACGCTCGCTCTGCCTCGGCCTCAGCGATCCTGGCATGCTCCAGTCCTTCGGGTCCGCCCAGGCTGGCGCATGCGAGCTCCAGATGATGCATCGTTTTGGCAACACCGTCCGCGACATTTCGGGGAATGGAGATGGACGGCAACGCAAGTGAAAGTCTCGCCAAAGATCCTAGTGTGGAAGATGCCCGCAGCAACAGATCTGCTGATCGAATGCGTGTAAGAGTCGAGAGCCGTAGAGGAAGAGAACCTGACTGGGGAGTGCCAAGAAGAGACAGCAAGTGCCCAGCAAAGGTGAGCATGGGCTGCTTGAGCGTAGCAGCCGGCACATGTGACGTCGTGGATGGCAACGACAGGAGATAAACAGTCCCCCACTGCGGGATCAACCAGGACTGTGATGTTTCGGACCCCGAATCCAATCCGATTGTTTGGTTTCCGACAAAGAGGAGGAAGTTGACCGTCGGCGCACCGCCAATGGATGGCGAAAGGGGCCATTCGGCCGCGTTGATGAAGGAGGCAAGGTCGTCCTTGTTCAAAACTTGGGACTGCGCGCCTGGTGTTGCGTACAGTTGAACCTGGGTGTCTATCGTGAAGTTATGAATGGGGCTGAGCACGTCGAGCATAGGCTTCATGTATGTTTGAATAGCTGCTTCAATGTCCCACGTATTGGGAGTTGAACCGCTAGTGAAGAGCGAGAAGCTCAAATGGTATGTTGGTGAATATCGCAAAGAACGGGTGGTCCGCTTGGCCAGTGACTCGGCTGCCTCTGGTGACATTCCCTGAGGTCTCGCATCGGAAGCTCCCGAGGCTGCCGACAGAAGATATGATATAATTGCTTGTTCTTCGGCATAGGTCGAACGCAACTCGTTTGCAATGTACGTAGCTAGCGCGGATGAGGACGAGGTCGCTGACGGAATCGAATTCGGAGGATAGGTGATGTCGAGGATTGGGGAGTGCGGATTGAGCGATACCGTGGTAGAATCTCCGGGGCTGAGACGAATGGTCAGGGCGACCTGGGAGTCATCCTCGGGAGTGATTGCTTGGCCATCTCGAGGCGCGAGCTGCAGACGGAGATGATGACCCGAAAAGTCGTTAAGGTCGTCGAGCGCATGTTGAGTTAGACGAAGGAGGTTCTGCGCTTCCTGCTCCTGGAGCTTGTTTGCCCACACCAATATACGGAGGGGGAACACGGGGCGGCAGGCCTATGTAAGTGCTCAGCGGTTTACCCTCCCTCAACGTGTAAGGACGTGGATTAGTATTCGCATACCTTGCCATCAGCCCATTGAACCATGCCGCTCAGGGGTAGGTTAGCGCGGTAGATGCTCGTCGTCATCCACCAAATGGGCAGGCCGAGGAGAAGGACAATGGCCCAGAAGGCGGAGATGACGAAAGAGCGTCGGCGCGCATCGGAAGGCTTCTCGGGGGGGGGAGCCTTGCGGGACTCGGGCTGCGGCGGAGCGGTGGAGGCCGTGGGTTGATCGGAGGTGAAGCTCGCGCCGCTAGTTGCCGGGCTGCCTGCGTCATAATGAACCGGCATTGAATCAGCCTTTGCCGTGTACGGCAATGTTCAGTTGAGGCTACGCAGCGGTCGTGAAGTTGAGCGATGCAAGCTGCAATAAGCAAGCCACAGTGATCATGGGAGGTGGTATTCCGTCCAGGGGTAAAGACAGGCCAGAAATGCTTGACTCAGCAATATCGCGCTGGAGGGGAGCTCCCGATAAGATAAGAGCCATGTGGCCACGCAGCGTAGGTAACCTTAATTGGGGCGCGCAGTCACGTGGTGTATGCAGCTGAGGTATCGAATCGCAAGAAGCCGACTTCTGTCCACCACGCAACTAGCTACCTTGCCTGCTTCTCGATTCGATCAATAGAAGACGCCTTGGACCTTTACATGCTATCTATCCGTACGTGGCTCTTCCTCAGCGACTCAAACAAAAGCATTCCCAGGTGCACAATTGTCGCAACATATGGGCACGTCCAGCATTCGACCCACTGTTGTTTGATTCACCACTCTCTACCTGCACTTCGGCCGAATCTGTCACAATTCGTCCGACGGATGCGAGTGCGATTGATGCCTGCGCCTCGCAGCGCCATCTCCCTCCTCCCCCCTCAGGAAAACGCTGACAGGAGATGAGCGACAGCCCGCCAATTCAGGAGTGTGTGGCCCGATTTTCCTGCTCTCCACCATCAAGCAAAAGCGGGACCGGCATCGATAGTTGTCGCCGATGCCTCTGCCTTAAAATGTTATTGAGTGAGCTGACCATCAGCCGAGGAAGCGACCTCACAGGCGCCCCTCCAATCTGCCGCAATGGCTGTCGTCTGTTTCGACGAATCACTCGTGATCATACCAAAAAGAAAGAACAATGTGACCCTCTTAGGAAGGGGAGCGCACTCTGGGGTTCGAAGCGAGCCTGGCGATCCCTTCACACTGCGGGAGCCATCGAAGTCTAGCAGCTCGGCATGCATTCCCGGTTTTCAGATGGATCTTCGAGCCGAGTCAAGTCAGTATAGCGACACAGGCCCGATCTGGCAGCATTTTCAGTTCCAGGGACGGTTCACAAGAGAACCACGTGATGGACCCCTGTTGTATCGGGCCGCCATTCAAGTGAGCTGATCTAAGCAAACGCCCGCCAGGAGTTGCACTCATTTGGCGTTCTCCTCGAGTGCCAGCGGAACAAATTGTGTCAAGAGCCGCAGAACCAAAGCATAGCAGCTCGGCAACTGTTGACACTGCAAAGTTCATCGGGAACACAAACGTGCTATTCGATCTGTTGCGAGCGGTCCGTAGCTGTCGAAAGGCGGCATGCACCTACACCTAGTGTAGAGAAAGAGAGAGAGAGCGAGTGGTAGGTTCGCTCCCGTCAAACTGGGTCGTCTGGACGAAGGATGCGGACAGCGGCAGGGGACCAGGGCAGGCATCTGGGGGAGTCTCCGAGTCTGGCACTGAGAAGCAGGAACATAGAATGCAAGGAACAACCCCGCTCTCTCGTCGACGAATCGCAACTCGCCGTTGAAGAAGCACCCATCAGAGACGGTGGTTTAGCCTGCGTTTGCTGCATACCCCTCCCGAATCGGTTACGCAAAACGAGTCCTGGTGCAGTGTGCAGACGCGAGGGTGCACGAGCTTCGACAGATGCCGAGGCTCAAGCTTCGATTTAGTCTTTGTTTAGCACAGTTTGGCTGGCAGGTAGGCCAAGCCTGGCGATGCAGCAGCACACAAACGCGACGCAACGCAAAGCAGCGAGCTGCCTTTGATGAGCGGGTCTGCGGCTACTGGTCCCTCCACGAGACTGCCACGACCTCAGTATGGCTACGAAGTATCCGTACTATGATGCCGCACTCGCATAGCACGGCGCACCGAGAAAGGCCAGCAATGCCGTCCTTGGATCCATCCCCACAAATTACAACCCAGCCATTGCCTGCGACAGCCAAGCACACGCAAAGCAAAGTATCGCATAGGAGCTGGCGCCATCGACTTACACCGAGGCCAAAGTCGATCATTCAGTTCCACAAGCGCTTGCAGCTGCAGAACCACGAGCAAGCACCAATGTCAACACAAGCGCAAATGTGACAGTCAAGCTGGTCATGTTCCTCGGCTTGTCGAGAGAAATACCATGCTAGGACCTTGTCCATCATCGATTCATTGTCAACCAAGAACTTCTCCGCCACTCAACCCTGGTCTTGGGCCCCACAGAATGGAAGGATGTTCTCCATCGTTCCGCCAATTTGGTCGCCAATTTACGCCTGATCGAAGGGGTACATGGCTCCCGCATCCCAACAGCCGAATGTTGAGGTCACTGCTCCTTTGGGAGTACCACATCGACTACTTCGTACGGATGTTTGGCCAGACTCAGAGGAGTGCAAAGTGTTGCGTCGTGTCGTGTCGTATCGTGTTGTGCATGATAGGACCGACAGGTGGTTTTATCCCATCTTTCCCCCCCGGACTGGGTCCCTCAAACCAGGGACGACACATCCCAATGCCGACTGCAACACAGGCTTTCGACTTTTTAAAACCCTTTCTTATCTTCTGACAGCCTCGACAGGCCGTTACAAATACCTACCATCACCCACACCCTCGCACAATTGGCCCATCTCTACTTTACCTTTGACGCCTCGTTTACTTACTTTTGCTCCTATCTATTCCTTCTCGGCGGGACTCCCAGCACGCACGAGCACAGCCTCGGAGCTTTCATCATCAGCTACAGACACAACTTACTCCCGTTCGCACACGCCGAGCCAGCAGAGACATACAAACAAGACATCTGGTCCACTCTCCGCCAGCCGCCCTGCTCACCTCAGTTCCAACACTATCACGGCAGTAAATCTGTGTTACGAATAACCTCTACCCAAACACACATACTGGCCTTTCGGCCAAAGTCACAATGCCTGGTAAGTGAGCTCTCTACGTACTCCGAATATTCTCCTACGGCTCCCATCCTGTCGTCATGATTGCTTGGCCCCTGGTAGAGGCCCCCCGACCAGGGGGAAAAAAAAACGTCCCCAAACTCCTGCGCCGCAACCGGGCATTACATCAGCATGCCTCGGCATAGCGCTCTGCGCAAACACAGCTGGGGCAATCGCGCTGACTCAATTCCTCGCCGTCCAGTCCCGCTCGCACTCGCCCTGCCGGCTGCAGCCGCAGCTTATTCGTACATCAACGCTCGTATTTCTTTGTGGTACGACACAAAGCTGCTCTCCTGTGCGCTGCCGGCAACCCTTTCCGCCCTGTGGCGCGAACGAACCGATCGGCTCAACCAGTTCTATGTGCTCGAACAGGCGGCGCTGAACAAATCATCCGCCGACCGCACGTTTATCATCTTCGAGGGCAAAACATACACCTACCGCGAGACCTACGAGCAAGTCCTGAAATATGGCACCTGGTTGCGAGAACGCCACGGCGTCAAACCCAAGGACATTGTCGCTATCAACTTCCAAAACTCCGATGTCTTCGTTTTCTTGTGGCTTGGCTTGTGGTCCATCGGCGCAAAGCCAGCCTTCATCAACTACAACTTGACAGGCAAACCGCTAGCACACTGTGCCAAGGCCGCGAAGACAAAGTTGATGCTCATTGACCCCAACGTCGCCGCCAACGTCACTGAAGATGTGAGGAGAGAGCTGGATTCCGTGCAGTTCGTGGTGCTCGATGAGGGTTTGCATAGAGAAATCGACGCCATTAAGCCCAGGCGTGCACCCGACTCTGACCGATCCGAGAGCCAATACCAGAACCTGGCAATTCTGATCTACACATCGGGAACAACGGGCATGCCAAAGCCAGCCATCGTATCCTGGGCGAAGTGCATCGTCGGTGGTGTCTTCACCTCCCGGCTCACGAGCAACTCTCCCAAAGACGTCTTTTACACTGTAGGTCAACTCTCAGCCCGTCACGCAGCTCATACTAATTTTAAACCAAGTCTATGCCTTTGTATCACAGCTCCGCGGCCCTGCTAGGTTTCGGCAACACTCTCGAGGCGGGTGGCACAATCTGCATAGGAAGGAAATTCTCGACCAAGCTTTTCTGGGAGGAAGTTCGCTCGTCCAAGTCTACCATCATCCAGTACGTCGGTGAGACTTGTAGATATCTGCTCGCAGCCCCCCCGCAAGTCGACCCCGTAACCGGCGAGAGTCTCGACAAGAAGCACAATGTGCGGGTGGCTTTCGGCAACGGTCTGCGACCGGACGTTTGGAACAGATTCAAGGAGAGGTTCGGCATCGACACCATAGCTGAGTTCTACGCTGCCACCGAAGGCTCGTTTGGAACTTGGAATTTGAGCCGAAACGACTTCGCCAAGGGCGCTGTTGGACGAAATGGCACACTTTACAGCCTTGTCATGGGCCTTGATGTCGCCCTCGCTGAGATGGATGCAGACAACGAAGAACCGTGGAGGGACAGGAAAACTGGTTTGTGCAGGCCTGCCAAGGCTGGTGAGCCAGGAGAGCTTATGTTCAGACTCTCGCCTGACGACCTTGACCGTCGCTTCCAGGGTTATTACGGCAATCCTGACGCAACAAAGGCAAAGGTCTTGCGGAGCGTCTTCAAGAAAGGGGACGCCTGGTTCAGGACGGGCGATGTGGTCCGCTGGGATAGCGAAGGACGGCTCTACTTCACTGACCGCATTGGTGACACATTCCGCTGGAAGAGTGAGAATGTGTCAACACAAGAGGTCGGCGAAGCCGTTGGATCACATCCATTGGTTCAGGAGGCGAACGTGTACGGCGTCGAGTTGCCAAATCACGACGGCCGCGCAGGGTGTGCCGCCGTCGTCCTCCAAGGCCAACCGTCCGAGGACGTGCTGAAAAGTATTGCGCAGCATGTGAAGCAGTCACTACCCAAGTATGCTTTACCCATCTTCCTACGAGTCATGCCTCCTGAGGCTATGCAGACGACCGGGACAAACAAGCAGCAAAAGCACGGTCTCCGATCCCAGGGGGTCAGGCCGGGCGGCACCGACGCTGGAGAGGTGTACTGGCTGAAGAACAACACCTACGAGCCTTTTTCGGGGCGGGACTGGGATGAACTCAACGGTGGGCGGGTGAAACTGTAGATTTTCTTGACAGTGTTTTTAACGCAAGCGAGATACCACACTTAACTTACTTCATTCGCTTAGAACATACTTAATATTGGCACATGATATTTACGCACACATTTCAACGCCCTGGTTGACACTGGTTCCACATGATATTATTCTTCATCAGTCCTTTGAGAAGTAAAGAATACACACGCCTTTGGTCAATATGTTGCAGCCGTTGAAAATTCCCAATTGTTGAAACTCGAGCGGCGTGGTACATTCCTCGGCGAAGGAAAAACCGCCATCCGCGATGGAGTGAGTACAAAGCCGACCTGATTTATACACCTGGATATGTGAGCCAGCTGCGCCATTCATACATACCACCAATGACTGATAACAGCCAATGCGGTGCCGACTCGAGGCGTCACTAGTTTGTTTGCCTATGGCCCTCACCTCACCGTGCCAAAGCACGTATGATTTAGGTTTTTTTTTTTTTTTGTCTGTTCAGTGATCTGTTCAGTGATCCATTCAGCCGAGATCGATTGCAGATTCTCAAGAGATAAATGACAGCATGCACTGAGGATGTATTCACCATGCTCGAATCCGACTCTGACCAGTTTCACTACTCGACGCGACCCTCGCAGATGATTCACGAAGATGATACCGGAAAGTACATAAAGTCGGGAAATCTTGACCCTCCGAAGACTCTATTCCTGCCTCATCACTGAGTAATACAGCAGAACAGCCTATCTCGATCTTCCTTCACATCATACAGCTACATCATCACAGAACAATACAACAAAACAACTACCTCTTCGTCTTCCACGAAATCCAACATGAGCCCAACTGATAACACAAACGTCAAAATGACGAACAGCAACGACAACGATCCTCCTTCACCCAACACCGACCCCCCAACTCCCCCGGCTAGTCCTCCCAGATGAATGGAGTTGTAGGAAGTGCGGGTGTCGCCGAGAGATTAGAGCCCTCAAGGATGACACAACCTTCGAGGCTTCACGAGCCCGACTGGATAGGAACATAGCTCTAGCACAAAGTGGTTCAAAGGCATCAGTAATACACGCCATCAGTACTATACACTTGAGTGCCCTCTTTGGTTTCCCGTGATGTGCGATGTGCCTGTAACCCTCAATCTGCCTTCCTCAGTGCGCCCGAAAGAGTAGATATGACCCCGTCCCCCTTGCGCACCACAAGACTCAGATGGCCCTCGCCTTCCGCCAACCGCAAGTCCGCTGCCGGCGCGCACTGGGACGCCCTCTCTAGTAGAGTACAGCCGTTTGATAGTTGAAAAGTCTTTGTTTCAACTTTTACGTAGCTTGGGTCCATGTTCTGTCGGCGGGCTTGGCTGATTGGGATCCTGACAGATATTAGATCTGCTTTCTGAGGTCGGCGCGGGTTGCTCTATCTATCAATCATTGACGAATGGAGTTCAGCCCACACCACTTGGCGTCAATTATTGCGCTTTGTCAGTCCTCTTATACAGAGCATCCAACGTCCAGGTGCGTACAAGCGGTGTTGGTCCCACAGAGTGGCGCAGCAGTCGCCGAGACGATGTGGCCAAATTGCGTTCTGCTCTCACTGGAGAGCAGTCAAATGGCAGACGAGACAGCATACCAACGTCATTTATGGTGGTCATCAACCATAGAAAATTAACGGAAGCTAGCTCCTCTCGCTGTTACGACACTTGTCACAACGATGGGTTCGAAAATGAGGTGTATAGCAACCTTGGAGATGCTCCATCATCTGCCAGACGACACCAACCTAGCCGTCCTGGGTAAACAGGGGAGTCGACTCGGCATTCATGATTTCTTGACCAATGATGGAGGGATCAATGCCGGCTCCGGGGACAGTGACCCGGCAGAATGCCAAGGTCCACGTTCGAAGCCATCATCGCAAGCACGGGTGGCATTGCGAGGGCAGGAAAGCAAAGCATGTAGTGGGGGACCACGACAAGTTTACAATCCAAACGGTGCCGGGAGGAATAATACTCGAGGGAAGAAACATGGTTCCCCTAACAAGAGAGGTTAAGCATGGGCAGACGTCTCGAGAGACTGGACCTCATTTTGAGCCCGGGGATCGGCAGCCGGCAGTCGGCGCGGGACGGAGGAGGTCGGCAAAGTGGCGGGACGCGGGAATCGGTTGTCGGCGATGGCGTGCGAGGAGCTACCGGGGTGGTGGATGGGTGAGCTTGTGTGCTTTCATACCGTGGCACCTAGGATTCCTGGGATGTGATGGTTCGATGCCCGGGGATGATGTGGTGACAAAGCAGTGGGGGTCTAAAAGGACAGGTCAAGTTGAGCAACTCTTGACTGTATTGCGCCATTGATCGTCAGTAGACGTTTTCTAATAGATCATTTTCTACCCAGAGCCAACATGAACAAGAGATATACTTGGCTGCTTTTCGATATATCACGGTCGTCACACGCTGAGGTGCTGAAGAATGTCTGCGGCATCACAATGTGAGGTGAGGGGCAAAGTGGACTGCACCCTTGATTCCCAGATAAGAAACACCCACCCATAACCGCCCGAGCTGGAGCACTTCTTAGAGGGTTAGCTTCTGCGGATAGCGCCGTAAAGGTGTTTCTCATGGCCCAGTAGGCGTCTTCTCTAGGTGATTCCTCACCCATCACCCCCATGATGTGCCCTGAGCCAAGGATGATGTAATCGAGCACGCCATCGGGCCTAGCCGATTTCGGACTTGGAGGGGTAGTTGCTAAGGTAGTGACACCTGCGGGAAAAGTGAAAAGAAAAAAGCCCCTCCAACGCGGGGCAGTTGGAGCGTTGGAGCTGCCGCTCGTTGAGGGAACAACGTGCCAGATTTGAAAGAGACACGCAGAGCAAGTCGCCTAAGGTATGGATGGCATGGGCTCTTGGTTACCGAAGGGATTCTGTGGCTTTCTACGGGTTGCCAGTACTAATGCTTGGTGATGTGACGGTTCGTTGGGCATGTTGGTGGTTGTAACTCGTGATGGAGCTGGACCGTATAAGTTACATGAGCTTAGCAAGTTGGGGATCATCATGTCAACTGCAATGAGACACCTAGCAGTGTTACAAGACACAGTGAATAACATAGCAGAATGGAAGGCTCAAGGTGGTTTGAAGGCCAAAGCATAATACTTATCAGGTAAGGTGAGTCCAAGGCGACAAGGAGAGGATGTCGGGAGATCGAGGTCGAGGTACCTTGGAGACGGGAAACAGAGAAAGGTACAGAGGTACGGCCGGGCTTTGTACGTTGCTCTAAGGTAGGGTGTGCCTGGGGCGCGGCTTCGAGCTATATATTACACCTCGACTCCCACACCAAGATCAGGCATTCTACCCGCTCCTATTCCTTTTGATCTCTGTTGTGCTATACCCTATACCCTCTGCTCTTTCTGCCGTAAATACACACATATCTCTTCTCATACCTACAGAGTAGACAGACACAATGGCTGACCAGCGCCCCGCTCCGTAAGTCTTCAGCCCATCCCAGCTCTACCCAACCCCGCGCCGTGATACCCCGCCGTCGTCGGCGGCGCGCCCGCCCGCATCCTCAACCTCTCTACCAATGCTAATGTCGTGCCCGACAGCCTCCGCCTTGGCACCGTTGCCCCCAACTTCAAGGCCGACACCACCACCGGCCCCATTGACTTCCACGACTTCATCGGCGACGGCTGGGTCGTTCTCTTCTCCCACCCGGAGGACTACACCCCCGTCTGCACCACTGAGCTCGGCGCCTTCGCCAAGCTCGAGCCCGAATTCTCCAAGCGCGGCGTCAAGCTCATCGGCCTCTCCGCCAACACCCTCGGCAGCCACGAGGGCTGGATCAAGGACATTGACGAGGTCACTGGCTCCAAGGTTGCCTTCCCCATCATCGCCGACAAGGAGCGCAAGGTCGCCCTCCTCTACGACATGCTCGACTACCAGGACACCACAAACGTCGACGAGAAGGGCATCGCCTTCACCATCCGCTCCGTCTTCATCATCGACCCCAAGAAGACCATCCGCACCATCCTCTCCTACCCGGCCTCCACCGGCCGCAACTCCGCCGAGGTCCTCCGCATCGTCGACTCCCTCCAGACCGGCGACAAGCACAAGATTACGACCCCCATCAACTGGATCCCCGGCGACGACGTCATCGTCCACCCTTCCATCAAGACCGAGCAGGCCAAGGAGATCTTCCCGGAGGTCCGCATCGTCAAGCCTTACCTGCGCTTCACCCCTTTACCCAAGGAGAAGGCCACCGTCGCTTAGGCGCCAGTGGCCACGAGTGGAACTTGGTATGGGGACGTTTTGTTGGATGATGGGTCTCGTTTGTTCGGTACCAGCAAGTTCTTGGTGACCAAGAACGACGAGTGGACGTGATCCCAAAAGATTGAAAAAAGAAAGGGCCGATGCTGTCAAGCATAGGATAGGAAACTCTGTCCCACCTGCAGACGTGCGTGTAAGCACCCTTTGTCTGAATACCCGGCGTGGCGCTCTAATGGCAACATGGCCCTCCGGTGCGCCTTCCATGGACGCGGCCTTCAGGGCAAGTAGCGGCGTGTTTCGCTCTGACTACCTTACCTTCTATATAGAACGTATGAACTAATGAGAAATGTCCAAACTTTGCCTCTCCTCGCAATGTGATTCACAAACAGCCTGATAAGGTTAGCCTCGTCGTTGACCAATGCTGCTCCCAATAGGTAGCTAGACTTCTAGTCCTTTAAGGATCCGTCGCGAGTAGCTTTGCGACTCGTATGCTGGGCCTCGTTCATTGGGCGTCTCATCGAACACTTTGGTGTCAGAAACCGCGTATCCGACGTTGGTGGGCTGCACTCCGGTCCTGGATTATGCCAAGAGGACAAGCGGAGAATGTGGCATCGAGTATGTTTGATTGCAGCATGTTGCCTTCGTGGCATCTTCATCCACATGACCTACTTCAGAGGAGGAGACGTATGCATGTATAGCTCAAACAAGGCGTTGGACCGAGACGCGAAGGAGAGACGAAATGAGGGTTAGACACGCCCACCGTCGCACGTCTCCGTCATATCAAGCTGAGCTTAACAAGCACATGGCGCTGGAGGCACGTTCCTTGTCATCGTGTGTCTATGTGGAGATGACACCGGTATATCACCCATGGGCCCGTGGATGAGCCACGGCCTACGGCGGTCGTCCCCTCCCGCATGACTCGGCCGAAGAGACCTGGGCCAGACCGGAGGAAATGGTCGGTCCATTTCTCGGAAAGCTAATATACCTAGGGCGCTAGCTCGGCCATTACACGAAATGGACGCCCGCCTTATATTGACCTGACCATCTTGGAGTGGTAATAGCGCTCCTCAACTAGAGTGAACCGGCTGCCTGGCTAGGTCACATTCAGGGGCCGTTGGTCGAGATGCAACGGAGCAGATGGCTTTTTGGTTCGGAGGGACAGGCACAATCCTGGAGCGACACGAGGCAGAGGCCCAATCTTTGCACAAAAAACGAGGTCGGAAGCCTGGAACAATTCGAGAACCAGGGGAGAGCCGGGGAACGTTGGAACACCCGCATCCACCCAAAATGACAAGTGGCCGGGCTCCCACGTTTTCCCGCGTTTTTGTAATCCGTAGCGTGTGCGGGTGGCCGTAGTGTACCATGTGCGTGAGCCGTGAGGGTGGCCGCCGTCCGCGATCCGCGGTGCCTGTCTAGTTGTTCCCAAACTTCCCAGGGCCGTCGTCGGGTCGGCAGGATGCCTATCCCGGGATTGTTCGCCTGAGACATGACAGGCCAGGCGATGTTTGTTTCCGACGAGGGCCACGAGGAGTTGGTGCTGGATCTGTTGGTCTCACCGACTTCGCGCAGTAGGAATTCAATATACCGTGCAGCGGAAGCTAGGCTCCGTAGGCCCAGCCTCCTGTTCTTCGTCGTCAAGGTTCCTCGTCCTTCGTCGTCAGCTTACTGGGTATGGCGGCGGGCAGGAAAATTGTTCGAGGGTCAGAGCAGACAGCCCAAGACGTAGAGTGACGGGGTCAGATGAAACCGAGAGCGGCACAGCGGAGAGACGGCTGGATGACAGGCCCAGAGGAGCGGTGACGACAAGGACCAGGACAGGGACCAGGCTCCCATGGCGATACTGCTCGCCTGGTACCCGTACTGTCCCCTTGAGTCTCTCTCGGGGTCTGTATCATGGTGTAGTACGTACAAGCCCAAGCGTAAGACAGGATCGCCATCAATTCTTCCTGATTGTACTCCGTACGGATATCCGTATGGATATCTGTATCCGTATAGACGTTGAAGAGAAGATAGAAATCCCCTCGGCGCCGCTTTCCCCTCTGTTTCGCAAGGGTGGGTGTAGCGTGTGGGAAAGTGGCATGTTGGAAGCTGGCACACGCTCTGTGGCTGCATGTGCAGCGTTTCTGCAAGATATAGTCTGCCTAGTAAGTACATAGTAGGCGCAGAGAAAGGCCGAAAAAGGGGTCCTCTTGGCTCTTGCAGCTCGATCGTCTGATGTTTCCCCCCTCCTGCTTCTCCTCCTGTCGCTGCGGCAGGGTTCCGTTTGATAGTACGTGGTCCGTCCAGCGGGACACGAGGACCGGCGCGCAGTCGAGGCGGGCCCTTGACGTCGCACAAAGTGAGGTAAGGCCAGTATGCCTACGCTAGAGAGGACGCCGAATTCCCAAATATTGAGACGAGGCGAGACAAGACGAGACAAAAATAGGAATCACAGTAGTGCTTTGTCTTGGTGTCCGCTGTGTAATAATTGTTGTTGCTGCTTTCTTCTCTGCTCCCATGAGAGGGGTCGAGTATGGGAGGGGGGTTAAAATCTTGAGTGTATGGAAAAAGGGACGTGGTACCTACATCTCTCGCTTACCTAAGGGAGAGACATTGGCAAGGTCCTGGAAAGGGGGGTCGGTGGGCAAATGCTCTTATTCAATTTAGCAGCAGAGCCGTCCGTTGGGTGGAGTTGACAGAGAGTTGAGACTTGAGGTGACATGACTCTCACTTACTCACTCACTGGACGGCTAGACTTTATGAGATGAGCTCACTTGTGATTTAGCCCTGAGCACATGTCGTCGTCTATATGAGTTGGTCACGGGTGAGAGATGTCATGCGGTTTAGGGAATAGGGCCAAAGTACACTTGTGACAAGGCGATGACCGGCAGTGTGGAATTCGGCAAGGAGCATAAAGTAAGGAAAAGTCGAGTCTGCGAAGAAGACCTTGGCCGAGTCTGTATTCGTTGACCGTAGGGCCGACCTTGCCCCCCTCCTCTTTCAATTTCCACACTTGGGTTCACTTCACAGTTCTTCCCTCCTTTTTCAAGCAAGCAACCAAGTCCTTCATCATGTATGAGGCCGGTTACCATGAGGACCATATCATGGTCCTGTAGACAGACGAAACTCTGCGACACTTGAATAGGTACCTCCACTGCTAACTGTAGACTACGGAGCACTTGGTACAACGTCCTAGGATTTCATACGTTAGTGCGGTACTTACGGAGACGGACTTAACTAAATTCGGTAATAGCCCTACAAAATCACAATACTTATACTTATATATAAAATAAATAGTAAAATAAGGATTAATACTTTTTTTTACTTTATTAAAATATTAAAAATAATTATAATATTAATAAAATTAATAAAAAAATTAGTAGGAAAATAATAAAATATTTATAAATAAGAGGTTTAGTTTTAGTAGAGAATTTCGGCTTTTAGATCTAAAAGTACTGCCTCTAGACCGGCTATAGAAATTAGTCGAAGAAGATAGAACTGGTACTTGCAGTGGACCCTCCCTGTCATTTCACTGCGCTAACGTATGAAATCCCTGGGTAGGTGTACACGAATGCTCTGTAAAAAGGCCGAATAGCCAATGAAATAGTGCAAAAGATACGGCCCCAAGTTGAGCTATTCCTTACACGGCAATAATCGGCTCCCTCCCTCCTTCTCCCCAACCCTTTGATCAATCAAATGCTAAGCGTTTCTTTTGGCACCCCCTGGACACTCTCGCACACTCTCGCACTCTCATACCCAAGGTAAGGTACTCTTCCATCCCTTCCTCCCCCTCTCCCAACCCAATCCAAATCGCTCCAAATCCCCATCACCAGCCCCATTTCCCATGCTCTCTCAGACCGCCCACCGGTTGCTCACCTACCTAGGTGCCTCATCTAGCCTGGTGCTGCAGAGGAGTGCACCCACCCCAGACACCCAGTTGAAACATCGCCGTCCACCATGGGTACTGTGGTACAACCACGAATACCTGCTTTCGGTCCTCGCCTTGTCTCTGCTTCGTTTCGTTTCGTATCGCGCATCGCCTGGCGCGCGCTCTCTAGACTCTCTCTAGTCTACTAATAAAGTCTGGCCACGAGGCCGGTTCAGAGTGTCCATGTTTTTTGGTGCTTCTCACCTCCACCCACCTCGAATCTTCCGCACTTTGCACTCTACATCTCGCATATTCCCCGCCAGCCTACGCATCGGCACCAGCAGCAGCAGCCGGAGTCACAGTCACATTCCCCTGCTGCGGCTTTTCACACCTCCATTTCTCGAAGCTCGAATCGGTCTACGGAACTTGCAGTACCTTACGGTTTACCTTAGACTCACAGGTCGACCCGCCGCCAAGCCCACTTCTTCCCTCTTGTCCGCCTCGGAGCTCAGACTGCTTTTCAACCCTCTATCCGGCCGGTCTACCCAAAGACAGTCTGTGCGCCTAAACCAAACGAACCCCCCCCCCCGTCCCCCGTGCTCCCCCTCCTCCACCAGTGCAAAAGGCGAGGGAAAACCAAGACGCCTATGGATACAGCGCACGCTGTCTCTACATCGACAGTTCCTTCGCCCAAAAGAGCAGGCATCTGGAAATTAACGATTGCAACCTCGCTGGTGGTCCTCCGGCCGTTGCCGCCGCCCCTACTAAGTTTACTGGTCCTAGAATCCTAGTCCTTCTCGGATGCTCCTCATCGTCGGACTTCGACTCCATACCTACGCAGATCCCCTTTTTTTTGGTCACCTTTTCCACTTTGCCTCGCGCCAGGTCCTTTCGACGGTACTGACCTGCTAGGTACAACACACGTCCGTACCTTGCTGCGACTCTACAGTGTTCTCTGTACCCCGCCGTACCTTGCCGACGGCCTCAATTCTTGCTGCTCACCGTACCTGAGTCGTCTCGAGACCGCTATCCCCGTCGCTGTCGCCAGTCGCCGCTCGCTGTCTCCGTCGTTATCGTCTTCGACGTTGATCCTGTTCTGCCTGCCGCACCCTCGCTTGAAGCTAAACACCCAAGACTTCGCCTCGCTCCCGACTCGACTCGACTTGACTCAACTCATTGACTTTGACCCGATCGACTCCCTGCGCCTTCCCTGATCCTAGGTGCGTAAAGTTCATGTTCGTGCCTTGCTTCGTACTCCATAATCTCCAAGCTCGTTGCCCTTCTCGTCCACTCCCCTCCCCTACCATCCCCGTCCACATCCTGTGCCCATTTGTCCTCCACACCCTAGCCCACATCCCACTCCATCTCTTGTGCGTCGCTTCCTGTCAACTGTGGGGAGGAATAACGGACAAAAGAGAGGGAGAGAGAGGGAGAGAGAAACACGCACAAAAGACGGAGCAGACAAGGCTTCGCTCGCTCAGCCCAGTCCCAGTCCCAGTCGAGCCGAGCCCAGTCTAGCCCAGGAATCCGCCCCGGAGACACAGACGCACAACACGCACAGAGTGAAAGCCAGCCCAGATACTCAACCGGAGCCTACCCGTCATAACGTACTGGGGGCCTAGTAAAGCCGGATGAACAAGCGAACCTGGGTTGGGATTGCTTGAGCTGGGGTTTCTGTTCGCTTCATCATCTACTCATTTTTTTCGTTTGTGGCATTTTCCCTTCTCATCGTTGGATTCCGCTTCTTGGGCTTTCTCCTGGCCCCTAGATTGTCGTGTCTCTTCAGTTTGCTCTCGTTTGTCACCCCGATCCCCAATCACGAGGCGGCTACTCTTTACACTTCCCGTCCCACTTCTCACTACCATCATTCTTGTCTGCTTCTTTTGAACTGCTCTGGCGTGTTCGAGTCTCGTGGCACCGGCGCCGACAGACTTTGCCAATCTGGCGCAGGAGCGGTAGTTTCTGCCGAAGAACTCTACCTTGCTCTACCGACTCCGTCCCCAAATCCCGCCCTACATGAAAAACCTCTCAACCTCCTTGTTGAGCCTTTGAGCGCTTTTCTTTTTTCCCAAACCGCCGAGACTGTCTCTGTTGCGCATCGCTCTCCAGGCTGTACCCACAGCCTGGGGGCTGATTGTGTCGCAATGTCTGGCCCGGGACTAACCTCGAACCAGTCTTCCGCGCAGGGCGATCTCTCGCGCTTTTCCGATTCGGAGACAGAGCAGGACAGATCTCCTCCTACTACAACAACAACAACAAAGTCGACTTCGGACATCCTCTCGGGCGTATATCGCGGCTTCAAAAAGTTCGCTCCGAGTAGAGACGGCGAATCGAGGCTGACAAGACAGCCGTCACTTTCTCGCCTGGGTCTGCACAGCGTCTCGCCGAGCTTGGCCTCGTCGCCCTCTCCGCCCGCCTCTTCGACGCCCACACCCGTTTCAAACTCTTCGAAGAATCGCCCGCTTCAGCTTCAGCATGGGAGAAGTCTGAGTCTACAGAGCAGCCTCGCCAAACCTCTACCCGAAACGCCAGCATCGATTCCTTCTCCCACAGGGCCCGAAGCCCCTCCCACACAATACAATTTGGGGGGTCTCGGTGCTATAGAGGAAGCTCCGGCCGATGATATGTATAGTCGCACCAGTACGATGGACTCTAGCGCTTCAGCGGAACGATCCCAGGTGTACAGCGGCGGATCAGGATACAATGCAGACATGGCCAGCAGTCAGAGCAGCTTAGCAAGCTCTTCGAGGCAAGATGGCGCTGAAGATAATAGGGAACCCCCGAACCTGACTCCGCGGAGCAACGGCCCCTTGTCAGCAGGCCCTTCTCCATCTTCCAACCAGTCTTCCAACCAACAAAGGATGGCCGCCTCAGCGATCGGTACCCCTACTACGTCCTCATCATCGGCGCATCTCTCTGGTCTCATGTGCAACGTACACAGGACAACGGGCAGGGAACCGCATCCGCTCGTCGGAGCCACAACAACTATACTCGGGGATAAGCTTTATGTCTTTGGGGGAAGGATCCTGTCGCGGAGTCGCCCGGCTCCCCTGACATCCGACTTGTACGAGTTGGATCTGATCCGTAGACATTGGTCGAAGCTTGAAACCACAGGCGACATACCACCACCTCGATATTTCCACTCCATGTGTCCATTGGGAGACACTAAGCTGGTGTGTTATGGAGGCATGTCCCCCACACCAAACCAAGCGGCTACAGGCCCGGATCAACAGCCTGAGGTGACCGTCATGTCGGACATCTACGTCTACGATGTTCCCACCCGAAAGTGGACCTATATTCCGACACAAGATCCCCCGCAAGGACGTTACGCACATTGTGCCTGCATCTTGCCCTCGTCGGCAGCGTTCGCGTCACACAAGGCACCACTGTCGGCATTGCAACACAATCCGTCGTCCGGCAATCCCAACGAGGGGAGAATAGGAATCAACATTGATGGAACAGGCGGTGCTGAGATGGTCGTGGTTGGTGGTCAGGATGGCGCAAACCACTACATTGAGCAAATTAGTGTTTTCAACCTCCGCAGCCTCAAGTGGACCGCCATTGAACCTCTCGATAAGAGTTGCGGCGCATATAGAAGTGTCGTTGCGCCTTTACCGCCCTCTGTCACGGCGCGAATTGGGAAATCAAGCGCCAATGGATATCAACGGGAGGGCGGCATCAGCCAAGAAGCTCGGGAACCCGGATCCTCCATGCTTATCTATTCAAACTACAACTTTTTGGATGTCAAGCTCGAATTGCAAATCCGATCCTCGGACGGCACCTTGACGGAGAAGCCCATGTCAGGCTCTTACTCGCCCCCTGGATTGCGATTCCCGAATGGCGGCGTTATTGACACATATTTTGTCGTAAGCGGCACATATCTTACCTCTTCAAAGCAGGAGTATGCCTTGTGGGCTCTAGATCTTAAGACTTTGACCTGGTCGCGCATTGATGCGGGCGGTGCAGTCTTTAGCCAAGGCAGCTGGAACCGTGGCGTGCTTTGGAACCGCAGAAACACATTTGTGATTCTTGGCAATCGGAAACGGAGTCTCGTCGATGACTATAACCATCGGCGTATCAACTTTTCCAATGTTTGCATGGTCGAGCTCGAGGCGTTTGGATTCTACGACAACCCGAGAAAGACAACGCCCATGTCTGGCTTCGTATCAGCCAGCAGTCCTTACACCAGCCCGGGCTTGAGTTTGGCTAGAAAAGCAGGCACTACGGCAGGTGGGCGTTTCCACTCCAGGGCGGCCGAGGAGCTTGGCGAAAAGGCACTGGCGATGCGGGAGCTTTCCGACATGGACATCCTCTGCTTACACGGTGAGCGAATACCCATCAACTCGAGGATGGTGGCACGACGATGGGGCCCATATTTCGTGCAGCTGTTGCGGGAAGGGACGGCGACTCAAGACGGCAGTGATGCCATGACTCTGCGATCTGGAGTCAACAATCCCATCAGAAACTCGGCTCTGACGATCACCCCATCCCGTAACACAGCCGAAAGTTCGACTTCCATGGCTAGTACTGTCCTCTCATCCGGGTCGTCGGCAAAGGCACCCAGTACAGCCCCGACAAGCGCCTCCGGCGCCTCTTTCTCTCTGCCAGGTTCCGCCGGCGGCGCCGACCCCGCGACAGTCAACTCGGCGCCGACACCAAGATCTCTACCGCCCAACTCGCGGCCTCGGTGCTTGTATCTTCCCCATACCTATCTCACCGTACAAGCCCTCCTGCACTTCCTCTACACGTCCTCACTGCCACCTCCGTCATCGCCTTTGTGCACGCCTCCTATCCTTTGCTCACTCCTCCAAATTGCCCGCCCATACCGAATCGACGGGCTTCTCGAAGCGGTAGTCGAGCGTCTGCATGCCCTCTTGGACTCGAGAAACGCAGCCGCCGTCTTCAACGCAACCGCCATGGCCGCCGGCGGTGGCCGTGGCATCGACGGTTCCCTGAACCCCAACTTCTTCGTGCCCTTGGACGCAATGGGCTCTCCCATGTTCCCTTCAGAGGAGTCCCAGAACGGCAGCGGCAGTACGGATCTGCATGGACTATCTTCGCGCACCGCGGCGCTGCGCATCAACACCGCCATGGCCTCTGGCCGGCCCTCTAGCGACGAACTCAGCGCTACGACGAGCGTCAGCGGGTCTGAATGGAGTTCAGAGATCGGCGACTCGGAGCGGGGAGGTCTGCGCGAGGTCTGGGGAGGTGAGCTTAGCTCTGTGATTGGCCTGCAGAAGCGAGGATTGCGAGGCCTCATGGAGGGTAGGAGAATGCGCGAGCGTACCGGGACAAATTCGGGCGGGAGCATGAGCGGAGGTATGGGATCGTACGGTGGAGGTGGTGGTGGTGGTGGTGGACAAGGCCGGGTCGGTCTGGGTATTGCTGGGCCATGAAGTGAGATACTCAAAGAGGAGGCATTGGAGAGACGAACGAAGAGACCATGGGGCGTGGAGGTAATGAATTTATGACAGCATGGCCAAAATGCAGCAGATTCCCCCAGGCGAGCGGTGGTAGCAGCGTCAGTGTGACGGCAGTGAGGCGAACGAGGCTCTACTTCTGTTGTGTTGAAGAAAGAAAGAGATATATGTGCCTTTGTCTATGGAGGCTACCTACGCTGAACTCCTCCCAATGACCACCTAACCCGGTGTATACCTCACCTCCAAACGTGCCAAGAAGCCGCCTTGAATGCGTGTAGGAAACCAAAAAAACGCCTGCCTATGAGCTTTCAAGCCACAAATTCGCAAAATTGCATGCTTGCTTGCTCCCTCCTCCCTGCGGCCGTGTAATTCGACATCTGTCCGACTCGAAGCGTGCATGCATATTGACTCAGCCCGAAAAAGGGCAGGCCCCGCGGCCGCGGCACTTGAGCATCTCGACCCCCTCGGCAAGCTCTACGGTACCCATGCCCATCTTCTCCTTGGGACCGATATCCTCGACGAGGAAGCCCTGCGGCATCATTTTCTCCGAGCCGGGGACTGTGCCCCCGAGAAGACGAGTGGCTAGCGCGACCGGACCCCAGCGGTTCCAAAAGGTGGCGGGGATGTAGTACGGGTGGACGAGGTAGTCGTGGTGCAGGATGCGGCCCGTCTTGGGGTTGGGGTCGGAGAAGAAGACGACAGGAGAAAGGCGAGGGAGCATGAGATGGCGAACGACGAAGCGGCGGGCGACGAGGGCGGCGTAAGCGGTTACGGATGCAACGATCCCGGGCTCGGGGAAGCTGTGATTAACATATACTTTGTCAATTTCCTTCAACTGAAGAGAGGGAGAGAGGGGGGGGGGGGGGGGGGGGAGGGGGGCAGGGGAAAGGAAACACCCCCGAACAAGGGAGGCCTGGAGGGCCCGCCCGCGGCGACCACGCCCCCATCAGCGCAGACCGCTGCACGATCAGGGCCGTCGGCCGCGGAGGGGACGGGGGGGGCAAGCAGAATCGCCCCCCCAACCCGTGTCGCGAACGCGGTCTCCCATGAGGACGGTCAGCACCTCCTGCGCAAAAGGCTTGGCAAAGGTCGGGACGTGCCAGAGGAGCATGCGGGTCAGCTGGGCGCCGGCCTGGATGTTGGTACCCGCGGGCTTCATGGCGTCGATCTCGTAGCGTTTAGCCCAGGCTGTGATGTCCTCGACGAACTCGATGCCGTTGGCCCACGAATCTTGGGTGAGGTAGCCCTTGTACTTGATGTCCATGGCGTCGCCAATGGCCTTCCAGTGGGTTCCGATGGCGCAGATTTCCATGTCGGTGAAATTGCGCCACTCGTAGAAGCGCATGAAGTGGATGGGCTCCGTGATGCAGACGGCGAGGGTGTAGAGGAAGTCGGCGTTGGAGATTTGGTTGCGGGCCTTGTAGCTGCTGTGGAGGAAGTTCATGCGGGAGATGGCCTTGAGGGCGCGGTCCGAGGTGGGCGGGTTCAAAGAGAATCTAGGAGGAAACAGTCAGATGGGAGCTGGAAGTAGTAGGGAGACAGCGGTGGGGGGTGTTCCAACGTACTCGCCAAAGATGATGGTTGTGTCCTCATATCTGGAAAAGGGTATGTGAGCTGACTTGGCCAAGACTTGAAGCAGACTTGGTGTAGTAGACACGATGGGTCGTGCTGCACTCCTTGAGTCTCACCTCTTCTGCGCATTCTCAGGGTCGGCCAAGTTCTTGGTGGCGACGATGAGCTTGGACACGGTCTCAAAGCCATAAGTCTGTATTTTTGGTATCAGCCACCAGATATTACATTGTATTCGCAAAGGACCAAACAGGTAGACAGACCTTGAAGATGGCGAACTGGAGAGAAAGCAAATAGAATTTGGGAAACTCATACTCGATGAGGTGCTTGAGGATGAGCTGGGCATCGGTGTTACTCATGCCCGCAAGAGAAGCGCGGTCGGTGTAGCCCAGGCGTTTCTGCAGGCTGTTGATGCGTCTGAAGCGGAAAGAGGCACACAATACGAGCCAAGCCACGACGAAAGCTCCCATCACCGAGGTGGTTGGCCATGACATTAGGAGAGTAGCATCGCTCATGCTGGTGGATGTGCTATGACCTGTCGGGACTGAGTGGGTGAAGTTGGATGTCTCAGAATCCATTGGATATAAGAATAGGTTCCTGGTAAATCGATCTGATATACTGCAGTTCTGTGGTCCTGCGATCCTGCGATCTTTTGATCTTGCGATCTTGAATTGAGATGTCGCTAGGGAAAGTGCAGTGGGCAAAGGTGAGTTATTTTTGCGGTCGGCTAAGGCGTGTCAGTCTGTGAATTTTCTAGTACTCAATGTGAGACCACCGACTGTTGAGGAATGTGTCTGGCAAGGCATGACAAGTAAAGGTAAGGCACCTGAGTCGTAAAGGAAAGAAGAGAAATGGAAGAGGGGATGTTGTTTGTGTTTAAGGCAGGTCACACGTGTCACAGGTGAGCAAAGTCGCTCTTACCCTCTCTGTGTCGCTCTCTCGATTCAAATGCTTGTCTTAGTGGATAAGGAGAGAGGAGGACTGTGAGGATGTGTTGTGAAGTAGGTGAAAGACGACTGCGATGCTGGTAGACCTTAAGAAGGCGGGGATAACGCGAGGAGGAACCAATCGTCAGCAGACAACAATTGGCTTCCAAAGTCCCTCTCTTCCCCCAGCGATCTGAGGTGAAGATGCCGATGAGGTTAGGCCTGAACGGAATGAGGTAGGCATGTAGGTTAAGAATTGGAGTAAGCCCAATTTGGGTTGGAGTGTTGAAGTACTAGAAGGTAAAGTAGGCGAGAGCAGGGGTCTCCCCTAATCGGTTTTATCTACCCAGGTTTCGCCTCGCCGAACGGCCGTCTGTGGAAAGAACGGACTGGACAGTTTTTGAATGCTTGGTCCCACCGCCTTTGACTTGCTTTGTTAGCTTTGCTTTCCGCTGCAGATCTGGAGGGGTAAATTTGGCCCTTCACTTCTTCTTGAGCCAAGGTGGGAGCCGCAGCCACAAGATCTTTTACCCCATAAGCTATGCATTCTTTCCTCATCCGATAACAAAGAAACAGGGTCTGGATCTCACTGCACCAGCTGTCGCCGACATGGCTGAAACGCTCCTGTAGCTCACATTCAGCTACAATGAGACAGCTGGTGCATTACGTCTCTTTGAAAGCCAGCTATTGGAAGCCCCCTCCTGTGGTGCCTCGATCCTGGTGTAAGCCACATCTCGTCCCAAGCCATGTCCGGCAAGGGTGCCTAACTTGCTTTCCTATCAAGTACAGATAGGAAGTTGAAGATTTGTCTCTGAGCATCGTCGTTTAACACACAGCTAATAGAAGGGTAATCATTTGACGACTTGCAAGGTCATCATCATTGGAAGGGACACTACTCGTCCATCGGCAAGCCCTGCGCAACTAAGATTAGAGAGGGCTGCTAAATGGACCGTGCCCGAGCTATTGGTAGCCCGGCTGGCTTCTTCTGTCACTTTGCCACCGGCATTTCAATGCTCGCACCCATTGGCCGTACAGGTAGAAGTTGAGGCGAAAGTTCGAGGTTACCTTACGAACCAAAGTCTTTCCTGTAGATGGTCTTGATGCGGAGTAAACTCGGGAGCGCAAATGGTAAATCCGAATCGAAACTCACTTCAACAACACCGATTCACCAATCACTCTCAAAAAGACACATGTCTACTATCCCAGTGTACATCAAGATATTTTGGTCCAGGGCTCCGCAGGTCACTTATTCTTCAACAACATCGAGCATTGGGAGCCGCTGTTCATATCATCGCCAGATACCTGATAGGGTGGGCGACTGTTATTGTCGAATCCAGCTCCTTGACTTCAGGGCAGCTTGAGGGCTGGCGAATTTGTCGTCGCACAGGAAGAAACAAGTGGCCATTCTCGACGTCTTTCCATCCATGACCAAGGGTGTATGTTAGACGACGTTGCAGCAGCCTCGTACCTACAGCACGGCACGGCGATCTTTAGGGCTTCACTGCCCTTCGAATATCGAGTCGATTGATCATCCTGCATGGCGTGCGGATCGGTAGCGTCTGTATACTTGGCGTTTCCGCCGTCGTTCAGGTCGTCTTCGGGTCAGGAGAGAAACAAGCGCTCGGCTGCGGAGGTTGCTTTGCAGATGCGGCCTTCCTTGGAGGGTTGTTTGACATTGATTAAGTGCATACATACGGCCCCGGCTATGTGTTGGTTCTGCAAGCGATAGAGAGGGACACAAATGGAGACTTGCGAGGCGAGCCTTGGATTCCTTGCTTCTACACTAGATAATTTGCGCGACACTCTAGAAAGGAAGAAAGGGCACGCCGCCCCGCGAATGTGTTTCTGTGGAGAAACACCGGCCCGCTGTGGACCCATGAGCAGCACATGTTACCTTACTACGTAGGTCCCTTGTCCGTACCTACCTCACCTACCTTACCTATCCGTATCCGTAGTGTGGTTCTATTTCCACTCCTGGCCACTCAAAGGCCCGGCTATCACTCATCGAGGTCCACTGGTAATGAACGGTCCCACTCAGCCTTCGAGGCGCGCGTCTAATTACCTTAACCTTCAATTTCCATGCTGCTGCTTTCCCAAGCCCCTACCTCACCTTTCCCACCTCATGCTGTTGACGCTCGCTCACTTACATTGGGACATACACATTGGTATCCAGCCCTGGACTTCTGACCTTAGCGAAACCAAATGGTTCATGCCAAAGTCGGAATTTATGCTTATACGTGCCCTATGGCATCTTCATGCAATCTCCTGCAACTCCTGTCAGGTTCCCGGACGAAGCTGAGCTCCCTCTCGAGTATACGCTTCGCGACGCGTCTCCTGGCCCCATCTTCGTCGATCGGGTTGCAGATCGGACCCCAGACAGAGTGGTCCCTTGCTTCGGATACTACCAAGTATCCGCACTCAACGGCAGGCCACAGGTCTCCTGGTCTTGACCGTCTTAACTTAGTTCATCTACCACATAACCCACCTTGCCCACGGTGCCACCTAACGCGCGCTCGCAATGCAATGCGCCTATCCTTCCTCATCTCCCGCCTCCCGCCTTATTGGCTCTTCCGCCGCGGTCGTGGGGGCTGCGGACCGTTCCAACAGTCTACGAATAGAGGTTCGAAGCTGGCCCCGTCTGCTCGCTACCTACTATGAGGGACGACTTGTCCGACCCCACGCATGTCGTGGCATGATCCATCTCTAACACGGCCGATAACCTCCTCCAAATAGGGATCGCGAGCGCGGCAAGGCTGGCGCCTACTCATACCCACTATCTCTACCGGCTTCAATCCTCTTTCCGGCCCCAGTCTCTGCCCGTTTGAGCTCTCTGCTCCCTTCTTCGGGACCCTGGCAACCCGTTCGATCATGCCCCAGGGTTACTGTAGCCGCCCTCCAGACCCGGCCAGTTCTACGCGCCCAACTTCAGACAGACGCCCATCCCCAGGAGACGTCTGGCCAATGTCTGCAGCAATAGGACTCGTTTTCTGTCTCTCTGGACACACGAGACGGGTTTCATGGGAGCTCTGGCAGCTCGTTTGGTCTCGTTCAGTCAAGTTGCTCTGTTTCAAAATTCCATGATCCTGGTCCCATCGCAACCGCGCTTCTGTGTCGCTTTGTCTCCGCGGCCGACTGTGATATTGCTTAAAGTCAGGCCCAGTGTCCGGCTCATCGACCTCCTTTTGACCTTGAATTCGCTTGTCAAGACAGTTCTCTCCATCTCACAACAGTTTCCTTTTTTTTCCCTCTCTCCTATTTCCTTTTCTCGTCATAGTCATCATATTTCCTAAGTCGGATTTTCTAGATTCCTTCAGTCCGCCAACCTCCTTTCGCTCCATTCTGCCGCCATATAACCATTACCGGCCTTTTCATAAAACACCTCCAGGCGAGGCGCAGAATAACCATCAACACGGGACACTCGCTTCATTTCTTGCAGTCTAATCAGTAATCTGCACGCATTCACTATATACCGGGCAACTCGTTCTCCAGGTTGCCTACTCTTTTCGATATCTACTTTCCCGAGTTATCATGCCCAAACACACGCGGGCATCCAGTTCGAGCCACAACCGTTACGGCAACCAGATGCCAATTTCTCTCGCTCCCGCAGCAAACCCAATCGCCATGTACAACCAACGCATGGCCATGCCACAATCGGCTTACTACACCTTGCCGTCCTCTTCGGCCCCCATGCAGCAACAGCCGCAGCCCACGTACGAAAGCTACGCCCCGGTGTCTGCGCCCCCGGTTTCCGTACCCCCGATGCAACATCGCGCCTCCTCGGGGGCCTGGACTCCCCAGGATGACCAGCAGCTGCTCGCAGCCCGCGCTCAGGGCCTCAACTGGGGTCAGATCCAGATGACCTACTTCCCCAACAAGACTCCCAACGCGTGCAGAAAACGTCACGAGCGCCTGATGGAGCGCAAGGGAGCCGACGACTGGGACAACCGCAAGCACGAACGCTTGGCCAAGGAGTACATGAGCATGAGAAAGGAGATCTGGTCTGGTCTTGCTGCTCGCACGGGAGAGAAGTGGAACGTCGTCGAGGCCAAGGTACGATGGAACCCTCCTACAGCAACATGATAACCTGGCTAACCTCGCGCCCATGTATAGTGCATGTCGAACGGTCTCAAGAACCTACAAAGCGCGGCCCGCGCCGGGGCCAGACGGGAGCGCCTAGAGTCAGGGCAGCCACTACCACCAGGGTATGACGATGACAGCGGCATCAGCGGCCTAGGGTTAACCCCAGTTGACGAACTAGACGCGTCCTACAGTAGCCCGGAAACTGTGTCTTCTGGACACTCCGCCAGCGGCAGCAGCGCCTCGGCCGCGGGCTACATCGCCTCCCTCCACCACCTTCAGCCAATGCACGCCGCGCAGTACGGCTACGGCCACACCGGTGCCCACCACGGATACACCAGCTCGGTATCTTCGAACGGCTCGGTCAACGGCGGATACGGCAACCACGGCCAGTCGCAGTCTCCCAGCCCTTATCTTCATCCTCACGGCCAGAGGTTGCCGAGCGTGGATATGGGGATCGACGCCATCATCAACCGACCTGGTGGCGGCGGCCAGCAGCAACCCATGTGACTGCATGGCTCACACGATGTGTCCTCTCCATGGACTTGACTCCTATTCACCTCAAGAGTCAGGGTTTCTTCACCCTTCTTTTTCTCTCTTTTTCTTTCTTTCTTCTCAATTTCCTTCGGGGTCATGGCGTTGCTTTTTTGCAGGGTTTTAGGAGGTGTTTTCGGCGTTGCGTGGGTATTCAACTTAACCTAAATATGGCTTCAATTTTCGATATAGGTAAGAAACTTGGGCACTCTTTTACAAGTTACCTTACTTTGCGCGATGGATGAACAGCACAAAGGGAGCAATCGTTGCTGCCGTATAATGACGAACGAATGATCAGAATAGCACTTGGAAGTGGGAAGGCTTCGTGATTACTTTTTTGTATACTAGCATCTATAGAGATACCAGAGGAGAGAGACCAGGTTGAAAAAAAAGGAGGGGAGGAACCTAGGAAACTGCCAATGGAATGCTTTCTTTTTACTTAAAAAACAAAGGGAAAATATGCAATCAACTTTTTATATACACCGGCGCTTTTGTTTTTTTCTTATAAGCAACACTGGCTTTACAGAGCGGGGTCTTTTTATCTTGAACCCAGAAATCTAGACCGGACACCACTATGGGTATTGATGGTTCCCACGAGGGCAAACGAGCAACACTATCATACATCCGAGTTCTACACATGACACGCGAACCAGCCTCGCCCGTCCGCTACCTATCTCGCGGTACAGGCAACGTGACCGGCATCTCATTCAGCTCATCATCCTCCTCCCACTCGTCATCGTCGTCCATGCCAACAACGCTATTCCACACACGGCTCCACATGCCCTTCTTCTGCAGCAGCGCCAGCACCATGACGACAGGCAAATGCCAGACACTGGCCCAGAACAGGCCCCTCGCCGAGCCCTTGTGGCCCTCGTACTTCCAGAAGCGAACCGCCTCGCGCGTCAGCCACGCGTTGACGGGAAAGCTCGTCACGGCGAAACTCCACTCCGTCACGCCCGCCGCGCAGAGCGCCACGCAGATGGGCACGAAGACGATGCTATACCGCAGAGCAACGCGCGCGTTGCGCGCCGGGTTCGTCCACGCGAGCATGCGCAGCCCCGCCGCCTTGTACTCCTCCCTGATGGACCACGAGAGCGCCATGAAGTGCGGGAACTGCCAGGCGAAGAGCAAGCTGGCCATGAGCCAGCCGCCGATGGAGCTGCCGTCGCTGGCGAAGAGGAGTTCCCGCCAGGACCCGTCGCCCGAGGCCGTCTCGCCTGCTGCGGCGGCCCAGCCCATGAGCGGGGGGATGCCGCCGACCACGGCGCCGAGCCACGTGTTTGCGGCGCTCATGGCCTTCATCGGGGTGTACATGCCGGCGTAGATGATAATGTTTGCGCCGCCGAGGAAGGCTACCGTCGGATTGACGCCAAAGTAGAGCGCGCCCATGCCGGTGAAGGCGGTCGTGACGGCGAAGAGGACGGCGGCCCTCGTGGAGAGCAGGTTCCTGACTAGGGGGCGGTTCCTCGTCCGCGACATCTTGGCGTCGGTCTTGGGCTCGTACAGCATGTTGAGGGAGTTGGCCGAGGCGGAGCAGAGAGCGGTGCCGGTGGTGAGGAAGAGGAGCGTCAGCGGGCTCAGGGAGGGCGACTCGGTGATGGCGGGGGAGAGGAAGTCGGTAACGGGGTATAGGGCGTAAGAGGCCATTGCGGTCAAGACGACGAGCGCAGAGAGTCGGGGCTTTGATAGGGAGAGGAGGATGGAGAAGATGCGCCGGGCGGAGTGGGCGGGCTGTTGGGCGGCGACACTCGTGAGGGCGGAGGAGGCATCCTGAGAAGGGAGGACGTCGGTAGAGGAGGACGAGGAAGGTGCGGCGGCGGCTTCGGCGGCGGCTTTGCGTCTCGCGGCCTGTCGACGACGATGCGGCAGGTCTTGATTTACGTCAATGGGGGCCGTCGACTCGGAGCGCGCGGTCGAGGAGGAAGACGACAAGGGGCCCACGGAAGCTGATGAGCTCCGGCTGCCGAGGGGTCGGGGCCGGACATTGGCGCGGTCGAGGACGCTGTTGGAGAGGAAGTAGCTCGCACTAAGACGCACGGCGGGGGCCGCCTTCGCGGCCGTCGTAGAGGCGGCCCGGCTCGGGATCGACAACAGAGGAACGATACTGATGCTGCTGCTGCTGCTGCCGCCCCGCGGGGTGGCGGCGCCGAAGGCTTTCCGGACGCATTGGCGACAGATATTATCGAGCTGGCGAGGGCGCAAGAGCAAGTTGGGAGCTGGCCGCATTGTTCTTGCTCTGCTCTGCGCTCATGTCGGCCTGGGGCGAAGAAAGGGCCTGGTTGGCGGCGGCAACAGGATGTTCGCTGGACTCTCTCTCTCTCTCTTTCTCTCAAACGCGGACCATGCGGAATCGGCGTGTTTTCGGGGACTCGAAACTCTGTGACGGAGGGCGGAGGGCGGCGGCGCGCAGACGACAGGAGGATTGGGTCGCTGCTGGCTGGGGATCGGTAGGGATGGGCTCGTGGGCCGAGATTGAGCGTCGGTTCGCGGAGCAAAGGTGGACTGAGAATGGGAGGTGAAAGACGTAAGAGATCGAGAATCAGCCGGGCGACGGAGCGGATGGGCTCAGGAAAAAGTTTAGCCAATCAGATAGCTGCTGGTGGTGGAAGAAAAGCTGCCCCACAGGGCCGTTGGTGGACGGCCGCCAATCGGGCCCGCACGCCCGGTGCATCTCGGCCCCGGCCGCCGGCTTTGTCGCAGCAAAATCCTGCGTCACTGCAACAACCCCCCAAACTTTCAATTCATGAGGTGGTTAGGTATCAACTCTTAAAGCCGGGCTCGCTCTGCTTGCTGTCTGTACCGTCCCAATTCAACCGGTGCAGGTCATTGCTCGGCCGAGCTTTTACTGGCTTCTTGGTATCGCACTAAACCAGAAGAGCCAACCGTAGAATCCTGATCCAATCTGGGCCATATCTTCGGCTGTCTTGGAAATATTGAAGGAGTCTCCAGACAGTAGCCGGCGGGGAAGGCGGCAGAAGTTGAGCAAGCTTAAAGATGTGCCACAGGGCTCGCCTACAACTGACTAGAGCAACCCCGTGAGCTTCCGTTGCCGGCTAATTCGAGGCTCATAGGAAACACCCGTCATTATCCAAATGATGGACATCAGCTGCAAGTGATGTAGGCCCCCAGGTCTCCACTCACAGACATCCGTTGCCCCGAATCATGATCAGCATAAGAAGAGACATCTCAAGAAAGAAGTTGTCTCATTGAAATTTCATCAGCTTCTTCAGGACACTGCACGTTTCTGTTTTAACCCAAGATCAAATAACTCAGCGTATATCAACATGGCTCTGCGCATCGCCATCATTCTTCTCGCCGGCACTGCCTTGGCCATGCCTGCCGACATCATCTCCGTCCGGATGGCCGACTGCGGCAAGGCCAAGACGAACATCCCCGCCATCAACGACGCCAAGCTGCCAGACCCCTTCACCTTCGCTGACGGCTCCAAGGTCACCACTAAGGCTGACTGGGCCTGCCGAGCAACCGAGATCCAGAACGCGCTGGAGCAGTACGAGCTGGGAGACTTTCCCCCGCCGCCCGACAAGGTCGAAGCATCTCTCTCCGGGGAAACCCTCAACATCAAGGTGACAGTGGGCACCAAGAGCATCAGCATGAGTGCCTCCGTCACCAAACCATCCGGCGCCGGCCCGTTCCCCGCCATCATCGGCATCGGAGGCGCCAGCATTCCCATCCCGGGCACCGTTGGGCAAATCGCATTTGGCAACGACGCCTTCGCCGCCCAGAACGGCCAGGGCAGCAGAGGCCAGGGCCTGTTCTACACCCTCTTTGGGCAGCAGCACAGCGCCGGTGCCTTGACGGCGTGGGCTTGGGGCGTCGGTCGAATCATTGACGGCCTCGAGCAGCTGGGCGATGGCAAGACGGGGATCGACACCAAGAGGCTCGGCGTGACGGGCTGCTCGAGGAACGGCAAGGGCGCCTTCGTCGTCGGCGCATTGGAGAAGAGGATCGTCCTGACGATCCCGCAAGAATCGGGATCCGGGGGCGCTGCGTGCTGGCGCATCTCGGACAGCGAGAAGAGCAAAGGCAAGAACATCCAGACGTCGGGGCAGATTGTTGGGGAAAACGTCTGGTTTTCTCGCCTGTTCAACACGTGGGCCACGAGGTCGTCTCAGGTCCCCGAGGACCACCACCTGCTGGCCGGGCTCGTGGCGCCGCGGGGGCTTTACGTGGCCGAGAATGACATTGACTGGTTGGGACCGGTGTCGACGACGGGTTGCATGAAGGCCGGGCGGCTCATCTATCAGGCTCTCGGGTTGCCGGAGAACATGGGCTTTTCTCTCGTCGGCGGGCACAACCACTGCCAGTTCCCGAGCGGGCAGAATGCCGAGTTGACGCAGTACATCAGCTACTTCCTCCTCAACTCCACGACCAAGCCATCCATCCTCGAGCGCAGCACTGTCAATGTGAACGTGAAGGATTATGCGACATGGACGGCGCCAACGCTGACTTGAAGACCGGCGTCGAAGCAGCCGCGAGGTACTCGGAGAGGAAACGCGAAGGGCATTCGGGCAGAATGAGTTGTTGAGGGGCGGAACGTCGGACGGTTTCTAGCTTGACTGGGGCAAGACTGTCAGACCTACATGGCAGAAACGATTGCTTGCATATGTGCAGTAACACAACATGCGAAAGCGACTAAAGCGACTATGGGTATTTACCCAAACATGTGAAGATGAGGCTCTTGCAAAGTAATTGACATTGATGCACGAACACAAACCTCGGCACGGCGAGTTGACGCGCTACAAACTGTGCAGGTCTGTCTGTGCCTTGTCTGTGCCTCTCTTTGAACGTCACGTTGGGAAGATGGTTCGATTCAACGGTATTGGACGCCTGAATTCAAGCTTGACCACGTGTAGGCCAATCAGAATCGTGATTTTCCCCGGGGTTAATGTTCATGTCATCAAATTCCATGTCCCACCAGCCGGTCCGATGTCTTTGGGATACCTACAAGTGGTTGTACCTCCCTACATTATTCCGTACTTTGGCCATGATTCGGACGGAAAGAGAGCACGCTTGGGAAGGCAAACTGAGAGGAAACAGGGGGGGACCAAGGCGCCGGCAGATTTACGACTCGTTTCGTCATCCAATCCACCGCAGGTCCATCCCTCCATCCCCTGCCTTAGCTCGCAGTTCGCCTACACTTTTCGTACCGCGTGATTCAGACGATCCCCAACGAATTCTCGACATCACGCGAAAAGGACTCCAAGGACTTCTTCACTTTGTCACCCAGCGAGCCGAGGAAGCGATACCGTGTTTGCATCTACAACAACTAACCAATATCCTGCATTCGCTTTGTGAAGTCCTCTCTCCTTACCGTACAAAACTCAGCATCATCTCGCACTCGTATTGGCAACCAACAGTCGCCCGTCTCTCATTCATGCCCATCATCATCACCAGCCAGCATTGAGATACACACAACACCAGACCAAAATGCTCGGGCGCACGCTTCACGAGTACATATTCATACGCGCCTGCATAACACCGCTCCGATACCCAGTAGTCCCCTACTTGGCACTCCTCTTCGCCTGCTTCCTCGGCGCAAACTACACCCAGTTCCCCTCGCGATGGGTCACCACCGCTGGGGTCATCACATGTATGGCAGCCACAGAACTCATATACGCTCTTTTCATCTGGCTGCCCTACACCAAGCGCCTGAGAGAACCCGCCAAACACCCCAGCCCATCCTCGCCAGCCGAACGCTTGGCGCTTTTCGAGCGATGCATGGCCACCATCCCAGACTTTGAGCGCTACATCCGCATGTGGTTCCTGGGCGCCGACATGTCAGACATCCGCCGTGACAACGTCCGCGAGTTCCTCCTCTGGGCCTTTTTCGACATGGGCGAGGACGACATCAAGAAAGCCAGCGCCAGGGACGGGGAGAACTACGACGTGGAGGTGGAACAATACGTAACTCGCAGTGAACGCTTGCTGGGCAGGCCCTTGAAGCCCGGTCGCGGGCCGGCCAAGTGCCTGCGCCTCACGATCGATTCCGTAGATACAAAGTACCGCTCGGTCTGGTGGTACGCCATCATGGCCTTTCTGGACCACGTCACACACCTCTCCTTACGTTTCTACGGATTTCAGTACTACGCGCAGCCTCGAGACAAGGCCATCTTCCCGCCTCGTCTCCAACAGACGTTTGCCAGCCGGCGGTCCTCGGCCGGCAACGTGAGCTACTGGCACCGCCCCCATCGCTCAGAAGGTCTGCCGGTGGTCTTCCTCCATGGCATCGGCATCGGGTTGTGGCCCTATGTCCGCTTCCTCGCCGAGATCACCAGCACTATGAGAAAAGGCCACGGCCAAACAGGCGTCATCGCCATCGAGATCCTCCCTGTTTCCTTCCGACTGACGGACCCACCGCTCGGCAAGGACATCTTTCTTAAACAGCTCAAGCAGATAGTAAACCACCACGCTTGGGACAAATTCACCCTCGTCTCCCATTCGTACGGTTCCATTTTGTCGACCCATGCCATGCGATGCCCAGACCTGCAGGCGAGGATCCCTCGGGCCGTGCTCATTGACCCCGTGAGCATCCTCCTGCACCTGCCCGACGTCGCTTACAACTTCACACGACGCAAGCCGTCGACTGCGAACCAGTGGCAGCTGTGGTACTTTGCGAGCATGGATCCCGGGGTCGCCCACTGTCTCGCCAGATACTTCTTTTGGAGAGAGAACGCCATCTGGGCTGACGAACTGGTTGGTTGCACAGCAGGATCGGAATCGGCGGGCGACGAGCGGCAGGAAGCGAGGCAGGTCACCGTATGCTTGTCCGGGTTGGACCTGATTGTCGACAGCCACGCCGTCGCCAGGTATTTGGCCGAGGGGGTTCAGGCGGGACACCCCGCATGGTTGCAAGGCGAGCATGACCGGCGTAACGTTGCCGTACCAAAGGCTGGACCCATATCTGGCATGGGTTACGAGAGTCACCGTTCCGCCGGGTCAGGCATCGACATCCTTTGGTTCCCAGACAAGGACCACGCGCAGGTCTTTGATTCTCCTAGTGCTATAACGCGAATTGTCGGTGCCATTTGGGGCGATGTTGGGGCAAAATAGAGATGCTCGATAGATATCATGACACCGGCGGATTTCCCGCGAGGTAGCCACAGTCTACACTTGCCCTGTGAAGCTGATCTTTCAGTGTATGGTGCTGCTGCTACGCACCGAGCGAGTGGCCAGTCACCACCGGTTAGAGTCCATCTCCACGACCGACCGATAGCATAGGGGTTACTTCGCTTCACTTCGCCCGGTCACCTCCCCAATCCGTCAAGCCCACCGTGACCGGCTGGGAACCGCTGCGAGTAATGACCCACACGGTATCTTGATCCGACTCGTTCAACAGTTGGTGCTCAGTCCAGGACGGAATGAAGGCAAAATCACCCGAGGACAGCTCATGTCGTTTGACTTCTTGCCCTGCACCGGGGCTAACGAATAAGATGCCGGTTCCGGAAGCCATGTAAACAATGGTATCTTGGCAAGCATTAGAGACACATTGCAAAGGGAGCGACAATAGGTAGGCCGGCATCGTGTAAGATGGAGATGGTGGGTTGAAATGGGGGAAAAAATCAGTCCTAACCTTGCTCGCCATGATGGCGGATAGCCGATGTCGCATGTGGGTTCAAAGTAATGACTATTCGAATTAGCTGAAGAAGACGTGGCGTTACGAAAGACGCAAGACAATGCGAGGGAACAGGGTTGACAGGATCATGGCGAGCACGACTGGAGCATTGTCACCCAGGGGCCAGCAACACATTTCCCGGTTGCGACGCTACCTTATGACCGGCAAGCTGGGGTCCGGACTACGGCAGCTAGGAGATGCGGCGGGAAAGGCGGTGCGTGATGCCAGAGCAGGCCACGGATAGAGGAAGAGGGAGAGGCAATGGCAGGGGAGACGGCATGCTAGACCGAGTTGGACTTACCGGAGGCGCAGAGCTTATCGCTTTTGCTTACAATGGCATCGGCCTCGTTCGCAGAAGCGGGATCTAGAGTTGCATTGGGAGGGCGGAGGGTGCTCGCTTTGGTGACGGATACCGAGGAGGAAACGATCATGGGTATCAGGTCGTTGATGAGCGGGATCAGAGACGCCATGGTGTCCGCTCTGCAGGGCACGCACGCGCGCGACCGGGTATCCAATATCCCAGTGGTCCTTGGTAGGCTGGCGTGCTCCGTTGTGATCTCGCCGGTCTCGGCTGTTCCGCCCGCGGAGAGGGGAAGTCTGAATGGTCGCAGTTGGATGTTCCGCTTGATGAGGAGCCAGGTCTGAGTCGAGTGGTGTTGTAGAATATTGGGTGATGGTGAGGGAGGACAGCCTTCCACCGGCGAGCGGGAGCTATTACCAAGTAGGAAGGAGACGTCAGACGGATGAAGAGATCAGGTGGGAACCGGGGGGGAGCTCCGGCAGTGGGTTGAGCGAGTCTGTAAGTTATGGATTTGCCCGTGTAGCAGGGTGTAGTATCAGCAACGTTCCGAGGATGCGATATAGGCGTCTAGGCTGATGTGGATATTCTGCAGTATCTACTATAGCAGTCGTACGGAACAGTGCGTTGAATTTAAGTTGACTTTTGCTTTGTGAGAATTGCAACCTCCAAGCGAGCTAAGAAAGGGAAATAATAATTTCTTGACCTTGACCGCTGTGGTTTTTGTTGTTGTTGTTGGTGGTGGTGGTGAATCAAGGATCAATGCCAGGTTAATGCCAGGTTGATGGAGATGCCCAACCCTGCAATGAGCGAGAAATGAAGGAAGAGGAAGGAGGGGAGGAGGAACCGCCTACCTACCTAATCGGGTAGGCGGCCTAGCGGACATGTTTTGGACACTATGCCACCTAAATACATATTCTATCGAGACACATACCCAGAGAGAGAGAGAGAGTTGTCCATTGCAAGACTTGACCAGTAGCTGAAGTCTCGAATAGTCGAATGCTCTTCCCAAATACACCGCCATCGACCTACCTAGGCCACGGCCAATAGAACCACCTCGCTGGCTCGCCGCAAAGGTTCCCTTGCGACAAGCCTTGGCTGGGACTTTTTGAAGCAATGTGGATTCGATCGAGACCAGGTAGGCCACGTGCTATAGGCCAGAAAGGTCAGACAGGCCCTTTTGCGGCGAGATGTGATGTGAGAACAAGCTGCTTCTGGAGAACATGGCACTTTCTCGGCCAATGTGATGCATTGGTCTTTGGGCAAGAGATGCGCGCAGTAGCTGGGGATCTTTGCTCCATGATTATCTCGGGCAGTCTTTGGGCATCTTGATGTGCCCTGAAGGTGGGTTGAGGCCGAGCCAGGGCTCATGAATGGTCGGAACAACTATTGATAATCGCCTGCAATGCGCCGGACACCCGATGAGTGTAGGTAGTTGGCAGTTGACGTACACGAACGTGACAAGCGTGAGTTGCACTGAATCATGAATGATGACCAGGCTCGCTTCAGCCCAAGGTGCTTATCTTGGCCGACATCAGGTAAGGTAGGTAAGTGGTAAGGTAAGGTGCTCACTTACTCCATAGGTAAGGGAGGTAAGGTACCTAGGCTGGCCGCTGGTTGGGCAGAGTACCTAGCAGACGAGCGATGGCGTTATTGAGCCGGACCGTACTACCTATCTTGTAAGGTAAGGTACCTTATGCTTGTCTCCTGTCGCCCGATAAGCGACAGACATGACCTCCCGAAGGGACTCCAAAATCACTGACCTCATTCCTCAAGTCATCGCCCTACTAATAGCACCTTGTAAGTACCGGACCGTGTAGGTGATTCTCGCCTTAGTCAGCCAGTAGCTCCTGCCGTCTGCGTCCCCGCAATCCGCTTCCTGTTCCGGTTCTCGGTACCTGCCTGTGGCCCTGACCCCTTGAAAGTTGATGGTGCAGGGCACGCAGCACGCACCGCTGCACCAGTGACCACAAAACTTCACTGCTTGCTAGCTGCATGGGTTCTCACTTACCTAAAGATACTTCACTCAAGCGTCTGTCAAGCACATCAAAAGACAAGACGCAAGCTTGAGCATGCCTGCACTGCCTAGCTAGGTGATTTGCTGCAGCAACACGCCCTGCTCCCACATGCATCACCGGCGTGGCAGGCATAGTAATATCCGCATCTATTCTTGGAATACCATCTCTACGGTTGTTGACCTGCCTTACCTGAGGAACCACACCGTCTACCTTACACCTCACCCATCGACATCTCACCAAGGTAAACTCCGGATTCTGGACGAGCACCCTTCCTCATCCGGACACCAGATTCCACTCATCCTTTCCCCCGTCCAGTTTCTAGTCACCGATTGGTGCTGCATTAGTCCTGTGGCCTGACGACAGAGACGGCGGCATACCTTGCTTGAATCATGTCCCTTTTGTCTGTTTCGGTCCCATATCCGCCTGCCCACCGAACCTGACCTGGGCCTGAACCTGGTCCCGACCAACCTTACCGCAACGTCCTCTCAAGTCTTGAGTCTTGACACCCATCTTCTTTCTCGGCACCTGCAGCCGCATGTCGTCGCACACGCCCGTGGTGGAATCTAGATCCATCCATCCATCCTGTCCGGCACGCGACTGGCCATGGTTGGCTGTTCGAAGCGTCCAAACCACTAGGCATCTCCAGTGACACCACCACCACCACCCGCCCCGCCTCGGCTGTCGCTGCCGCTGCCGCTGCTACTACTGTCGACCGCCGCGCTGTCATCGCTGCTTTCCCTCGTCCTGGTCCTGGGGTGGGTTAGCTTTGCGCCGTAACCAGGGGTTGCAGGGAGGAACTTCTGGCCCGTCCGCGACCGCAACCAAAAGTCCATGCTGCATACACGCACGCACGCACCCGACGCACCCTCACTCCGGCTGGTCGGAGGCGTGGAGACCACACCTGGAGTCATGACCCCAACATTGCGAGCACTGACGACTCCTATATGCACCACCCTTGGGCGACCCGAACCTCCGTGATAAACTGCCGCTGGCATCGTTGACACTTCGACAAGAACCTCACATATGCTGCAAGCAGCATCCGTATTCCGTCGACCCGAATCATTCCCATCCGCACCAGCACTCGCTCACCCGACCAACGAGTCCCTCGGGTGCATATTCGCACCCTCAGCCACTCATCAACCCTTCGTAACACGGGGCGCCCACCACGCCACAAGAACAGTTCATCCCCTCCACAGCCAGAAGGCCTCAGAACGACGTGTAGCATTGTAGAACTTGGCCCCGGAGAGGCAAAGAGGCATGGATGCGACTTGCGAAATGGCTTCGAATCCCCCCTCGCCCTCCAGCACAGCAAACGATTCGAATGCGCCACCTCATGATACCATGTCCAACGCGAGCGGTAGCAATTATGGCGGCATCGACCCCGAAGTCGAGGAAAACCTCTACATTCTACCGTATGTATCCGAAGAGGGTTTACGCAACGATGCTACAGATCATCGCAAAACAATCGGAACCTCTCGGGACGACTATTATCCCCTTCCTTCTAATTTCAACATTGCCGCCTCGGGTAGTATGTTACCCGTCCCTTCTTCGCCTCTTGGAAACCAGACTGACCCTTGTCTGACGTGCTAGCATTGCTCTCCCTGCCTTCAGACAATAGCTGCCGCCTGCTTGCGCTTCCTTCCGAACTCATCGATGCGATCCTGGCCTATCTGCCTCCCTGCGACCTGGCAATCGTAGCTGAGACCTGCCGCATCCTTCACGCTCACGCTGCGTCCGATGTTCACTGGTACCAAAGGGTGCAAGCCAATGTCCCTGGTGAGAAAGTCAGAACTCCCTATCCATGCCGCACATACCGCGAGCTGTACGCCGCACACGATCCGAGGTGGTTCTTGCCAAAGTACAAGATCTGGTTCTGCGACCGAGACCTTATGGGCAAGATGATCATCGTTAGGTATGATCAGCGGAGGGGTTGTATTGAAGGATACCAGTTGTTGGCCGTCAGCAACCGTACTACATATCAGCACTGGCCTGCTGACCACAGCGTGATTATACACGCGTTCGAACCTCGGGTCAAGCTTCATCTAGACAAGCCGGTACTTCAGTTCCACGCTCGCCGCCCAGCCGATGACGTGGGATCCTCGAGCATTTTGAGTCAACGATTCCTGCCCGAGGTGCCAATGTCTATTGATGACCGATCTGATGCCATGTTTAGCAACTTCTTGATGGCTCGCCCTCTAGACGGCGCAACGGCTACCTCGAGGATGGATGGTGTATTTCCTTACGGAAATGTCTGGCCTCCGCCGGCCATTCCTGCCCGTCACAGGGTAGCCGGTGTATCGTCTGGTCTGGACGGTGACGACCTTGCCCCTGGCGATCTGCCAACGAGGAGAGCGGAGACTTCGGACCAGGCCTTCCGCATCCGGCAGTGGATGGAGATGGCCGGGTCCCCGACACCAGGGCTTTTCCTTGGACCCGGGCCCGTAGGTATCGTACAAGCCATCCAAGCTAACATGGGCATGGGTACTCGCGGTGTTCCTGGCGTGCACATTGGCGAAGAAGTGGTAACATACTCAACCCTCGATCCTGTCGTGTACACGCCGACGGCGCTCAAACCATGGCGAGGTATCTGGGTTGGGGATTACAGCGGACATGGGTGCGAGTTCTTATTGATCAACCAGCCTGATGACGAGGAGGTGTCGGATGAGGAGCTCGGCCTCATTCGCGAGGCTCACGAATCTGATGCCGAATGGACGCGTCGGCGCACTGACGCAAGAGTCTATCGGGGCCGCTTGGAGGCAATCAAGCTGACTGGCGACCCAAATGTTCCGCGAGGAGAATACACCTTTGTTGCGGATGACTTGGGCGAGGCCGGCTTCGTTGGTGTCGCTCAAGAGCCACCGTTCCAGGGCACGAGAGTTGTCAAGAGCAAAGGTCATGTCGCTGGGACGGGCTTTCTAGATGGTTTGTGTCCTTTCTTTGAGATAAACGTGGATATACGCTGACCATCTTATTTCAAGACAAGTACATTGAGTCTCAGCTTATGCTAGTCTCCCATGATCGACTTGCTCAGTACTGGGTTGGCTTCGGACACATCAGCTTCTTTGAGCGGGTAAACCTTGAAGAGTTCATGTCACACTGATTTGTACATGTAGGTTTGAAAACATACTTGGCTTCGATTATCGGGAAGAACAAAGCTTCATCGGGTGTGTGGTTGTATAACCAGCTCGAGTTTCAACCTCATCAAGACAGGCAATATGCCAAAGGTTTTGTAATGTAGATATGTCCTTCCGATGACTTTACGACTAAGGTTCGGTTAAATTACACCTACGTAGCTAGCAGTATCATTGTGATCAACAAAGTTGTCAGGGCAGAATCTCAACGTCGATGATGGTTCCCGGTGATTCCTTCTGAATATGCACGAAGTCTATCTGTGCTGATATTGCAGAATCATGCAGAGCAATGTGTTGATGAGTCGAGTTGACCGTGGATCATGAGGCCGGTAGCTGCGTCACTGCTACGAATGTGATCTTGAAGGTACCAGCTATGATTTCTCGCTCGGCTTCTCGAAAGATATGACGGCATAGCGGAATGTCCCATTGGCATATCCACGCCTCATGGCACGGAAAGACTGCAAGAAGGCAATGCCATCCCGGCCCTGGCTAAAGGCAAAAGCCCACAGAGAAGGGTTTTGGACGAGAGACCATGTTATATCCCTAGAGAACGTTAACTATTATTCAACTTTGTTTCTTCCACGCATGGCAACTCACCAAGTCCTGCTAACTTGCTTGCTAATATCCTTGGGGCCCGCGAGCAAGGAAAGCCCACCGCTTTTGGCCAGGTCGACGTAGCCCTGCTGAGTACAAAGCGGCGGAAGAAGCATGCCATCTGGAGAGAGAGGAACAGTCAGTTTATTCTACCTCGCTTAGGGGGCGTAGGCACAGAACAGCCGTGGGCAAAGGGCGGATATCACGTACCCTCGATCGGCTTTAGGTCATTGGCAAACTCCGTCTCGCTGACATTCTCAGCCTTGAACCAATCCGCCAGCGCCAGTTTCCCACCCGGCTTGAGGACTTTGAACGCATTCTCAAAAAAGAGGGCCTTGTTGGGGAAATGGCTCAGCGCCTCGCTGATCCACACGGCGTCAAAGGAAGCGCTCTGTCCCGCGAAAAAGTCTCCCATCTTTTCGGCGTCGAGCTCGATGAAGCGGACCCTGCCGCGCCCGAGCTGGATGTAGCCGTCGCCGTCCGCCGCGACCTCCTTCTCGGACGCCTTTTCCGCCTCGGCCTTTGTGAGCCTGTTGGCGATCTCGACTTGCTTGGTTGAGATGGTGATGCCGGTCACGGAACAGCCCAGGGTCGAGGCGAGGTAGCGGGAGGTACCGCCGATACCGCAGCCGACATCGAGGACTTTGCTATTCTCCCCGACGCCGGAGAGTTGAAGGAGGAGCTGGATGAGCTTGACCTGGGCCTGCTCCTTGGTCTCGGAGCCATCTTCCCAGTAGCCGTGGTGGATGTGCTCACCCCTGAACACGGTCAAGTCAGCTTAGGAGGAGATTCACATTGGGCTGGACTTGATGTTTGAGAAGGGCACAGACGGGGTCTAGCGTGTAGGATTGCGGAAGTGCGCTGTGCCTCAATTGAGGCTCAAGATCATTTCACAAAGCGCGCGCACGGTAGAGATGAGAAAGAGAGAGAGAGAGAGAAAGAGGGCCGGTACCAGCTTACCAGAGACTCAGGTAGTAGTCACTCGCGAGGTCATAATGAAGCTTGATCCTGTCCTTGAGAGCCTGCATGGTCGAGTGAGCCAGACCCATGGGAGTCTCATATTGCTTGCTGAGGTCCGTGTTGGAAGCGTCTACTGCAGCAGCCATTGTCGATGCAGGACCAAGAGGAGGCAAATGAAGATGAATCAAATACGATGTGAACGTGGGCTGGCGTGGCTTTCGCTGGTTAGCAAAGTGCCTGGAAATTCCAATGTTTGTTTCTCGATTGGGGTGGATTTGCATTCAGGATTGACGAAAAAGGACAGCTGCTGGTGGCTTCGGGAACTAGGTTGATATCAGACGGGAGAACTTCTGAGCCAGTAGGAGCTTTCAGGTAGAAAAAAGATATATTCTCTACTAAGCTATATGGTTGGGAACCCCGCGGTAGCTCTTGGAAGTAAGGTTGCTCGTATTCGGGGCCGAGGTAGGAAGACTAAGCTACGACCTAGACAATGTTGAGCGGCCGGCCTGGCGCAACAATGTGCCCGATCGAGTGAGGGACAGCAATATATGAGACGTCATGTTTTCGTTGGGTGAAACGTGAAAGCCAATACGCTCACCTGCATGAGATAGCTTGTTGGTTAGACAGAATCCAGCCACAGACACTAGCCACAGATGTTCTGATCACGTGAACTCAGCCACATATTCCAAAAATAGCGAGACAAGTGTGCCCAGCCACCACGACTACGACCACAACCACCACACCAGCGGCACATGTCGGAGTGTGGCAGTGCCAATGCTGAGCGTCAGTGCCGGGTGCCGGGGTGGGGCCGTGTGGACCCCTTTCATCTGCCAGGGCCTTTCAAAGTTGGTTCAGATCCCAGGCCGCCCAAGGCGCGTCCAGCGTGTCTGTGCTGGGGAAATATTGGAGTTCAGACGAGACCAGTCACCGACCACACAGGAAAGACCAAGAAGGAGAGAAAAAAGGAGAAACAGGGGGAATGCGCCCAGCCTCAGCCCAGCCCACGTCCACGTAAGCCCTGCACTGTAACATGCTTGTTTACGCATCTGCCGTAATCACAAAGGCATTCGTATGTTCAGAGTGCCAAGTACGAATACTCTGATTATACAAATAGAAAACTATCGCTTCTGGGAGAATCCAAGCCAGTTTTGGTCTCTCTTTCTCGTGTTTACTTACTCGTTCGCTCTCGCCATCCTCCAACCGTCTGTCGCTATTGATACAAACCAAAGCCAAGATAATCGCAGCCCACCATGGCTCCCATCCCTCCAACAACGGCCAGACAGAGCCTCGCTCGCGCCGGTGCCATCGCCAACCAGGTCTGGAAGAGGGCTGCCCTCGTTGTCCTCCCCGAAGTCGCCCGCGCAACCACCCATCACGCCCTCGCACGCCGCGATCTGACCGTCAACCACACGCAGGGCGTCACCCTGGGCGTCATCGGTGCCTACGCCGTCATCATCGCCATCCTCTGGAACGTGCCCTTTCTCCGTCAGGTCCTCTGGCCCTTCAAGATGCTCGTCATCGCCTTTCACGAATTCGGCCACGCCATCACCGCTTGCTGCACCGGCGGCAAGGTCCTCTCCATCACTCTGGACCCCAATGAGGGTGGCGCTACTCTCATGAAGGGTGGCAAGCAAGCCATCACCCTTCCCGCGGGCTATCTGGGCTCATCGCTCATCGGCGGGCTCCTCATTTTTTGCGGCTTCAATATCAACGCGTCCAAGATTGCCTCCATGGTTCTTGGCATATGCTTCTTGCTGACTCTTTGGTGGGGAAAGCGAGATTGGTTGACGATTCTCACTGTCCTCCTCGCTGTTGGTCTGCTGGTCGCAGCGTGGTTCATCTCTCACGCCCAAGCTCTCAGATTCGTCGTTGTAAGTCAAGCTCACCCGCCATTTCACACTTTTTGCCATGACACAGAATCAAGGAGAAACTAACAAATTGATAGCTATTCATTGGAGTCATGAGCTCACTCTACTCCGTGTGGGATATTTGCGACGATCTCATCATGCGCAAGGTCAACAGCTCCGACGCCAGCGTCTTTGCTCAACGTTATGGCGGTTCATCTCGCTGCTGGGGTCTGATTTGGTCTCTGATCAGCGTTGCCTTCATGGCCGTCGCCATCGTCGCAGGACTCGCCGCTTTCCCTCAGTCATTCTCCGAGCAAGAGAGCGACTCCAAGAACTTTTTACCTACGAGATGATGATCTGTCGGGCAGGAGGTTTATTAGGCTACTCATTTTCGGAGCTTGCGTTGTGTGGATCGCATCATGATACCCCGCTTTGGTTTTCAATGGCCATTTTTGAGCATCTCGCGAGCTCTGCTACGAATTATGACTATAACGAATGATATCCACCGGATGTGCGACGCGATGTGTCAATAAGAGGGTTGTTCTAGACGATCCGTCGGCGACTCCGACTACGTTCCCGTGGGATGCATCTTGGGGCTTCGGCAGACGCAATGGCACTCGCCGCGGGATGTGGGCGGAGACGTGGTAGGCGTATTATTCAGAGCCAGCCACTACATATTGGCAACGACAACTCTTGAAACAGAGCCATTAGTCACACACGCAAACGCCCCTTGATGAAGACGGTTCAAGACATACTAGCGTTTCAATCGGTGGAGTGGTGATTATACGGAACTTCACGTCATGATGTTTCACGGCAGGCCGGTTCTTAGGACAGCCTCAGCAGTGGCAGCAGACAATGTTGACATGTCTATGACTGCTGATGCTGTACATCTATGTAGCAATATAATGTGTTATGCCAAAATCCTCGTTTGAGGATTGACACAGCGCATTGGCAAGTGACTACGTGTCTGTTGACCCTGTGCTGTAGTGAGCTTGTACGCGTAGACTTGTAGATACGGTGCTATCCTTTCATGTATCAATCTCCATACGGCAGCTCTCTGCAATACCAATACCTCAATCCTCCCTGGACGCTCCGCCCTTTGCACGCTTCTGTGTCTAGCAGCCCTTCCACTTGAAAGCAAACGACTCCGTGACGGGAGAAGTAATCCCATCCTGATGTTCTTTGCCAAAGACAACCAATCCTCCGCCTTGGGAGATGATGCGAAAAGTCACGTTGAGAATACCAACGTAGCCATCGCCACTAACGCAAGGAGACGCCGAGTTCACACGCTGAGCCACGTCCACGTTCCGGAAAACGGCCGTGGAGCCTGACGATGTGCTCGTAGACTTGGTCACCTGTTTCCAACGAGTCAACGTCTTCCCTCAATGTACCCTCATATTCTTGGAACAACTCACAGTATCAAAAGCCGTCTCGGACCAGTATGCCGTCGTATAGAAATCGACCTTGGTGTTGGAGCTCAGGTAGAGCCCCCCGCTGACGGTGACGTCCTGCAGCAGCAAAGCCTTGCCGGAATCGCCTTCGTCGATGAGCAGGTGCACCTGGCAGCTCGTCATCTGGCCGCTAGCTAGAGTCTCGCTGAAGTCGGGGATGGTGATGGTCAGGTCATCTAGGCCACCGGACCATGTCACTCTATCGCGCTGGGGACAAGCCGGTCCGCTATGTGTGACGGTTTTGATGCAAAGGGCGGCTGCGGAGCCGACTGCGACGAGGAAAAGACCTGCAGCGTGTCGAAACATGGCTCAAGTTTTGGGGATGAGATAGAATTTGAAAGAATGCGGGTTTTTCTTTTGAGTAACTCCCAGCAAAGAGATGTGTTGACGCTGCCGACAACATCGTAGGACGTTGTACACCATGCGCAACGCGCTCTTATAGCCGGTGCCGAAGCCTCTTCATGTACTGGCCGTCAATAAGAGACTTGCCAGGCGTAACATAGTATATTCATCTCCAGTTCTCATGGTATAGGGCAGAAGTCCAAAGAGATCGAAGTCGCTTTATATTGTGGCGATGTGTCCGGGAGGCTAAGGGTAATTAGCCAAGAATTAACCAGCAAATGAGCGCCTCAAAGGTACTCTTCAGGCTCTTGGTAAAGTCTGGAGCCCTTGCCGCCGTATACAAGAAAATCTGTCTGCGCAGAAGCCAAAATGTCGCATCATTTAAAACACCCGATCCCATTGGGACCTAGAGAGTCGATTCCTACCGTCTTATGCGACTATGCCATACATTCCTCGGAGGTAAGTATGAGCTAGGTCCGTCGCCAAAACTTCAGCTGTCAGCTTTGAGTAAACCATGTAACATAAATCAGCTCGATTCATTCATCGGTGAGGCTAGTCCGAAGGCTTGTGGTACTTTTGAGAACTGAATGAGATGCTTAGACAGGAACCGAAGAGCAAAGATATACTATTCTCGAACTTCAGAAAGGCACTGGGTGTGCAGTGTAGAGCGCAGACGGCTGAGTTACGCGTTAAGATGCCGGATAAAAGCCATATCGTGGAGGTGTCCGACATTTGTTACCCAGTCTTGCTGTTACTGATTGCGAAAACTATAGCGGCTGAAACTATTTCAGAGCCAAACAAAGATCTATCAAAGCCCTCTTTTGTTTCCAGCAATATTATGGATCATTGTCAAGGGCATAGATGAATCAACCGTAAAGGGGGCAGCAAAGCAGACTGATATGCTAACGAACATGTCCTCATACACTGATCATCGCCAGGGTCACATATATTGTCTCCAATAGCTCTAATATTTTCTGAAATCTTATGTTATCTAACCGGGAATTCTGCTGGCAAGCCAAACAAAAAGCACTAGCATGGCTAGAATACATTGTGCAACAGGTGAGACGAAGTTTCGAAGAAAAAAAGAGAATAAGAGAGGCCTCAAAGTCATCATTCAAGCCTTGATCTGGGTGCTTTGAGGCGTTTGAATACATATGAAACACGTTATTGCCTCATCGTTAGAATATGCTGGTCACGGTCGCCGTTGCTGGTCGGGATGCTACTGCAAACAATCCACCCTATCTTGTCTGGGCAGTCTGTCAGCAGAGTCGGATTCAGAGAAGACTAGGCGAAGAGCTTGCCCGGGCTTCGACCATTTGGACCTCTGTGGTCTGCCACTTCTTGATCAATAAGACATTGACCAGATTCTCGGCGCTTGTACTCGGATATACCATCTGAATCACGGCGCATGGCTACTTTAGGTGGCTCAGCATTCAGTGGTCAGTGAATTTTCAGGCGAAGTCATCATATCGATGTGATAAGATACCTGACAGTAGGCTATGTTCAGCAGCACGCCTGTGCAAGAGTGACATAAACCTGGGATAGCGGAGTATGTTGTTAAAACCTTCAAGGTTGTTGGTTTTAGAACTCCCTAATGAGTACTTTGGGTTCCAAAGTAAGTTCATGTTAGATCTGGAGGCCTCATCCTTCTTGCAGACTTCGCATCCCCCACGGCCGGAGGAACGGAAAGGCGGTGTTCATTCCAGGCTCCAGGTTGACAACCTGAAATTTTCATAAAGTGCTGCACTCATCAGGTTCCAGTAGCACCCTGAGCCTGTCATGCGGGAGAGGTTTCAACGGCTGGCATGCTGCCCGATCTCACGGGGAATCCAGATCTGGTGCCCCCAAAGGCAACCTACCCCTTTTCACCCTGTTACTCTGTTGTCCTTTTCCAATCAAGTTTCTCCAGGTATCCCCTCATTTTTACTACCCCAGTTTCTCCCCAAGCTTTTCCCCGAGTCTCGGAGGAAAGGATGTAAAAGCCAAGATATTGGCAATTAACACTCCTCTCTCAGGTGCGATTAGGCCAAGGCCATACCACAAACGGGAACAACTCTCCATCGCAATGCACCACTTATCAAAATCAAATCAAGGTTGTGAACTTGGCCATTGCTTGACTTGTCGATCGAATCAAATTCGTGGCGGACTCTTGTCCAGTTTGGTCGAACGAGAAATACTTCACTGGCAACGCACCGCTGTTGTCATTCAACTTTATGGCAGCTCGAGCAGAACTAGACACGTAGAACTCATATTCAAGTACAAAGTCTCAAAGTAAAGGGCTTGATGTAGATTTGCCTCTATTTTGTTATCCAGCTCCAAGGGGACCTCGAATCCCAGATCTACCTCCTTTCGGCTCCCGTTTGTTTCTCTATAGCATATGCATCATCCGAGTGCGTTTGCATTATAAAGATAAGAACACCAGTTTGACTGAGCTTTAAACATTGCAATAAATTCCAACAGTCTGATGTCCCTTTAGACTGTGTAGCGGAAGAAGGTGGCGTTGTCACCCTTGTGACGCTCGGCGGCCTTCTCCTCAGCAGTGTACAGGGAAGGGTCCTTGTACTCGCGGTCTCGGCGGGCGTTCTCACGACGGAGGTAGATGGTCATGAAGATGGAAAGACACATGGACATGGTCAATGTTGACAGGAGTGTGCCGTGACCGGGGTAGTAGTGAGGCTTGTCCTTGGCCTGGTAAAGGAAGCCAGCGATAGCACCACCAAGGTTACCGAAGCCTACGTCGCAATTCAGCAATCTTCTTCGCATTTTCAAAGGTTGGAAATAGACCAAGACTTACCGACGTGCATGGCAATACCAACACCTCGCTTGACAGAACCTCCGATGTTGTTGCCGTTCCAGGCGACACCCTGGGGAACGTTGGGGTAGATGCCGGACGCAGCAAAGAAACAGCCCGCATATTTCACTCCGTTGCTTTGAGATGAGAGAAGCATGATAAAACCAGTCATTCTGTGAATCCGGGGTCAGTTTTCAGTCTTTTCTAAGTTATGAGGTGAAATACATACGCAATAAGGCAGAAGAAGATCATGTAGATGCCACGTTGCTTGTGACGATCAGCCAACCAACCGCCACTGATGCAGCACACGCAGGCAACGATGTACGGGGGAACGGTCATCAATTGGGCAGTCTCATTGGTGTAGCCCAGTCCACTGACGATGGTGGGAAGGAAGAGAGAGTACGAGTAAAGGGGGGTGTAAACTCCGATAGTGATGAGCTAAGGGATTGATCAGTATGATGGCGCATGGTACAGCAAGATTTTGTTGTTGCTGCAACTCACCATATGTACCCAAATCTTCCAGTCTTTCATGGCGTCCTTGAAGTAAGCCATACTGAACTCATCAGCAAGGGCAGAGCGATCCTGCTCAAGACGACGGGTGACCTCCTCCTTCTCGGCCACGGTCAGGAACTTAGCGGTCGCAGGATAATCGTTCATGACGAAGAAGGCAGCGATGGCTGTTTACAAGAGAGTTTTAGTTAGTATGGAGCTGCCAATTTCACGTCATGTCCTAAGATTTGCAACTTACCGACAGCCAGAGTGAGAATACCCTCAAGTATGAAAATCCAGGCCCAGCCCGGTCTGCCTCCAATGCCCTTCATCTCAACGATACCTCGGGCGAGGAGGCCTCCGAAAGCACCGGCGGCGGTAGCGGCAGAGAAGAAGATGGCCATTCGAAGACCGCACTCATGACGCCGGTACCACATGGTAATGCTGGATATGGATTGATTAGGTGACCGGATACGCAGCAGTGGCGGTGGACTGGGAGATACTCACTAGTAGGTAATACCGGGGAAAAGACCTCCCTCGGCAAGACCAAGAGCCATACGAGCGGCCAAGAGTCCAGGGTAGTTGTGAACGAGGCCCATAAGGGTGCAGCAAATACCCCAAGCGATCATGATGCAGGGGATCCAGACGGAAGGGCGAAAGCGCTTCATGGCCAAGTTGGAGGGAATCTCAGCAGCGACATACCAGGGGAAGAAGACTGAGAGGGCGACATTGTAGTCGAGTCCCTGCATTCCCAGGTCCTTCTCGAGACCAGCGAGACGAGCATTGCCAATATTGGTACGGTCCAGGAAGGACAGCAGGTAGAGAAGAGCAAGGAAGGGAATCAAAGTCCAGTCGATCTTGCGCAGTAGTCTCTTGGTCGCAGCCTGGTCGAAACCACTTCTGTCGGGGTCGCTGGCGTACTCAACCTCGATAGAAGGGTCGACAGCGGCCTCGGTCTTGACATCCTTCTCGGAGGTCGACATGTTGGCGATTGGCGGCCGATTCAGAGACGCAAAAAGTTTGTAAAAGCGAAACGTGGTGGGACGGGCGAGGATCTAGCCGAAGGATGAAGTATAAAACAAACTCTTTGAAAATGTTTTTGGGGTATTTAGAGGGATGAGATAAGATGACTGAAATTGGTGGTATTGAGCGAGGCTCAAGACAGCTGACAGCCAGAAAAGTCGATGAGTGTCTCGGATGAGAGTGAGAGCTGTGAGTAAGACTCCTGAAGTAAGACCTTCGTCGGAATCTACTTTGGATGCGACTTCGGAAGAAACGAGAATAGAGCTGAAGTCGTGTAACTGAAAAGTAAGCGGCAAAATATGCGAGTCACACGTGGCGTTGGCGGGGAGGAAATTGATCTGAGGCTGAAGCTCGAGATGGTTCCACGTCGTTTCTGTTGTGAGACTATTGATGTCGGTCACGGGTGCTTTCTTTCCTCAACCACGCCAAATGGGATGAGATTGGAAAGAAGGCTCGGGGCCCGGAGTTGAAGATAGGGCAAGAGCAGCCAGTAGCAGGTGCAAGTGCAGGTGCTTCTTCCTTGGTGGGAGGCAGCAAGAGCAAGAGCAAGAGAGGTAGGGGCCGAGCATGAACGAAAAGCAAAAGGCAGGAAAGTTGATGAGAACCCCGGGAGCAGCTCCCCTCTTTAACCCATCTCACCAACGCGGGATATCCCCATCCCCTTGCGCTTCCATTGAGAAAAGCCCATCTGGGTACCTTAACGACTTTGCTGATGACTTGAACCCAACCTAATGCTCTTACCTTGGCTTGACTAGGGAGGTACTGCAACTGGGCAATCCAACCCAAACCCCAGAAATTTAGGGTCTTGGCAGTGGGCGAGTGTGATAGCCATGAGGTTGGTGTTATGGAGAAAGAGAGAGCCAGCAAAACACAGAGAAATATTTTGGCAGGGATGGTCTCAGTCTGTACAATCCTGGTGCCAAAGAACAGCAAGGTACTTGGCCTGCACCCTCAACCCTCAAATGCCCAGCCCAAAGGGAGGCCGCACGACTCGAGATGGAAGTACAGGTACCTCAAAAGGTATCTTTTGCGCACCCATCTCCTTGGACGCAAAAGCAGCGAAAGCATTGCTGCTGTCGCAGTTGCGACTCTGCCGCCTCTAAGGATCCGGGTCCTGTCAGCTTGTCCCCTTTTGGATCTGTCCGCCACAGCATAACATCTGCGCTTCCACCCGACATCTTTCTCGCGTTGGTGCAGAGGCTACAAATGAGACAGATGCGATATCGAGCTGAGGCATCCCTACCGAAGCAATCTATCAATGTTCCAGGCACTCAACTCTACTCTGTGATCTCAACTTTCTTCCTCCTCTTACTCATCCTTGTCAGTCTGGCTTCTTTCATCCCACATCCCCATCTTCCCACTCCCGGGGGGAACCAACCCGGAGCGATTGCTTCCTCCCTACCCAAGCTCTCCCCCGCATGCCAATTTCAGTCTCCCCGCCTGTCCTCAACTTCATAACTTCTCTTCCCCCTGCGGTTGCGTCTTCGCCAAGAAGGCTAAGCTGGGGACCCTAACCTCAGCCACCCAAGGTAGCTAAGGCGCCTCTTACCTTAGTCTTGAGTCTTCCTCTGAATGAACCGTCCAAAAAAAAAAACTAATCCTGCCCTGTCTGTACCAAAGTGCTTTGCAGACAACAGTGGAACCAAATCCAATGCATATTGCATACTCCGTACGCGTGCCGCCGTTGACAAATTGGTACAAACACAAGCCCATCAACTACTCCCACCTACTTTCGCCCACGAGTGCGCACGTAGCACGGGCTATGCATGCATGTCAGGGCCGGAGGTCGACACCCGTACCACTCTGGCCATGTCTTGGACGGATCAAGCAGTTCTGAAATATTGCCCATTATCCTGGGTCATTACGAGTCGGGGTAGAATACTGCCAGCCGGGCCGTCGTCTCCGCGCGTTGTGGTTACAGAGAGTCTCTTACTTTGGTTGAGATCCGAGTGGAAAGTAGTGAGACTCTTCTGATCCATCGAGGCATGAAATCCCAAAGGTCGCAACGTAGATGCGGGCTTCCAAATCACCTTTTCGCCAACCAACGCCTCGGTGACACGCTGAGCTGCTGACGTGTTCCTGGCAGTGCTCTCTTCTCTTTCCCTTTCTCTCACTCTCTTTTTACCCGCCCAGACACATCAGCCGCAGCGCCGTTAATATATCAGGGCATGTTATTTCAGGTTTCGTCAAGGAGCAGGCACTGCCAATGCTCTTTTTGCCATGGCGTAGGCATGGCATACGGCAGCCAAGGAAACGAGTGCCATGCTGCCATGTGTCTTTCCACCAGGACGGTCAGCGTTCCCTCTCATCCTTCAAGCCACGAATGTCCTGATCAAGTGACACAGGCCGTCAGGTGGGAGAAGATGCTCGATGCTCATAGCTCGGCAGAGAGTTACATTGGGACGGAATTCTCGATTGTACTTGCAGCCACGTGTACGGGAGGGCTAGAGAAACGTTAGCGCCGGTCGAATGGAAAATTCCCCTTCATCGGTGGCTTCAGAAGAGAGAGCTGTCGTGGAGGGTATGGAGGGGAAGCAGAAGCTTAGAAGGAATTACAAGAGTCTGACCTAGGAAGAAGGGAAGTGACGAAAGCCATCGCCAAGATTCAGACTTGTCTGTCAAAGGTGGTGGGGAATGAATTGGAGGCGCACCCATTGCCGCGTACAGAGTGCTCGCTGACCCAATGGACGAACCAGGTCATTTGCGGGAGGTCGAAGGATGGTCCAAGTTGGAAGCTGGCAGCTGGAAGAAAAGGATGTGGGAGGTCAAGGTTCGCGCTGACAAGGACCCCCGGACGACCTAGCTGGATGGGGAAGCAAGGCCGGAGGTTGATTGAGCTTCCGACAGCTTGGCACGCGTTAGCAGCTCCGCCACGCAGTTGGATCTGGACCGGGCAGCCAATCAACCGACAAGCGTATCTTCCCCGCTGACTCCGACGAGCAGGCATTTGTTTTGACGAGAATACGGGGTAAATAACGGGGACTTTGTGGAAATCGAGGTGCGCCGTGCCTCTCTCTCTGCCAGGTTCTGGTCCGGACTGTGACGGCCAAAGCCCGGGAGATTCAAGTGGTATCGAGAGCCTTCGAGTAAGTGAGAGACGAAATATAGAGACAGGTGCGAGGTGGAAGATGGAAGGTGGAAGGTGATCAGCATGGACATCAGGACGGGATAAGTCAAACGGAGCGGTCGAAGATGTGTGACAGACAGATGGAAATGTCCTAAGCCCTGGAAGATATGTCGACTCTACTGAGATAAGGACCCTGCGACTTCTACTAAAGCAAGTCAGCAATAAAGTAAGGTAGCAGGTACGAATCTAGATTGCCGCGTGGGCAGGTCTGGTAAACAGACTACCTTAGCACCACTAGCACTCCCTCCCGTCAATACAGTCGAAGCCACTAGGAGAGGTTCGAATTCTAAAGTGAGAAGAAGGGTTCCCTCGAACCTAGTGGCCACCCGTGCCACCCTAAATTGACAGCGATACCTTCCGTGACTTACCTAAAGTGCTCACTCGCTGGTTCGCGCTAAGCTCCATGTAAGAATGTAGAAGAGAAGGCTCACAAGTCTCAGCTCTCTGCAAGATAGGCAAAGCACCAAAGATGAACTTGAGGGAGGGAAGCAAGGACAGAGGGAGCACGGGAGGTGAGGTCTGGTCCTGGGTGGACGAGAAGGGGGCACGGCCTTTCGCCGATGTCAGTGCATTTGGCAGACGCTTAGGCAGTGGAGGTTACCCCATGATTTGACAGCGTGTCCCGCCCCGCCAGATTAGGTTTAAGTTTAGGCACGTTGGGTCATGACCCACCTATCTTCCCAAGTGTTGAATCTGGCCGTCGAGTGGAAACCGGCAAAAACCCGTGGTGGCACGCCCACTGGACTGGGACTGGTGGAACCAGCGAGTGACAGGCGGACCAGGTTCATCCTATCAGCTTGATAATATGGCTTACCTTATCCCCAGATGAGGAGGGACCTTCTCTCTCGACTCTCGAGTCTTCGACCAGCGAATGGAGGGTACGTTCTCTCTTGGGGTTGAGGTAGGAACGTTTCGCACCTCAAAAGGTACCTACCAACGGGTGGCACTTGTCTAGACTCACAACATCGGTTGGTTTTTTTTTCGGCCTTTATTTTACCTGCTTTGCCTGAATCCTTCCCGGCCGTGGCCAGTCAGGCTTCAGCTATGCTCGACCCCCAACCTATCTCCAGACGCTTTGCCCCCCGCATCCGATCCCGCATCCTTCTCTTCCAGTCCCCAGTCCCATCTGAGATGGTGCACACCATACTCCTCTTCACCCTCGGCCAGCTCGCTTAAACGCCTTCAGATTCATGTTGAACCATATCACCAACCTACTTAAACCGACCCTAACAAACATTCATTCCTTGTCTGTCTATTCGGAGAAAGCTGTTGGCACTAAGTGGCAGGCGACACCACTAGCGTCCGCCTCCACACCGAAATCCTCTTCCAATCTTGATATTGTAGGTTCCGCAACAAAATTAGATAGGCTCAGGATCTTGCCGGCCGCCTGGTTGCTGACGAAGATAAGATCGAGTATGATGAATCCAACGCTGACGGAAGACAAGGACTCTTCTCGTCTCCTCCTTCATGCGATGCAGCCAAGCAGAGTCGACGGTGCCCACATGCATATCTGCACCCTGGTCAGTTCCAGGGCAAGGGTGCCCGTCGTCTCGGTGACAGAGGTGGTAATGCCAAAGAAGACAACGAAATTCTTCCTGTTAGGCGACATACCTCGCTGTCGCAACTACGACGGCCCAGACTCAACGACATGGAATTCTTCTTGGCGTTTCTTGGCGCCAACGAACGTTCCCTCTGTCCTGGACTTCGCCATACCCCCCTCGGTCCTAGTCCTGGGCAGCAACTCTCATGTTGCCAATGAACCGTTTCTCATCTCTTCTTAGATCTTTTCCTACTGAGGTATTCTCGTCCTTCTGCGATTGCGATGTAATGGCAGTACTTGAGATGGCTCTAGATGCTCAAGGGGGATGCCTTCTGTACCATTGATCTGATCGTTCTACGGTATGCTTCACTTATCCTATTGCAATTCAAATCCCTGACTACGAGGCTTGCTACTGGCTACAAGCCACCCGCTGGCCTGCTGTGGAAATCAACGCCGGCGTGGACGAGAGTGCGAGACTCTACCCTTCAACCCTGTGAGACAAGTTGTCATTAGCCTAGCTGGCATGGGAATCTCGGCCAAGGGACCCCAAGTCTTGGCTCGTACCCGCAGACCGAATGTTATACTGTTCCAAAAGGTCGCCAACCTCGGACTTTTCGCTTCTCTACGGCCGCGGGAGGGGAATGCCATCTCCTCGAGAGAGACTTACATTTACGCTCTAGTCCATCGGTCGGATGAAAGGCTGTCTGGGCGCCAAGATTGTCCCGTAAAACCGCTTGTAGTGCCGGCAGCAAACAGCCAAGACTGGTTTGGGGGTAAGGATTGATCGCCATCACTTGAAGATTCTTATTGCAACGATGGATTTTATACCGTGTACGCCACCCAGATTGGATTGGCGACTATCGGCTTGTCGAGAATGTCGAGCACCTCGTGGGGTGTGTTCGGGCTAAGGAGAGAAACACAGGCAAGTTCTTAGGGCTTGACTCAAGCGAGGCACTTCAGCGAGGAATCTTGTTGTGAATGTCGCGTTAAATTGTCCACACGGCCTCGGGATTCATTCTCATCGGGATGACCGCCGGATCCAAGTGCACGGCGCCAGGGTACTTCTGGCGAGAACAATCAAATGACATGTGCCTTCGCTCGCAAACCATCAATAAGAAAAGCGCAGACCATCCTGCTTCTACGTTACTGTAGATCCTCTCGACGCTCCCCGTACTTAGCTCCCGGCCCAGTGTATCGGAACAAATGCGGGACCCTTTTGACAACAGACCTTCTTGGAGACAGGCTTGAGCAAGATGCTACGTATTAGAGCCCTGTTAATAGTCAGGATACTCGGAACTTTGAGAGAATAGCCAAATACGGTCGCAGACGCCTGCCCGTTGCACTCATCATATAATCCCAGCGGGGACAGATTCCTGCAGACCATATACATGTGCCCTGAGGCGTCTGATTTTCGAAAACAAAGGTCGGTTGCTAATACACATGAGCGGGAAAATCCTTGAGAGCACTGGCTGTGAATAACACGAACAAGTTTGCTGTAATACAATCGACCCCAGTCGGTCTTGTTTGCATAGGCTCGAATCTATGAGGGAAAAGAAATTGGATCCTCGGTGCGGATTTCCCACTTTTCGACCGAGATCACCAAATTGTTCTCGCCTTCCCCAGCAACCGCTCATCCTCGATGGATTGTTGCAAAGCCTCCAATGGACATGAAACAGTTTCCTCATTCATATTCATACTCATGAGTCTGCTTCGTTGAATTTCAAACAGAGTTGATGTTTACGCGCGGCCGTTCCGTTGATCCCAAACTTTGTTACCGGATTTGTACCCGTCGCCGCCGGCGGCTAAAACTCCGGATGAAGCTTTCCTTGAGCGACCCTTGTGAGACTAACTAACACCCGCAACTTACGGCATGTACCCAACATCGCCTGTTGAGGTATATTGACGCTATCAGGAAAATGATACGCAAGGGTTGAGGAATGACTTTGGGACTTTTTAAAGATGCCCGCTAGCGTTTTAATTGAAAGGGGGCTGTTCAGTTGGTAAGACGGGTACTCCGAGCTCGTGCTTCGTAAATTAGCCTTCAAACGGACCTTCTATGGTAGCACTTGATGGAGGTTTTGTCAGGTTTCAGGTGATTGCGGCTCTTCCAGACACCACACGAGGTGGATTCGAATTTGCGTGTGTCGAGGCAAATTATATGGGCTGGCCAAGCCAAGCTTGTCAGTCTGCATGATGGCAATCCTGAGATCATGATGATGGGACAGCCATATTGAAAGATTGAATTGTTATTGGATTGATCTGATGGTCTCGCAAGACGGTCACAACAATTGGCTTGCTCGTAGTTTTGGTCTCAAAGAAACATTCGGTAGCAGATACAGACAGGGAAGCCTCGGAGGGCCAACGAACCACGTCGTGCCAGAAAACCAGCATCAGACACATGGTTCTAATCCCATGAATCAAGCGTCCCTTTCTTGCAGTAAATCTTACCCCAGAAAGTTTGTGCGGTGTCTTTCTCATTCCAGACGCCGAACAATCAGGAAGCTGACAAGATGCACCCGCGCAAAACTCACACGCCGTCAGCTCATCTATCCGAATTCCCATAAGCAGAGGATCCGGGATTCACAGAAGTTGTTTCAACGGTATTATTAGTTGTAGTACGACGATGGATTCTCTTCGGAGAGGCAAGATAAACATTGTCAGTGGCCGGAATGGTTCGGTGATGCAGGACGACCGGCCGACGTCCCCATCTCGTCCCTCCCCAGGCCTTCATAAGCATTATCTATACTGCCCAATATTTGTTTAAAAGACTTATATTTGGCTTTCAGTGAAGGTAAATGGGTATGGCTAAGGCCCTTGGGGCACTTTTACTCCAGAATTCGACTAAGTCTTGACGGACCTCCAAAGGTTCAACACTTCCACGTTCAAGAAGTGCAAGTCAAGGCCAATGTCAACGGGAAGAATCGAATGCAGAGGGAAGCAAAGGGAGTAGTTGAATCTGTACCAGATGATTCCCTGGGCCACAAAACTTTCTCGGTCGCCTGGAAGTGTAAGTGTCGGCTGTGGTGTTGACTGAGGTAAGTGCGGGAAGCAGTCAGTCGAACATTACGTAAGGTAGGGCAGCGGGCGAACAAAAAATGACCCCCACCAATGATCCTTGTAGCCGTCTCCCCCGGTCGTTTAATTGAAGGTAGAACGCGGCCCCCCCACCACAGGCGCGTTCAAAGCGCGACTTTCTCGAGTCTCTATTTAACTTCTGGCGCGTCATCCCGGCACCCGTCTCCAGCTTCCGCTTTAATTGGGATCAGTTTCGACAGAACAGGTTCAATACCACTGGGCACGGCGGGTCACCTTTCGCGCTGAGCCATTCCGGCATTTATTGACTCTCTCAGCAGCACAACGGCGTGTCTGCTTATTGCTGAAAGCTGTTTCCAACCACCAAGCCTATTCTATCGACCTTTCCCTAGAAAGCCTACAAGCTTCACCACTCTCATTCCAATTCGCTGAATCCATTCTCTCTTTTCCACTTGTCACCCCCAACCGGCTCCAACAGCTGTTAGCATCATGGGAGAGAGATCTTCCTCAGCAGCCCGGACGCCGGCCAAGACCCCTTCGACACTCAAGCGCCAGCCATCGTCATCGGCCGGAACCCAAAAGACCATTGTTCAGTTCTTCTCTAAATCTGCCAGTGTCTCTCGCTCAACTCCAAAGCCCACGCCTCGGGCTCCCGACTCGTCTCCCTGCTTGAGAGAGTCGACACGAACAAACACGCTTCCCAGGGCTACACAAGCTCCAAATATAACCCCTGTGCCGAGTAGCGATGTCATTGAGCCTACAAGCTCCCAGGAGAACTTGAGTGCTTCGACAACCAAGGTAGCTGATGACTCCTTGCCATCACCGTCTACTCCAGCTGAGCATGTCACTACCCAGGCCAACGGTACCAAGCTGCCTCTGCCGTCGTCAAGCCCAACCCGCAAGGTACCTCGCCCTCTCCCCTTCACCCCATGACCTCGATGGCATGCGTGCTGACAAGTCCCACCTAGTCCAGGAAGCCTGTCAACTATGCCGAGCCCTCCGACGATGAGGATGACGACCCATTCGTTCGACTCCGAACCGCAAGCACACGCCGCCGCACAAGGACACCGGCCGCCATTGTGGATGATGGCGATGACTACGAGGACGCTGCAAGCAATGACATGCCCGAAGCCGATGATGGTCGGTATTCTTCTCTCTGCATAGTGGATCATAATCTAATCAATCGACTTAGACATGATTGATTTCGTCGTTAGCGATGAGTCGGATGAAGGCTCGCAATCCAAAAAGCGGAAACGTCGCGAACCAACCAAGGCAGCGTCACGAAAGAAATCACATGTCTCATCTCCCGTCAAGGAACAAGAGTACGAAGAAGTAGACGACGAGGCCATGCTGGATGTTCCGATCCCTTCAACCGCTCAACAGTGGCGTTACGATCCTGAAAGCGTTGCGTCAGCTGCTCCCCGCACCGCTGCTCCCCAGCCAGCCCGTCGTGTTGGTAAGACGAAAGAGAAGGCGCATACCAGGGAGCCGGAGGACAGGTACCCCTGGCTCGCCAACATCGTGGACATGAACAAAAAGCCTCGAGGGGACCCTGACCACGATCCCTCATCGGTGTATATCCCACCTGGAGCATGGAACAAGTTTTCCCCGTTTGAGAAGCAATACTGGGAGATCAAGCAAAAGCTATGGGATACAGTCGTTTTCTTCAAAAAGGGCAAATTCTACGAGCTCTACGAGAACGATGCCACTATTGGTCACCAGCTCTTCGACCTGAAGCTAACGGACCGTGTTAATATGCGCATGGTCGGTGTTCCGGAGAGCTCACTTGAAATGTGGGTAAACCAGTTTGTCGCCAAGGGCTACAAGGTCGCCAGGGTTGATCAGATGGAGTCTGCGCTCGGGAAAGAGATGCGGGAGAGAGACGACGCTTCGGCCAAGAGCAAGAAAGCCGACAAAATCATCCGCCGAGAATTGGCCTGCATCTTGACAGGCGGTACCCTCGTCGATGGAAGCATGTTGCAGGACGACCTGGCCACGTACTGCGCCTCCATCAAGGAGTCCACAGTTGACGGTCAACCCGCATTTGGCATCACATTTGTTGATTGCGCAACAGGCCAATTCTCCGTCACAGAGTTTGAAGATGATGCTGATCTCACCAAGTTCGAGACATTTGTTGCTCAGACAAGTCCAAGAGAACTGATTCTGGAAAAGTCTCGGATCTCGACCAAGGCTCTCCGGATTCTCAAGAACAATACATCCCCAATGACTATCTGGAACTACCTCAAGTCTGGCAGCGAATTCTGGGACGCAGAAACCACTCGCCGCGAACTTGACAGCAGCAATTACTTCGCCAAGGAAGATGGCCGAGCGGAAGTCTGGCCCGAGACTCTGCTTAAGGCCAAGGACAAAGACTTACTCATGTCTGCCCTTGGCGCTCTAGTCCAGTATCTCAGGATTTTGAAACTAGAAGGAGATCTACTATCGCAGGGCAGTTTCGATTGGTACACTCCTATCCGCCGCAACGGAACGCTTATCCTCGACGGTCAGACTTTGATCAACCTGGAGATTTTCGCCAACACGGTCAACGGTGGGCAAGATGGCACCCTTTTCACACTTCTGAATCGCTGTGTCACCCCGTTCGGCAAGAGGCTGTTCCGCCAATGGGTGTGCCACCCTCTTTGTGATATCAAGCGGATCAACGAACGCCTGGATGCTGTAGATATGCTCAACTCCGACAGGGGCATGCGAGAGAAGTTTACGTCCCAAATGACAAAGATGCCCGACTTGGAACGCCTCATCTCCAGAATCCACGCAGCTTCCTGCAAACCAGAAGATTTCGTGCGCGTGTTGGAAGGGTTTGAACAGATCGAATACACCATGGAGTTGCTTGGGGAGGTTGGTGGCGGCAATGGCCTGGTTGAACGTCTTTTAGCCTCCATGCCGAATCTCAGTGACCCTTTGTCTTACTGGAAGACCGCGTTTGATCGAAAGAAGGCGAAGGACGATAAGCTACTCATTCCTGAACGCGGCATTGAAGAAGACTTTGACAACAGTCAAGATCGGATCGAAGCCATCAAGGAAGAGCTGCAGACTCTTCTCGCGAAGCAAAAATCGGAGCTGAAGTGTAAGGCGCTGAAATTCACCGACGTCGGTAAGGAGATTTACCAAATCGAGGCTCCCAAGGCCGTCAAGGTACCGAGAGACTGGCGTCAGATGTCCGCGACCGCAAGTGTCAAGCGATACTACTTTGAGGAGCTCACAGACTTGGTCAGGGAGCTGCAAGAAGCGGAAGAGACTCATTCCCAGATTGTCAAAGAGGTAGCCGCACGATTCTTCCACCGTTTCGATGCCGACTACGAGACGTGGTCGCAGTCAATCAGGATCATCTCACAACTTGACTGCCTCATCAGTCTCGCCAAGGCCTCGTCTTCTCTGGGCGAACCCAGCTGTCGCCCTGAATTCGTCGACCAGGAACGCAGCGTTGTCGAATTTTCTGAGCTCCGTCATCCGTGCATGTTGAATGCAGTGGCCGACTTCATCCCCAACGATATCGAACTCGGCGGTGATTCGCCAAACATTAACCTGTTGACAGGCGCCAATGCCGCGGGCAAGTCAACCGTACTGAGGATGGTAAGCGGCTTGATCCCAAAGCTTCATACTCAAGACCCTAGCTAACTCGAGCAGTCTTGCATTGCTGTTATCATGGCCCAAATTGGATGTTACGTCCCGGCTACGTCCGCTCGACTCACCCCGGTTGACCGAATCATGTCACGACTGGGTGCCAACGACAATATCTTTGCCTCTCAATCGACATTCTTCGTGGAGCTGTCAGAAACGAAGAAGATTCTGTCAGAGGCAACGCCGCGCTCTCTGGTGATCCTGGACGAACTTGGACGTGGAACCAGTTCCTATGACGGAGTTGCAGTCGCGCAGGCTGTTCTGCACCACATAGCCACACACGTGGGCTGTGTCGGCTTCTTTGCGACGCACTACCACTCCCTGGCGACTGAATTCGAGAATCATACCGAGATTCGGCCGCGCCGCATGCAGATCCACGTCGACGAAGAAGAGAGGCGCATCACGTTCCTGTACAAGCTGGAAGACGGCATTGCTGAGGGCAGCTTCGGAATGCACTGTGCGGCCATGTGCGGCATCTCCAGCCGTGTTATTGAGCGTGCCGAAGTAGCAGCCAAGGAATGGGAGCACACCAGCAGACTCAAGGAAAGCTTGGAAAAGGCCAAGTCAGGATGCTATATCCCTCTCGGTGTGCTGAGCGACGTGTCGTCCATGCTGAAGGGCGGTGATGAGATGGAGAAGAGGGGTGTCGAGGTGTTGTTGAGAACAATTGAGGCGCTGTAAAGGGTTTTGCGCGGGCAATGAAGGCGAGGTGAAGTGTCTCGCACGGATAGAATGTATTCCAGTTGTATTATGGTATGGGTCTAGCGTTCAAAGGGGTCACATCAGGCTTCTCCTACCCAAGGTTAGAGGAAAAGACAGTTGCTAAATTATAAAAGTATTTCTTCATATATTCTTCCTCGTAGGTACATGCAACCCTTTCTACGGGCACGTTGGAAAAGCTGGCCTTGTGTGAAACAAGTCTCTATGTACCCAATGGTATTCTGATGCCTCCATTTATATACTTTCCGTGCAGCAAAACTAGATGTTATTGACGATGATGGTTTATCTAGGAAGATATCAAAGGTGCCAACAGCTCCTTAGGCGTCTTACGGCGAAGACTCCAGTATCTATGTTCATTAGCTGGCGTATACTATGAATTGGAGGAACATTGTCCAAACTTACAATAGCGAATCTGCTCTTGGCTCGGATTCGTTCGCCAAAGAAGACGAGTGCCCACGGAATCAAGGTCAAGCCCGTGGCAATCCCGCCCAGCAGCGAGCCCGCGCGTTCCTCCCCTAGGTTGCGAAACAACGCGCCGGTGACGAGCGGGAAGACGCCTCCGAGGATATTTCGACAACATGACTGGGCAGCCAGCGCCGAGGATGCGTACTTGTGATAGATATCGGCAAAGTAGTTAAAGGTAGCCAGGTACACCGAGTAGATGCCCCAAGTCGCGAGCATAATGCCAAAGGCGGGCGCAGTCCAGTGGAATTCTTTCTTGGCTGTGAACCCAAAAATGAAGAGGCCCGCGGGTAGGAAGGTGGCTGTAATGCAGGTGAAGTACAGGCGCGATTCGGGCGCGTCTGCAGGGAAACGACGCCGCATGAAGATCCAGAACCGGGAGGATTCGTCGACAGGGGTGTCGGCTCGCCATTGTGACAATCGGAGGAGCCTGTCCTGAAGAATACCGACCACGGTCGCGACCACCGAACCAACGATCATGGCGGAAAAGAAGTAACCCGACTGCTCGATATCCCAATTCCGCCTGCGTGACAAGGCCAGGGGAATGCTTCCAAACGTGCAGTAGAGAACGGCCCAGGCAAACGCGCACCATATCGAGAAGAAGAACACGACGGGCTCTGTGAAGAGAAGGTGGAATGGCCGAGAGACCGACATGGAAATCAGCTTCGGAATCGATGCCCGCTCCTCGTCTTCCTTGACCAACCATCGCAAACGTTGGGCTTTGAACTGGGAGGAGCATCGACGACTCGATTGACAAGTTGCGGAAGTCTTTTCGAAACCACAGCAGGAACACCCCTGAGTGTCTCCCAAATCCGAAGCCGTGTCAGTGCCCGTGCTACTGTCCATCGTATCCTCCAGCCACACGCCATAGAAGCCCACCTTTTCCCTTTCTTCGTACCACGAGTTCAGAGCTTCGGCTTTCTTCGAAAGAATAACGGATCCCCGGCTCTCCTTGAACAGCACAGCAAGTGCAATGACGAGAACAGTGTCGACGATGACCTGATGCCAGAAGATCCACTTCCATGCCAACGTTCCGTCCCGAGACCCCATCCGCTTCACCATGAGTGAAGCTACCAAAGGGCCGGCTCCCGTTCCGGCGAGTACCGCGCCGCTGAAGAGGGCCATCGGCGTGTTTCTTTGCTCCTTTGCCCACAGGTCCGCAATAACGCCACCTATGACTGAGCTGAAGACGGAGCCACCGACACCGACTAGAAATCGAGCGATGAGTATGGTGGTCAGGTTCGGGGCAACAGAACAGACGGCCTGGAAAATAACATAGACAACGCCGGAAATAACAAAGACTGGGTATCGGCCATATATCTCTGACAAGGGCGCCAGCACCATTGGTGAGAGGGCAAAGCCAATGCAAAAGGTCGTGATTCCGGTCAGAACAAGCAGCTGAGAGGTGCCAAGGTCATCAGCCATGATGTACGACGGTGGTGAGTACGAGCCGGCCGTGTACGCGGTGAGAAAGGTAGCGACGCATGACAGCGCTAGCATAAGATATTTCCGTGGCTGAGGCCATTCCAAAGGAGAGGTGTAGCGTGAGAGGTTCAGCAATGCTGGTTCTGATGGGGGCGGCTCGGCCGAGACTTGGAAAAGGACATCTACCGGCGCGGGAAGGACTGTATCGAAAGTCAGGTATCGAAAAATGATTGTGCTATTGGCGTCGACACGGGCGTCGGGTCCCGGCAGTTGGGAAACCTCGTTGGCATTTGACGAAGTGTTGGTTCCCCTAGACCCTCGAGGCGCCTTTTCGATATCCAGAACCGCGTTCATCATTGTTGGAAACTACTTTGTTAGACGGCAATGCCGATGATGTCTGGAGCCTCAAAACAAATTTGTAGGCCGAAGAGGGAGAGTGTGGATTGGTACAAGCTCCATGACCGTTTCCAACTTGGCGCACAGGAGACCTGGAGTACAATCCATATGGAGATATGTGAAGCAGTAAGGGAGGTGAGTGAGTGAATCACGACGAAGAAGCTGGAGTCGAGGGGAACTGCAGGATATAATTATTTGTGTTAGTGACCCTCCACCTACACGAGAAGCGGCAATATGAGACTAAGAAAGGCCGTCCAAGGGTCGGATATGTGAACGGGAATAACGGCGGATGGATCCTACCCAGCCACGTTGGCAGCGGCTATTAACCCGGTCACCCGAGGGTCTACGGATACTTACACCAAGGTACCTGAAATGTGGGAGCCAAGGTAATTAGGTAGCGGTCAGAGTCAGGAGTCGGGACGAGGACGTAGTCTGGGTGCGAAGTGATGCGATGCCATGCGGCATAATGGCTCGGCAAGCGACTGGCTGAGAGGCGGGGAAAAGGCCGCAATGCCCTTGCTATTCATCATTCTTGTCTCGAAGAGTCTCCTGCTATGTGTCCGGCTGGCTTCCCAAGCGCAAGCGGAGGCGGAGGCGCATGCGCAAGCGCGAAAAACAGCTGCAGATCATCAACGGGATCTTGATTGATAAGGGCTCGAGGGTCATGACTGCTGCGCTGTACGGACCTAGCTTGGTTAGCACCTCCATGCCTGTCGAGAATGCTTCACTCTTCATCAATGTTCAAGCTGGAGAAATCCCTGCTTTCGAATACAGCCAAGCCGAAGCCACAGTAGAAGCCAAGAAGCAGACCCCACTTTCAGAGTTGAAGAAAATGGAGTCAATAATAGTAGTATGGCCATGAACAAGGGAGATCGTTGACAACTGATCAGTCGCTGGACCGCCCTTTTGGAATGAGAACCGTCATCCAGCTTATTGGTCTCATCTCATGCTGGCGGTGCCAAGTTGTGCGGTATGTCTGGCGCACCCCGTCTGATTCTGGACTACCCCATCCAGGCCCCCCTGTCTGTCTGGGGTTGGAGCGGGAGCGGCGTGGCACACACCTCTCTTCCTTCCGCTCTATTCCCGGGGGAATTTTTACCCAACGCTACCTACGGGTACCTAGTCTCCAGCAGCGTCAGAAAAGGAGACGCATCGGTTATCGGCTACTTGATCCATCGTGACGATGGTGAAAAATACTTCCTGTTTCGGTCCAACTAGGGCCAGTACGCAGGTTTAGCTATAAGTTGCTTAGAGAATCTGCCATCTCTGCGCCTACTTTTATCCCTCATAAGGGCCAAATACTCCGAATTCCAAATCTTTCTCTAAAACACACTTACAGCATAATACTAATTGATGGTATAATATGAACCTCGAGATGAACAGGCATGTAGCTCTGATTCTCAGCCTTTTCACAGCTCGACAACCCGAGCCCTACATTACCATGGCATTGTTAACGGCCATACTTCTATGGTGATGTTACTCCGTATGAACTATGCCGGAAAGTAACCAAGAATTGAAGATGGGTGGGCAGTTGGGCATTACGTAGTAGCTTGATGCTCAAAACCGTGCAATTCCCGTCGGGCACTAAGTCGTAGCCTCGGGCCCGTCGGCTTCTGACGCCTCTTCCATCTTGTTCTGTGGCCGCCTTTCCTACCCTTTTGATTCCTACGCCTTCTACTGACTGCCTATTACGCGACTTTCTAAAATATGGGATATTAAAATGCATTGCAATCCGAAAGAAGCCAAAGGACGACAATATTGGGGTATCTAGCTCTTCTCCAAAACCACCACCACCACCACCACCAACACCACATCATTAATGTTTCGAGAAGAGACTTACTTACATACCCCGCCGGCCAACCAATCATATGCCTGTAACCTGACGAAAGAGGTGAAGTTAGAACTTCCGTTCTTAAACCTAGACCCAATGCTTATCACGGTAAGCTGCCGAACCTTTTTTTAACGAACCCTCTCCGTCTATTTTATCCACGATAATCGTGACGCGAATGGCCGCCGCCGCCGCCATGGGGCTCGGCTGGAAGCTCAGCGATGATGCGTGTTGGATGCAGCTCGTATGCGGCGTACGCGGCGGGCAAGGTGCGGAAACTGACATTGGCCACGTTGTTTGACGCGTGAAAGTGCTGATACATGTCGGTCTCCGAGAAGGCACGCGAGGCAGGTTGAGAGATGCCCGCGCTGGAGCCATTCTCGTGAAAATGGTCGTGGGCAGATGCTCCCTGCTCTTGAGTGCCAGCAGCGGCCTTGGCATCTTCCTTAATCGCATGTCTTCGGCGAACGAAAGCGCGAATGATGCACATGAGGAGAATAGCAACGACCAAGCCACCAACAACGCTAACGGTGATGGTGATGAGCTTATTAACCGGAAGCGTAACGTGGTCTTCCTGACCAGGTGAGTTAGTCGACTTGGGCAGCGGCGTGTTCTGTTCGACAGAAGAGAGCGTGGAGGTGGTTAGCGAAGGCAAGAGAGTGTTCATCATAGTTGCCATCATGGGCAACTCCGAGGAGGTAATGGCCAAGGCTGACGTAAGTGCCGTCTCTTCAAGGGTGACCGTCACTAAAACGGAATGTTAGAAACATGTGCAGAATGGAGGGTCTTGAACAACGGGAGGAAGTTGCGAACAAGGCTTACCAGTGGCTGTCTTAAAGTGAGAAGTGCGGACGCGAGTGAAAACGGGATTTCCGGGCTCGGCGGAGCCTACAGTTTGAGAGGGACTGGGCACCAAGTCGGACAATGGTGATGCAGCAGCACGAGGTTGGGAGGCGAATTGGTCCATGATTGCTGTTCTGGCGCGAGAGTTGCTTGCTTAAGACCGGTGTGAATCGTTATGAATGTAGCGGACGCAGGAGGAGGCAACGAGAAGGTAAGGCGTAAGCGAAGCTGGTGGTGTTGAGAATACAGTGTTCGATGCGTGTGGAGTCAGCTTTTGAGGCGACTCAGAATGTGTCCATGAAGTAAGGTAAGGAATATTGCGAGTTCAAGGCAGTCGATCGGCCTTGTGCAGCATACATGCGTTGCCGGAAGCCAAGATAATCACCAAGCCACAGGCAAAGGTAAAGATGTGGGGAGGACGTTGGGCGATTCAACTCTTCGACGGGAAAAAAGGAGTGAAGACGCCGGCGAGATAGACAAAAAGAAAGGGAATATCACTCCTTCCCCAGCGGCATCATCACGAAGGCGGTGTGGTCCAAATGGAAGGCAGGAGGCGGAAGGCAGGAAGCGGGAGGAGAGAAGCTCGTCAAGTTCGAATGGAAAAAGAAGGCAGGCACGAAATTGGAAGGGGCGTTCTTGCCCCCGATAGCTGAGTCTGAAGTTCATCATTAGAGGACGGGGGAATACGCATCTCCTAAAGCAGACATCAGACACTACCTACCTTAGGTAGTGGTAATACAAGTTTAGGCAAAGACACGACATACCTTTTACTGACGACGCCCGATTCTTCATTCGTCTTCCTGACATTACGTCAACGATAAATACCCCTATCCCACCTACACGAGGCGTGTCGACGTTGGCTTCATCAATCACCTGCGCCGGGTTGGTCATTTTATCCTCATCACAGTAGATTGTTCCGACCACAACCACGGAGTCAGCACCATGACGTACCTTCCACGGAGACGAATGACAACCTGGAAGCAGGGCGAGAGTCACAGCTATCCGGTCGTGCTGCAGTTCCATCCGTCTCTTGGGAAGATTGGGCATCGCTGTGTACTTGCTTGTGCCGCTTTTAGACGCCTTTGTCTTTCAAACTTGATAATGAAATCAAAGATAGTTCCAGAAATCAATCCTCGGGCCGGCATATCTCCATGTTCATCGATCTAAACTGATGCTGTTTTCTTTCAACGTCCGGCCTCACCTTCCCTCGACTTCCAATGCCAATGAATAGATTCTTCTAAGCGATCTCCACAACAAAGTCATAGGAATTCGACGAGTCAAATACAATCGAGGGATTCGATGATGACGTTTCTCCCTTGTCTTGCCATATCTAAGGTAGCCCGCCAAATAAATTGCAATTTGCCCATCGATGTGTGCAGGGCGCGTTCGCTGGGACCAAGGGGCGGAAAAACGTCGCACACGATTACACCCACCCACAGAGAGGAATATAAGATCTACTGGCCCTTACATCTTAAAGCATCTTCAATAGAAAAGTCTTTGGTTACTGCTTTTCGATTACGTCTAAATTTCCTCGATTCATCCCGACGACGTACGCTTACCGCCACTTTTTGCGTTTGAACCGCAAGACGAAAGATATCCAATCGCCCAGCTTTGAGACTTTCTGCTGTCGCCGCCATGAAACTATTTCAAACTACATATCCAGAACGAAGTCTATCATGGAAATGCTTTTTTGAGTTCTTCAGAAGGCGGCACCTCCCTCCCATGACCATTGGCGTCGTCTCTGCCTTCTTCTGTGCAGCATTGCGCACGATCTTGGCTGTAGTCCTTGGTCAGCTGTTCCAGATTATGATGGACTTCGGCAGCGGTATTTCCAGTGTGTCATATGCCATGACCTCAACATCACAATGGTGTGTCGTTATCTGCATCCTCGCTGCGGGTGCTCTCGTTGGAAACTCCATGCTACTATTGAGCTGGTTCATTTCCGGCGAACTCCAGGCAAGAAGCGCACGGGAAAGCGTCTTCAATGGGCTGCTTGCTCGTGAAATGGGTTGGTACGACAAGCAAGCTGACGGCATTCCCGCCCTTCTCATCAGGATGGAAACGTAAGCCGTATGTGCTAAAGTCCTCAGGGTTTCGAATGCTGACTTGGCACAGACAGACCTGCGAGGTCCAAATTGCAACATCTCAGGTCCTTGGTTTTATTGTCGCCGACTCAGTTTCCTCGGCTGCATGCCTCACTCTTGCCTTCAGTCTCTCCTGGAAGTTGACACTCGTGTTGATTGCAAGCCTCCCTTTCGCAATTGCTGCCCTTTCCTTCGCCAACCGAAGGCTCCAACCCGCCATCGTAAATCAAAAGCAGCATCTCACTGATGGCTGTAAGCGAGTGCAAGCATGCATAGCCGCGATTGATCTTGTCAAGATATATAATGGCTTCAATCAGGAAGTAATGGGATATGGCGAGACCTTGGATGCGGCTATGGAGCAGTACTTGGTGCAGGCCCGCGGCAATGCCCTTCAGATCTCATTCATGAGTGTCTGGGTGTCGATAATCTTTGTCGGCGGCTTTTGGATCGGATTATGGCTCGTCACGAAAGGCGAGAGGTCCTCGGCAGTACTCACCACCTTTTACGCAACTCTGACGGCCTTGGAGGGAGTTTCCAACTTGATGTTCCGGTGGCTAGTTTCGAACAAGGGGATTGCAGCCGGGGAAGCTCTCAGTCAAATGACAAAAGAGCCGTTGAGTATGGGTCGCAGGGAAAGCTCAAGGGCGTCTTCGGCCCCAGCTTCTGCGCGGGGGAGGTAAAAATCAAGCAAGTAAGAAAGCCGCACCTACATTACGGGAGCCGGGACTCATTAGATTGACTATAGATAAGCTTCGCATATCCCTCCGAGCCGACGAAAATGGTATTAGAAAAGGCGTCCCTCGACTTCCCTGCAGAAGAAACACGATTCATAGTGGGCCGCAGCGGCTCGGGGAAAAGCACCTTGGGCAACCTCTTGGTCAACTTTTACGAACCTCTCCTGGGTGACATATTTACTGACAATCTACCGATCAAGATCATGGAAAAAGAGTGGCTTTGGAGGAACATCACCTTGGCCCAGCAAGACAGCGCAGTCTTCGATAACACATTGCTTTGGAACATTACTCTTGGCCATCCCTTTGCGGCAAACGAGGTTCGAACGGCATGCGACATGTCTCTATTGCAGTCCCCTATCTCCTCTCTACCTTCTGGGCTGAAGACCTGGGTTGGGACAATTGGGCATAGACTCAGCGGCGGACAGAGACAAAAGCTTGCACTGGCTCGAGCAAGGCTGCGGGATCCCCCCATTCTGATAGTAGACGAGATCAAAAGCGGACTAGATGGAGAGACTAAAGCAATGGCCATGGATGCAATTCAAGCTTGGCGAAAGACCAAAACCACCATTATCATCACACACGATCTTTCCCACATCAAACAAGACGACTACGTTTACGTTCTGAACGGCGGGTGTGTCGTCCAGGAAGGTAGACTAGAGGATATATCGCGAGATCCCCATGGGGTTTTTGCACATATTGCTGCTGATGAGATACGGGAAGTGAACGACCCAAACCAGAGCTTGCCCCCTGATAGAGTCAACGTACATCCCCTAGTCCCTGAGCTCGGGAACCTTCAACCCTCGTTGCAATTTACAAGACACAGGTGCGGCGACCTTCTAGGATCAAATGAGAACATCAAGCCTACCAAATCCCATATCTGGGACAACATGGTATCTGTTCAGGCCGCGGGCTACAATGCTAAGGCTGCCAGAAAATCCGGGCAACTCCTTCGTCAAAAGCACATTCTTACCACCAATGACGGCCTGGAGCTCGAACAAGAGAATGTCGCCCAGGTATGGCCTTTGGAAACCAACTTCGAGCATATTTCTGCTATCCTCCATACCGTGTGGCCAAACTTGGCACCGACACCCAAACTCAGACTCGTGGTTGGACTGATACTCTGTTTGATCGCTTCTGGCTGTACCCCAGTGTTTGCTTTCTGCTTCGCTCAACTTCTCGCATCATTCTGGGCTACAGAAGACCGTCTTTCTATCGGCCAAGAATGGGTCATTTGTTTGCTGATGGTGGCTATACTCAATGGACTGTCTGGTTTCCTCGGGCGTTACCTCATGGAACACGCTAGTCAGGCTTGGGTGATTTCCCTTCGCCTAAAAGCCATGAGGCGTATGCTCGAAGAACCAAAGACGTGGTTTAAAAAGCTCGAGGACCCGGCCAGCCACATTGGCGAGTGCTTGGACAAAAAGGCTGAGGAGATGCGGACGCTGGTCTCTCGTTTTGTGCCTCTTGTTGTCATGATCGTGGCGATGGCCATCATCTTGACGACATGGGCACTCAATACCTCGTGGAAGCTCACGTTAGTAGCACTATCCAGTCTCCCAGCCATTATGGCCTCGCTAAAGGTGCTTTCTGTGGCAGGCAGGAAGTGGGAGACCCTCTGTAATCGGGGGGCCGCCACGACGGCGTCTGTCATTCACGAGGCGCTTGGAAAAATCCGTGCTACCAAAGCATTCACGCAGGAGAAGTACTTTAGCCAGAGACACGCTGAACTCACCGCTTCGACGTACAGACTCGGGTTAGAAAGAGGACTCTATCTAGGACCGCTCTTCCGCTTCAACGAATCTATCAGTTACTTCGTCGTTGCGCTTGTCGGTTGGTATGGAATCCACTTGACCGCCAAAAGACTCGAGATGACGGCAACCAGTTGCCAGCAGGTGGCCAACTTGCCCCTGTTCTGCGTTGTACAGACTGCTGGTATGTTGGGCATGATGCCCCAGGTGTCTGCATCGCAAGCCGCGGCCAGCCAGGTGCTCATGTTGGCGACTCCGTCGACGATAACGTTGTTGAAACCAGAAAATTCTGAAAGGCTGACGTCGATATTCCCGATCAAGGCACGAAAGGTCTCGTTCGCCTACCCTTCACGTCCGGCTCACCGGGTCTTGCGGGACATCGAATTGGATATCGACCGCGGCCAATACGTGGCCATAGTTGGACCGAGCGGATGTGGCAAGAGTACTATTCTGTCTCTCCTTGTTGGATTGTACTGGCCATCTCTACAAGGTTCAGCACCCAGGAACAACTCGGCCCAGCTCACGTATGGAGGCATCGCGTACGATCAGATCCAGAGGGATGACCTTTGCTCTCTCGTATCCTTCGTCCCGCAAAGCCCCTTCCTTTTCCCAACAACGATAAGGGAAAACATCACATACGGACAAACAGAAACCTCGCAACTGCTTGACGATAGCAACGTCAGGAGAGCCGCACGAGAGGCGGGGATTCACGACTTCATATCGTCCCTGCCTCGGGGCTACAATACGATTGTCGGAGATGGGGGCCTGACTCTTTCAGGAGGTCAATCGCAGCGAGTGTGTATAGCTAGAGCACTAGCACGCAGACCACGACTTTTGATCTCGGACGAAGCGACAAGTGCGTTGGATAACTTATCTGCGGAGACAATCCGGCAGACACTCTGTGGTATCTTGGAAAGCACGGAGAACTCTGGCGCGAGCGTCGTAGTGGCCACGCACGATCGGGATATGATACATTTTGCCCATCGCATAGTTGTGGTGGAGGACGGCCGAGTGGTAAATGAGGAGATTTTTCAAGAGTTACAGCACCGTAAGACACCACTCTCAAAAATCGCCGAACAAGGTCAGTAGGAAGGAAACACTAGGCGCATTCTAGACAATATAGCTTTCATCGTCACGTACACTCAGGTGCTTCCATTGAAGAGACGGGTGAGCAGATCTCAGTCTCTCTGGCTTGGCGAATTGCTCATTTAACATTATGTGCTCAAGCCACCAACATAATTGGAAACCAGAATATCGCCTTCCCATTAGTCACATCCGAGGACGGTCAAGAAGGAGCGATATCCAGACCAGAAAGGTCTTGCGTATGATACAATCACTGAAATTGGACCGTCACATCCACCACTCAATGAGACTCCACATTCGATATCGTGGGGCCCTGCGCTACTCTAGGGTGACGACCATACTTTTGTCAAATCGGGCGAAGCGCTTTCTGGCCGAGATGATGAAGCACGGGTGGTATCGTAAATCGAATTTCGACTGGCATCTCCTTTTCCAAGACGACGTCAGTTCGTCGGGTAGATAGGCGTGCCCTTTAGCTGGATGACTTGGCGGCTTGGGCCTTCTCATAGATCCAGTCGTTCAGACCGTTACGGTTTCTCGCAATCTCGATGGCGTAGAACTGCATGCGGGGCGCTGAGGTGCAAGTTAGCTGATGAGCGAGTCAAAGTCACCAAACGAGATCCGGTGAGGTTCGGCAGAGGTGTTGTTGGAGGGATACTTACCGAAAATGACCTCGTTCTGGCCATATTCGGATTTGGGGCTGGCGCGGACCATGGTGCCAAAGTTGTAGTCATCAACCCTCTTCTCGTAAGCCATCATGAACTTGCGCCACCGTTCCTTGCCGGTCTTGCTCTTCATCTCGTCCTCATTAATGGTCGCGGCGGGGTCGAACTCGGGGAAATCGGTCTTCAGATGCTCGTAGATCTCGTCATCGATCTTGGTCAGGCGCAGCGAGGAGCCCTTGACCTTCTCCAGGATGTTCCAGTAGGTTTCCATGTGCTGGACGACTGCGAAAAGGCGCTGTGGTTAGCCCGCGATCGCTCAGAAAGGCGGATGCGGCAGCAGCAGTGTGCATACCCTTGACAGCGAATTGCTTCTCGATCTAGACGCAAAAAAGGAGTCAGCGCACTTCGTTCGCGGCGAAAAGAGAGGAGGAGGGGTTAGAAGGTGAGCTCACATCCTCGAGGTTATCAGCCTCTTGAGCATCGAAGTTGGCGGGAACGGGTGCCGACATGTTAACAGAGTTTCTGAGTTGAATGTATTCAATCTCAGTAGCAGTGATAGACAGGACTGTTGTTTGTTGTGTGAGCGTGGAGGGGTTGGACGAGGAAGCTTTCAAGATCTTGGTGGGGCAAGTCGTGACGATAAGAGCATGGCAGTCAGGCATCGCGGGGTTCTTTTTTCATCTTTTTTTTTTTTTTTTTTTTTGGGTACCTCCACCTTTTCGCTATACTACCATAGAGTACCTAGGTACGTGCCTTGGAAAGGTACCGAAGTACCTAGGGTACGACACGCTGACGTCAAAACAATGAGTACATAGGACTCCAAGCCTCCCCGAACCTCCCTGCCGAAGATGTGCCGACACACCTCAGCGTTGACGTTGGAACAAACGTCGTCTGCATCCACTTATCATCCGTGCTCCGTCTTTGTTTGATTGTTCTCATCCGCTGCATGCTACTGTATTCCGATAGCCGCGCGGACTTCCGCGTTGAAATCAACGACAACATCTCCTCAAATAGTCGCTCTGGATGTCGATCCTTCCTCCAGCCAGCTCCCTTCTGAACCCCTAGGCGATCTACCCGATGTTGCCCAGTCAGACGTCGTGGACGCCTGGGAATGGACATCCATCTCTCTCTTTGACATGCTTCGTCGAAGTCTGTGAACCAGGACTTGCATTCTGTATTCTAGACTTGTCTCGTCAGTGGCTATCGACTCTTTAGACGTCTTTCCGATCAGTTGCGTTCTGCTGCCTGGACGTTCACATGCGTCGCCGTCCTCTGATGCATCTCTCGTGCCTCTGGACGCATAGGCAACCGACATACGCCCATTCAGTGGGTTCTCATACGGTTGTGTCAGCATGACTGCTCCCTCAGGAAAACAGAGGCCGCGCAGGTATTGTCGAGAATGATCATCCAACTGAAATTTGCCGTGCCCCTTATCGATCCACGAGGATTGGCCGGAGATTCGTGGCCATATTGACGAAGGTGCTACTCGATACGTATGGAGCTTGATTTCGTCGCTTCTTTCGGGGACGGGAAAGATCCGGCGCAGCAGAGAGTGCGTGTAGCCGTTGCTGAAACCGCAAAGGCGCATCGAGTCAACCAGGCCTTCTAGGCGCACGAATGGTTCGCAGATTCTTAGGAACTCGTCCGGGCAGTAGGAAAAATCGGCACCAAAACTTGAACGTTTGGCTGCAAACGTCTGTTCAGGCTCCGTCGACGATCTTTGGTCATTCTGCTCAGCGGCAGGCTTGGAGCCTGGGGGTAGATGGTCGGAAGGGCGTTCACCCCAGAATCTCCGGCAGAGCAGCACAAGGCTCCTGAGTGTCGACTGGTTCTTCCGCCTCAACTGGCCTTTGACGAACGTGCCGATAAGGTCGTCCATGTTGATGGTTCCTGCGCGCAGTTTACAGGCCTCCTTACCTGGCCCGAAACCCAATCGCGTCAGGTCGAGCTCGACGACGACCTGCTGTATGAAGTGGCCGTATTTGTTGCACCACAATGTTGCCAAGGGGTTCAAGTGTGGGCCGACGAAAGGCGACAAGGTGACATGGAAGCGCTCTATCATGAGGAATGCAACCATCATGTCCGCGCGCAGAGAGAAGGATACGGCGAGATACGACTGCAGCGGCCCCATGGCGGCAGCGAGCGAAGTGTACTCATCGTCACTCCAAACCTCTCTCATGAATCGACCGTCGGAGAGACAGATTGGAATGTCTGAGTTGTGATCGGCGATGAGATACTGGCATATCTGGAAGCGTGCTACTGCAGGCAATCTGAGGTACGGGGAGGTCGGTTCCTGCTGCTGCGTTCGCTGATGGTCTGCGAAGAACATCGCAACCGATTTCTCGAAATCCATGGCTTTGTCAGGCAACGCTTGTCCACGTCGGTATCTGTGGTAGACAACGTCGATTGAGCGATCCCATGGCGGGAGATTCTTCCGTGGTGAAGCAGCTGGCCATCCCGACTTGGGTCTTTCCATCAACGTCCTGGCTGCCTTCGGAGGTAAAGCTGCGGGAAAGGGATAGGGCAGAGGGGTCGAGATGTTTCTCGTCAACGCTGGCTTCGGCTTCGTCACTGCGGCTTCGTCAGTATCGGAATTCCACGAAGGCTGAACGACTCGAGAAATAAGAGTAGTCGTGGTGCCTTCCTCGAGAATCTTGTTCACAAAACTCACTCTTTCTGTTGGTATGGCCGATGCTGCTGGTCAGTTTGACACTCTCAATTTTGTTGTTGTATTTTCTTCTGCCCAACCTCTTCTGTTTATTTCAAGTGAAGTAAATCTGGTTTTGTGTTGTTGAAGTCCGCCTCTGTCACGTTTGTGAAAAATGAGTGTGTTTTCCTTCCCTCGAGGTGCTGGGCAGGCTTCACTTAGGAATTGAGCGCTCATCCACGCGTATTCACCTTCACCTTCCTTCCTACACTTTACTTTCACTTTGATTTTCATCTCAGCTTTTCACTTGCACTCTTGCCTTTTCTGTGAGATGGAACCAATTTTGCGTGCTTTTGCTTTATTTCAAGGCAGAACAAGCTCCCAGAAGACCAAATCGACGTAACTTGCCACCACCAGTGATTTCCTAGGTACATTGAATTCGATCCAATGTATTGCTTACCGAGGCAGCCTGGCCTACAGCATATGGACCGCTGAGTCGTACACATCGCAGCTCTATAGCTGTATGTATCCGGTTGCACCCCGACAATCGACCCGCTTCTCCGGCGCCGAGTGGACCGCGGCTCCGTGCATGCTCCGGCAGCTCAACCGGCTTTGCTACGGTAATACATCTGGCCAAGGTAGTACCATGGTGAAGGAGAATCACCTCCCATTTACCGAGGCCATTATTGATGCAGGCTTACTGCCTGCATACGCTATTAAAGGCAGGCAATTTCCTCGAGTCTGCTGTGCCGTTTTCATATGAGGACAGTTATTCGTTGGTTGGTGCAGGGGTACGCGTTCTGCGCTGACAATATGCCGCTGTTCGGTCAAAGGGTTAGCGAAGTAGGTCGGAGATACCGGCGAATTCTGTTCCTCTCCTTGCGTCGTAGAGAGAAGATGGTCGGAAGCAGGCAGTCTAAAGGGAGTTTGCAGGGATCTTGCCAAGCGGGTTGGCACCGCATCCAAGGTAAGCTTAAGGGACGAACGCTGCCGTGACGGCTCGGGTGATCGATCCCCTCCAAGCGCGGGCGCCGGAGAGATCTAGTCATTGGTTCACGGAAATGGCTCGCTCCAACGGGTGCTGCAGCACCCATGTCACGTACAGAAGTTCATACCACCCCCCAAGGGAATCACAAAACTAGGCTCAATCAAACCCCAGTCTTGAACGGGGTTCGGGCCGGAGTTGACAACTTTCTGCCTTCTCTTTCCCCTTCCTCGTTGATTTCCCCGGAGAGGGGAAATACATGCCCAATTGAGGTACCGGGCTGACTTACCTAGGCGAGGTGGAGTGGAGTGTGGTCTGACCTTGTCGAGTCAAACCCCCGTTGAGATGGGCAGCGACAGATCACATGGTTGTTTGTTTAAGAGGCGTAGATGTCCATGGCTTTCATTTCCTAAATTCCTTGAAAGATCTGCTGTTTTTTGACGTTTCTTCTGTAGAGTCACTTCTTGGCGGCCACGAGAGAGATTGCTTTGCTGTGCCGTTCCCTGCTTTTTATACTTGAGATCACCGCATCTCGATTTTGACATATAATTGCCGACTTCTCATACTCAACTAAAGTAGTTTCTTAAAGCTCTCATTACACTCAGTGGAGCCTATCAGAAGAGTTCTACACACACTGTCTCTCGGGAGGCATTGTGGCTCACAGTCTTGCAAGAAATACAGTTCAGGCAAGTCTATTCCTTTCTTTATAGGTAGATACGCGAGCATTCGAGCCTGTTCCTTTGAATCTGTAAATATAAACACCATGTCTTCCAATGTCAGGCTCAAGGCCATTACTGCATGGCGTTCCCAAGTGCCAAGCTTTCAATGTCACAATTATCGTACCTCCTGCCCGATCCATGGCTCCGCAGTCCCGCAGTGTACGTAGTCATCGAAACTAACAAAAAGGGCAAGATACTGTAAAGTTCCGATGACCCCAGAAACAAAAGAACCGCGTCGGTCTGCGGAAGAGCAGACGGCAATGCACAGAAAAACTGAGGAAGACGAAGAAACAAAGGGCCTCTACCAGCTTGAACGCGAACCCACGAGGGAAGAAAAGACGGCCGAGGCCCTTGCAGAAGGTCACGATGCCGACATACCTTCCAGCATGGGCTACGTCCTCGACGAACGCGGCGAGGAGAAGAAGAGGCGCTCCCTGGCGCTGGCGCGGACAAGATCGCGATCCCTAGCCCGGAAGTCTACGACTCGCGATGGGGACAACGACGTGGAAAGGGGAGTGGACCCAACAGAGAAAGACGGCGACGGCGGCGAGAGCTCGGAAGACGAGAACATTGTCTGGTGGGATGGTCCGGACGACCCGGCGAATCCGTACAACTGGCCGAGTTGGCTCAAGGTCCTCAACTGTACCCTGATCAGTGCCATGACTTTTGTCACACCACTGGCGTCCTCCATCTTTGCCCCCGGTGTGCCGGATCTCATGCGAGAGTTCCATAACAACAGCCCCTATCTGGCTGCATTCGTCGTCTCCGGTAAGCACGCATTTCAATATCCACATCATCCACATGAAAGTGCAAACATACTCATAAGTGCTAGTCTACGTGTTGGGTTTCGCTGCCGGACCCCTCCTCTGCGCCCCCCTCAGCGAAATCTACGGCCGGACAATCGTCTACCACGTCTGCAACCTCTTCTTCATCTGCTTCAACGTCGGCGCCGCCCTCGCACCCACCCTTAATGCCCTCATCGTCTTCCGCCTCTTCGCCGGCATCTTCGGCTCGGCGCCCATCACCAACGGTGCCGGTTCCATCTCCGACATGATCCGGCAGGAGAAGCGCGGGGCCGCGATGGCGGCGTTCAGTATCGGGCCCCTATTAGGCCCCATCATCGGGCCCGTCGCTGGGGGGTTCCTCGCCGACGCGGCCGGTTGGAGATGGGTCTTTTGGCTCATCGTCATCGTTAGTGGGGTTCTTAGTATTGTCATGGTCACCTTTCTCCGGGAGACGTATGCGCCCATCATCCTCGACAGGAAGGTCAGGCGCCTTCGTAAAGAAACTGGGAACACTCTGCTACGGTCTAAACTCGATATCGGGCTCTCCTCAACCGACTACTTCAAGCGGGGCATCATCCGTCCTCTCAAAATGATTGCCTTTTCCCCAATCACCCAGATCTTGTGCGTTACACCGTAGCCAATCTGAGGCTCTCTGCGTTGACCAATATTGTCTCAAACTAACGAATGCAACAGTGGGCTCTATATTGCCGTAGTCTACGGCTACCTGTATCTCATGTTCACGTCCATCACGTCAGTATTCATGACGCAGTATGGATTCACAGCCGGCACAGCAGGCCTAGCCTTTATGGGTCTCGGCGTCGGCTCCATGATCGGCGTGGTCTTCTTCAGCCTGTCATCGGATAAATACGTGAAAAAGAAAGCCGAGGAAGCAGACGCCGTAGCCGACGCCACTGGCACGGTCCGCGAAGGTATGAAGCCAGAGTACCGCCTCGTCGCCCTCCCAGCGGGTGCCGTCTTCCTCCCTGCCGGCCTATTCATCTACGGCTGGACGGCCGAGTACCACATACACTGGTTCGTGCCCATCTTGGGCACAGGCATCGTTGGCATAGGCAACCTCATTATCTTCATGGCGTTGCAGATGTACCTCGTGGACGCCTTCACCATTTACGCCGCCTCGGCCCTTGCCGCCAACGCCGTCGTGAGATCCGTAGCTGGCGCCACCCTACCTCTTGCGGGTCTGAAAATGAATCAAAACTTGGGTGTTGGCTGGGCGAGTAGCATTCTTGGTTTCATTGCTGCCGGAATGTTGCCTGTGCCGTTGCTGATTATGAAGTACGGCGAGTACTTGCGGAAGCGTTTCGAACTGAAAGACCTGTAGACATGATTAGATTAGCCGCGTCGGGAAGACCTAACATAAAGACCAGATGGTATACAGACACAATGCACATAACACACGACCCGAGTAAATAAAGCATCTGGGCGAAATGTTCTGGGTAAGAGGCATGGATATGAGAGAGCTTTGTCGAAACCCAATATTCTCTTCCTCTATCTCGGCATCTACGAGACTCATAAGAAACATTGCGTGGTGCTTGGTGGTCTATCGCTACTGAATTGCTCCCAAGCTATTCTTGGTGGGGATTTTCCTTCGCGTCTCATTAGTTTCACCGGCGAGACTATTCGACACGCCCACATGGTCCTCTCTCAGCTAGAACGGGCGGTTTTGTGAGCGGCCCCACGAGGCAAGACGTAAGATCCTCGTTGCCAGTCCTTTCTCTCAGGACAGCGTCGTCTTATTGGATCCATCCATCTGCTGAGCCCCCTGCGAGAGCTTGTGTATCGTCTGATTGATTCTTCCTTCAACTTCGGATGAACTCAACACAGGTAACCGGCTCGTGTGAGATTCTTGGAAGGTGATATCAACTTTATTCATGTGTGCAAATCATACTCGTGTGTGCTGGGCAGTATAGCCCGTCATCGTCTATCACGGTTCTAGGTACTTTGGTATCTCCCGCACGCCGACGGGCATCTTCTCTTTTCATTCCTCATCCACAATCAACTCCATTACAAGGTTCCGATGCCGAGGTGCTCAGGGTCAGCCTTGACGATACGCAGGGTGTTTGTGTTGCCCATGCCGCCCTTCCAGCCCTGGACGACGACGAGAGTGTCACCCTTGCTGACAACGTTGAGCTCCAAAGCGTGCTCAACACCCCACTTGATGCGGCGGTCGACATCCTCTTGCCAGTTGACCTTGCTGAAGTCGGGCTTGGCCTCAGGGAACAGGAATGGGTAGACACCACGGTACAAGTGAGCGTAGCGGGATGCGGAGGGGTTTCTTGTGACCATGAAGATGGGGCACACGGGGCGGTACTTGGATAGAAGGCGGGCAGACTCTCCGGATGTGGAGAGAACGATAATGCCGCCGGCGTTGAGGTCGAGGGAAGCTCTGACAGCGGCCATGGCGCAAGACTCGACAACACTGACGGGCCGCTTAACCAAAGTGCACATCTCCTCGAAGTGGGAGACGTAGGGGATGGTGTTCTCAGCCTTGAGGCAAGCCTCGTGCATCTCGGAAACGGCCTCGTTGGGGTAGCTACCCTTGGCGGTCTCTCCGGACAACATGACACAGTCGGCACCGTCGGTGATAGCGTTACCAACATCGCTGATCTCAGCGCGGGTGGGGCGGGGGTTCTTGATCATGGACTCGAGCATCTGGGTGGCACAGATGACGGGCTTGCCGGCTCTGTTGCAGAGGGCAATCATCTTCTTCTGGGCAGCGAAAACCTCAGCAGCGGGAATCTCGATACCGAGATCACCACGGGCGACCATGACACCGTCAGTCTCGGCGAGGATCTCCTCGAAGTTGTTGAGACCTTGACGGTTCTCAATCTTGGCAATAATCTGGATGTGCTTGCCCTCGGGGCCGAGAACATCGCGGATGTCCTTGATATCCTGACCGCGGCGGATAAAAGAGGCAAAGACCATGTCGACGTTGTTCTTGACGCCGAATCTGAGATCGTTCTTGTCCTTCTCGGAAAGGGCGGGAAGATCGACGTCGGTGTTGGGCAGGTTGACACCCTTCTTGGAAGAAATGAAGCCATTGTTGCGTGCGCGGACCTCAACGGTCTTGTCATCCTTGACGCTAAGGACGTCAAAGGCGAGGACACCGTCGTCGACGTAGATGATGCGGCCGGGCTCAATGACCTTGGTGATGTTCTTGTAGTCGACGTACCTATCAAGCTGATGGTTAGTGGTGTAACGTGAAAGCTGATTGAGGGAGGGAGGCGCTTACATGTTGTCAGTGTCGCAAGCAGTGGCGTATTGGTCGTCGGTGGTGAAGTTCAAGACCTTGCCGGCGGAGATGGGGAGATCCTCATCGTTCTTTGTGTTTCCGGTGCGGATCTCGGGGCCCTTGGTGTCGAGGGCAATGGCAATCTGACGGCCAGGCTGGGCCTTCTCGGCGGCGCGGGCATTGTCAATGACGGACTGGTGGTACTCGTAGCTGCCGTGCTGTTTAAAGGCGACGGGTTAGCAAGGTGCGCGGACTTGTGGGGAGACGTTTGGCGTCTAGGTTGGGGGGGTTACGGAGAAGTTCATGCGAACAACGTTGAGGCCGGCCTTGCGCAAGGCGTTGATGGCCTCAACGGAGTTGGTCTTGGGACCAATAGTGCAGATAATGGAAGAGCGGCGGTAGTTCTTCTCGGGTTGGTAGGCGGTGTCGAGGCTGGAGAGCCATGCGATCTTGCCGCCGACATCGAGATGGTCCTTGGCGGTAGCGGCCATTGTGTGAGTGTGTGCGTAGGTATGCGTGTGTTTGGACAGGTGATGAGGGAGTTAAGAGGAAAAGATCGATCGCCGGGGGACGGAGGATGGTGTAGCAGAGAAGAACCGGGCTACTAATAGATGGTCGAGGCGAAAGGGAGGAGTGGAAGAGAAGGAGGGGTCTACTGCGGTTGTTAAATCCTGCTGGGAGTGGGGGCGGGCAGAGAGAAGACAGAGAGGGAGAGGCAAGGCAAGGTCAGGCAAGGTACGTAAGGCCAAGGGGAGAGATAACTAATAAAAAAAATACGATAAAAAAAGTCATCCAAATCGACGAGGTTGACGAGTGAGACTCTTCTACGAGGGAACAGGCCAATGCAGGGTTTATGCACAGGAGAAGTAGGTAGGTAGCCTCAGCCAGGTATTTGTTGAAGACCAAGACGGGAGGAGAGAGAGACACACGAGGGGCAGGGACGAGAAACAATTTGCTCCTGGCCCAAACAAGTGAAGCTGCCCGGCGGCGCGCTCCTCTACTTGCTGGCTGCGTCGGCGGTGGTGTCGGCGCCTTTTTTTCACTCCTTCTTTTTTTTTCCCACTCTGTCCGGGTGGCCGCCGCTTTGCCCCTCGTTGAACTCCTTCCCTGCACCGGCCGGCACCACCCCGTTTGGTGAGGTGAGGGGGAGAAGGTGCTGAGCTGCCCCTCAATCCAACGGAGTGGTCTGTGCACCTCAGTCCATGGCCGGATGGCAGGAGTAGCACAGGCTGCACCTCACCAATCCCTGACAGAAAGTCAAGCGCAGCTTTGGCAATAACGACCTTGGCCCCCCACCAATGTGAGGAGCTTGCGGTGACAGGTGCCCTACCAGCTAGCTGCCTTACCTCAGCTCAGGCCTCAGGGTCCCGCGCTTCACACCGGCGTGGCACCTCACACTTTCCAACTTTTTGCCGTCTCATGTTGAGACAACGAAAAGAGACGACGGAAGGAGACACAGAAGACTCGGGAGCTTGAGGTAACTTCCCCATTGAAGCATGCTCCCGCTTCATCTCCTTCTCACCTCACCATTTACACCTCGCTCATCCATCAGCTGGAAACGCTTGGCCAATGAGGCCATATACCCACGCCTACGGGCCGAACAAGGTTTACGCAAATAGCACATACCAAAACGGCCCGGGACATGGTGAGGCACCGCCAGGTAGGGTGAGGTGAGGTGAGGTGAGGTCAGGCCAGCCCAGAAAAACAGCGTGGTTTCAGCAGATGGTAAACAAGAAAATAAATAGATGCCAACTAAGGTAGAAACCACAACGGAAACATTCAAGGGGCACCAACGCAACGCAATGCAAAAGGACAACCCAAGAAGACCGACGGAGAATGATCCACTCACCTGGTACCTGTAGGGGTCGTGCTATTTATTCTCCAACGCTCGAGCTTGTCGAGCTGGATAATAGACCAAAGTAGCAAGTGTGGTGACAATACCCAGAGGTAGAGAAAATGAAGGCGGAAGAGAGTGGAATGATGGAAGAGGTGTTGGCCGGATGAGGTGGGCGACGATGAGTGATTTCAGTCCATAGGTTGGATCCAGCGCCATCCAACTGTCTAGTTCCAACTTCGGCCATTCTCTCGTTTTATTTCGCTTCACCATCCTCTAACCTCCCGCTACGTCACCTTCCGTCGTGCACTTGCACCTGTTGCACACTGGCGCAGCTTCCATTTTGCGACGGAGCTCCGGCCAGCTCCCTTGGGCTGAGTTGAGCTGATTAAAGCCTCAAACACTCAACAAACTAGAGGCCATGCCGGGGCGGGCGGCGGGCCACACACAACCTTGCGCTCTTTTGGTCTTGGCCTTGCCCGGGTCTGAGCTTCCTTTGCCAAACGGCACCGCCAGCCCGATCGTCCGACCCCTCGAGAAAATGCATCCATGGCACCTTGAAAACCCGCAGAGAGCCCCTCCGTGGTCAGATGCCCCTCCATCCGCTGGAAAAAGGCAAGGACTCCAAAATCCAAATGGACTCGCCGACTCGGTCCTTGGTTTATGGATTTGGGGGAGGGGCCACGGGGGTAAAAGGCCGCTAGGTCTCTCAAGTGTCAAGGTGGAGAAGTCCCCTGGTCCACTTGCACCTTGGCATGCTTCGCACCTCTCATAAAAATGCGAAAGGGCGACAATGCATTTGTCCATGACTCTGTCAGCTCCGGCAGCTCAACACCTGTGTACGGCCAATGACCACGTCAAGGTAAGGTAAGTGGACCGCCGCCGGTGCACCGTCGGACAATTCCATTTGTGCCGCGGAGGAGAAAGAGCCCAGGTCCCATCCGAGCTCCGGCTAATCCGCATTGCTGGTGACGCGATTCAAGCCGCCTCGATGGTTCGGGTCCGAGTCGCGCTTCTTCTCTCTATTTCCCTCATCATGTTCCAAAAGTTGTGCTGGGAGTGTGACACCCAGGAATTGGTGTCTTCATAACTTCATGGAGGACCCCGTAGGAAAGACACGAAGGAGATGGTATCCAAAATCCCAGAGTAAGGCAAGGCACCTTGAGGCTTGAGGTACAAGGCACCTCAAGGCTGAGGTAATTCATGGTCAGCAAGCCATAAAATCGTCGCTTCTCCACTTGGAGCCACACGAACTCAAGATGAGCTTAATTGACCTCACGTCTCCATGACTTTGATTCCCACCGACGACACTCGGTGAGGATCCTTGGTATCGCACATATGGGGGCTTAGATAAGATATGAACGTAGACATCTTATCTTATCGGAATGTCGGATAGTCTCACTTTAGCCTGAGGCATTTCAGGTTGCTTGGTGTGCACAGTCCACTTGGACAGTCGTCCGCCGGGGTAGGTATCCAGAGGTACTCCAGTTGCTCCAGTGTGGCTGCCAACTCCCATGCACCTTAGGCGAGCCTTGTCTCATGATCAACATCCTTCGTTTCCAGCCTTTGACATTTGTGATTACGCCGCCACAACTCCGAGACGACGACGATTGGAACCCTCAAAGATAGCAACAATATCGAGGGACAACAAACAACAGATTGAGAAAAAAGGAACCGAACCAGACAGACCTTTCAACAACTTGCACCAAAATGGTTGGTCCAGCCTTTTCTACCCCCGTCGGGCTGCTGGCGAGCGGCCCTCGTGCTCTGGCTCGCCTCGCTGTCTAGCGTGGAGATTTGCTTGCGCAGTCTTAACACCTCCCTAGCTCCTCAACTTGCTGACTCTGGGCCTCTGGTCAAAGATTGGACGTTTGACTCACTACGCATTCGATGCGGTGCTCTGTTAGTCCCCCACCCCCTCCCCTGTTCTGCAGTTGATTGCATCGTCTGCCTCGATCGGTTCGTTCGCTAATCCTTGGGAATTTTTCAGTCTCCGCCTTCCTCGCCGGCATGCAGCGTTCGACGGGCCTGACGTGAGTGACTATCCGATGTTTCGATGCGAATACCAGAGTCCCGGCCGACAGATAAGACGCAGCGCGGCTAACATGTGCCCATTCTGGGAATCGTCAGACCCAGTTTCAAGACGGACAGAGCTGCCGGCGAGAACAAAGACGTTTCAAAGTGGATCGAAAAGTATCTCGGCGTCGGCGAGTGGGTGATGGATCAGTCGGTCGCCATTGCCGGCTCCAGTGGTTGGTTCGAACGCAGGCGATAATTCGAACTCGAGACAGCACCAGTTGAATCGTTATCCACGGACCCCCGCCCTTCCCATGATGGTCTGGAATCGGATCTCCCTCCTCATTCATTTCCAGCTTTATCCTAGGTGGTTTTGCCGCATTATGATTCTCGAAACGCTCTGCGACTCCTCGGGAGATATCAGCATGGGGCTGCTTCTCAGCGGTGTAATCCCAGTGGGCTGAGTTTGCTGGCTTTTGTGGTCTCGGAAAGCAGATTTGTGTCTGTATGCGGGCGTTATGGGCGACTAAGGGCAATTTCCTAGCTGTACTTTGGGGAACAGAAACCGAGCCTTCACCGGCGAGCTCTTGGTTTTATTATTGCGAGGCCCTTTGGGCACCGGGCTACCCCGTGTAAATCCTTCCAACCGGACCTATGGACCCCACTTTCGGGATCGTCCTCTTCGCGGGATGCGGCCATAGCCGAGGTTACCGACCAAATCCAATCCGCCACGGTCTGCCACTGCAGCTCCTCTCGTGCGCCATAGCTCCCTTGGTTGACAGCTGGTTACCTTTCGACGTGACTCTGTTAATGATATTATGAAGAGAGGCAAAATAAAAAACAGTGAACAGCCGGGCGTAAAATTGCTCCTCCTTAAACGCCCCAATTAATTGAATCATGGTCTGCGGGGTATCCTGCCCAATCCCACTGTCCTGTCTTGTTTCTTGTCCATCCGTAGCATAATTCGTGTTCAAAAAAAAAGCGTGCTCCAACAACACCTTCAGCTCCTGGCAAACATTGTACACCCGAGTTGAACCCGTTACAAACGCTATCCAAAGCGCACATGTCAAGAGACCCTCCCTCATGTTCAGTCTATACCCTCATCGTTACTGTGCTCCGCGAGGAACTCTGGGGGGACCTCATTGTCACTATCACGCCTCGAAGACGACGTCCGTATAGACCCGACGTTGGAATGGTCATCATCATGCTCTTCCAGATGCTCTTCCAGATGTGACACCAGCAAGTCCGGCGGGACCTCATTGTCGCTCTCCCCTTGATGACCTTGAGTCGTAGCTGTGGCTACATTCTTTTGCAGCATCTGCTCTTCTTGGTCATCGCCATTGTGCCAGGGTTCTTCGATATCGTCAACTTTTGCCGCCGCTACCTGATGCTTTGGTAAACTTCCTCGAAGGAGACTTGCGGCATCTCGGAACGCCTCGAGTTCAGCGCCGACGGCACATATTAGAAGGTTCCAGCTGTTTTGTTCAGCCAATCTCATGTTTGCTTCAAGCTCCAAGATGACCTGGGCCATCCGCGGCAAGAGAGCCTCGACGCCCTCTTGTTGTGCTCGCGGGGTCTGTTTGCCCTTGGCCAAAGAAGCACCGCCGCTTAGGGACTGGCGCAAATCCGCCTCGAAAGTCGTGACGAGTTTGACCGTTTCCTGCCACAACTCCGTGCCTTGGTCAAGCGCATCGCGGTCCTTGTCCACCTGCGCCTTTCGCTTGTGGAGGAAGTCCATTTCGCTTTCCCACCAGTCCTTGGCCATGCTGAGTGTGCGTCGCGTGGGTATCATGCGGAAGAACTCAGCCCCGCTGGGTAAGTCTTGGACATCGTTGCCACTTCCAGTTTCATTCCGCGATACGGCTTCGATAACATCAAGATCCAAGGGTTCGATGGGAGGCCGGCGTAGAAGGGAGGTGACCTCCCCTTCGACTTCTTTCAAAGCACCCCTGTAGCCACTCAAGCCAGCCTCACGACGGTTGTGGACATCTTCCATCTTTCGCTCGAGCCATCGGTGGCGATTTCTCATCCCGACGAGCTTCTCCTCTAGCTCGCGGATTTCTTGCCCTAAAGTATCATGCTGTTCTCCCAAGGTTCGGAGCTCCTTTGCCAGAGGCTCCTCCTCATCGTCAGCCAAACTTTGCAATTCGGCAGAAATGCTAGCCCTGCGCTTGTCCAATTTATCCAGATACGAGAGGGCTTTCTTTCGTTGCGAGAGGGCCGATTCGATGTATGCATTTTCTTCCGTCTTGAGACCGGTGAGGGCTGCCAAGGCCTGTCGCAGTCCGCTCCGTGCCGCGCGAAGGCCCTGTTGACCGTGTACCTTGGGTTGTCGAACAGGTATTATATCGCCGCGAGGAGTCGCGCGTATCGGAGGGTCTAACGATGCCACCATGCGAGACTTGGACGTCGCTGTAGAATAGAATGTCCCCGTCGGCGTGCTACTCCCAGAATCGCTCCACGTCTCAGCCCCTCCAGTGCTAGCGTCGAGAGTTTCAGCGCCAGATCCTAGTCTTGTGGCTTGTATGTCGAGCAATCGCTGCACCTCTCTATGGAGAGCTCGTTCTCGGTGTCGTAGATTCCGCCAGACAGAGTCAACGCGGGACTTGCTTGAGTCGCGCGAGCTGTGGTCGAACATTATGCTTCCAAATGATAGCCGGCTGGAAGACATCCCCTTTGCCTCGTTCTGGCGTACTGGTCTCCGAGGGCCCCGCCTCCCCGACGCCGCGGAGGGCTGTAATACTACTGAGGCGGTTATGGGTGGTGGGGGGCCAGCAAACATAGTCTTGGGCTTCAACTTGGAGAAGGTGTCCGCCGGACCAAAAGGGTCATCGTCCCATGGGTCCAGGGGAGAAGGAGAGCGCGCTGTCGACATCATTATTGGCAACGGCGGCGACTCTGACAGCAGAGATACATCGGGCCTGGGGGACAGATCATCGAGATCGTAGTCGTCTGAAGGCTTCGGACGGGACGTGTACAGTGGCAGAATGGGAGGTTTCTGTCGGGTCGGCGAGACTCGGTCGAGGAAGCTTGGTGAGCTAGATGCCATCATGGCGCATTCGACGCTGCTGAGCGGGACGGGGAGAATTGGCGATGGCGCGGTCAGCAGGAAATTCGTGGTTGGCAAGGGTGCTGAGGGTGCTCGTCGGAGAGATGGCCAAGTCTGGACTATAGCCAAGAAGTTGTCAATCAGAAGAACATATAGACATTGGTGACGAGTATGAGATATTGAATACGGCAGGATGCTACGGCAAACGTGTGGATTCTACAGGACAGAGCATAGCAAAGTCGACGATGGGAAAGCAACGCCAGGTGTGAGGGTACGAGATAAAGAGTATCTTTTGGTACCTACGGGAAGCAAGAGCTCACGAGCTCTGAGCATGTGCCACAGCCGCCCGTGCGAGACAGACGTCACACGGCGGGTTACCTAAATCATTCGTGCACTTCTTAGGTAAGCTTGGAGTCATTTATTATCGATAAGCTACTATCCGATTAAGGAATGTATTAGTGAGGTAAGGTACGGACCTTAAGGTACCTACCTACCTTACCGTAAGGTAGGTATCCGAATTGGACGATGCTATCCGTTGGGAGTCTTTCGAGATTGCCTGTTGTTCACATGGCTCACGGGGGAAACGCGAATAACGGGCCCCCATAATTGTGCCCAATCAAATGTTTGAGAGGTGTCGTGTGTATCCGACCTGTCTGGTTGCCTTCCATTGCCTAGGTCAGTACTTACATTAATGAGACGGTCTACTTTCCTTGGCTCACTCTTTTGGCCTGTCCTCATCCCTGGCAGCGTTTGCGTCCGTGTTTCCGTGTGTCCGTTGTCCGTCTATCCGTATGTATGCCCAATGCCAGGGCCCATCAACGATGAACGACTCGGGCGTTCATTAGTCAGGGGGTGCCGCTGTAGATACGAGTGATTTTTCTGCCGGAACGACAACGCGAATAACAGATTGCTTGCTCTGCAAGTCAATTCGGAAGGGGTATTGGAGACCAGACAGAATATAGGACAAGTTCACCTCCCGCACACCACCATCAGATCAGACAAGACTGCGGATGCCGAGGACTTTGGCACTGCCACCGTCTGCCCCTGGCCTGCTGTTGTCTGCGTCTTCGTCCCTCCTCCCTCATCCTTTGTGTCTTGTTCCTCGCCCTGGCCATCTCATCGTCGTCCTTGTTGTCGTTCTTCGTCTGCTTCTTCTTCTTCTTCTTCATCGTCTTGTTATTGTTGTTGTTGTTCGTTCCCCGTCCGTCCCGCGTCCCATTCAACCCACGCGCGCGCATATCACTTGGTTGGCCACATAAGGAACACAACCAAAAATAAATAAATATGATGCACTTTCTGGGTCATCGTCGAACGGCCTCGCAGCAGAGCATCGACCCCGAGACACAACAGCAGCCACAGCAGCAATGGCGTCCGCACCACCAGCAACGCCTAAGCGCGTCTTCGGCGCTCTGGCAGGCGGCCCAGGCCTTGGGGTCCATTGGAGCCCCGGCCGCTGCCGCTGCCGCCGCCACCACGTCCCCTCCAGCTCCCGCTCCTGCTGCCTTTGAGTCTGCTGCTTCGTCAGCCTCAGCCTCCAATGTCAATTTGGATGCCCCTCCAACAATTCATAGCACGGCTGGCCACACCCGCCCACCGCTGCCCAATCTGGCGCCTTCTTCTTTGTCGTCTGTATACTCGCAGCACTCGCCATATTCGCCTTGTGTCCAGCAACAATTGCAACAGCAGCAACAGCAGCTGCAGTCTGGCTACCTCCAGTCCAACAACAACTCGCATCCTCCTCCTCCTCAAACCGGGCTCGGCATCGGGCTCGCTTCTCCCACCACTTCCTCCTCTCTCCAATACACCCCGGGAGCCTCGAATGCAGCAGCCTTGACGTCAACCTCGACCTCGACACCACCGTCGACGTCCACATCCACAACGGCAGCCTCCACTGCCGCTGGTGCGCCTGGGCCATTAGTGCCCAAAGTCCCCCCCGCCGTCCCCCCCGCCGTCCCCAACTTCCACTGGGACAACGACTACTACCACGAGACGAACAATCAGAACACCACCAACAGTAGGGCAGTCACTCGTACGCCCACCACCGCCGCCGCGACCGACTCCGCTTCCGCCTTCGCCCTCCAGCCTCACCAATCCCATTCTTACTCTCGCTCTCATTCTCATTCTCACTCCCATTCTTATTCGCGCTCTCACTCCCATTCTAACCCCTACTCTCCTTCCTCCTCCTCCTCCTCCTCCTACTCCTCTCAGCCGCCTTCCGCCTCCAGCAACCACCCTCCTTTCTCCCACTCTCGCTCCCAGTCGGACTTCGAGTACAACCAGCAGCGTGCCTCCCTCCCCGCCGCTCTGCTTCCAGCCCACGGCCAACAGCTGCACAGAGACTCTACCTACTCGCTGCCCGCCCACTCCACTGCGACTGAGACATCAGGGCCGCCGGGCCTTTCCCCCTCCGTCACTCTGCTGCCCGCGCCAACGCCCTCCTCCTCACCTTCCTCTGCTCTCGCGGTCATGAACCAGCAACAGCAACAGCCGTCGCCGCCGTCGCAGCAGCAGCAGCAGCAACAACCCCAGTTCCAGACTGGCACCCCGCGACGCCCCAGCACCTACAACTCCCAGCACGACGAATTGCACATGCCAGCGGGCATGATCCAGCACGGCCAGCCGTCACCCCGCGAATACTCATCGTCGTCTGCTGCCCCGGCCGCACCCCATATCAAGCTGGAGCAGTCGTCCCCAAACACTCACCCCCACGCGCCTTCCTACCAGAGCACATCGTCGGTGCCTAACGTCTTGCAACCAGGTGGTGCAGGTGGTCGTCCTCCTGCCACCACTGCCAACACCGCCCCCAGTATGTCTGCCATACAGCCTCAGCAGCAGCAAGAATATCAAACGCCTTCCAAACCTCCCAGCCTGAGCCTGTCCCACAGCTACTCGCGCTCCTCGCCTGCTGCCGGATACGAAGGTGCCTCGTCCTTTGCGCCCTACACGCCCACCACTCCCAGTGGCTCAGGATCCCAATTTATGTCTCTACCGGACCAGAAGTATAATGCGCCTGGCTCCCAGCGAAACATTTCGAATACACCCTTGGGTCTGGCCGATATTCGACCCCGCGCCGATTCGAGCATGTCCGATGGCGTGCCCGGTAGCGCTGCATATGAGCTTGCCAATGCCCAGCCTGGTACCAGCAACTACCTCGCTCCTTGGGCCCTGTATGCTTTCGACTGGTGCAAGTGGCCTCCCCAGGGCAACGGCGCTGGGAAGCTTGCCGTCGGTAGCTATCTAGAAGACGGGCACAACTACGTACGAACCCCTCGCTGTGATGTTGATAGCTTGATCTGGCTAACACTATCATGTCGCCCTAGATCCAAATTCTGGATACCCAAATGGTTCCGACGCCCAACGATGTCTATCAACCGGGCACCCCGAAGATCAACCTCGAGTTCCAAAAAGTCGCCGAGGCCACACATTCCTACCCTGTGACGCGCCTGCTCTGGGAACCGCCCTCTTCGCAGAAGCAGTCCACCGACCTCCTTGCGACCTCTGGAGACCACCTTCGTCTATGGTCTCTCCCCTCCGAAAGTCCTGTCTCCCAGAGCAACTCCATAACCAATCGAGCCAGAGACCCTGCCGTCACGAAACTTACGCCTCTCGCGCTACTTTCCAACTCCAAGACCCCTGACCATACCGCGCCGCTTACTTCGCTCGACTGGAACACGGTTTCTCCTAGCTTGATAATCACGTCCAGCATCGATACCACGTGCACGATTTGGGACATTCCGTCGCTGACGGCTAAGACACAACTGATTGCCCACGATAAGGAGGTCTACGATGTGCGCTTCTGCGCTAACAGTGTTGACGTCTTTGTGAGCTGTGGACAAGACGGTAGCGTCCGCATGTTCGATTTGCGTAGTTTGGAGCACAGCACCATCATCTACGAGCCTACTGGAAAGGATGAGCGAGGTACACTCCGCCTAAAATGCCACTTTTGCAAGCTCTGTGATACTGATTAAACATGACAGATGCCAATGGTGGACGAATTAGCCCTACGCTCGCGCAGCAGACAATGTCGAACCCCCCTCCATTGTTGAGACTAGCAACTTCTCCCCACGATACCCATTTGCTGGCTACATTTGCGCAAGACTCAAACGTAATTCGGATTCTTGATGTGAGACACCCTGGACAGGCTCTCCTCGAACTCCGGGGCCACGGAGGCTCCCTTAACTCCATTGAGTGGTCGCCCACAAGGCGTGGCGTCCTGGCCTCCGGAGCCGACGACTGCCAGGTACTGCTCTGGGATGTATACAACAGCAACCCTGCGCTTGGTGGCGGGCCACCTGCCAATGGTGCCGCCCAGCCAGACAACATAAGAAGTCCGTACGCTAGCTGGCAGTGCGATTACGAAGTTGGTAACCTAGCCTGGGTGCCGCATCTCTCCAGTGACCAGGGAGAGTGGCTGGGAGTAAGCGCTGGCCGGGGTCTTTGGGGTGTCAAGACGTGCGGACGAACCGGCGCCTGAAGGAACTGAGGGCGACGAGCAGCAACTAATCCGACCGCCTTGCTGCGTTGTTCATAAATCTGGCTGGTCACTCATGATGTATGCATCGCAAAGCCTGGCGTTTAGGGATCGGCTCTTGAGCCGGCTGAAGGGAGGGGATACTGTCTGTGAACTACGTTTCAAACGAATTCACTTGGAATAGGCAGTCAGTTGAGGCGAGTTGGTTTCAACGCACCTTCAACGCATCACAAGACTCAGTATTGACCCCCCTGGTCGGTGGTCAGGAACAAAAGTTTGGGACAGTTGATGGCTATATACCGGAGGTCACATTTGAAAGGGATGAAGGGAATGTTATGATATTGCGCGGTGTTTGTCCCACACCAGTGTGGTCTTCCCTAGTGTCCTCAGTACGTGTACCTACTTCGGGTAACTTGAAAACACAGCTTTTCGCAGTAGAGCACTTTGCCGTGAATCAAAGCTTCGTCGAAGGCAGGTCACCAGTGTCATCATCTAAAGTAATGACTGCTTTGCCCCATATCTTGCGGTTCGTCATGTCTTTGAGCGCTCTGGGGACATGTTTGAGGCCGGGATATTCAGAGTGATAGACGACCGGCCGTATTGTTTCGGTCTCGATCAAGGGTCGGAGCTGGTCCCAGATGGTCTTTTCCTCTTCTGTATTTCGTCGCAGACTCTCGCCGTACCGCTACGACGCATTCGTTAGCTATATTAGATAGGGTAGGGTATGGCTATGGAATCCACCCCCAATACTCACATAACCGATCAACGACACCTGCTTCAGCAGAACTCTGTTCATGGCGATTTTCTCCATATCATCCTTAATGCCGGCAAATCCTACAATGAGTATCTTGCCTCTGTGTGCAATGCACTTTAAGCTTCGGTCAACTAGGCCGACGGGATCAAAGACGACGTCGACACCCCTTCCATCTGTTAGTTCCAGTACACGATCCCACCACATTAGGTCCTCGGTATAGTTGATACATTCCATGGCTCCTGATCTTCGAGCCACGTCACATTTCTCAGATGAGCCCGCCGTCCCTATCACGCGGCATCCCATGGCTGCGGAAACCTGAACGGCCATAAGACCGAGTCCGCCAGCAGCAGCATGGACGAGCACGGTCTGGCCAGCTTGGATACCGGCCTGGATGAGCGCTGCGTAGGAGACGGGGAGCGTGGCGGCGAGCCCGGCAGCTTGGGCGAAAGTCCATTTTGTGGGGATGCGATGTAGGCGTGTCGAGGCGTCGAGTGAGATAATATCGCTGTACGAGCCCGTGCAGCCTCCGAAGACTCTATCGCCGGGACAGAAGTCAGAGGCGGACGGGGCTGAGAGGATGATACCGGCGAACTCGAGGCCTAATATGAATGGCGGGCGTACCAGGGACCGGTTGTTTTGGTGTTTCCCTCTGGCCTATATGGGAATTATTAGCCAACCAGCCCAACTGTTTTTGGAGGAATTGCTCGTGATTTGTCTGACTTACATAGAGTGTATCGACGAAGTTTACCCCGGCGGCCTTGACTTGGACGAGATAGCGGTCTGTTCTAGCGATGGGCGGGTCAATCTCTGAGACCTTGACTTGATCGAAATCCTTGTTGATGGGTTAGAATATGTTCATAAGATTGAGGCACAGTCTCCGGAGGCTAGGACTTACGTTGACGAATTCTTCAATGACAATAGCCTTCATATTTTTTCTCAAGCTATCAACAAGTTTTGGTTTGAATTCAGATTAAGAATGAAGGCATAGGGAAATGGAGAGGCGCTCAGTTATGGGGGATTTCTAGTCTGAGGATGGAAATTCATTCATGATTGAGTTGGAGAAGCACTCATGTGCCGAGGCTTCTCTCGGCTCCCATCTTTAACATTTCTAGGGCAACTAGGACTGTATCATTCACATGGATTTTCAATGCAGAAGAGTACCCGATTGAAATGGTCTTCCAGCGGATGTATGTTCCTAAATGAATGACACAGTCAAGCACACTTCTGCGTATCATTCAGGATTCAGCACGCTGTCTTGATTGCGATCGTCTCTCTTTACTTAGTGACTACCTAAGCACTCGTTCAATATTTTTCACTATTTAAATTAGAACCAAAAATCAATTAGAGCAGCCCGTCCTAAGACATGAGAGCATCATGATAAAAATGCCCATCCAATTGCCAATACAGCGACCTCATCTCAATGGAGACAGGACGGCATACAGTGAAGGGAAGTCAATCAGGATTGTGTAGAGGGATGACAGGCGGGACTGCTAAGGCAGCCCCACTGTAGAGCACCTACCTACTGCTGCGGCAGAAAGTACGATTTGCCTGAGGTGTCAGTCTGGGAAAATCGCGCTAGTCCCCTTTCAGATGGAGATGTGCTTCGCGTTATTCGCCCATCATTCGTCGTAGCCTTTGCTAGTCCTAAGCTTTCTATTCTCCGTTGCCTTTTGCTTTGCCTTCACCTTCACCTCAATCCCATCCTTCGACCCGGCAGCCGAACCCCTTTTGCGCCTTCCTCCATCTTTCTGCTTGATTGACCAGCCGGAGCCCAAGATCGCTGCCATCGGGCAAATCAGTCGGAAGGGTCGTTGTTCCTTCCCTTGATAATCTGCTTCTTTGGCAGATTCACCTCGAAAAGGATCTCACCTCGACAATAATAACATAACGGAAAAGCCACACCACCTGTGACCTGACACCTTTGACTCGACGTTCCGTTGTCTTCCAAGATGTCATCTAATCGATACGACGATTCCGAAGAGGAAGATGATTTCAACCCTGCACCCGCCGACTTGTCCGACGAGGAACCCGATCAGTCAGCTAGCGACAATCATGCCCGCGAAAGCAGCCCTGCCGACGACGCCCCCGCCCCCTCCAAGTCGAGAGTAGTTGACGATGACGACGACGAGGATCAAGAGGAAGATGATGTGGCTCAACATGACGACGACGAAGAGGAGGACGAGGATGACGAAGACGAGGATGATGTTCAACAGGTAAGCCTCCTGTCGATGCCTGCGCTGTCTGCCTTTTCACACAAAGATGTATCGCCAAGATGACAGGCAACACTTTGCACCCGTTGCATCAACCAATCTAGCCTTCTTGATTTCTTGTTGCGGACTAGTTTTAACAGCGGATCAATAGGGACATCGTCGCAAGCGCAGAAAGGATCGCCGCGCTGCCTTCTTCGATATCGAAGCCGAAGTTGATGACGAGGAGGATGGCGAGGATGAGGAGAAAGACGGCGAGGAGATAGAAGACTTCATCGACAACGCTCATCCTGACGATATTGCTGAGAACGGAGGCCTCGATGATGACAGACGCCACAGGGAGCTGGACCGTCGGCGCGAGATGGAGGCGAGCATGGACGCCGAGAAGCAAGCCGAAATCCTTCGACAGCGTTACGGCAACCGCCGTCCGAACAAGGGCTTTGGGGACTCGGCCGTCGTCCCCAAGCGCCTGCTGATGCCCAGCGTCGACGATCCCACCATCTGGGCTGTCAGGTGTAAAGAAGGCAAGGAGCGAGAGGTGGTTTTCTCCATCATGAAGCGCATCGAGGAGAGGCTAGGTACCAAGGACGAACTGGCCATTATCTCGGCCTTTGAGCGTGGTGGTCCAACCTCCGTCATGAAGGGATACGTCTACGTTGAAGCTAACCGCTCCACCGACATCATGGTTGCCCTCGACGGCATGTTCAACGTCTACCCTCGATCCAAGATGATCCTCGTCGACATTAAGGATATGCCCGACTTGCTCCGTGTCACCAAGACCCCTACTTTGGAGCCCGGCGCGTGGGTGAGGCTGCGCAAGCCCGCCAAACATGCTGGTGACCTTGCTCAGGTAATCGACGTTACCGAGAACGGTCTCGAGGCTAGGGTTCGGTTCATCCCCCGTCTCGACTACGGAATGAGAGACGATGCGCTTGCATCTGCCCTAACCCCCGACGGCAAAAGGAAACGACCCGTTGGGATGGCGGGCCCGCGCCCACCCCAGCGCCTCTTCAATGAGACAGAAGCCCGCAAGCGGCACCCGAGACACATTCAGGGTAACCCCACCACCAAAGTGTGGAATTACATGGGCGACGAGTTTGAGAACGGCTTCCAAGTCAAGGATATCAAGATTCAGCAGCTGGTTGTTACGGACGTCAACCCGACCCTGGAAGAAGTCACCAGGTTCGCCTCCGGTGCTGAGGACGGCACCGAGAACCTCGACCTCAAGGCTTTGGCCTCGAGCCTCAAGGACAGCAACATCAATGTCACATACCTGCCTGGTGATATCATCGAAGTCTACGAAGGCGAGCAGAAAGGCGTTGTTGGTAAGGCCACCAACGTCCAGGGTGACATCGTCACCATGCAGGTCACAGAAGGAGTACTCGCCGGTCAAATCATTGAAGTGCCAACCAAGGGCCTGAGAAAGCGTTTCAGGGTTGGAGACCACGTCAAGGTTACTAGCGGCAGTCGATTCCGCGATGAAGTTGGTATGGTTGTCAAGATATCGGAAGACCGGGTTACGTTCTTGACCGATCAAACCAACACCGAAGTCACCGTCTTCAGCAAGGATTTGCGTGAAGCTAGCGACATCGGAGGACAGGGCTCGCTCGGTCAGTACGAGCTCTTTGACTTGGTCCAACTGGACCCGACTACGGTTGGGTGTATTGTCAAGGTCGATCGTGAGTCGGTGGTGGTCCTCGACCAAAATGGAGATACTCGACAAGTCATGCCCTCGCAGATTGCCAACAAGCTGCCAAAGAGAAAGATCGCCGTGGCCGCCGACAGAAACGGGTCCGAGATCAGACTCGACGATGTAGTCAGGGAGTATGGTGGACAGCAACGCCAGGGCAAGATTATCCACATTCACCGTGCCTACGTCTTCCTGCACAACAACGACAGCAATGAAAACGCTGGCGTTTTTGTGACCAAGGCTGGCAACGTCAACACCATCGCCGCCAAGGGTGGGCGCGTGCTATCTGCCGGTCCCAACCTGGATCAGATGAACCCCGCCATGAAGCGCAACCCCAACGGATCTGAGAGCAAGATGGCACCGCCCAAGAGCTTTGGAGGACGTGATCGTGCTATCGACAAGACTGTTATCATCAGAAAGGGCGGTTACAAGGGTCTTCTCGGCATTGTCAAGGATGCCACTGACACACACGCTCGTGTCGAGCTGCATACCAAGAGCAAGACGATTACGGTACCTAAAGATCACTTGAGCTTCAAGGATAGGATCACGGGAGCCAAGATAGAAATCAACGGCCGTGGAGGTCGTGGTGGTCACAGCGGTCCGCCGGGTGGTGGTCGTGGTGGACATGGAGACTGGCAAGGAGGTCGAACGCCTGTTGCCTCTGGCGGCCCGGAAAGAACCCCCGCCTGGGGCTCAAGAAGTAAGCCAGCTGCCCCTCATTTCGCCTTCCTCTTGAATTCGTTTACTAACACATACAAGCCCCTGCGCCAACCGGCGGTCGCACCCCTGCGTGGAAGTCAAGTGGTCCAGACTACGGCGGATCGCGTACGCCAGCTTGGGCCGATGGCTCTCGGACGGCCTACGGAGACGGCAACCGCACCGCATACGGCGGAGGCTCAAGAACTCCAGCGTGGCAGTCAGGCGCGAAGACACCAGCACACGACGCTTTTGGTCTTGGTTCGAAGACGCCGGCATACGGAGGCGGAGATGCATGGGGCTCTGGATCCAAGACACCTGCGTACGGTGGCTCTGCCCCTACTCCTGGGGCCAGCGGAGGTGACTCGTGGGGATACACACCCGGTCAGTCTTACGACGCACCAACACCCGGCGGTGCTCTTCTCAGTGCGCCAACACCAGGCGCTCTCAACGCCCCCACGCCTGGTGCCTACTCAGCGCCTACTCCGGGTGCCGCGAGTGCCCCAACTCCAGGCGGTGGATGGCAAGGTGGATGGGGAGCTGACTCGGCGCCGACACCGGCTGCTGGTGCTCCTACTCCTGCGGCCAGTGGCTTCACCTCCTCATCAGCCTACTACGGCGCGCCGACTCCTGCAGCATACGGCGCACCTGAGACTCCGGCTGCCAGCGGGCCCAGGTACACCGACGACGACTAGATGCAAACAGAGTGTGTATGTCTGGGATGAGACCATTGGTGTGTGGTGGCTGGCTTGTGCGTTTGGCGATGGAGGCAGGCAAGGTTGTACATTACCCGGCGTTTATGTAGAAAAGGAGGATGCGCCCAAATCGTGCGCGTTTATAACAGGGAACATATCATCTTTCACTTGATCATATTCAAATATGCTCGAAAGCATTGTTCTTCGCAATGGAGGCCACTTAATGCTCTTAATACATACTGCATAACCCAATGAGCGGTATGTAAGGTATTTAGTCATGTCCAAATCAAAGTGTTGGGTTACTGATAAACCAGAATGTTGGACGGAACTGTGTCTTCCCCCGCCGAACTAAGTCTTTGTAGCTCACAACACTCTACGATAGTCGTGTACAGGACTCCGATATATCGAAGCTCCAATCACTTATCGATCTAGTCCATGATAGTAAGTACAGGACAGTTGTGGTTGGGAAGGCGAGTGCAGGAAGGAGGAGCCTTTGAAAGTGCTGTGTAAATTCTTTGGTCAGAGAGGATAAATTCGCAACAGTCCTTGACGTCCTCGCCTTCGGCAGCTCTTAAATCCGTAAATTGAAGCTGGTTGGTACCTCGTCACATGCTCGTTTGGCACAGGAGGGATAGGGTGGGTAGTGGGACCTAGAGGGCTTTACACGTTACATTCTTTCGATATCATTCAACTTAGGTCAATAGACTACGCGCCTACACTAGGACTCCGGGGCCGCACTTGGGTGGATTGGCGAAAAAGATAAACAAATTCCCTTGGATTGTTGATGTAAGCAGAAACCTGACCATTCCATTTGGGCGGGCGCTAAGTAGAAGAGTAAACAAAAATGAAGGGCAATTATAAACAACAGGCTTCGCTTCATGAATCCGCAATACGCCTCCGCTGCGTCAAGCATACTGTCTGTGCACGTATGCGATCTCTCTGCAGCCATCGTTAAGCTTTTGACTCCATCTTTCTTCACCGCTTTTGGTGTCCTCCCTCCTTCCTTCCTTTCTTTTTTCTTCTCTAACTCATCTACCAATTTACTTGGCCGTGACCACGGCGTGGACGGCACAATCGGAGCAAATCTTCAGCCGATGCCATGCGTTGGCCAGATTCCCTCGCTGGTTGTAGATGGCCGCGTAGCTCTCGGGTTGCGAATTGTACGCCTCATCCGTGGCCTTGACCAGCAGCGTAGTACACTTCTTGCTCCCTTCGCCTGGCTCACCAAGAGGTACTACACCGTCGTACCGCCAGCGCTTCCATGCCCAGGATTTGTGTCCGGCCTTTGACGGGGCTCCGGGTTCGTCGAGCAACTCAGCTTGGTCCCAAGTCTTGCCACTGTCGACGCTCACATCAACACGCACGATTCGGCGACCGCCACCAGAGTACGCATACCCCATGAGAGATGCTTCGCGGAGGCTGCTGGCAGTCTCGTCTGCCGCCGAGTCATTTGTTGTTGTTTGCCAGTCACCTAATCTGACGGTAGTAATGGCGCTTGTGATGGGCATCTCTTGAATGGGCGCAGCACGGTCCCAGTCGGGACTCGTCTCGTTGGGGCCGAAGCACTTGTAATCTTTGCGCTGCCATTGGCTATGGCTTTCTTCATCAGAAATAGTGATCTGGCTCAACCACTTGACAGAACGAGCGGCGACGTGGCCAGGTACAAGAGCACGGAGAGGGTAACCATGATCTCGGGGCAGCGGCTTGCCATTCATCGAATAGGCCAGCAGAACATCGCCACGAGGGTCCAGAGCAGATTCGATGGGAATTGACGCGCCATAGGCTTCGAGCGCTGAGAACTGAACGTGCTTGGCCTCCGTATCTCCAGTCATGGCCTCAAGGACAGGAATACCGGCATCGGCAAGTACATCGGTGAGCTTAACGCCCTGCCATTCCGCACAGGAGATAGCGCCGACGTTCCACTGGAGTCCGTTGGTTTTCTTCGCGTTGCGCGTCATGTCGCTTCGACGGTTGCCTGAGCATTGCAAAACAGCCACAACAGTGGTTGGCTTGAACTTAGTCTTCAGGTCATCGAGCGTGTACTCCTTGATAGTGCCGTCGAGGAGCTCAATCTTGAGGGTGTAGTCGGAAGTATCGTCGACCTGGGGAACCCACATGTGGTTGCGCACGTAAAAGAGCTCATTAGGAGTGAGATAGCTGTCTGCCAGGCCTTCCACCGGTGTCTCTGCATTGCGAGGCTTGGGTGTGAGGGTGATGAGCCTCTCATCACGGCTAGGATCGTGCTTAAAGGGGTCCTCTATTTCCTGAGCTGCGGGCTTGCCGTCGACAAGGTCGTCCGAGTCGATAAAGCCAATCAAGTACTGTTCGAGAATTTCATAGACATGGGGCGACTTGTGAATGGTAAAGATGTTCCAGTAGGGATCAATGCTACCTCCAGCGGCACGGAGGATGACTTCACCTCCAGGGTGGGCATCAACCCAGTCAGTAATATCGTAGACCTTGTCGCCTTGGGTAACCCACGGGCTGCCGGATTTGGCATCATGTTTTCGGATCTCGGAGAGCCTGAAGCGAGGGATGGACGGGTCGCGGTCGTCGGTAGACGGGGCCGGGTCGGAGGCATCTGCTTCGTCCTGAGTGGGCACATGGAAGGGCTCCGAGAGGCCGACGAAGAGAGACAAGAGCCCGCCACTAGCAAGCAAAGTACCGACGGTGGCCGGGCCCTTGCGGCGGCGTGGAGACTGGGGCTCACGTTCGCGCCCTCGCTCCCCTGGCCGGATAGTCTGGCGTTGCTGTACATGTTCCTGGCTATCATGGCCATCGGCCAAGCGCGTCGAGGAGGATACGGGTGTCGGTCGGGGGTGTCTTGAGCAGACAGAGGCGTGCAGAGGACGACATCCTTGAGGAAGAGCGGCAGCGGCAGCGGCAGCGGCAGGGATCCAGCTTCCTCGCCACGCTCGAGAACTCGGATGAGGAGGGACGGGCCGCCGAGTCGAGAGCTGTAAGAGCTCGCTAAATAGACGCCGCGGCGCTTGCATTAGAGCAGGTTCGAGGTGAATGGCTAGATCGGGCGGGATGGGCTTCGTTTGGTGGTGGACGACGTCGAGAGCGCGGCTCTGGTGTGGAGCTTGGACGGTGAGGTGACTGACCGGGGCGATGGCGTGATTGCGCCTTGGTGGCCCATTAGCTGTTTTAAGAGGAGAGAAAAACTCGAAAGTGGGTCTGCACAGCTTTGTGTGATTGCATAAAATAAGAACGGTAATGCTAAGTGCATAAATGTTGTGCAACCGGTACGTGCCTCTCACCACCGACGTTGTCGACCGAGTATCCACTTCCAGTTCCTCGCCTTTAGGTAAGCAAGCTTTTTGGGAATAGGTGGGAATGGGTGGGAATGGGACCAGCTCCAGGACGGGACTGGAGGACGGCAAGGACAAGCTGGTACGAACGGCATGGGGACTCTTTCGCTTTTACATGTCTCAATCTCTGTGTTACTATTACCATCACTGGACGTCCCAACTTGACATTGGTCTCCCACAAGTCCCGAATCGGATCACCGTATCATGTCGAGGGCACGTTATCAGACTTTCAGCCGGCAATAAACTCGAAGCCAACAGAATCCGTGTGTCATAGTGCTCCAAGCGGCCGAAAGAGACCGATGAAACCGCCCACGTGGACCCCGAACACTGTCGCAGCCCGGCCCCGATACGTCTCAACGTCTATCCTGGGCCCTGTTAGTCGCCGACAGCAGTCTCCCACTTACGAGCTGCGGATCTCTCGCGGCGAACACCTGCTTCCCTAGGACCTCTGCTGCACTTGTACGATCCGTCACTTACTTCCCCGCAACTCTGAATGAACCTCGCATTGCATTCGTCCCGGGTCATCGGCGACGGCGCGGCCCTCCGGCCCTCTTGGTGTGTGAACAACCGCGATGATACCCAATTGGTAGCGTGGCATTTCAGTGCTACTTCCCCTTAAGCATGCCACTCGTCGGAGCCACCGATTCCATTCCGCGGAACTCAAATCTACTCGTGCAGATGAAGCTATCCCCCCGTCTGATATTCGGCTGAAGAGCTCAATCAAGGAAGCCCCAAATCGGTTGTAACTACCTGCTCAACTCAAATCCTCTCATTCTCGCTTACGCTCACTTCACGACTCGCCACCCTCTCAACGCCCCCGAGCATTATCAGCCACCTTGGTCTTCTTGCGATTCCTCTCCTGTGTCTGGTACTTAACCCCCTTGCTACCCTGTCCTGTTGTCTCGCCGGTCTCACGCTTCCGCTTTCCACCAGACGACCCACTAGCACCCCCGGCTCCCTCGTCCCCACTCTCCGACACCAACTCGCTGGGGCTGGCCTGGCTTAGATCGTCCTCCTCCCCACGATCACGGTATGTTGGGTCGTGAGTCAGAAACCCTCGATACGACTTGCGCTTCCGTTTAGGACGGGTCCCGGAGTCGCCTCCGGCACCAACCCGACGGTCCTGCTCGTCATCGTCATTGTCGTCGTCGTCGTCTTCACCAGCTTCCTCGCTTCCTCCCTCATTCTCGGCCTCACCTCCGTCCTCCTCTTCCTCATCGTCATCGACGCCCGAATCCATCTCTTCATCTTCATCCTCGGTTTGCTCTTCCCCTTGTATGTAATCTCCCTCGCCATCATCGTCGTTCCCATAGCTGCCATCGCCTTTTCGACCCCGCCAAACTAATCCCCAGCTATCTCGGTTGATGGGGTTGTTTGGGTCCCACGGCCAACCATTGCCTGTACGATTCTTACTATTATCCGTGGGGCACATTGTCTTTTCCAAGTCTGGGTTGTCTTTGATAAAGGCCCTCCTGAGGTCGCCAAATTTGGCGTTTCTCTTGCGAATCCAACCCACTCTACTTGGCAATATAGGGTTTTTTTGACTGTCAACCCTGTAATAACTTTCTCGTGGTGGAATCCGACAGCTACGTCTTGGATCAGAGTGTGCCTGGTGGTGACAAGTTAGCTCGGTGTACACTCAGATGACCGCAGTGCTAATTGGTAGAGGCTTCTCACATCTATCTGCTCCTGTCTAGGAGGATCATCCTGCCTAGGCCTTTTTGCTTTCTTCTTGGGAGCCTTGCGGAAGCACCGTGAACAATACATATTCTCGTCCGGCACAAATTTAGCCGCGGGCGTAGTGTTGGCCTTTGATTTCGGCGTATGGTTCGTCTTTGTGGTCACAGGTCGCTTTTGGGTCGAAGTCGGCTTCTTGGAAAGTTTAGTCGTGTGCGTCTCTTTCGCTTTCGAAGGCTTCTCGACTTGGCGAAGATACTTTTCTGAAGTAGTGGCTGCAGATGGTCTGGGAACTGTAGGCGGAGGGGCAATCATCGACCGAGACTCACTGGTACAGTTGTCTCCATGATCAGAGTTTCCGCGAATGGTACCCTCGGGGGTTGATCCTCCAGCAGGGCCGTCTTGGGGGCTAGTAACCCGAAGACGAACACCCCTTGAGAGAGGAATCTCTGGCCCATGGTTCTCGGGACCTTGGTCATCTTCTCGGTTTCTTCTGGACGGTGGGCGATCATCAGGTTGAACGGAGGTAACTGTCACCGTCGACCGCCTCCCTGTGGTGGGTGCCCCCGGTTCCCCATCTTGTGTATGTTTTGGCCTTAGCTGACCTGGGATTGGCTGCTTTCCTTCGAGAATCCTCTGCTTTCTTCTCTCTTCACGAGCGGCCGCAAATTCGGCGTTCGTGTCGCGGACCATCTCTGTCTCAAAGTTCTCAGTAGCATGCGCCATCTTCACATGCTCGTTCCACTGCCGTTGGTTCATGAAGCCCACCATGGCGCCGCATTTGTCAAAGTGAGGACAGCGCTTGTCACGCCGGTCCAGTGCGCTCTCGTTTTCGGGATCCCAAAGGCTGTGGCCCGGGTTGAAGGGTTCCTGGTTGACGAAGGCGGGAGGCGGCCCCCTGTTGTTCAGAATATCCCAAAGTTGATAGACGTGGCACTCCATATGAGAGACCTGGTCTTTCCTATCCTCCCACTCCCCAAGCTCCGGTTTATTCTCACGGTATTCCTTGGGTCTCCTGAATGTCAGATGGCAGAGCGGACAATGTCTTAGAGGCTCCCCGTCATGCTTCTTCTCAAAGTGCCCCAGGACCTCGGAGGGCGTCAAGCCGAACAGAGGTTCACGACACCCGGCAGCGGGGCATTCAGAAGGCGGATCTTGCGCGGGCATTGGTCCTGGCTTATCATACCACATGAGAGGGAAACTGAGAAATCGAGCAGGCCCACGGGGACGATGTTGTCGTCTCAATAAGGCCGCGGAGGTGCCTTGGGCCCCGACGAAGAGAGGGTCGACCGACGCGTCAATGTCCTTCCAGAAGGCCTCTGGGTAGATTTCGTAAGGGGTCGGCTTGTCACCCTCTTTTGCAGGACATTCGGTGATGTGCTTTTTGATGTCATCAGCCGATTTTCGTTTTCCATCGCCCACAGCAGATTTCTGGCAGTACGGACAGAAACAACCTAGGGTGCCATAGAAACCTCTGCAGTGAGAGCGGTGCTTGTCGATATCCTCGGCTGAGACTTTTTTCATCGAGAAGCCGCACTTGGTGCAATGCGGCTTCGCCTCGTGGAGAGTGCCGTGGCATTTGTGAGGATACGTGTCGAAAGGTGCATGATCACTTGCATCTTTCTCAGTCTTCCACTCTCGATCTCCGCATAATCTACAAAACGTACACTGTCCGGATCCCTCGGCCAAGGGGACGCAGACACGATCATGATGCTCTCGGTCATCTGGGTTGTCGAGTTCCGTGTGGTCACGACCGCAACGATCACAGTATCGATAGTCTACCTCCCTATCGCTGGCCTTAGACGGCTGTTCTGGCCGAGGCAACGGGCCCACTGGCGGTCTGGCTTGTTCGGTGATTCTAAACGTGGAAAGGGATGTCGCGGTCGTCGCAGGTTTATAGCGCAATCTTTCGGGAATAGCCTTCTGGGCCACCAGTGGACGTGTACTAGGTGTCTCTGGAAGTTGGAGCACCTTTCGCAGTTGGTCTGCGTGGGTGTTTATGTAGTGCTCTTCCTTTTGTTTATGAGACCAGTGTTTGAAGAGCTGGGTGTCACACCACGGGCATTTCTCTCCGACGTGAGTCTTCTCCAGATGCTCCAGGAGCTTCTCTTCCTCATCCTGGCGATGTGTGAATCGGCACTTCTGGTACGGACACGGGAAGAGTCGGGCCAGCTTGATCTTCGAGAGATTCCAGAGTTTGTCCTGTAGCTGTCGCTGTTCAGTGGGCGTCAGAACATTTTTGGTGACCATCGGCACTCGGCCTCCCCCGGTCCTCATGACGGCCTCAACGGGCGGCGCGTTGATCGGAAAGGACGGGTTCCATATTCCCTTGTCGAAGATACTTGGCTGTTGCACATAACTCCGCTCTCGAGGTGGCTGTTCAGGCGCTCTCGGTGATTGACGAGCTGCTCTTGGCAGTGGAGGCGGCGTCTGTGGCTTATGAAAAACCACGGAGTGGAGTTGGCCAGGAGCAACAATGGCTGGCAAAGACAACTCTCTCCGGAAGGGCGTCACTTCGCCATACCGAGGCCCCCAGTGGTTATTGGTTTCAGTCGCTTCGACTACGCTTTTGACTACACATTTCTCAGGTCAGTTGAGATCTCCAAGAATATTCGAGGAGCGTTCTTCGTACCAAAATCCAACTCGTCATCTTCATTTTTCAATACCCCTACTTGCATTAACTGAGCCAGGAGGAGACGCCGGACCATGGCTACCTCGGAGTCGGCGGCTTCTGGCCGAAGAACAAAGCTGGTCGGGGTCCAGTTTGCTGATTCATTCTTATCCTCATCGAAAATGGACTCTATGATGATGCTGTCCCTTTCGGCATCATAGTCGACTTCGTTGTCTCCGTCATACAGAGTTCTGACTTTGGATTTCAATTTGTGCATTGTATGCGGTTCCATATTGAATGTCGCCTGACCCGTTTGTCCATCAATCGTCTCAATCACACATGGTTCTTCGGGTTTGTCCACAGGCTGGATTACGAAGAACTGACATGGCTCACTTTGGTTGTCAACGGAACGGGCAATGAGCCTTGAAAGTGCCTGTTGGGCATGTTCCGAAGAATCCTGATCCAGATGATTCCACCGAACTGGGTCGTAAGTTCCAACGGGATAACTGACCAGTGGGTTGAAATAGTCGATCCCGCGCCAAATCAGATAGTGAGAGGGCTCCATGGGCATTTTGATGCTACTTGTTATCGCACCGACTTGCCGCAGGGCATCGGGGTAAGGGTCACCGGAGCCTGTCCGGCGAAGGCACTCTCGATTCTTCAGAGTGATGGCATTGTTCAAGTTCCCCGGCAGGTAGAACACAACAGACTTGTCGGCGAAGGGGTGAGTCTCGACTTTGAATGCTTTCCCCTTGCTGATGAAGGGGTGCATCATATTCCAGAGGTTGCGGTGAATCTCTAGACCACCATACCACCGCGATGAGTATACCTCGTCGTTGTCATCACCAGAAGAGATGACGAGATCGCAATGGCCTCCTCCTGGTCGGTCCGGTCTTCCGACCAGCACTTCTTGTGCCGTTGTGAGAAAAGGCATAAATTGGTTGGCGCCCCAGGGTCTCATGGAAGGGTGTGTAAAACCGCTAATCTTGGGTCCAAAAAACCGTTTACGATTAGGCACTTTGCAGTACGAGAAGTTCTTCCGCCCGCCTTCGTCAGTATGACTCAACCTGATGAGCGTAGTTGAGAAGAAGGACTTTGGGGGCTCCCATTCAGCGGGCATCGCTTCACCCCTGCGAAGCACAAACCAGGCGGAGTTGGACTCGGACTCGGTGGTCTGGCCCAGGTGTTTCGCAAGATCACTAACGGGATTGAGTGGAATGTTGTCCTCGAACTGCCGTACAATTTTCGCAGTCGTTCGGTCGAATTCAACAAGGACGAGGTCACTCTGTTCCCGTTGACGTAGAGACAGAAGTTTTCTCGCGGCCGCTTGGAACGTGGACATTTCATCGGGATCGAACATAATTCTGCCTTGGTATCCATAGAGAGGAATCCAACCATGTGCTTTGTAAGGCTCTGCTGCTTGACTTTCCGTCCTGGAGGCCACCGTCGACTGCGTCTGAAGTCGCTTCGGGTCAGGCGTGGGGTATGAGAATCCGGCGCGCTCTTCATGTATGTCGGGCCTCTCAGGGGTGTTCATCGAGCTTGTAGGTTGTCTCCCTGGAATGGCTTTGCTTGATATCCCCAATCCAGGCAGCGTCATGGTCCCACCGCTGAAACTGTCATCTGAGAAATCATCGTCTTGCTTTCCCAGGGTCGTCGCGGTGTCGTATAGGCCAGTGTTTCTGTTTGCATCATCGCTTGGCGGACAATCCGCATCTTCCATGCGGGCGTCGTCATCGTTGCCTCCTCCTCGGAGACTTAGTCCTTCTCCGGTGGCGTCTGACATTTGAGAAGCTGGCACAGGAATAGTGCTATATTGAGCCTCTCTTCCTTTGAGTAGTCTTAGCTATCCAGATTGCAGGTGGACAGGAGTGACTAACCTCTCATGTGGTCGTATCCAAAATTCCTCTGGTCGTGAGCTGTCAGGAAGTGCAGAGGAGGGCGAACCTCGGTATTGCAGAGCTCATCCCAATCGTCTACATCGAAGTCAGGTTTCGCAAACTGGACCAGCTCAGATAAAACTGGCTCGACAGGCAGACCGAAGTAGAGCATTGTAAACTTCATCGCCAGTGACGGCTGACACCCTTTGAATCTACTCGTAACCAAGTTTCGATATCGCCTGGTGTAGTCTTCCTGGCAGTCTCTCAAACTACGAGGCTCCGTAGCTGGCATAAATAGCTTCCGCTCATGGGGTGTGAAGTACTCCTCCAGGACCTGCTCCGTCCGAAGAGTAGGCAAACTAAGCAATTCTTTGAATTGGTTAAGGGCGGCAATCCAGGCCTCATCAGTTGGCTTGATGAGAGGATTGTATCTTTCCTGAGGCACGGTTGCCTTTTTAGCCGATCTAGACATGTCGGGGTAGATGGGAAAATGAGTGTCTACAAGTCTATAGTTCAAGAGAATAGATAGTAGAGAGTGTATGAGTCGAAGAGAGGGGCAGAAAGGAAGAAAAAGAGTCGTAAGTAGAGCGAAAGCCGTGAAGAGAAGTGCAATGTGTCAAACAGAAGCTCTGCAAAAGGGCGACTCAAATATCAACGAGCTAGCTTATTCGAAGGGATGAAGCATTTTCTACGATATTTAAACAAAAGATTCGAGTGCCATGCTGACATAGTTGAAGCCTTTGAAAAGATTAAAACGGCTGGTTGCCTTGGCAAGTCCCGAACATTGAGACCCATTGTCTATTGAAGCCTCGTCACAGTCAAGGCCACTGACATGGGGTGGACATCTTTGTTTGCACTGGACGTCCCTTGATAATGCACATAGGCCAGCAGAGCTGGGTAGCAAACAAATTCACGCTTGTTCTGCCTTGGCCCGGCAGCTAAAGCAAGAACAAATGACAATGAGCGCCAAATGACGCTAATGTAGCCATCCTGACAAAGAGTCGAGACCCTATAGTATCCCTCTGGAATATTGAACCCCTTCAGTCCCGGAAAGCCTCGATAACAGAATTCGCTCGAGGATTCGATGAATGTAGGCGACAGTTCTGGAGCTCGGATCTTGAGACTTAGCTCGAGGGAGCAAAAAATCAAAGAAGAAAAAAAGGAGTTGAATGGTGACATTGTTCTTGACCTTATGTTCCATAGCGGCAAACATAGTCTTCGAGAGCTGCTTCTCTGTCACAAAAAAAGAAAAAACAAAGGGAGCACAGTTGGAAATTAGAAAAGGGTCCGGTTCTCTTGAGAGATACTGCCTTGTCAGGACCTATGTCTCAAGGCCTTTGCACGGCGTGGATATCGATGAATACCAACGTCCATCTTCCTATCTTCCCGCTGACCTCACTTGCTGTGTTGCAGTCCAAGTACAGTATGGAACCACTGACGGCAGCGTACAGAGGTAAGTGGTGATGGTGAAGAAGCAGACAGTGGCATCAACGGTCTCGCGATACACTTGGCTCCTCTTTTCATAGTAAGGTGGGAGGGGGACGAGGCGAACAGAAGCGGGTCATTCGCAACGCGCATCACACGTATCAATGATGGCTTGTAGAGAGTGCCAAACAGCAAACGGCCGCCGCCACCAATTTTTTAGTATTGGCCAAGCCCACGAGCACGAGGTGTTAATCAGGTAACGAGCCCAGAAGTTAAGTCGAAGCACCCCAAGCCAGCTATGAAGAAACGACTCTCCAAAATACACAATCCTTGACGCCCAAACGCAGCCACTCTGTTTTTTTGGTATCAAACCACCCTAGCCACTCGAGAAAAAGAGAGAAAAAAAGAGCATATTTTTATGATACGTTCGTACAAATAAATATTACACAAATTCGCGACTTTTGCGGGCGAGGACGCGCACGTTGTCGACGAACGCCTCGACCAATTGCTGATACTGATGCGGCTCGTTCCTCATGGCGCGGCGTTGTTGATCGATGACGATTTCGGGTGACAGTTCTATTTCCAGTTCGTGCTCCTTGCTCATCTGCGAGGTATTCTTTCGACTTGTCAGCAAATTCCAGGGCGTACAATTTCCATGCAAGAATCGACTTACGCCAGGGCCAGGCATCATTTGTGTCACTTGCGTCAAGTCGATCTGATAGTGATTTTGCTTATAGCTAAGACGGTCCTTGTTCCGGTCTGGGAACTTGTCTGCATGACCGACAGCCACGCTTTCCAACTCCTCAACAGATCCATCCCATGCCATTTCGAGGTTGATGCTAATGCGGCAGTCGAGCGGGCAAGTGGGAAGATGAAGGTGGATGTCTGCCACGCGGGCCTTGACAATCTTGGCCAGGACCTGCTGCGTCTTTTGGTCATATGTGACTCGAACCTTGATTGACCGCCTGTTTCCTAGGAGGGAACGAACGCAACCGGGGAGACGAGCCTGCAGAGCGTTTGGTAATTCGTAGAACTTGTCAATCTCCCGTCGGTGTTTGTATTGTACTTGTACTCGGCCGCGTGCATTAGGGTTTCGGGGATCTGTCTGCACGACCATGGTGTTAAGGAATTCGTTGAGACCTTTGTGCTGGGCCTGCAAAGAAACAAGAAGGTTAGCCACTGCGAGTCTTTGGCAGGAAAAATCAGTAAACATACCTCGGTCATGCTACTTCTGAAGGCCAGACGGCCGGTATCGTGCAGAACACATTCCGAGCCGATCGCCCTCTCGACACGGTCATTAGTATCTCTGTCGATGAGCTGTCCCATTTTGGCCTCAATTTCGAACTGCACGCCACGTCCTATTATCTCCCCACTATCGGGATGGAGCGTTACATTCTTGAATAAGAAATCGGCAACTGTGTTGGACAGCTCTTCGTATGGCCGATTGCCGAGGATGCTTTGTTCCCACGGACCAAGCAGACTTTCGGTCTTGGGCGGCGGCGGCGGCGGCGGCGGTTCCTGAACTGGAGGCGCGGTGGATCGCGCTGCCTCTGGCGAGTTGTGGCGGCTGGTACTGTCCTGCTTGACGGACTCGGACTTGCCATTGATGTGCGGTGGCCCTCGTTTCTGGAGCTCAAAATTGGCCAGCTTGAGCCTCTTGTTTTCTCGAGCGTTCCAAGTCTGAGCCCAAATGGGCGGCGTCGCGTGGATCTTTCTCTTTCGCTGCATGACGGGTGACCGAGAGATGGCAGGTCCGCCATTGAGTTCGGCGGGCGGGGGCCGTGGCTCATTCCTTTCCAATTCTCGGGGACTCAAATCTCGGTCGGCAAGCTTTCTCTTGGCTGGTGTCGCAGCGCGTTCGCGTTCAGGTTCCACCATATTGGTGACGCTCGGGTGCGGTCGCGCCTCGGGTTCAGTATGCCCACCGATGCTGCTCGGCAAACTCGGTATCCTGGTCTTGGGGCTGACGCTAACGCTTCGGTCGCGTTCACTTTGTGATAATGATCTTCGTTCGTGGGTGCTATGGGAGCTGGGCATGCGAACTGGTGGAGGTGGTGGTGGAGGTGTAGCTTGGGCAAGGTGTGAGGCGGACAGTCTCTGTTGATACGGGCTTTGCGGTTGTGTAAAGCTTGGTGCAGTGGAAGATTGTCGAGGCCCGGTCTGGGGCGGGCCCAGTGGGGTCGGAGGCTGCGAGAGCTGCCGGTTGAAATCGGGCGGCGGATGCGCCGTCGCCACAGGACTACCGTGAAGGGGATATGGCTGGCCGTGATGCTGCTGCTGCTGCTGCTGCGGATGCTGACTATGGGCAGATGTAGGTGTAGGAGTTGAATGGGTTGATTGCGAGCGCTGATGGAGATACGGATGCCCGCCAGCAGGGGTCCCGATGGGCGGTGTTTGAGGCATATGCTGCTGCGGTGGCGGCGGTTGTTGCTGTTGAGCATATTGAGGCGCTGTTGCACCAGATGGATGAGGATAACCATCTCTCGGGGGGAACGCGTTGGACGGTGGATATTGTTGGTGTCGTTGCACAGGGCTGGCAACTTCTTGAGGCGGCCCGGTCGGCGGGAAGGGGTAACCTCCACTTGGGCCGCTCACGGAAGACGTCGGCGTATGACGATACGGGGACGGGCCTGGCATGGAGGCGCTCTGAGGCGATCGCACATCGGCGTACGGGGCGGGAGCACCAGCTTGAAGCGGCGGTGGCGCTGGCCGGCCGGGATAAGGGCCTGGAGTCTGATAAGGCGACTGCGGAGGGTACGACGGGGCCGAGGCCTGAGGATGTACGGCGTACTCCTGAGGCGCTGGCGGTTTGCCAGGGGATGAATGCAACGCGTGACTGTACGCCGATTCTCTAAAGGCATAAGCCGTTGTGGCTTGGGAGGGTGTCGTCGGGGTCTGTTGCTGGTATGGTAGCTGGGGTGGCGGTTGCTGAGCCGGCGGTTGCTGCTGCTGCTGCGGGTGATGCTGATGCTTCGGCACGAGATGTTGAGGCGGAGCGTGAGGATGCTGATGAGCATGGGGATGGGGATGAGCATGGGCAGGATGACCCGGAGGAGGGACAGCAGCGGCGGCGGCGGCGGCAGCGGCAGCAGCAGCTCGCGGCCTGTCCCCATCATCGGACGTGTTCATCAAACTCCTTAGATCCATTGTGTGTAGCGAAGGCGCGCCGTGGTTGTTATTGGCTAGAATCCCTTGCTCGCGTTCCTTTGTCTGGAGCAGCGCTCCGCCCAGCTTCAGCTCGGATGAACAATATTCGGCTTCGCCCTCTCAAATACGGCGGGTCATGTGTGCGACGAAGAAACGGGTGGCCAGAAGAAGGGGGAAAAGGCAGAGAGGCGAAGGCGATCGGGCGAGATGTGCAGAGTCGACGCGATGCTAACAAGACGGAATGGATGCGCAAGAGGCATTCATCACGCCGTTGTAGTTCAGTGGTGAGTCAGGTCGTGGTGATGGCAGAGGTCGGTTTCGGTGTCGTCGTGAGGGTCGGGGTTCGGAGAGACGGGAAGGGCTGCAGTTCAGAGATAGCTCCAACCGAGAACAGCAAAGCATGCGCTGCCGAACAGGGAGAGCGCGGTTGTAAGAGGTCTAAGGAGGGAGGGAAGCAGGAGCGCAAAGGCGACGATTTCGAGTTCGAGGGCGAATTATGGGGAATAAGGGTCGTCAGTCGTTTGCTCGAATCGGCTTCTGTGTGTTTGATTTGTGGCGAGTATCGAAGGCTGAGAACGAGTAGTGTAGTGCGAGGCGTTGTCGCAAGTTGGTCGTCGTGATCGTAAGGAATCGGGTGGAGGTTTTGAAGGATGTGAATGTGGTTGGAGGAAGCTTAGACAAGCTGTGCGGGTGGATGCGATTGACGATGCGCGGTTGGGGGTGGGTTGGGAAGGGCGTCGCAAAGTGCGAATGGAAGCTTTGGTGTTTTGGGCGGCCGCGTGCGAGTACGGGTGCAGCCTTGCTGCGTCGATGCGCTTCGGGATGGTGGTGGTGGTGGTGGTGGTGTGCAGAGTTGAAGCGGGAGGATTGAATATGGGGAGGATATCTCAGCAAGAAAACATCATGTCCTCTCCGTTGGGTTGGTGTTGCGGCAGTAGCCCGGGGAAGTAAGGAACTGAGTAGGCAATGTACAGATACATGTACCCTAGGATGGCAAGGTAAGGTAGCCGTGGTGGCGTGGGCGAGAGCGAGAAGGAGAGAAGGGGACAGAGAGAGCGTGTGTGAGACAGATGGCGACAGGCGTGTGGGAAATTTGGAGACGAAAAGAAAGGATGAAAATGGATTGGTCGCGCGCCGATCGCACGTCAGGCTGGGCCCCAGTGGTCTGGCTCTGGCACTCTGGGAACGGGAACCTGGCGCGGTGTCTGTCTAGGTATCTCAATGTGCGTGCTCACTCCACGTATTGGTTGTCCAGGGCATGGGCAGAGAGGTCCAAGGCATAGATGGATTAGGTACAGATAGACAAGCATTGATAGACAAGCAGGAATAATGAGGCTGCCTGGTTTTGGGTAGCATCTGTAGCAACAGCATAGGAGCATGTCAGTTGCAAAGATCCGCAAGGTATCCAATGGAACGAACGACCAATGGAACGACCGACATCCACCTTGGTGGGAGCTTCAAACAGAGCTTCCCCTCAAGCTGAGGCTGACGGGCGTGGCCTGGCGCAAGCTGGATGTGCAAGTGGACAGCCTCGTCAGAGACTACGGTCCTCGAAGTACAGATGGTGTATCCGTAGAACCCACGGCCACGGTGCGCTGCTCGAGCCCGGCCTCACAACCTGGCCATCGGCCTGTCGACCTGTCGGGGATTTTTCTTTTATTTTCTGTCCTCCCTCCAATCTGGATATGACAAACTTGTCCCTCCCCCCTGTCTTTTAGCCGGAAACGCTGGTGCGTTCCCGGGCACCGGCTCCACCTCTGTCTTGCTGCAAGTTGGACCGGTGGAAGAGATGACTGACGGGAGCTGTGGCCTGCTGGGGGAGAAAGTGATGATCCGGTGTGCTCTCGGCTCGCTTACCTCAGCAGTGTGCAACGCAGCTCTGCACGCAAGCAGTCTAGCAAGCAGGGAAATCTGGGTGCGGCCTTGTGCTTCAATTCGCTTAGCTAAGGTGAGGCCCGCTGACACATCTTGCCCTCTGGCCAACTATCCAACAGAAGGTACGTACCTCAGCTCAGGACGGAGTCGGCAAGGCGAGGCAGGCAGACTTGCCTGACGTGGATGCGTTCCCTTTGCCTAGCTAGCAGTGCGTAGCGGCGTGCCCTGGACTCTGGCTGCATTCGCGCCTTTACCTTCGACGTCTTTCTGTCCATCATCAACACTTCCTTCGGAGCTCCCATCAACACCAACCCCGAATCCCATTCCATCCCACCACCTCGCCCCGCGCGATACCATCCTATCTACCCCGGCCGCACAAAATTCAAACCATCTCTGTCGCCCATCTCCATACCCCGCAGCTCTCTACAGCTCCGTCTTACCGGCCAATTCCCACAATGCCTGGCCTGGTCTCAGCTACCGGAGTCCTGGGCTTCCTGGCCGACGAGGAGCACGATCTCAAGGTCTTCGCCCTCCAGACTCTCAACGATGACATTGACACCGTCTGGACCGAGGTCGCTGGTGCCCTGAGTCAAATGTAAGCTCGTCCTCCCTCTTCATCTCCCATCTACTAGCCTTGTTTGGATCTTGTTGACCATGCTCCAGTGAGGCTCTCTACGAAGACGACTCCTTCCCCCAACGACAGCTGGCCGCCCTCGTTCTCGCAAAGGTCTACTACCACCTCCAGGCCTACAATGAGAGTATGACTTTCGCTCTCGCCGCTGGCGATCTCTTCAAACTCGATACCCCGGGCGAATTCGAGGATACCATCATTTCAAAGTGCATCGATCAGTACATTGCGGCTTCTTCCGCGAACCACACCGCTCCCAAATCACCCCAGAACGATAATTCACTTCCCGCTCTGGCGACAACTTTTGCAAGCGGTGCTGCTGATGGATCCGCCTTGATCTCTCCCACGACGCCATTCTCCCAGACAACACTCCCCTCAAAGTCTCTTCTCTCCCGTGTTTCGACAGACAACACTATCCTCGATCCCACATTCCAGCCCGTCAAGGAGGGCCGCTCCGCTTCCATCGCCCCCATCAATGACCAGGCGACTCAGGTAGCCCTGCAGCGTATCATCGAGCGTCTGTTCGAGGCCTGTCTCAAGGATGGCAGATATCGCCAGGTCATCGGCATCGCTGTCGAAGCCAAGAACTTGGAGGTTCTGCGCCGTGTCATCAAGCGCGCCGCTGATGATGAGAAGCGTTCCAAGACAAAGTCGACGGATGGTCAAGGCCCCGCCGAGGAGCTCATGGAGTATGCCTTGGGCATCTGCATGGACGTCGTTCAGGAGCGAAGCTTCCGCACCGAGATCCTGCGTTTGATCCTGGACCTACTCAACGACATCCCGAACCCCGACTACTTCGCCATCGCCAAGTGCGTTGTTTACTTGAGCTCCAACGAGGAGGCTTCGCGCATGCTGAAGCAACTCATTACGAGCGGCGACCGGAACTCAATCGCCAATGCTTACCAGATCGCTTTTGATTTGTACGACAACGGTACCCAGGAGTTTTTGGGCAAGATCATTAGCTCCCTGCCATCAGGGGAGCCTGCCAAGGCCGCAGAGAGCGAAGCCACCGAGGAGGAGCCGTTGATCGAGAACCAGGAGTCTTCGGAGGAGGAACTATCAGAGGAGCTCTCCAAGGTGTACAAGAACATCCGCTCAATCTTGGACGGCAGCAAGACTATTCAGTTGAACCTCGAATTCCTCTACCGTAACAACCGTACCGATCTGAGCATCCTCAACAAGGTCCGGGATAGCTTGGAGGGCCGTAACTCCATCTTCCATACGGCCGTCACCTTCTGCAACGCCTTTATGAACCAGGGCACCACCAACGACAAGTTCTTCCGCGACAACCTCGAATGGCTTGGAAAGGCTGTCAACTGGTCCAAGTTCACCGCAACCGCAGCTCTCGGTGTCATCCATCGCGGCAACCTCACGCAGTCCCGAAAGCTGCTTGAGCCCTACCTTCCCCGCCAGAGCGGCTTGAGCAGCGGCTCCATCTTTAGCCAGGGTGGTGCTCTTTACGCCTATGGTCTGATCCATGCCAACCACGGCGCCGATGCTCTCGACTACCTCAAGACCCAGTTCACATCCGCAGAGGAGGAGGTTATCCAGCACGGTGGTGCTTTGGGTCTGGGTATTGCAGGCATGGCAACCGGCTCTGAGGAGATTTTTGACAATCTCCGAACGGTTCTCTTCACCGACTCTGCTCTCAACGGCGAGGCTGTTGGTCTTGCCATGGGTCTTATCATGCTTGGCACCGGCAACGTGCGGGCCTTGGAGGACATGATCACTTACGCCCACGAGACGACTCACGAGAAGATTGTTCGTGGTCTCGCTATTGGTATGGCATTGATCATGTTTGGCCGCCAAGAAGGTGCCGACGCCATGATCGAGGGACTGCTCAATGACCCCGATCCTACGTTGAGATATGGCGGGATTATGACTGTGGCTCTCGCGTACTGCGGTACGGGCAGCAACAAGGCCATTCGCAAACTGCTCCACACCGCTGTCAGCGATGTCAATGACGATGTCCGCCGTGTCGCCGTCATGAGCTTGGGCTTTATTCTCTTCCGAAAGCCCGGCAGCGTCCCCCGCATGGTCGAGTTGCTCTCGGAGTCGTACAATCCTCACGTGCGTTACGGATCTGCCATGGCGCTGGGTATCTCTTGTGCTGGCACTGGTCTGGATGAGGCCATTGACTTGCTCGAGCCCATGATGAAGGATCCCACCGACTTTGTCCGCCAGGGTGCGCTCATCTCCCTGGCCATGATCATGATCCAGCAGAATGAGGTCATGAACCCCAAGGTCGCTTCCATCCGCAAGACTCTCAAGAAGGTCGTCGGCGACCGCCACGAGGACGCCATGACCAAGTTTGGCGCGTCGCTTGCTCTGGGTATCATTGACGCTGGTGGTCGCAACTGCACAATTGGCCTCCAGACCCAGACTGGAAACCTGAACATGGCCGGCATCGTTGGTATGGCCGTCTTCACCCAGTACTGGTACTGGTTCCCGTTCACCCACTTCCTTTCGCTCGCCTTCTCGCCTACCTCCATCATCGGTCTCGACCACGAACTCGAGATCCCTAACTTCAAGTTCCACTGCGCCACCCGTCCCAGCCTGTTCGACTACCCGCCAGAGCAAGAGGTCAAGGCCGAGGAAGGTCCTACCATGGTCGCAACAGCTGTCCTGTCGACAACCGCCCAGGCCAAGCGCAGAGCCCAAAAGAAAGAGCGTGCCCAGCGTCGCGAGAGCATGGACATTGACTCTGCCAAGCCAACAGTCTCCGACAAGATGGATGTGGACGAGAAGCAGGACGAGAGCAAGGAAAAGAAGGAGGCTGAAGCTGGCGAGAAGGAGGCATCTGTTGCTCCCGCTGACACCAAGAAGAAGGCAGAGAAGGAGAAGGTCGGCTACGACATGGAGAACCTGTCGCGCGTGCTTCCAGGCCAGCTCAAATTCATCAGCTTCCCCGCCGGACGTTACAAGCCGGTAAAGAAGGTAGATTTTTCCAACCCCCCGACTGCAAGATATCTTACTGATTGTACCCAGCCCACCGGAGGACCCTTGCTACTGCAGGATACTCAGCCTGACGAGGAGAAGACGCTTATCGAGGAAAAGTTGAAGAAGGTGACAACAGAGAAGGCCCCGGTGGCCGGCCAGAACAACGCAGGTGGTTCATCTGCGGGCTTGACGCCGCGTCAGCAACAGAACATCATCTCCCAGGCCCTTAGAGCCGGTGCTGGTGGTGATCTTCGATCGCTAAACGAGCTTAGCGAACTGCTGGGTCGTCAAAGAAGAGGCGACCTCGTGGGCGCTACTGACGAAGGAGGGGCGGCGGCTGCTGCAGGAGTGCTTACGGCAGTGGATGAGGATGGCGAGGGAGACGAGGAGGCCGACGTCCCGAGAGAGTTTGAATACTTCACGGACAATGAGGAGGAAGATGACGAGGAGTAGCCATTCTCGCAGGCGACCCAGTCGGGATTGTGATTCAACCGTTTTGAGTCCAGAACATGTTTAGAGCATAGAAGGGGGCGACGTAGAGATAGTCGACTGCCATTCTGCCGAGGACAGTCGGGGGCAAGAAGACTTTTGCCGGGCTGTACAGTAGTGTAACAAGCGAATTATCCAGAGGTCACTCAACGTGGTTGGACCATTGGGCGCTCGGAGAGACAGAGCTAGTGACCACGGCGAGGTACATGAGAGAGTGTTAACATCCGAGAAGGAGCATCACCAGGTGGTTGAAGTTGTCCTCTTATCCCGACAGTAGGCTGTCGAAGTGTAGACATGTTATTCGCACATGGCGCTTCGGCTTTCCTAAAGCAACGACCTGTACCGGTATTGCCTGCAAATGCAGTAAATGCAGACAACAGCGACGCAGACGACTCGCGGAAACCTTGTGGAGAACCCCCCGTTTCCCCGCTTATATGGTTAAGCTGGAAGTATACACCGTACCATTACGTGACTCTAATTCCTTATTTGCGTACGCACGAAGGCACTCAAGTTGATAGCTGTCTGCAAATTCCCGTTGGTCACTCTGGGAGAGGTGTTTTAGGTGCGCTTGCGTGTCTCCGTATTAGGTCCGTATTAGGAGCGGTGCGTGTCACCCTCCCTCACGATCTCTTCTGATGGCAAATACATTCCCCGTGGGCCTTACTTGGGGTTCAAGCTTCGTACAGCTTAACAAGAAGCTACCTCTTCCAACGCTATGGGGAAAAGAGTGCGGGGTGTCCGGTCTCCGGCCTCAGCTTAGCTAGAGTGGCCAAGAGACCCTCCCAAGGTGCTTCCCTGGTCTCCTCCATGTGTCCTAGCCTCTTATCCCAAGTGGTCCATGTCCATATCTGGAGCTGGCGGGAGAGAGAACCATTGCCATACCTTCACTGACGAAGTCCTCTGCGTTCTCTACCGCCTCCTCGACGATTCCTTCCCAGCTCATCATTTCATACACTCATCCAAAGCTGACTGAATTGTGCTGGAGTGAAACTTGTACACTGAATTGCCAAACTATCTTGAGAGTTTCTCCCGTTTTGCGGCCGCTTCATCATCACCGCACATTACCTTGCGTTAATATTGCTCAACACGCGGCTTTGCCTGCTCTTCATGGCCAAAATCAACTCCCTGTTGGACACTCTGAGGTCCGTAAGCCAAGTCGACTGTGATACTCTCGACGTTGAAGGTGCAAATCCTCCTTCCACGTCCCCGATGTGTTCACTCCTAACTCTGCTTTAGTTGCCAAAGAGCTGGGTCCCTTTGTCGACCACACCTCCAACCAGGCTATCGCCTACGGCGAGCTCACCAAGACCACTGCAGATGGCAAGCTCTACCACGAGCAACTCATCCGGAAGTCCGTAGAGGATGCTCAGAGCTGGGCTCATGCGGCCTGGCCAGACATTGACCCGATTCTCCTGGCTGTCGAAATTATGGTAACTTGACTCGGCGAAGATCTAGCTACCAGAGCCCGCCATTACTGACACGTCTGTAGATGGTCAGACTCTCACTTCAGTTTATCCCGTATCTGACGGGATATTTCCATATCCAGACCAACACAAACTGGTCTTATTCAGTCGAGAAAACTTGCCAAAATGCTCAGAGTATGTCGCCGTACTCACCATTTTTGCCGGTCACGACTAGTACTGACGGCGTCGCTCTGCGCTGTAGGAATCCTCGACACCTTCAAGAAGCTGGAGCCTAGTTTTGACACGAAGCGTGTCTGTTTAAAGATCCCGTCCACTTATGAGGGTATTGCCGCCTGCAGAATCCTCGAGAGCAAAGGAATTGCCACACTGGCGACGACCATGTTTTGCATGGAGCAGGCGGCCCTGGCTGCAGATGCCGGTTGCACATACATCGCGCCGTATGTGAACGAGCTCAAGGTTCACTTCGTTCCTGGGTAAGACTCATTCCAAACGCAGTCCAGATCTCGTAAACCGAGCCACATTTAATGACTGACGCTTGTGTACCCTTAGCTACTTGGACGAGAACAAGGCCTTCAACTTTTGCAGACAGGCGCAAGCATACTATATCGAGACGAAGGCCAAGACCCAGGTGCTGGCAGCCAGTCTGACCACCGTGCCCGAGGTGATGCAGTTGGCCGGCATCCAGCACGTCACCGTCTCGCCGCCACTCCTCCGGGGCCTTGCTGCAGCATCGTCCTCAACTTGGACGGAAAAGGTCGGTGGATATTTTGCGGCTGGGCCAGACGAGAGCTGGATCAAGGATTTTCAGGCTGCTTTGAAGGACGAGAGCGAGTGGAGGATTGCCTTTACTCGGAGCGGCAATGGCAGATATGAGGAGAAACTCATCCAGGCCATTAACATCTTTTCGGATAAGCAGCAGAGCCTGGAGGAGCTGGCAAGGAGCTTCTTGTAGACGAAAACCTGCTACCGATAGAGAATCGTTTGTTCAAACCGTAGACCCAACTGTCATTAATAAAAAGTATTTTTGATATCTGGCTAGTGAAATAATTTGATGCTACTTCGACATGTCAGCCTATGAATCGAGCCTTACCAACAACCTTTGTCTCTCCCCTCGTCTTCACTGGATATCAAACACCACACCACCTACGCTATCACCAATGTCCTCCTCTTCCCGGTGCTGCCTGCATAAATGCAGCAAAGTCAGTCCCGGCGAAAGGGGACGCTGGAACCTCCCTCACATCACCATTGGCTTGCCTGGAGTCGTCAAACACCGGCCGCCGGGAACGAAGCGCTTCCTTCCCAACCCAGCTCAGATAGACAGTCTCGTGGACCTGTATGAGATCGGTCCCAAGGCCGGCCTCAGAGCCGCGGCTACTTCCCTGTGCCGGCTCGAATTCTGGCTTCTTCTCCACGACAAATACTCTGTGGTCTTTCCTCTCGATATATCGAGCAACGAGAACGAAGCCAATGAACCAAGCGACACCCAGGCTGATGATGACCCATGAGACGATGGGTACCACCCACGAACTCAGCTGTGAAGATAGTTGTGTCGTGGGAGGAATCCAGGTGGTGATGACCGGGTAAAGCCCGCCGCACATGTATACGAATGCGCAGAAGATGGACAATAAGGGACGGAAACGCTTCCCAGTCATCTCGGCCCAACTAGGTGACGGCGAGTCTTTACCAAATGTCGAGGCGTCGTCGTCGGCAAGGGTAGTCGGAGGTCCTCGAAACCGCAAGATGAGAATTCCCAGCCCCAGAAACGTCCCGATGAAGGCGTTGATGACGTAGGCGCTCAGCGACGTCAGCAAGGTGTAGGCATCTGTCGGTCTCATTTTGTAGGTCGCAAAGATGAGAATAGTACAGCTGACAAAATGCAGAAGTAAAGCACCGACGGGCGTTTTCTCGCTGTGGTGCTCTGGCGATAACCACTTGAGTCGCAGAACCGATGCGAACCATCCCTTCTTCTGGAACCAGCGTAGTAGACGACCAATGCTCATGTCCGTGTTCTGCGCAAAGAACTTGGGCCACGGAAGCATGCCCTGTTCGATATAAGTCTTTGCTCCCCTGTTACCATACGTTACGTATTGAGGCTTCACTTACTTCTTTCGCAATCTCTTGCTTGACTCTGGCGGCTGTGTACGTCTGTGAGGCTGTTAGCGGCAACGTCGCCTGACCGGTGTGGTGAGCGCTCGTAAAGAAGGATGACTGACCATGACGATGATGTTGCCCAAAGATGAGATGGCTAGGAACGCGTTGAAAATCCGGGCCCCAGTGTTGCTAGCTGAGCCAAGGGTCCCAAAGGTGAGTTCGAAGAATTTTTGAGCAACATTCTCGTCCATCTGCACGCTTCGGGGAACGACTACCATCTGTCTCCAAATCAGCACTGGGCCCTTCCTTCCTACCAAGAGCTCAAACGTTCAAACTTACATAGCAAATATTCACAGCAAGGTAGAGCGTCACAACGGTTCCAACACCGGCACCCATGGCGACTGGGAACTTCTTCCTCGGCCTGCTAATCTCCCCGAGGACATAGTTGGGCTGCTCGAAGCCGGAAAAGCTGAAGATGATGGCGAGAAACGCTTGGGCGTAGCTGTTGGCATCCTTGGACGCATCCTTGAAAGAATTCTGGGTCGAAGTATTTTCGGTGAAGACATTTTTGGCGCCTGGGAATCCTCCCGCGGCAACAACAATCGTCGTTACGATGATGAGAAGCATAATCATGATTTTGACGACCGCGAGGACGTTGTTCAGCAAAATTCCTCCACGTCTAGAAAAAGCATGAATTCCACAGGAGAATATAGCAACAGCAAGAGCGATGCCGCGAACAGGACCATTCTCTGGTGTTATGTTGGCGGCTTCGAGAGTTCGAATGGCAAAGTGAATGCTGTTACCGGCCATATTTCCAAGAATAATGAAGCTGATGCCGAATATACAAGTTGACAAAAGCAGAGTGTTTTTACGGTAGGCAGGCTTGCGGAAGACGTATTGTAGATAGACGAGATCACCACCGCTTCGCGGGACGCTTTGATCGTGCCCATTGATCAAGTACCTGGGTACGTTCAGGCCGTACTCGATGTACACATGGGTTCCGCAGAGACAATAAATTATGCCGGCCACCCAGAAGAGTAGACTTGCGCCGACACTTTGTGTGCCTTTCATGACTCTTTGTGGAGACATGAAGATACCCGTACCTGTATTCATCATTTAGTCTAGCACCCCATCGATCCGTATTTATGAGGAGCTGAAGATGAGCCGTTGTCCAGAATCTTTGCTTTTACATGATGCTTCCGGTAGTGGCCTCGAGACATGGACTTGAACGGCAGGGTGAGAAGAAAAGGGGAACAGCAGGGCGAACAGAGTGTATGCGTGAAGACAGAGCTCAACTGTGTCCTGTTCCAGAGTTGCAAGGGCCGCCGTGAATCCATGATTTTGATACCGAGAGAGTGCTGCTTCTACCTACGGACAGAGAATCAAGAAGACTCACCAATCATACGGTTGATAACTAGACAGGCAACGTCGAAATAGCCTAGTCGAAAGCCCTCTTTCGGAGCATGCGTGACGATGCCATTGCCGTCACCAATGTTGTCAATCACGCCGTCAATATCACTGTGAATCGAAGCCTCTTCGGCACCCCGGGGCTCTTGATAGAACCCAACAGAGCTGGGGAAGTCGTTCATCTTCGAAGATGTGTCAACCTAGAAAAGATGCAAGTGGCGAGTCTGGGCCTTGCAGTCGCTCCGAAGCAGGAGGTCAACGCGGTATCTGTATCTTCCCCAAGATACATGGCAAACAGGGCTGTCATGGGTGTCTTCAAGTTATGTATGGCACACTTCTACCAGCTCGCGCGAGAGAGAGAGTGTGTGACGAATTGCTGGCATGCATGCCGGGCGTAATCAAGAAACAGCACGGCTGCTGGGGCGCGCACCACAGGACGAGCAAACAGGCAGACTCGGCCATGGTTTGGTAGCGTCTTGCATGCATGCCGAGGCAGCCACTATCTCAGACGAGGGCTGGTCGAGCAACTAGCAACTCGCTCCTCGACAGACAGCCTCGTCCAGAAATATGCCTTGCGAGTCATGTGTGGAGTCTTGCTTTACGCGCATCTTGGGCACATGGGGTCTCAAAAACGTGTTACCAAGACTCTAGTGTCTGCAGGCAACTATGGAGCTGTGCCCGATCCAGTAGATGGTCTAGTCTCAGCAGGCGAGTGTTGATAGGTCCGGTGAAGCGAGCACGAATAGGAACAGCCCCCGGAAGACTCAAGGTAACACCCACCCGTTTGATTCTTACCTAGAGGTTGGGAAGTCGTCAACATCGAAGCTGTCAATCCGTTCAGCTCACTGCCACCGCCACAAGCATTTCGCACATGGGCTGAGTGTCGATCATCGGTTTGTTTCAAGGGTATATAAGCGTATTCAGCTAAAGCCTCGTCTAAAATTCCTCTAAACGTAGCCAACAGTCGATGCCAAGATTGCTTCCACCTTACTCTGGCCACAACCGCACGTGTGATGTAGCCAGACACTTCAACATTCGGGCTTGGCCGTCGGGCTTGGCCGTGCAAATGGCAGTAGTTCAATATCGAGAGGGCCCAAGTTGACGCAGAAGTCCATCACCATTAAAAGGGGAGAAGTCAACTCCAAAGATGCCAACTCCGCAGTTTGCGGGGGTAATGACTTTAACAAGAACAAGCTTCTGTCCGACTAGTTCATCCCAACTGCTGTAAGATGTGGGTGGTACAGTTCCATACGGTCAGTAGCTTATCTCGCAATCTTCCACGTCCGCCGCACACATGCATACTAGCAGCTGGGGGTCTAGCCATGCCAGCCATGCAACCACGCTCGATGGGATTGGATGTCTTCGGAGGGGTGTCTCGGGTAACTGAGACCGCGTGACAACCTTTTCCATCCCCCTTTCTAAACAAGACCCTGGGTTCCATGTGCGGAGGAAATCCGCGCGTGCGGACAGAGCTGCAATCACGAAAGACATGCGACTAGGAGGCTATGCAAGACCAGTTCAGACACCCATACGAGTAGGTAGGCGCAGAGAGACGATCAGGTTGAAGGCGGAGCAGGGAGGTCATTTTGCCCCTGCTGCCTGCATGGATGCCCACACCACCATCCTTTCTCTCTCGGTGTCGATTTAGAGCTGTCTGGGCCGGCGAACGCACACTCGGGTTGGTCTAGGGCAACGATCACAGATGTGTACATGCCGTCCCTACAAGCCTCACTATCTTCCTCTGCGCCCGCCTAATGTGCGTGCCTCTTTTGCTTGCCGGCTGAGTCGGTTGTCGCTGCTTGCCCTTGTGCTTATTCCATCAACTCGTTCCTTGTCCTACTTCCCACCCCTGCGTTCCTTGGGGCGGCTCGCTCTCACCTCTGTGACATGCCCATAGTTTGGTGGCGTCTCTCGCAACTCTGTCGTGTGCTCCCACCCTGCGGCCAGGCTTTACTTCAAATCTGCCTTCGTTCCCCTCATCTGCTTCGCTTCACAGCCATCGAGGTGAAGCCCGCTTTTGGGAATTTCCATTAGTCGTCTTCCTCACTCGCTTTGACACCATCGCCCCTTCAATGCCAATCATCTTATAAGGCGCATTTGACAGAGGAAATCCTTGTCCCTAGCCTCGCTACCCCCAATGGCAGGGCCAATCCAGCTGGGGGATGTCATCAACTTCAGCAAGCTCGCGTGGGATGTGTACAAGTTTGGTTGGGATAATGACTTCAACGCCAGTGAGTTCCTCGGCGCAAGGAATGCCACCTTCTTAGATCGTCACTTCCACCACCATGCCTTGCTTCACACGTATAACTCTGTTTGAAAATATATGTCTGGTCTTTCTCTGGGAATCAGTGGCGCCTTCATTGCAAAAGCCACAACTCAACTCAAGGAAGCCTCCATAACTTGAGCTGGCATCACTGACATGCGGTGACCGCAGCCCGGCAATATTCAGAGTTTGGTCGCGATGTCAAAGGATTGGCTGAGAACCTCGATATCCTCAACCGCGTGGTGAACAAGGCCGACCAATCACTCCGCCAAGAAGGCGCTTTCAAGCCCTTGCGATGGGACCGTTCGTCCCTTGATGAGATCATAGGTGACTATGAAGAGACTCTCACAGAATGCTGCACTCTGATAGAAAACAATCATCGCTACCGCCTCAGCAGCGGCCCTCTCAGGAACATCGAGTGGAATGTTCTTGTGGCGCCGGCGGCAGAGCGTTTGCGAGCGCGCATAGCCTTACACAACTCCAAGGTTCTTCACGTACTGAAGCCATTCGAGATGTAAGTCCCATCCGCTGCCAGTTGATGCTATGAGTTAGTTCGGAGCCCTGATAGCGCCAGTGATATTCTGTGCCGGGTTCGAGAAGATATACGTCTCGTCCATCAAGACCTTGCCCGACGCATGATGGACTTACACCTTGATTTGCATCGCCTGATTGGAGTTCTCGTCCCTGATCTCGAGCAAGCCCTGGCTCAGCAAGCTCAACGGGAACCTATTCAGCTCGAGGTGCCGCAAAATATCGACGATGGGTTTCAGCGAGCATGGACGACCGACAGACCAGATGGCGCTCTCGATCCAAGCCTCCAAGAGATGGCAGATGCTTTCGTTATCCACTACCACAAATCCACCATCGGCTTCACCGCTGGGATGCTGGTGGAAAACAGGGTTCCCGAGCTGGAGCAGTACATCAACCTCTTGAAGTGTATCTGGCTGATGAGACGGATTCGCGACTTGCCCGAAATGACTCAGTCTGCTATGACTTTATCCCATTGGCCTTCGTATATTCAGGAGCTAGAAGACGTAGGCCGAGACTCTGATGCTGCGGTGTCCAGGACTGACATTTTGCTAGGATCTTGCGTCGCAATGCGATCGATTCAGACAAGAACTTGTACTGCCAAGTCTAGCGAGTGTAACACCTGAAATGTTTGACATATGGCCCGAGAAAGAGCTTGCACAGCTCGTGGACGTGGTGACGAGGGATGCTCTCATGGAGGAAGTCATGGATGCGTACGTGCTGCCCTGGCGCTAGGCCCTGATGCAATGTGAGCGGCTGCTGATTTGAATTTCGCCAGACCGTTGGAGGGCGCCGCTGCCAACGTCGAGAGGAAGCTTCAGCTGCTTCGCCGGATGGGCGCCGATGGTAAGCGCTTCAGGATCAACATCTCAGGCGTCGAGCTAGGAGGGACGGGTAGGAACGCGCGTCGTCAAGGCATGCTATCCCCAGTCAGATAGTGTTGTGCGTTTGCTGACATCCAGTAGCCGAGACCATTGATTTCGATATCACGACTGTCATACTAAATCCCCTTTACGCTGTGCCGTCCAACTCTGGCGCATGGGACATGGTTCTGCGAAAGGATGAACGGATCGCCAAGCTGGCCTTTACGCAGTTGAAAGATGCCGCCAAATTCCAACAAGCTGTGACTGGTTTCAAGGCGTTTGATAATTACAGCCAGTAAGCATCATACACTCACAGAGTCATATTTGCCAACAGCTGACACCAATAGATATAAAGCCATGGTCAGCTTCGTCGTTTCCGGAAGAGGAAATCCCATCGTCGAGGGAGCGTGTGTGCAGTTATGGGTTCCGAAGCAGCTCGATGGCCAGCTTGTGACTAACAACGAGGCTACACTTGAGCAAACCGCATCACCATCCCAGTCTGGGGTGTTTCCGCCAGCTAGCACGACGTCGAGACAGAGTACCCTCCGCAGCGTATGGAACACCGCAAATCCTTTCACTACTAGCCTTACGGAGACCGTGTCCATGTGGAACAGCAGCGGTTCGGCGGCTGTAGGCGCGGCGCGGAGTCATTCGATGCCATCACCGCCAACAATCACCGGCCAGTTTGGAGCCCGACCTCCCATGGCTATACCGAGACGACCGGTCGGGTCGGGTAGCACGCAGACCACGGCGGCGTCACCGCCCAGTGCTAACCGGCAGGCAACATTATCGACATCGCCTGCGAGCCCTCGGTCTTCCTCTCTGCTCCCGGGATCATGGCAATCAAGGGCGCCATCCGTATCGACAGTCAACAGTCGACCTGATCGGACCTTTAGCGTTTCAAGCAATTTCTCGACAACGACATCCCCCTCCAACAACAGTTCGAGTGGAAGCGATGCGCACACTGTGACCGTCACCATTGGCGGGCATACGACTGGGACTGTCCATAGACGCCCCCCCAAGCCAATGCTGGTGCTATTCACGCAAAACATGCAGACAGGAAAGCGAGCACTGGTGACTATAGATATTGACGAAGATACCGAGGTCAACCCAGACCGGTGCAACTGCCGCAGGGCAGGACGGGACGGATCATCGTGTCAGATTGCTGCCATTGAGCAGGGCCGAGGCAACGCCGAACTATCGGTGCGAAGATATGAAAGCCGAGACGACGACATGGACTGGAATCTGGCCAAGTTGGCCCTGGGGCGGCGAGGGGAGAAGGAGTATGCTGCTGCTGTCTGGAAGGACGTCCGGCGCATCAGCATCATGTTCCCGACTTCCGAGGCCAGGTCAAGGTTTGGAGGCACGCCGAACGTATGCCAGTGTGGTGCCAAAACAGAAGCGGAGCTGGGCCAGTGTCTCAAGAAGAAGCACAAGGGTTTGCTCGGGTTTGTGCGGGAGTCTGGGCGGCAGCAGCTGAATGAATATCATCGGGTACGATTCGGATCGCTACAGGACGTAGTTCGTGGAACGAGGGACGACTATCGATGAATTTTGGCCGAGGACATTCTGATCAAAGGGCAATGTGGTTGGGTTGTATATATGTGACTGGGGTCGTGTTGAGTAGACCTGGCATCTTTGGATCGCGATGTCCCTTTTTTTTTTTCCTTTTTTTCTTTTTTTGTGGTGTTATGGCGTCCACAATGACGACGACGACGATGATGATGAACGAGAGACGGACCGGTGCGTCAGTAGTCGAATGAATAAGACAGGAGAGGTCTGGAAAGAGACATCTGTAAAGTCTGAGAAGAAAACTAGGAGAAAGAAACACCTCGTGGTGCCGTAACATGAGGACATGATTGACAGAAAGCACTTGCTTCAGCCTTCGTGAACTCGGAATGTCTCGATCTTTCGCACGCGACACTTCAGTAGTCATGGATGGGACAGATGGCTTCGACGTGCTTTGCCGCGCGCGTTCCAATGTGTTGTATTTCCTTTCACAGGTCGCAATCAGCTCGACAGCTCGTTATCCAGCCGATTTACTTGATCAAATCAAACCAAAGCAAAGCAAACGTTTGGTAATCGGAAACGACAGCTTCACATAGTGTGGAATAGATAATGGATCAGGGGATGGCCGTGCTGCCGCGGTGCTTGGGCTGTCCGAATCGGAGATAACCTCCCATTTGCTCGCCAACTTGGTGAGATGTCTCCGGCGAGATCCTTAAGGGAAGCTCTCCCTTGCTGTCGGAGCCCGCCGATGGCAGACAGAAGCTCTCTGGTGGTTATGCTGTTTCTGGCAGACGGCGACGCGTTGATTGCAATGCTTCATCCCGCCCAGCCGTGCCGAAGAGCTGCATCTCCGAGTCTCGGCAGCAGACTGGACCAATGAAATCGGCGCTGTGTCGCGGATGTCGACGCCTCTATCTCCCGGGATTCCGTCCTTGACTCGTTTGGGCCCTGGGGTGCTTTCTTATCTTTACGGGGACTTGGTATGCGCTTCTCTGGGGTGCCTGGGTGGCCCGGTCATGTCTTATCTCTACACCAGTCCGGATCTAAGCAGACGATTTGCTTCTTTGGGGGCCATTGGGGCTCTTGGGGGCCCGGGGTTGCCCTGGAATGGCATGCGTCGAGAGGTGTGTTATGTTGCGCAATATCTACCCATAACCTTTCGGTGTGCACTGTGCAGAAGTGAAGGCTGTCCAAGTGGCATCAGATCGATGTGAAGCTGACGCAAAGCGGCATCGTCGGCTTGTTGAAGAGTTGCAAATGCTAAAGTTGTTGGCTACAAGCCAAACAATGGACCAGGCGGCCGCTTGTTATTCGCGCACGAAGCAGGCCCCCCACAAACGACTCTTATCAAAGTCACCATAGTTGCCAATTTCTCAATGGCATGATGGAATTCTCTGCTACACCACAGCTCGTGTTTGTCTCGCCACCGTGTGTTATGAATCAACAAGAAATGACAGCTTCATGTGGCCGGCGGCGAGCAGCGGCCATGGCATCGCGTCGGACAAGATGGCGGCAGGACGGAGCAAACAGAGTCCATCACCCGCCGAGAAGATGTATCGATAACTAATTAGTGAGCCGAATGCGCTGAGAGTCGGACCCCCGCGGAGATCGCACAAGGCGAGCCATGGCAGTTGAGCAACGTGATGGTCCATCGTCCCGCTTTGCATTTCGCAGCTCGCCGCATCCGAGCAGCTCAGTTGTGCCAGGCCCATGTGCTGTAGACGTCTAGTAGGATCTGCCCGAAGAGGCACTCGAACAATGAGGGCGGGATTCTCCTGGTGTGCCACGCCGCACGCGGGAGCGATGCCGGGGAGTTCCCCCACATTTCAGCGACTCAGGGTGCTGGCGTGGGTGCTGGCGTGGGTGCTGGCGTGGGTGCTGGCGTTGGTTCTGAAGGTGTTCCGGTCACTTTGCAGTAGCGCGGGTGGTGCTCTTGGGCCGCTGCATCAGACATGCTCTGTCATGTCACTAATAGCAACATGGAGATACCGAGTAACTGGTAGACTAATTGTCTGCTCTTCCCCCCCAGACTTGACATGCCATCTACATCGTGACCAGCAGCGACTTCAGCGCCCCAAGGAAGTATCTCCAGACTCTCTCTTTCACAAGCTCCCGCCGCCCCTTGTCACTGGCAACCCACCCTCTCTCTCCCTTCAACCCCCATTCATCCAGGCCGTGTCTGGACGCAGCCCGTGTCGCTCTGGATTCGACCCTCAGTCTTCTTCTGCTCGCCCGGCACCCCGGCTGAGCATGGCACCCTCTCCCAGCCATGCAACCTACGCCTGAACTGGGCCCGCTCATCTGGGGATACACTTTTTTTTTTTTTTTTTTTTTAACGGATACTATCGCCAGCCATTCACATCGCTCCGAGCCGCTTATCCTGCTGATAGCGGCTGAAGCTGATTGCTCGATACCATCAACTAAAAGGATCTCACCCATGCACATAATAATCGAGTCATTCCGATATATAAAGAGAGATCCACAACCCTGCCTTTTGATGGTGATTTCGTGGATACCGTCGGGTCAAATTCTCTGCCTTGCCTTGCTTTGCCTTGCCTGCATCGTCGACGAGTGCAAATTGCTCTTCAATCCGCGCAGCCGACGGTGATCTTTGTCAATCTCGAGTGCTCGAGTGGCTCGTCGCTTGTTCCAAGTCCCCCCCCCCCCAGTCCTACCGATTGCACGACGCAAAACGACGGCAACATCATGGACGAAGATCAGGGCCCATCCCAAATCGTCCCTGGGACCCCTCCCAAGCGGACGATTGGAGATCGCCTTCGCAGCACCAAGAACAGATTCTTCACCAAGGACGGCCTGATTGGCGACTACGACTATGCCTTTCTCTTCACCCCGAACCTGCCCTTCATGAGAAAGAGTCGCAGATCCGCCCCCTTCTTTGGCCTGAACGACCGGATGCCTACGCTCTTGGCCATGTTGCTAGGATTCCAGCATTCCCTCGCCATGTTGGCCGGCATCATCACGCCGCCCATCCTGCTGAGTGGCGCGGCCGGTGCCAACCTCACCGGGGAGATACAACAATACCTCGTCTCAACAGCTCTGATTGTCTCCGGCTTGTTGTCCATGATCCAAATCACCAGATTCCACATCTTCAAGACTCCGTAAGAGGAAGCGCGTCCCTCTTGTAAGGCATTCCAGGCTTACACCTTCATGTAGTTATTACATCGGAACTGGTTTGATCTCGGTAGTCGGCATCTCCTTTGCCATTATTCCCGTCGCCCAGGGAGCCCTCTCGCAAATGTATGCCAATGGTTACTGCCCGATGGACGCCCAGGGAAACAAGCTCCCTTGCCCTGATGGATACGGCGGTTAGTCTTGCTCTTGAGCCTCTTGGCTTGATTTGTCCCACTGACAGCGCGAAGCCATCATCGGCTCCAGTGCCATCTGCGCTCTGATTGAAATCGCCATTTCCTTCATGCCGCCAAAGATCATGCTTCGCATTTTCCCGCCCATCGTGACTGGCCCGACAGGTAAGCCCCTAGAACGTGTTTTTACTGTTGGACCCGTGGTCAAAAGACGAGATATCTGACGTGTGCTCAGTCATGCTCATCGGCATTCACCTGATCGAGACTGCCTTCCAGGACTGGATGGGTGGCTCCGGCCCTTGTGCCAGCCCTACTTCCGACTACTTCGCCAAGTGCCCCAACATCTCCGCGCCTCATGCTCTTCCCTGGGGCTCCGCCGAGTACTTGGGCCTGGGATTTTCCGTCTTCATCACCATCATTCTCTGCGAGCGATTCGGCGCCCCGATCATGAAGTCGACCTCCGTTGTCATCGGCCTTCTCGTTGGTGAGTTGCTAGCAACCCCGGCTCTCTCATCCTGCCAGTTTGGTTCGTTGCTGACCTGCTCCTAGGATGTATCATCGCCGCCGCGACTGGCTACTTTGACCGCTCCGGCATCGACAGTGCCCCTGCTGCCTCTTTCATCTGGGTGCACACCTTCAAGCTCACCCTTTACGGGCCGCTCATTCTGTAAGCTCCCGAAATCGTTACAACAGTTGGTATGGAAGGGGCGAAGCTAACATCATGGACAGGCCTTTGCTAGCCGTGTACATTGTCTGCGCCACGGAGGCCATTGGAGACATCAGCGCCACCTGTGATGTCTCTCGCCTCGAGGTTGAGGGCCGTCTCTTCGAGTCCCGCATTCAGGGTGGTGTCCTTGCCGACGGCATCAACGGTATTCTCGCAGCCCTGATGACCATCACTCCCATGACAACCGTAAGCTGATGAATTGTGTCCAAATTTGAACGATCCAAAACTGACCAGAGAAAGTTTGCTCAAAACAACGGAGTCATCGCTCTCACCCGTTGTGCCAACCGCAGCGCCGGCTACTGCTGGTACGTTTTCCATCACCAACCTTGAATTTCTCAAGAACCCCCTTGACTAACAACAGCCAGCTGTTTCTTCCTCATCATTATGGGCGTATTCGCCAAATTCGCTGCGTCACTCGTCGCCATTCCCTCCCCCGTCCTCGGCGGCATGACCTCGTTCCTCTTCACGGCTGTCGCCGTCTCCGGCATGGCCATCATCACAAAGGGTGTGCCTTTCAACCGACGAAACCGCTTCATCTTGACCGCTGGTCTCACACTCGGCTACGGCGCCACCCTCGTGCCGACTTACTTTGACAAAGTCTTTACGTATTCAGGCAACAACCACGCCCTGAAGGGATTCCTGGACGCCATTGTACTCGTAATGGAGACGGGCTTTGCCATTACGGCGTTCGTCTGCATGCTTCTCAACTTTGTGCTCGCTGAAGAGATTGAGGACACGGAGGGTCACGATATCATCCCTACCACCGGAAACGTCACTCCCAAGGACGTCAACGGCGGAGAGAGCGCCCGCGGGGCCGACTCGGAGGATATTCAACCCATCGGGCACAATCCCAGTGGAAAGCGTGATGAAAAGCTGTCTTGAAGCTGAGCACAGCATAGTGGTTCTGTAACGTTGCATTAAAAGCAGGGGCATTTTGTATATTTTTTGGATGTGTTTTTGGTCGTGTATGAAGTATGAATACCCACCCTCCCTGTCTTGAATTCATCGCGAGCGACTGTTCTCCAAGTCAAGTATCTGCCTCAACGGCGCTTCATTGTTCCACCTGATTGGAGTCTCTGTCGAACATTGAACCTGATGATTCAACGCCCAACTTGGGCGAGGAGATTGCGCTTTAAAGAGTTCATCGTATCTGGTTATCAAGGTAACAAGCGAATGGACGCCACAGAAAGCCCCTCCCTTCGGATACCTGCTGTCTAATGCAAATGCTGCATCGTCGCCTCAACGACGCCACACTACGTGTAGGTAAGGTAGCTTCGGTTAGCAATTGGCCTTCCCTCGCACAGGTGGAAGAGGAAGAAATGACGAGTGTTGATAAGGACGCCGACTGCAATTGGCCACGCAAATCCCACTCTGGTGCGTCAACCCCTGCGCTCTCGATCGACAGCCCAACATCCCCTCCATGTCGCCTCGTTATCTGCGTCTGTCCAAAGACTAGGCTTACTTGGTTGACTTGCTTGCCGAAGATAGTCGTTCAAGACCATGGTTGAATAGCCAACCCCGATCAAATAGCCGTTGGCGATATGGCCATGGTCTTCTTGGACTGCAGGTTGCGGAGCTGGCCGGGGCCAATCTCGCAAATGCAGGTCGTACAGAGTAAGAAAGGTCACATCTGTGGATGTATTACTTTGCATAAAGCTGGATGCTTGCGGACTACATAGGTGAGGTCATGTCTTACTCCTCGCCGTGGCTTGGTCTTCTGCAATTCTGCACCCGCAAGGTTGTTGGCATACCTCGATTTTCTCGGAAGTGCCCTTCTTGTGATCGTAACTTCAATCCAGGTTCGGAAGGGTGACTTTGCCTTTGGTTTGCATGAGAACCCCAACAGCTTGAGCGCCAAAGATGAAGACCATCAACATGCAAGAAGCGAGACGGCGATGTACGTCGATTGAGGCATGGGAGCTTCCCAAGCACCCCAGCGCCATTGCGCCAGAAGGTGTACGAACGAACCCGGACATGGACCCCGTACCGGTATCGATGCGGACTTGGTCGCTATGGACGATCCTGGCCTACTGGAGCACTGATCTCATGAGTCTCTCGACTCTGCAGACCGGCGGGTCTATACTTGCGGTCGGGCTCAGCTGGCGGGAGGCGATTCCCATCATGTTTGTTGGGACAACATGTATCGCAATAGCAATGGTCCTCAATGGAGCGATTGGAAGTCGCCTACATGTCCCCTTTAGTGTCATCGCCACGGGTAGTTTCGGGTTCCACTTGAGGTATGGATGAAATGGACCTGGTTGATCTACCAAGCACTTACCGCATGGATTTGAAGCTGACTTTTTACCCAAGATATTTTGCCATTATCAGTAGAGCTATCCTCGCCATGTTCTGGCTGGGTGTACAGGTACTGAACCGTACGTACCGTACCACGCTTGGCTGATTTGCTAACATCAGTCTTCAAACGTAGTGTGTCAACGGCAGCGTGTGTGTGACAATCATGTTGAGTGCATGGGCTCCTTCCTACGGACGGATTCACAATGCCTTGCCTGAGTCGGCAGGTATCACCTCTATGGGAATGGGCTCGTGAGTCTGCTCCCGAAGCCGGTTGCTGTTGGTTGGAGTGCTCACTAGTCACGCAGGTTCTTCCTCTTCTGGATCATTCAGCTACCATTGTTGCTCATTCACCCAACAAAGCTCCGGCCACTCTTCTACGTCAAGCTACTTGCCACTCCAGCTGTAGTTCTCGGAACCTTGGGGTGGGCTGTGAAGCAAGCCGGTGGAGGTGGTGATATCTTCAGGTCGCAACCCGAGGTCTCCCCCGGGACTTCCAAGTACGCCTGGCTTTGGCTGAGTTGCATGTCATCAGTTTCGGGCCAGTGGAGCACGATGGCAATCAATATTCCGGACTTTTTGCGCTACAGCAAGTCCAGAAACGCTCAAAATGTGCAGCTCATATTTGTCCCCATCGTCTTCACCCTGTGTGGGACCATGGGTATCATCACTACGTCGGCCACGAAAGTCTTCCAGGGAGACGGTGACTATCTTTGGAACCCGCTCGACATCGTCAGTCTCTGGTTAGAAAATGGCTCGGGGGGACGTTGTGCTGCCTTCTTCGGGGCGCTGGCATGGCTAATTGCTACGATCGGCACCAACGTCACGGCGAACAGCATCAGCGCGGCCAACGACCTGACTGTCATGTTCCCGCGCTACATCAACATCAGGAGAGGCAGTATAGTCGCTGCAGTGATAGGTGCCTGGGTGATTGTGCCGTGGAAGATTATGGCCAGCGCTGCTACGTTTTTGAACTTTATGGGCGCATACGCCGTCTTCCTTTCTCCTCTGAGCGGCATCATGGCAGCAGACTTTTGGCTCGTCAAAAAACAACGATATGATCTGCCCGGTAGGTCATGGTTTCCTCCTTGAATCTCTGTTGACTGACATCCTATCTTCTTGCTAGATTTATACGACCCTCACGGTCGCTATAGATACATCGCAGGCTGCAACTGGAGGGCCTTGATTGCTTTCATCGTGCCGGTTGCACCAAACTTGCCAGGCATGGCATTGGCAATCAGTGGCTACCCTGCGGTTCAAATCTCTGAGGGCGCTCAAAATCTCTACACCTTTGATTGGATTTTTGGGTTCGTCATCTCGATCTTCCTATATACGACACTGAGCTGGGCTGTGCCTGCAAAGGAGACCTTGGTTGAGTGGACAATCTGGACCAGGGAGGACGGAATAGAGATTGTGGAGACGAGAGACGGCAGTGATATCGAGAACCCAAAGTTGCCCCAGAAGGTGCTGACTACAGCGGGCGATGGTCGTCATACTCCTGACGCCAGAGATTAATGATGGAGGAACAGAGTGAAGTCGGAAATGAAGCCTGGGAGGTTGTGCCGACCCTGAGCCATGAACCGGGCTGTCTGGCTTCCCTTCTTCTCAGTATCTTGGGTAGCCTTTTGTCCCCGTCGGATTCACTCGCTTGATCAGGTTGCAAAACAACAATGCAGTGATGAAAGAAGCACATGGAGGGAGCCCGAGTCTGTAGAACAAGTAAAACACGTCGCAATGAAGACGGGCGCAAGTTTTACAAATGAGCGTATGAAACATGGGTCAATTACTTTTTACTCATTTGTCAGTCGTGTACGTTGCTGTGGTATCTTGGCTAGCAGTGTGGAATAAGCTGCTCTCTGATCATGGTCTCCAGTCATCATTACTCCCATAGGAAAGAAAACTCATGGCTCCTGCTCGACAATATTGTTGAGTCGCGGCTGCAACTGTGCGAGTGCTGCGCGGTCATGCCCGTCGGGATAGGCACGGAAAACCTCTCCTCGCATCAATCTACGCGGTGCTCGTCTGCCTGTGAACAGCTCGAACTGAGCGAAACCCTGCTCGGGTAACAGATCAAGACCGTCCATAGTAACCCAGCCCCGATGCGATACCTTCCTCGCCTGGTTCAAGATCGGAGTGTCCAGCGTCTTGTAACCCAATTCGACCAGACAACCGCCAGTCGGACTGCCCAGCCATGCCTGTGGCACCTCGAAGTTGGGTGCGGGGACATCGCCAATACTATGTGTCGGGATGCAAGAAACAATCATCGTCGGCAGCCGAAAATCTTCGGGCCATGGCTCCTCCAGGTTTCGAATGATGTGAAATTTCGTTTCCACATCCGACGTTGCACTGAGGAGTGGCAGATCGTGCCGTTTCAACAGGCGAGTGAAGTGATTTACCATCTTTTCCGCGTTCATGATTGTCCTGTTGTACACCACGATATTCTTGACTCCAAGCTGCAGCATGCTATAGGTTGCCGCGCGAGCCATACCGCCAGCACCAATAATGAGGCCGCAACTTGATGTTCGTACGGCGTTGGCGGGAGAGAGGCCCCTGCGAATACAAGCCCGGATACCGATCCAGTCCGTATTTTCGCCATAGAGTGCCCTCACCGGCCCGGCACGATTGCGGCAGTTGAAGAGCTTCTCGTCTTCTGGTATTGTGCCGTCGGGGTTCAGTCGACGAACAGGAACAAGTGTATTGACTGCGCCAATAGCCTGCGCGTGTCGGCTCAGAGAGTGTGTGAGGGTGATGATTTCAACTTTGAAGGGCAGGCCAACACTGGCACCCGCGAAACAAGGATCCTCAATGAGCTCTCGTAGCCCATTCAAGGATGGTGTTGAGAATGGTCGATAGAGGTGGGGAATGCCGCATGCCTTGAGGGCGGCATTATGCATGGCCGGCGACAAACTGTAAGAGACGTGGGCGCCAAACACGTAAATCTTCATGGGGTCGAACAGAAATGAGTTGTACAGCGCTTGCGTCGCTTGAGCTGCCGTCAAGCATGGTTGGTTGGGATTGTAACTTGATGCTACCGGCTTCTCTGGCACAACACTGGTCAGAACGTGGTTCATAGCCGCGGAATGTCTGCCGCGAGGACCAGAGTTGTAAGCGATGAGGGGAATCTTGTGGCCTGTGGAAGCCTCCACTAGGGCTTTGAGGTGGCTGATATCGAAGTTATCCTTGATTGAGGTCACCGGCTTGACGAGCCGGACGAGATCACAACCTAGACGCCGCGCTCTATGATATTGTGACATCCAAAACGGATCTGACCACGGTGGAGAGTCGGCAGCAGGCGTTAGGTGGCCGATGATCTTTGAACGTCTCTTCATGGAGATGATGTGCAGGAGTTGAAAGTCGTTCAGGCGGAGGTCGACAGTGAGATACTCGGGGCAGAGTCGTAGGCCGTGCAATATGTAGTCCATGTACACCGACTCTGAAGAATCTGGAAGGACAACGTGGTACATCAAGGGTATGACGGTGCTCCTCCTTATGGACCCGATGGTTCTTGCAATATCGGCCGCCCGTTCGGAGTCTAGCGAGGATGCACCCGCAATTCCGTCGACGACGATCTCGATAGCATCAGCTCCAGTCTCCAGCTCTTCAATGGCAAGTTCATTGTTGAGCAGGCTGGACAAAGAAACCGAGATGGCGTAAGTGAACCGTCTGTCTTCTGTGGGTATAGAAGCCAGCGGGAAAGCCGACTCGATGAAGGGAATGGAGCTCTTGGGCATGATGAGACTGAGAAACTTTAGAAAATGCCTCTCTGCCCGCTTCAGAGTCAGGTAGGGAGCAGGAGGCTTCTGACCGCCAGCATGAGCCTCAATTCTCGCGGCATCGGTTTCGATCCATGGGTCTGCCGTCTCAGATACGTTGAAGAACTCAAGGTTGCTGCATGTCCGAAAAATGGTGCTGCTGGCGGCCAGCAGGTTCCTCGCCTTGTCTTCGTCTTCGATCTTTAGGTGGTCTTGAATAGCCTTGACGTCCCGGACGATATGCACGACAGGATGTGTACGACAAAAGTCCCGTAGAAGAGTCTGGACCCCGCGTTCCATCCAGCTGCACACGATCAGAGTGCTCTTGGAGTTCTGGTCGAGGAGGTCCCGAAGGACGTCTGTCTGTCGACGGTGACATTCAGCGGAGCCATGGGCCCTCTTATATGCGAAGCTGGTCAGGCCGGTGACTTGTTGGAAGGCTTTTTCGCAGTCGACGGCCCTCCGTTCCATGGCCGTCGAGGCAATGATGGCGAGCGTTGATTTCCCTGCACCGCGAATGCCGGCGAGGACAATGGAGGCATCGGCAGGGAATGGCGGAACCTCGCCGGGGATATGGGCCACGGGTGTTGCTGGTCTTGTAATTGGCGTCGCTGGTCGTGAACACGCAGCCAAGGAATATCTGCTGCTGTTGGTCCTCGGGCTCTGGGGCTGGCTCGGCGAAGCAGAGTGGCCATTGCGACTGTCGACGCGGATGAACTTTGCGGGATTCTCGAGTTGGTGGTGGTGATGGTCCTCCTCATCGCTCATGGCGGTGGCCACGTAGGACCGCTTTACTCCGGCTGTCGCCATGGCTCTTCGGCCTGCCTGGCTGTAGCAGTGCAGACGCAGGTGGGTTGAAGAGGAGGAGGAGGAAGCCTAGGATGCATGCGCACGCGCCGGTGTCGAGTTGAGACTCTGAGTGAGGCGGCGTGAATGCCTCTATCGTCGAGCTATGTTTCGTGCAAAGCCGTTCAGCCGTAATCCAACAAGGTCAAGCTCTCTCTCTCTCTCTCTCTGGAAGAGTCAAGTCGATCCACGTCGAGTCGCGTTCCGGGCCTACGAATGCCGTGGCAGAACTGTTAGGTCACCAGGTGGGAGGAACCTCAAATCCGTTCGCCAGTTGCGACGCTCGGTGCTAAATTGGTGCCCCTCTCCCTTGCACGGCGCTAATGTGGGGATACTCTGGTAAATATTTAACCCCGTATGTGGAGTTAGCGAGCTACCTGTGAGCGTGGGGGTGTTGTCCTCTGTATGCGCTGGCAATTACCCGCTAGAGTCCAAGAGTTGGCATCGCCAACCCTCCTGTCTTGACTTCTGGATCTGGAGACTCTATGGAGACATAGCCCCAACTCAAAGTGTCTCCCTAACACCCCGCATCCCGAGTTGTTCGTACTCGCTGTCACGTAACCAATTAATGCCACAGAAATGCCAGCTGACCAGCCTTCCAGCCTGCCCTTAGTTCCATGAGGTCCGAGATCTAGCAACAACCTTTGAGGGCGGCACCGCGAGCGTCGGCCTCTGAGGTTACCCCAGGATTTCCCCACCTCCGTTCATCACAGCGCGCGCGCGGGAAACCTTGGAGAAGAAGAAGAAGAAGCAAAAACGACGTCAATCTTACCATTGCTTGTTGTTGCTGCTACTACGGCTGCTGCTGAGCTGATACTATCCAAACTGCTCCTGCTATCCGTACCGGCGGTGTTGCTGAATCTGCTGCTCGACCGCGTGCCACCAGACCTTTCTCGTCCCGCCCGTCGCCCGTCGCCCGCCGCAACGAAACGCAATATCCCCTCGCAAATCACAACCCCAGTCGCTCACTTCGCTTCAACCATCGCCCGCAGCGCGTGCTCTTTGCCCTCGCAGCTCCCTCGTCGACCTCAACGCTTCTCGTGCCGCGCCCTCTATGCCGTCCCCCGCGGCGTGAGCCATTGGAGCTGCCCTGCCGCTTGCGGCTACGACTGATTACGACTGAAGGATGCCATCCAAGAGAAAGGCTCAAGATGCCGAGACCAGTGTCACCTCGACTTCTGTCCCAAAGCGCCAGAGGGTATCTCGAGCGTGCGACCAATGCAGAAGGCAAGCAGAATCCAGCACCATTATTGTCATTCTCTCGTTTTTTCGACTCTATCGCCTTTCTATCCGGCAGTTCCCCCAAGCGGCTGGATTTCCAAGGACTGGCGACTCTAGATACTTCTCTGTCACAAGCGTGTCGGCGTAGCTACCTTTACGTAGATTCCGTTTTGCACATTGCCTGTGATATCGGCTCTGGTGTTCATCTCAGTGCCATCTTCACCCGCTTTCTACACGGGCGAACGCAACTTATGCTAACTATGACGACAGTGCCCGAGAGAAATGTGATGGCGTCCAGCCTCAATGCTTCTCCTGTGTAACTTTGTCGCGGCCATGTACATATAACGTCGCACCGAAGAAGCGCGGCGTACAGACCGGTCTGATCCGAACACTCGAGCTTGCCCTCGTATGGCTCTTCGACCAGGTTCCTGGAACTGAAGAAAAGCTGGCCGGCCTGCTCACGCAGGAGGGCGGCACCGGCCAGTCTCTTCTGCTCGACAAGGACAGCGAGGCAGGGAACAGGCTTCACAAGAGATGGAGGAGATGCCGTGTTCACAAGGATATTGACCGGCTACTCTCCGGTAAAGACGGTGTAAGTCCCCGCCAGGACACCTCGGGAGATGATTCGGATGCCGAAGCCGATGGCCGCAACAAACGGAACGGGGAGGCTCCATTAGACGGTCCTGACGCCTCTCCGCAACCTAATGCCACCGACCGCAAACCAGACGCCGCCCCGAAGGAACCAGCACCGAGGCAACGCCGTGGCTCCAGGTCTCGGCGAAGGTTCAAGTTACCAAGAAATTTCCCTCAATTATTAGAGGTCTACTATTCGTACACCCACAGCTGGCTTCCGATACTAAACTCAAAGGAGACTCTCGATGGCGCTGCGGCCTCGTATCCTCCAGACGGCCTCGACATCGACCCAGAAGATTCGAATAATAGTGCGGCTCATGCTGAGCTATGGTGCGCTCTCGCTGTTGGGGCATTCCAGGATGCAGCGTCAGCACGACCTCCAGGGGGCTCAGAACCACCAGACCGACCCAGTATGATAACAGCAGCAGCCCGCAGCCTGATACCGGTAGAAACCGACATGGCACTGGGCCATGTGAAAGCTCTTCTGGTACTTTCCCTAGTAAAGCTCGGGCAGGACAACGCAGGGGCAGCTTCTCTGCTGATCGGTCTAGCTGTCAGGGGTGCCATGGCTTTGACGGATGGACGATCAAGAAACGGTGGACAGGTCTCAATTTCGGGGCTGTCGGCATCCTCGACGCAAGAAGCGTACTCAATAGCTTTGGATCGAGTTTTGATGGCCTGTCTCATGCTGGACACCATTGTTTCCCTAAGGCTTGGTCAGACGCCTCACATGAGGACAAACGACATGAAAGAAAGGCCAACAGAGGAGAGCGGATCAGAGGAATGGGCACCGTGGGCTCCGAGGGCCGGCTTCGGGCTGGAGGATGTCGAAGCTGCTGTACAGCCTGCACAGTCTTTGAGCTCCTTCAATCAGCTCTACCAATTCTTTCGCACTCTAAATCAGAGTGTCGAGTCTGGGAGCGCAGGGCCAAAGATTGGCGCCGCGAACCTTGTCCAAGTGCTTGATCCCCGTTTCTCATTTTGCAATTCAGTAGTCTTTGGAGCGTCGACGATACCCATCCTTCCATCGGCTTTCCTCATACAGGCTACCTTCCTCGGTGCGACCTTGACTTTGATGGCCGACCCTCGAGTGTCTCTGATTTGGGGTCTGATGGAGGTTTTGGAGAGCTCGATTTCTCACTTTGGCGCAGCCGGCGTTTCGCCACTCCTGGTCACATATATGAGCATCGCCAACACCAAAAGTTGCGTCAAAGCTCTCCGGGATGATGACAAGACGCGGTGGAACTCACTGATGAGGAGCCTCATGTCTGTCTGGCAAGATCGGACGATGAACGTGGACTCTTCTCCCATGGACGCGGAATCGAGCGAGCAAACACCAGCTCAGGTCGAGCCGGCCGTAGCTCACTTCTCACAGCATCCATCTGCTCGCAGAAACTCACAGTTTCCACCATTTTCCATGCACGCGGACTCCTACCATCACCCTAACAGTAACGGCTTTTTACCAACAGCGTCGTCTGTGAGCCCATCAACGGCGAGAACAATGCCATTTACGCCAGGGAGCCAGCTGGATGCTTTTCCTTCAGGCTTCATGGGGCATTTGTCGTCCGCTCAGGCCCCCTACCTCATGGGGCAAGGCGCCCACGGCGTGGATTACGACGCCATTATGGACGAGCTTGCTTCCATCGACTGCACAGATAGCATGGAGTCCGACCCGCAGTTTATGGCCAATCTCGGCTTTGCCCCAGGGTCAGATCTGACGGACATGCTCCGGGGAGAGTATGGGGGGATGTGAGCCGTATAATGTATTATGAACCTTGGTAGAAAATGAGCATTGATTCCAATCTCTGGAAATACTTTCTGCATCTCGCTGGTATCTCCCCATCCTCCATGTTCTGGTGGGCCAATGTAGCAATGCTAGCAAACAAAACTTGCGGTGTGAAGAAGAAGTGTTCATCCAGGGCGGCTACGCCAAACACAGTGATTTGTACATTCGGACTGTCTAGCCTTTTTTGTCTCTTTCCCTGAGGAAGTTCCAGTTGGCTTATCTCTCTTATTTGTTGACCCTCATTCACCAACGATAAGACTATGGGTTCTGGCCTCTTTTTACTCGCGAGGACTTTAGAAAGTTAGCTCCGGTAGAGTGAAAGGCAGGCTGCAACGGAATTACAATCATCAGGAATCAGACTCAACGCCAAGCGCCGCATCCAACGAAAGCATAACGTTTTTCCACAGCAGCTTGAAATCGTCAAGCTGTCTTTACCCTTATTTGGCTGTTGAGCCGTGGTCAGGAGGTGGTTACGAAGCATAGCCTGCCAATATGCCTCAGCATGCCTCCACCCTGGTTGTTTAAAGGCACGTACCAAGTTTATTATCGAGAACCATTTTTGTGGCGATGAGACTATTCATGTGGGGTTCTTCAGTGCGGAGACTTAAGGTTAAGATGATGCATGTGAGGTTTGGTCTGGATCCATGTGGCCTTGAAAACACCTCTCAGACAGAGAGATCCATGTGCGCCTCATTTACAATTACGACCACATCGCATCTTGGGTCCATCTGCTCCATCACAGGTGGGACGCGCTCAACACCAAGAACTCACAGTGCTTGGCGGCAAAAAACTATCATCCGGCCGACGATGGCAAAATAGCTGTCTCCGCTAGCAACACCTAAGAACAACATACAGGTTGAGTGAGTTGTCGACGTCGTCATGTGGCCAGGCCTTGGAGAGCGTCCCGGTGGCTTGGTTGGCGTATCTTGACCGGATATTCTCAACTCCACCTTGGCGAATCTCTGTCCCACGTCAGCAACCTGATCTAAGCCCCTGCCGGCTTGACAGCATGCACCCCGTAGGCCAGGCATGTTCCCCATATCTGCTTTCAGGCAGAGAAAGCCGGGGAACGGCTTCTTCACCCGCATTGTGATCACTCCGTTGGGTTGGTAAACCATTAGTTGGGACGTCGGACGACGTCTACATGGAATGTGAGACAGTCGAATGGCAATAGAGAAGCGCTGACAGGATAAATATTCAACCCCCGGCCCTGGTCTGGACAGGGGTTCTCCAGCATTTGGGGGTCGACGAGATTGGGTCTAGTTCGGAAACAGATAGTTGGTGCGGAGAAGAACATGTCTGCCGGGCTCCACGTTATCCACGCGTTATGGAGAACGAGTCAGTCACAGGTTGCAGATTTTGCTCCGGTTTGGAGACGGCGCGCCAGTCCAACAAGCCTCTAGTCGGAGGGAGAAGCGTTCACCCCAGAGTCAACATTTCGGAATCTCCATACACATGGGCGAGATTGGTCGCGGAGCCTACCCCAGATCCCATTCGTTCACGGTCCAGCTGCTCGATTTCCTTCCCCATGGGATGACCCAAACTCCGCTGCTCCAGACCCCCAGACTTTACCCCAGACGAACCGATACGTGCGCCACCTGTCAGTCAGTCTTTGCCAACTTGTTGGAGAGTAAGAGCCCTGACGCATCCATATAACAAAGGTCAACCTGGACCTTTGCAATCTCTTTTCTTTCCTTCTCTCCTTAAGACTCTTAACCCTTCAACCCCGGCCTTGACTTGGAGTTCAGACGGTCTCAGCCTCGCTTCGAAGACAATCATACCATCACCATGGCTCTCCTCACTCTCGTAGAGGACCGCCCGACGCCCAAGGCGGTGTACAACTGGCGCGTCTACTTCTGCGCAATCATCGCGTCCTTCGCCAGTTGCACCATCGGATACGACTCTGCCTTCATCGGAACCACCCTCGCTCTGCCCTCCTTCATGGAGGAGTTCCATTTTGCCTCCTATAGCAAGGACGGTCTGGCTCTGCTCAAGTCCAACATCGTCTCTGTCTACCAGGCTGGCGCCTTCTTCGGAAGTCTGTTCGCCTACGTCAGCAGTTACTTCCTCGGCCGCAAGAAGAGTTTGATGCTCTTCACTACAGTCTTCCTCCTTGGTGCTGGCATGATGCTCGGCGCCAACCGTGAGCGCGGCCTCGGTCTCATCCTCGCCGGCAGAGTTCTCGCTGGTATTGGTGTGGGTGGCTGCTCCAACATGACCCCCATTTACATCTCGGAACTCTCTCCTCCCGCCGTGCGTGGGCGTCTTGTCGGCATCTACGAACTCGGGTGGCAAATCGGTGGCCTCGTCGGCTTCTGGATCAACTATGGCGTTGATTCTACCATGGCCCCTAGCCACAGCCAGTGGCTCATTCCCTTCGCCGTTCAGCTGATTCCTGCCGGCCTTTTGCTCGTCGGGGCTTTCTTCATCCCCGAGTCTCCCCGCTGGCTTTTCTCCAAGTACAAGAGAGAAGAGGCGATGAAGGCACTTTGCTGGATGAGGTATGTGCCCCACAGTCCATCATTGCGCTAATAACCTTTCAGGCTGACCATTTCTCTCTCTCTCATAGAAACCTGTCTCCTGAAGACAAGTACATCATCGAGGAGGTCCAATACATTGACGCCGACCTTGAGCGATACCGCCAGGAAGTCGGTGCCGGTTTCTGGAAGCCCTTCGCTTCCCTCAAGCAGAGTAAGGTCCAGTGGCGCTTCTTCCTGGGCGGCATGCTTTTCTTGTGGCAAAACGGATCTGGGTGAGCGAGCAATCCTCTATGAATCTCAAGTTACGTCCGAGTCCTAACATGACCCCTAATAGTATCAACGCCATCAACTACTACAGCCCCACGGTCTTCAAGAGCATTGGCATCACCGGTACCAACACGAGCTTCCTCACAACTGGCATCTTTGGTGTCGTCAAGACGATTGTCACCTTTGTGTGGCTTCTCTGGCTCATTGACCACCTTGGTCGCCGCAATTTGCTCATGATTGGTGCCATCGGCGGTTCCTTGTGCATGTGGTACATTGGCGGTTACCTTGCTCTCAACCCTGCATCCGGAACTGGTGGCAGTCTTTCTGGTGGCGGTATCTCTGCCATGGTGTTCTTCTATCTCTGGACAGTGTTCTACACGCCCTCGTGGAACGGTACCCCTTGGGTCATCAACTCTGAGATGTTCGACCAGAACACAAGGTATGTTGAGATCTGCGCCAGGCTTTTTACGACTATCCACTAACACGTACTCTCAGATCTCTCGGCCAGGCTAGCGCAGCTGCCAACAACTGGTTCTGGAACTTCATTATCTCCCGCTTCACCCCGCAAATGTTTAATGCGTGGGGCTATGGGGTCTACTTCTTCTTTGCCTCTCTCATGATTTGCTCAGCCATCTTCGTCTTCTTCCTGATGCCTGAGACCAAGTCTATTCCTCTCGAGACTATGGATCGTCTCTTCACAATTAAGCCTGTCTGGAGAGCAAACAAGACCATCATGTCCGAGTTGGCGGACGAGCAGGGCTTCAGACAGTACTCCGACGAAGGATCCGGAGAAAAGTCTGATGGTGCGGAAATCAACCAGGTAGAGAGGAAGGACAGCGTTTAATGAATGGGTTCACGGTTTACTAATATGATATGAAGGACGTTTGAATGGTTAGAGCAGCTAGATGGATATTCCAAGATTCCAATCTCCAGGCATGCGCTTGCTTCCATCCCGAGCCGATTCCCCAAGTGATCCATAAAACGAATCATCGAGTCACATTCGAGACACAAGTACAAGTACAAGTCTACGCCAGAGTGGGGGTAGAGCGAATGAAGGTGTCGAGACGGAGAGGGGGAAGAAAGCTGAACTAGGAAATTGAGCAAGGGTGATGCCGATGCCAAGCCGAGGTGCTGCATGAGTTGCAGTAAGCAAAGTAAGAAAAGTCCCGCGCTTGGCTTTCACGGCAGGGCAGAGAGTTTCAATTGTATCCAGCCGTTTGGCAGCCCGTCTGGGTGGTTGTGTATCCGTATGTTCTTGTTGGCGCAGACAAAGGTGTAAGTTCAAGTCGAACAAGGCAATCCAGAGTCGGAAGAGTCGACTTCAAATACTCATCTAGTTTCAACCCAATAATGGGCCTCGTAACACGTAAGATCTGGTACATGTACCTCGCGAAACCTGAGCATGTTTCGTAAGCACAGCGTGGAGAGAATGGTCCAATCTGAGGCTCATTTGTGGTACGAGAAGACCGAACGTGCAGGGATAACTGCGGGCTTACGGAAACAAGAGCGCTCGCCGGGTAAATGTTCCTGAAGCTCAGAATGTATATGCGCGGTACAGTTACAAACCAAGGGTTATGAGCCGCCCTTGGTCCATTATCTGGAGACGCAAGCTATTTCGTCACTGTGATACAGGGTAGAAGTGGAAACATAATTTCTGTGAAGAAAATCAGATCATCCACAACGTTTTCTTGCCGAGGGCCGCCGATGTGCATTACCGTCTTGAAGTATGGCTATGTACGATGAACTTTCACTAAACCCGAACATATAAGATCATGGCGCTTTGACCGAACAATTGTCACAGAAGAACGTAAAATTTACGAAGGGGTAAATGCAATTTCAACTATATTGGCCGCGCGGGAGGGGAGACTCCCGTTCATTAGGTTGCGAAATGACATTGAAGGGTTGGTTGGTCACAGTCTACAGATGCTATCCAGCCCACAGCAAGTAGGTTTCGCATCACGGTGAAGTATAACTCTGTTCTTCAAATGCCCGAGAATCAAATGAAAAGTATTCTTCCGTTGGAGGTTTCTAATATTCACATGTAGTTACTTTGCCACGCTCAAATGAGATTAGAAAGGGGCAGTTGCAGCAAGGCAAATGGCCATTTTCAAATATGTCTCTTGGGTCGATTTTAATTGTTCTTGAGGGTAATTGAACCATCCCGGTGTACCCTGTGTGTGGAAGCTGAATATCATGTTTGAATTGGCAAACCAGAACTGG